ATCTTATGGTGATGATCCATATGGTGATCCCGATGGTGATCCCGATTTTCACGTTTTCCCGATTTTCTGCCCTTTACAGTTTTGAGCCACCATGCGGCAGCACACATGGTGGCTCAAAAATTCCATGTAAAGGAAGTCAGAAAATCGGGAAAACGTGAAAATCGGGAAAACCCAAAATATTCACCTTGGCACCGCAACAACCACCAGAAGCCACTAGAAATTCTGAGAAAAATCGCACTGAACTGACTTCTTTTGGTGAATATTTTGGGTAGGCAAATTTTTGATATTTTTTTCACGTTTTCCCGGTTTTCTGACTTCCTTTACATCAAATTTTTGAGCCACCATGACTGCCACCACCATATGGATCATCACCATGAGATTTTTGCCATAAAATTGAAACTTCTGTACTGACATCGTGGTGTCATATTAGAGTTAACATGTAAACTAAGATTTATAACCAAACACTTTATTAATTAGTAGCTTATGAGCAGAACATGGCTGCCGCTTTGAAAATTGCGAGTTAAAAGAGTTCTATTAGATCAGCTAAAAACTTTATCTCATCTACATTTTATGATAATCTCTCGTACATCAGAGATTTTCAAATCGCCTTGTTTTAAAGAATTGTCCCGTTTTTCCAAGGAAACGCTGATTAATAAAGTGTATGGTTTAAAGTTGTAGTTATTCGAATAGTATTTATTACCATAAATACTGTAATACAGTGCGCGTCAAAATGATAGGTCCACCCGATTTCTCAAAAACTATCAAGCAAAATCAAAATCCATATTTGTAGATGAATTTTAATTTGATTCTTGATAAATATTCAAAAGTTTAAAAAAGTTTTTTATCGGTAAAATTTTTGGGTATTTTGGAAAAACTCAAAAATTGAGGTAAAAACCGCGTCAAAATGATAGGTCCACCACTTTATGCGCTTAATGCCTTGCCACTTTCTTGCTGATTTTTTCTTTTTTTGTATGCAAATTTTATTTTTCTACAGATTCTAAGTTTTTCCTTTAGAATGGACCGAGGAAATGCGTTGACGCTGGTGGAGCAGGGAAAAGTTGACGTTCTACACGCAAATGGACTCAGCAATCGCAAAATTGCCGAACAACTTGGTCGCTCGCACAACGTCATCCATCAATACCTTCAAAATCCACTGAATTATGGAACTAAGAAGACGACTGGACGGAAGACGACTGGACGGAAGCCGATTCTGACACCTCGAGACAAACGCCATATCGGCCAAATTGTGTCGAACTCAATGATGTCAGCCAACGAAATACGAAACGAAATTGGTCTATCGGCATCGAGAAGCACAGTTTTGAGGACCATTACTGCAATTCCTCACATCGAGCGATGCAAAATGATACCGTCTCCTCGTCTAACCGGTGACCACAAAGTTGCTCGAGCTGAATTTGCACGTAAGAATTTAAAGGTAGATTGAAATAAGGTGAACATTGAGTAATAGTCAGTAACAATAAAGTTTTTTTTTGGTTTAGATTATCTTCAGCGACGAAAAAAAGTTCAATCTTGATGGTCCCGATGGTAGCAAGTATTATTGGCACGATCTTCGCAAAGAACCACAAAGAACAAAAGAACCAATACTTTGGGCGTCGGAATTTCGGAGGAGACCGCTTAATGGTCTGGGGAGCATTTACGGCCGGTGGTGTACTCGAATTGAAGTTTGTCTCTTGTCGAATGAACTCGAAGGATTATCAGGATGTGTTATCGGATTGTTTGTTACCGTTTTTGCTTAACAATCAAGGACAATGCTATCGATTCCAGCAGGACAACGCGTCGATTCACGTCAGCAGATCAACAAAAGACTACTTTACGCAGAATAACATCGATGTCTTGAACTGGCCCGCATGTTCGCCCGACTTGAACCCGATGGAAAACTTATGGGCAATACTTGTACGCAAAGTTTATGCAAATGGACGAACATACAAGTCAGTTTCCGAGCTCACAACACAATTAATTCTTTCATGGCGGTCGATCATGCCCACGACTCTTCAAAAACTAGCTGACTCGATGGATAATCGTATTCTGGACGTGGTCACACTTAAAGGAGGACCTACAAAGTATTGACCATAGTGATAAAGTAATGATAAAACCTATTTTCATTCAGTTTTTACAATTTTTTTGGTTCTTGTTATAAAGTTTTTAATGAGTGGACCTATCATTTTGACGCGGTTTTTACCTCAATTTTTGAGTTTTTCCAAAATACTCAAAAATTTTACCGATAAAAAACTCTTTTAAACTTTTAAATATTTATCAAGAATCAAATTAAAATTCATGTGCAAATACGGATTTTGATTTTGCTTGATAGTTTTTGAGAAATCGGGTGGACCTATCATTTTGACGCGCACTGTAGTATCCCACCGCCCTCGTACAGTCGCGTAGTCGCAAAAGTTTTTTAGTATTTCATTTTTTTCAAAGCTCCCGTACTTTCAAAAATGCGTCTTTGGTATCAAAAAATAGCTGAAATTCAGGGCTATTTTTCGATACCTAAACGCGCATTGTAGCATAAACCAGTGTCGAGAAAAACTCGTCCAAAGCTAGACTACGCAACACTCCGCACCGCCATTATGGGGGTGGGGTACTATTACAGTATTTACGGTATGTTTATTATGCATCACGATGCCAGTACAAAGTTTTCATTTTATAGCAAAAGTCTCATGGTGGTGGGTGAAAAGAATTATCCGGTTTTTCCAAGGAAACGCTGATTAATAAAGTGTATGTTTTAAATTCGTATTTATCCTGAATAGCTTTTCTTTTTGAATCCAGGAAAACAAGCATCGATCGATTGAAATCTTTCAAATCAAAAGCTGAAAGCTGAAAGCTGAGATATCTTTTTCATATCCAGCTAATATTCTTTCAAATGATTCTTATTTCTTCATTCAAACCCTCGGTGTCACCTTTTTCTCGTTAAAAAAACAAAAAGATCGCCCCGGGCAACGAGAAAACATTCGACTAGTTTCCCAATTTCTTCCTTTGAAACTTTAAACTCGAAACTTTTCTCTAGTCTTATAATCTTTTGAATCCATCTATTGAATCCATCTTTTGAATCCAGTCTTATAATCTTTTGAATCCACTTTTGAATGTAATCTTTAATTGTTTTCGTCAAAGAAATATCAAAAGTCAAAAATAGAAGCTATTTAAACTATTTAAAGCTATTTAAAATTTTGTTAAATATGCTTCAGCATTGTTTTTTTTAGATTTTTGCATCAATTCTTCAGAAAGATCTTCAAAATTGTTGAGAGCTAGTGTAGAATTTTGATCTGAAAACTATTTTTGTTATCTTTCTAGACGTCACAAATCCAATCAAAATCCTTTTTTTGTGTACTTTTCTATTGAGAAATCTATCTGGAGAAAGGAAAACCTTTCTCCAGATAGATTTCTCGATGAAATTGCGCAACTTCTTTATCCGGATTCTTGATTTAAAAGAGATTGTAGAAAAAAAATTTTGATACAAATGAAACCCTAGAATCTCTATGAAATCTAGAATTGATTAAAAACTTCCATTCTTTTATTTTTCACTAATAATTTTGCATAAAATCAGTTCTTGACTTAAAAAGTTGAAATTTCATTTACCATATTCTCTCTAGTACCTTTTTTTATGGCTTAGTTCTTTCGGAAGCAAAAAAAGTCGATTTAAGGTGTCTAGCTCACTTTGAGTTAGCTACTAGCTCACCAGAAAGCGTGTGTTCTGTTTGAGTACATAGTACGTGATCAGCTATTGTAATACCGTATTCTCTCTAATAGTAGTGCACACTCAAGGGTCGCCTAAATTCCTCGAAATCTCGAGAACCGCTTATCAGAACCTATTGATGTGGGGTCGGAAAATGTAGCTGACAATGAGATCTAGTGGGGGATTTGAGTGTTGAGCTTCTGTGAAAACTTGGAAACTATAAAATAGTCATCAACTCGGCTCAGCGGGGTGCATTACTATTAGAGAAAATACGGGAAATTGCTGACTATTCTTTGTCCTCGCTTTACTCTCACCTTTCATTTTTGTGCTCTTCTCGTTCAAGCTACTGCGAAAACTTGGAAATTGTAAAATAGGCATCAACTCGGCTCGGTGGGGTGCATTACTATTAGAGGGAATACGATATTTGAATTCTGCAAGTACGCGAAATACCCATGGAAAAGATGATTATGGAGAAAGCGAGGAAATTGAATAGAAATCTATTTCATATGTCATTTTTGTCTAACGTTATCTTATGAAATCGTTGAGCTTTAATCTCTGCTCTAATTCTAGCCTTGTCTTTTCAATTTTGCTTGACTTAAGCCGGAAAATTTATCGTTTTAAATCACTCCCTTTTCCGCTTAATTGTAGAAGAGTGAGTTGAACAAGGGGGAGCAAATTCAGTCTACAATCTTTGTCATCGAATAGATCTATTGAATGTTTTTTTAAATCACTCCCTTTTCCACTCAATTGTAGGAGAATCAGTGGAACAAGGGTGAGCAAATTTAGTCTACAATCATTGTCATCGAATAGATCTATTGAATGTTTCCTCTTTCCCCATATAAGCTGTTCATTTTCGACTGAATCAGTTGTGCAAATAGTGAAAATGAAATGGGAAATATATCTTTTCTTTTTGATGGTCAATTTTTCAATCCAAAAATCCAACAGGGCAACCTTAAGCCCCAGATTTTCAGATTTTAAGAAACTTAAACATTAAATTCAGCGTTTTTAAACTTTAACTTCTTGATTTCCTTTAGAAAACAAAGAAAAAACTCGTTTTGAAATTCGATTTTCAGTCTAAAAATTCTCTTTCATCGTTGAATAGTCACTTCGAAACAAAAACAAAATGCAAAGCATATTGATTTGTCTTTTTTTTAAGCTATTTGATATATTTTTTTTGCTTTATATAGAAATCAGAACTTTATTATTCACTTATTTTCAAAATTTATTTATATTATGGCTTTAGAAATTCCAAGAATTGTATAGAACTGTGTCAAAATCGTGTCAAATTTTTGCTGATCCTCTCCACAGTCTCATGATAGACGGAACGAAAAAGAGGTTAGTGAATAGTCTAGAAAAGTCTAGGAGAGTTGAATCATCAAATCAAATCATCAATCAAAAATCACAATGAATTCTTCTGTAACAACCTACAGTCAACTCTCATAATCTAAAATGTTAGAATAACTACTCGATTTTAACATGAAGCTAAGGTGAATCGTCCCTTGTTGCCCTTTATTGTCCTTGCTTTACATTTGTCCTTTCCATCAAGTTTATTCCCACTAAAATTTTTGGTACTATCACAGATTTGATTTGGCAATTTGGACAACTCAATGATTAGCACAGAATAGAGCTGAGAATAGAGTATAGAATAGAGCACAGAATAGAGCACAGAATAGAGCACAGAATAGAGCTGAGAATTTCTTAGCCATTAATCAAATAACTTTCGATATTACGATACTTGTTAAAAGGTTAGAAAGTCAAATAAAGTCGATTAAATCGATTGAGCTTTCAAGAGAGTTGCTGAAAAGGCTCGTTCATCGAATGACTAAACTCGACTAACATCGAATGATATTATCATACTTGTATGAGGCGTAGAAAGTGAAGTAAAGTCGATTAAAACAATTGAGCTTCCAAGAGGGTTGCTGAAAAGGCTCGTTCATCGAATGACTAAACTGGATAGTACCAAATCAATTTACGTGCTTAGCCATAAACTTGCTTTAGCACTTGTAAGCTTGTTAACTTGTAAACTTGTAAACTTGTAAACTTCTAAACTTGTAAACTTGTAAACCAAAAGTTTTAAGGTATGCGGCTTTTGTGGGCGGTGCCACTTCGGTGATCTTGGTGATGTGCATCTATTCAGCTGATCTCAGCTCACTCTCAAATTTCAGGTACTAGAGAAGGTTTAAATACTTTGTAATCAAAATATCCTCTTTTTCCGTGGTCTTTTGTCAAAAAAAAGTAATTTTCGTGTTTTTTTCCTTTGTCATATTGTCATTTTGGGTTTATTTTCGCAATGCGAACGGTTTATTCTTACAATATTTGTTAAGTAAGAAAGTCAAAGGATAAGCTGCTTTCTGCTACTCACAAATGTTGAAAGAGTTGTTCTTTCTCGTAGCTCTTCGAAGCTTTTTCAAGCTTTTTCAACAATTTGTTGGATAATTGGATAAGTTGGAATTAAGTGGCAGAATCCCATGGCAATGAGAAAGGTCATTCTCGAATTTATTCAATAAGTTTAACAATTGCAGACTACGAGGCCAAAAATCCAGTTAAAGTTCATGTAAAGCATTTGTTGAATGCATCTGTTGAATGCATCACAAGCATCTGTTGAATGCTTTTCTGCATTCTGCCACAATGTTGAATAGAATTAAGATATTGAATATTCCGATGAATAAGAAATATTGCTAAGAAAAAAAACATGAAAGTGACTTTTTTTGGCAAAAGATTCAGGAAAAGAGTGATTCTTTGGCAAAATATTTTTCAAAATAACAAGTTCTAGTGTAATTCAATGTCCCCAAGTTCAACAACTCTCCTCAAGCGAGGTCAAAGAAGCGGCCATTGATGCTGAGAAACGAGAGAAACTATACCCGAACACGAAAATTTTTGCTTTCATTCACACATTTCCTGCAAGTCACCAAACAAGAGCGAAAGCTGTCGAAGTTTTTTTTTAGCATAGAAATCTATCAGAAAATAATTCTAGATGACATGGGCAACTCGTCTTGATGACTACGTCTTTCTCAACAATAGAAGATGATAAGAATTTGACGAAAAAGTAGGTTCTCCGCTTTCAGGGAATTTGGCTTATAGAAGAGATCTTAATAGGATTAGGAATGATAGGATCTTGAGATATCAGACACCGCCCCTTGTCATTGGTGACTTTAAGCGAAATATCTTGGTGTTGGGCTGTTCAATTCAAATGTTCTTGAGATTATTAGATGCGACAAGTCTTTCTCTGTCGATTGGTCAAAAACAATATCTAAGATGTCTCAGAGCCCGGACGCTTGGCTTATAGAAGAGACATCTTAATAGGATTAGGATATTGAATAAGATTCTTGAGATTATCGGACATCCACCCCTTTTGTCATTGGTGACTTTAAGCTGAAATATCTTAGTGTTGGGCTGTTAAATTCAAATATTCTTGAAATTATTAGATGCGAAAAGTCTTTCTCTGTCGATTGGTACAAAAAACTATTTAAATTGAACAGCCGAACACCAAGAAATTTGAGCTCAAAGTTGAATTGCCAATGGCGAAGGGACGGGGCGGGTCTTAAATGTTCCACGATCGATAGAAGATAGAATTTTAAGACTTATACCGTCTTACCGATTCGATTACCGTCTTTTTCTATAAAATTTCTTTCTTGAAGTGTTCAGTTGCTTTGAATTCAGATGGGTAATCAGTTTCGAGTCACCGGGTCAAGCGAAGACTCAACGAGGTTGGTTGTGGGATCGAGTGAAAGCCGCTTTTCGAAGGACATATAAAGAAAAAGGGGTAAAAGTTTGTGAAAATTGAGATGAACTGCTATATCTATAAATATCTATTGCTTAAATCAATGAACCGATCGAATTTTAGACAAAATTCGATTGGTTTATGAAAGCCGACGATGATTGTTACTATGTGATGGAGAATATTCGAGAGGTGAGTCTAGAAATGAAATAGAACTGACTAGACTAGATAGACAACAAGATAATAGAGTTTCTAGATTAGATTCTAGATTAGATTCTGGATTAGATTCTAGACTAGATTCTAGATTAGATTCTGGATTAGATTCGGGATTAGATTCTAGATTAGATTCTAGATGATCAATATCTTGCAGAAGAAGATTTTTAGGTTCTCTTCCAAGTACAATCCGGATGAACCGTGGTATTTGGGTGAACTGGTTTCAGTGGGTGGTGATGGGTATCCGAGTGGTGGCACGGGATATATTCTGTCGAGAGCTGCTTTGAAAAAGTTTGTCAATTAAAAGTGCATTATAGCTGTATTCTATAGCTAAACCTTTTGGAAAAAAGTGTATTCTACACTTTTTTCCAATAGATTTCAATTGAAGATTCTAGGTTTGTGACAGCTCTCGACGCACCGGATACAAAATGCCGAAAGGAGTCCGGTGAGTGATCTCAAAGATAAGCTGATTGTAGAAAATGTTTGGAAAAACATATGGCAAAGATATAACAAACATATAACTAACATCTAACTAACAAATTAACATATTTATAGTACTCAGTAAATTAGATTTGTAATCTTTTAGATGAAATGGAAGACATTCATATGGGAGCTTGTTTCCGATACGCGAATATTAGCATCATTCCCACCGTCGACAAAGAAGGACGACATTCGTGAGTACAGAGAATATTGACAAGATTGTTATATCAATGATATCATTGCAATATATTCCCTTTGTTTAAATTCAAACTAGAGAATGTTGTCAAGTCAAGATCGTCGTCAAGTCAAGAGTTTTCACATGAACCCATTTGATAGTTTTCATCACTTTTAATTTGCTTTTAGTTTTCTGGAATATTTCTGGAATATTTGGCATATTTGGCATGACTATTTGGCTATGAAAAATTCTTTGTTTTCTAATTTTATACCGTTATGAAACTGTTCATCGAGTTTACAGACTTCAAACAATTGTTTGTAGACTGTCTGTAGTCTGTAGACTGTCTGTAGTCTGTAGACTGTCTGTAGTCTGTAGACTGTCTGTAGTCTGTAGACTGTCTGTAGTCTGTAGACTGTCTGTAGTCTGTAGACTGTCTGTAGTCTGTAGACTGTCTGTAGTCTGTAGACTGTCTGTAGTTAATTCATTAGTCTAGTAAACTGATTTGAAACCCTAAAAAATAATTTTAGTAACTAAACATAAAAGAAAAAAAGAGTTAATTCGAACGAGAGACTTCGAAAGTTTGGCTTCGAAAGTTTCGAACGCAGCCAGACTAACCATTAAGCCATTAGAACATTTGAGAAATGATGAGAAAACTTTTAAACCAACCAAAAAAGTCATTGTATTGTATGCCATAAAGGTCATAAAGGCTGCCAAATATCTCATGTTACAGAAGTGCTCCAGAAAAACTAAAAGCAGATTCAGAATCCCCGATGAAAACTCTATTAGATGGACTAAGGCTCGATCTTCACTTGACAACCATTGCCTAGTGGGAACTCGATCTTGACTTGACAACATTCCCTATGATATTTCCTATTTTCTATTTCCTATTTCCCATTCCAGCTTGATTCCGATCAATTTGAAAGATCTGGTGCCAGATGTCGGTGAAAGAAGCAATTTCAATAAATGGTACACAGGATTTGCGAAGATCAAAGTCTCATCAGTGGGTTTAAAAAGCAAAAATTATCAAAAATCATTAACGATCAATGGTATTTCGAATCTTTAATTGTTCGTGCTATTTCAGGGAAAAGAATGCTGTGGTCCAAAACTGATGGCCGTTCATTATGTCAGTTATCAAGATATGTTCGTCTATGATTATTTGCTCTATCGGGTGAAGGTGGGTTTGAGTTTTTTTTGTCGAGTTTTTGCGTTATCTTATGTCATGGTAATCGGTGAAGTAATCTTGATTCTTTTTAAACGAAAAATTCTGATTCCAGATTGCCGGTATCGATCCTTGAGCCATTCTTGTCCATCTCCAACTCTCTTTTATCTCAAATGTCGTGCCGTTGTCGAAATCGGGTGCCTAACTCTAGGCAACAAAAGAAAATCTATGTATGCATGAATTTTTATGCTTATTGCTAATTTTTATGCTTATAAGCTAATCTTTTTATTGGCTAAGCTTTTCCTGGGATGGAAATGAAGGCCTTTTCCTTTTCCTGGGATGGAAATGAAAGCCTTTTCCTTTTCCTGGGATGGAAATGAAGCCTTTTCCTTTTCCTGGGATGGAAATGAAGGCCTTTTCCTTTTCCTGGGATGGAAATGAAAGCCTTTTCCTTTTACTGACCAAATCAACTCAAGTACATTTAACAAATTCACGACAAAGTCTTAGCTGCCGCTTCTGGATTTTTGGGTTGCTTGCACTTGGGTAATTAATTAATTAAAGAATTAAAGAATCTAAACTCAATGAAATCTTCAAAAACAAAGCTCTTTTCTGGAAAAAACTAATAATGGCTTCAAATTCCTTGACCCTGAAACCCCCTGGTGCAAATTTTTAGTCAAATTAGCCTCTCCTTAGCCTCTCCTCAGCTTCTCTAAATTCATCAGTGGTCGCGAATGTGTGTTAGAATGGATTTTTGATTGTCTTTTCCATTTCTTATCTTATTCATAGTTTAAGTAAAGTCTTTTAATTAGTCTATAGCTATTATTGACTTTAATATATTTAATATAATAATAAAAATGAGCACACTTCTTTGACAGATTGCTTAAGCTGACCTTTTCATAAGAGGTCAATTCCATTAATAAAACAATCTTTATGTATTGGGAATGTACAGTTGAGTTCAGTTCATAGAAAAGAGAAAAGAGAAAAAGAGATTGTACCTTGGTGTGCTGTGGAGGCATTTCATGTGCATCCATTCATTCAAGAGGGGTTCACAGACTCATAGACAGGTTTTAACCTCTCAAGAGAAAGAGTAAGAGAGAAAGAAAGAGATAGAGAGAGAGAAAGAAAGAGAGAGAAAGAAAGAGAGAGAAAGAAAGAAAAGAAAGAGAGCCTAAAGGAGGATGACCTGTTTGTATCAAAGAAAAGAGGAGGCAAATTTTCAGCGTCAATTTTCTTTTCATTTCAATAGCTACATAGCCTTCAGTCTCATTCTCATAATTTCATGCATTCTGGCCTTGATGTTTTTTCTTTTTACTTTAATGTATTCGATACTGGTTTCTGTTAAGATTTTGGCATTTCTTGTGTTCTTCTTTGAATAGCCGTCTTTCAGGAAAGAATACCCAGCTTTCGGGATAAGATTTAAAGTTGAAATCTGAAGTTCAAAACTTACTCTAGAACTTTTGCAGCTAAGAAATTGATAGATAATGATAGATAATGATAGATAATGATAGATAAAAGCAATCAATCAATAGAATATTAAAATTAAAAGACATAAATGCCATAAATCTTTTATTCTCAAAAGATAACCTTCAAAAAGCGAGTCCTTTAACCAGCTTCCCAAAAATTTGCCTTTCCCATGGCGGTTTTCACTTTTTTTTTTGTTTCATTTGTAGATGCCATCAAGAATTATATGTTTCTCTCAATTTACAATGAATAATTGAATTGGATTGGATTGGATTGAATTGGATTGGATTGGATTGAAGAATTGAATTGAATTGGATTGAATTGAATTGAAGAATTGAATTGAGTTGAATTGAATGAATTTGAGTATGCTTTGTATTCAATCGTATTTATTTCGACAATATCCGATCTAGTTCTGATCTAGATGTAGATGCCATCAAGAATTATATCAAGAATTTCTAGATGCCATCAAGAATTATATGTTTCTCTCAATTTACAATGAATAATTGAATTGAATGAATTTGAGTATGCTTTGTATTCAATCGTATTTATTTCGACAATATCCGATCTAGTTCTAGTTCTAGTTCTAGATCTAGATCTAGATCTAGTTTTGACATAAACAACAAAATAAAATAAATCAAAATTACCAAAATGCCAAAGATCAATTCGGATATTGTCAAAATGTTGATAGTTTTATCTTATTTTATTCTGTGACGGGTCATTCTTCTGTTTTTTCTTCGGTATTCCATATGATTTTTTTTTTCTTAATGCGTATAAAAGTTGAGAATTTATTACGAGAATTTGTCCAACTCTGAAGCAAGACAAAAATCGAATTGTTTTTGTTAGCCAAGGGAAAGATTCACATCAAATTAAGCTCTTTTCAAAGAATTAAGCTGGCTTTTTAAATCTTTTGATACCTTAAAAGCTTTGTTGATATTTTAAAAGCTTTTTTGGTACTTTAAAAGCTTTTTTTGGTATTTTAAAAGCTTTATTGACATTTTAAAAGCTTCTTTGACCCTTTAAAAGTATCGCTTTTACAAAGCCAATCTCATTTATGCAAATTAGATTCCAAAAAAACGATTTGACACAATAGTTTATTCCTTTCCTGAGTCTAAATCTCCAAAAGCAGATCAAAACCGGAATTTTCTTATAAGACGTTTCTTAAGAAAAGAAAAAAGGGGATATTTGTGTGAATCAATTGATACATTTGATAGAGATTTGGTGACTTTAAAAGCATTTCCCATGGATCACAAAATTTCCTCTGTTGGTGATCGGGTCAAAATTTGCATCGTTTTCTTTTTTGATCTTTCTACTTTGATCTGATTTAGATGTACCGTAAATACTGTAATAGTACCCCACCCCAATAATGACGGTGCGGAGTGTTGCGTAGTCTAGCTTTGAACGAGTTTTTCTCGACACTGGTTTATGCTACAATGCGCGTTTAGGTATCAAAAAAATAGCTGAAATTCAGGGTTATTTTTGATACCAAAGACACATTTTTTGAAAGTACGGGCGATTTGAAAAAAAATGAAATACTAAAAAACTTTTGCGACTACGCGACTGTACGAGGGGCGGTGGGGTACTATTGCAGTATTTACGGTAAGTTTTATTGTTAAGGATTATACAATGATTTAGCATTATACAATGAATGCATTATAGCTTTTAGCTCTACTTTCAGCTCTGACAAACGAACATTTCCTGGCACACTGAATCTCTTGTTTTAAAAAAGCGTTAAGCGCATCGAAAAATGGTAAATAGGCCTTCTATTGCAAATAGGCTAGAGAGTGCACGTTTATGAGAGCATAAAGTACATGTCCTGGATTTTGCTTTTTTCAATGAAAGCTACTTTTCTTACGTAAGGAGAGGTATTTTACTTGAAACTTGTGAAATTTAGTGCGCCAGAAAGGATGCGTTTATAAGCGCAAAGAAAATTAGACGATTCTCAGCTAAATCTCTTCTCTATTCCTCATTTAGTGATCATAAAACTCAACTTTTTTTTTCATCTTTTAGTTCTTTACTTTACTTTTTTTCAATTTTTGCATTTTTTAGCAATTCAAATGGAAAGCTCTTGTTACGAGTATGAATCGAGTGTGAAAAAGAGAAAAATTAGCGAAAGAGTGCCGAGAAACGCCGATGGACTCTATCAACCATATTATAAAGATGGAAAGAAAATCACAGAGATTGCCAGGTGAAACTTTGCTTTCATAGATTTCAATATCCTTAACCAAAAACTCTAATCGAGTCTTAACCTAAAAAGAATTTTATTCTAAAACTCTCGATCTAAAGATCCTCGATTTCCTTTTGCTCCAATCAATTCTCTTTAGCTCAAACGATCACTCAAGCTTTTTCTCATCTTTTACAGAAATCTCTAGTTAGAGTTTGATTAATTAGTTAATTAATTAGTTTAAGATTAATTATTTAATTGACTAAAGTTAGACGATTCAGATTTGAATCGATTAATCGTTAAAAAATAGTTAAAGAATAGTTAAAAAGCGGTTAAAGAATAGTTAAAGAGCGGTTAAAGAATAATTAAAGATTACAGCCAATTCTTTTGAGCATAAATAACATTTAACAAATGACTGATCGTTTTCAGTGAATTTACTCATAAATTGCCATAGTAAAGACGGTAAAATAAGCTTTTTTTGACATCAACAAGTCTTTAAAAAACAGCAAATCATTTAAAAACTTCTTTAATCAAAAGTATTACCGTATTCATATATTTTTCTTAATTTTCGTTTAATAAAACGCATAATTTCTATCGGTATATTCTAAAATTTAAGAAAAAACGGCTAACGGAAAAGAAGAATCACTATTTTTTTTTTGTAATGAAACAGCGCAAAATGCAAAAATGTTTCTTGTTAAAAATTTGCATATTAAATTGCCTGTTTGCCTGTTTTACCTGTTTTCCAGAGAGTTTTCTCATTTAGCTGCCATAAAAATTCCTTTAAACCAGTCTTTCTAATCATTGTTTTTTCTCCAATTTTTCACGTTTCACAACTGATCTGAATGTGAGATTCATCGAAAGGATTTACAGTCCACAAATCCTTTCTCCTTTTCTTTTCTCCTTCTTTTCTCCTTCTTTTCTTTTCCTTTCCTATGTGTACATCCAGATCACTATATTTGTGTTCTCTGAGAAAACACGTTCACAAGTCAAAGCAAATCAAAGCATGTCTTTGAGTCTTTGAAGTGTTAAAAGAGAAGAAATTCAATCGAAACATTTACTGGGGAAATCGATTAGCACAGCAGGAAAAATCATAAACCACTTTTGGATAGTAATCAAAGATTAAAAACATTTCAAAGAAATATTGCTCGCGTGCTTGGTACTCTTCACTCTTCACACGTTATTTCTTGCCTCGAGATATCTGATCTCACTTGAACTAAAAACACTTTATTCAATAGCCGCCTGACTCGGAATCTTTGGGCTCTCACTTGAGCAATTTTCACACAAGATCGACAATTGAATTAAAAGCGACGATAAAAAAACAGAAACAATTTCGTCCTAATTAGGACACAACTTTCACACAATGAGAGGAAAGCAGAAAGAAAATGAAAGATAACAAAACAAAATGAACAACAGTTACCTTATATAGGCTTTAACACAAGATACTCAGCTAACAAGCTCCAAAACAATAAATGATTTGGGGCGCGAAATAGAATGAAGGCGCACCGATTTCCTCAATATTTTTCCAATTTTTAGGCTGCCTGAGTTAGGTAACTTTTTAGTTTAGTAATTAGCTAAAAATTCGCCACAACTATACTATTTGCAAGTTAATTAGAATTTTGATACAAGGATTCTAATCAACTTCTAGCTAGGCTATCTAGGAATCGAATGGGAACCAAATCAGGCCATCACTCACTCCTAGAGGATCAATGATAAACGGTAAACGGCGGCTACCCTGGCGGCCACCCTGACCCAAACTGCTTTAACTATTTGATACTAAAAGCTGTATTCGCAGGTCAAGTTTGGTGGCTATTCGCCACACCATTTCTCAAGCTTTAACTCATCAAATTTTGATCTTAATTTGACTTTGAAATCTAATGCAACTCTTTCACAATTTCGCAATCTTTTCTTATTCTTCAATATCGAAATCTAATGAAAAAAAGTTCAGTGAACTTTTGAATGGCTTCAGCGGAACATCGAGATAAGCATCAAAAAAGTTTTTCCTCTTCCTCGAGACACTTCAACATCTTTCTTTTCTCTTTTTCAAGAACTTGACCTCCCGGAAAAGCTGTTGCAATTCCCCGACGGTCATTTTTTTGAGAGAGACTTTGGTTAATTGAGTTAAATGAATTGGCTGACCTTTACGAATTTTTGCATAGATTACCTTCTAAATTACAAAATCTCTAGGCTTTAAAGACTCTAGAATCCGAATCCGGCCTTAAATTTAAGCCAACAAACTCCATAAAGTTTATTTTCACAGTTTTAATTATTTGTTATTTTATTTTATACGCTAATTTCTGGTAGTTAACTTTCTCGATAAATGTATGCTATTGGGTTGGTGAATTGAAAACTGCCGGCTATTGTGTGAGACAAGTGTGAGACTCAAAAATGGAGGACTGGAGATGTCCCAGTTTGAGCATTTGAGCATTTGAGCACTTTCTTCAAAAGAAACCCATTTTGGTGTCAATGGAAAAGCTGTAGAGAATCGAAAATCAAGCTTATATCCAAATTTTCAGAACGATTCAAAAACTAGTTTTCAAGAAATGCCAAATTTACGAATTTTCACAAAACTTGCATTTTAAGCGAAACTACTAAGTGTATCTTTTTGGAAATTTGGCTATAAACCTCATTTTTGATTCTCTACAACTTTTCCATTGACACCAAAATGGGTTTCTTTTGAAGAAAGTGCTCAAATGCTCAATTGCTCAAACTGGGACATCTCCAGTCCTCCATTTTTGAGTCTCACACTTATCTCACACACAAACCAAAATCCTAATAGAATCCAAAATCCGAAAGAGGAATCCACAAATTGCCTGTAAAATGGGCAGAAGTCAGAAATAACAATGGAAATTATTTGGAATGAATTCATGGTTTTATGTTGAATAAATTTTAGTTCAAAGTCCGGCAGTTTTCAATTCACCAACCCAATAGTTTCCGAGTTTTTTAGTTTAAAAAAAGTTTAGCCAAATTAAACCCGTGTTCCAATTGGTAGATTCAATAATTCTCCCAAAATTCTGCTGTAAATTTGCTAGTAATTTTGCTAGAAATTCTAGATCCTGTCTACACCATTGTGTTAAACAGCAGCGATATATGTTCGTGGGTCAGAATTTTCTCTTGAATTGTTTTGAGTCTTCAAAAATTATTGGTCACCTTAGAAAAAAGCGTTTTTTGAAGCCGGTTTAATTACCCAAGTTTCGATCCCATATCCAGGGCAGTGCCGTTTTTCTTACAGGCGACACGAAAAGAGCGCACAAAATTTCCTTTACAAAACGCTTTTTTTTAGAAAATTCCAAAACAATCATCTTTCAAAATTTCTTTGAGTTCTAACACTTGATATTTGTAGCTACTCCATTAAAGTATCCGAAACTGTTAGAAAGGATTTTTTACAAAGCGTTCTCGCTCCGGGGGAGTCGACAACAACCCCCTATTGGAGCCTCAGATTGGCCTCGTGCGCCTTAGACCTTGGAAGCCGAGGTAACACCCGTTTTTTCCACTTTTTACAAAAAATCACACAACTTCCTAATAAAATTAACGTCGGATTCGGAAAGAGGACCCAAAATTGCATGCTCTTGCAAATTTTGAGCTCATTTGATCCGGCCATTCACGAGAAACAGCCGTGACTCAGCATTGAGTCATGTGGTCCGAACGGGCTTAGGCTTAGGGCTTAGGCTTAGGCTAAGGCTTAGGCTTAGGCTTAGGCTTAGGCTTAGGCCTAGACTCAACATTGAGTCACGTGGTCGTCGATGTGTTAACCCGATTGTTCCAGATTTAATCCAGCCGAGGTGTTCTTCGCGGGTTTTATCCCTCCGGTTATTGGTTCTGTCTCAGCAATCGCCATCGCTCTCATCTTCCACAACGATGAAATCTCGAATTATAATTGGCAATGCGGAGTGGGTTTGAAGAAACAACACATCAAGTTATCTCAAAAAAGTGCTTTATCTGGGAATAAACTTTGACTTGTATAGCAGAAATTTTCATAGAATTTCCCCAAAGATACTCACAATTAAACTAAGAGATATTCGACTAAGAGATATTCAGCTAAGAAATAAACAAGAATTTCAGCGCGCCCGCCTGCCGTCCCTTTCTCGAATCATCAATCTACCCGTTGAGCGAACATTTTGGCAACTTTTTCTTTTATTCCACGTTCCCCTTCGTGTCATCGAATTGATTACAGGATGTGGGTTGAGCTTGAAGAATTCTAACTCAGTAATTCTAATTCAGTTAATCGTTACAAGAAGCTGCGAAATATTCACTACAAGAGAGTCTGGTTTTACGAATTTATGAGACACGTTTATCTGTATGGAGGGCTGTTGGAGTTGTTGTTTTTAGCTGGATTGTCGATTATCGGAGAAAGAGAGAATATCAGTAAGTGGAGGGTGACAGGTAGTTTTGGAATTAAGCGATTTGGTTTGATGAGTTGAAAAACATTTTAGTCAAAAGGTCGACTCAAATTTTGAAATTTTAAGAATTTCAGTCTTAAAATTAAAATAATATAATAATAATAATAATAATTAAAATAAAAATCCTTTCAGGAATGCACGTGATTTTCTTCTATGTTTTCGGCATTTGTGGGATCGTTTTCATGATAGCGAATATCTTATGCCACAGTCATTCACTCTACTATTTCAATCCATACGTGAGTTGGCTTCACGGCGCTTCAGTTGGCTTCAACACTTTAACAGTAACATAAGATTCGACCACTTGTTACTAAAGGTTGATGAATATGGAATACATGGACGTATTTCTTTCCCGATCTGGGAAAGAAAGGCAGAACTTAGACGCGAAATCCTGTTCGTTCTAGATTTCTAACTTTCAGTCTAACAACCCGAGCCCTTTTTCTTCTCTTTCAAGCTTAACTTTCACAAAAACAAATCGGTCAGCTCTTATCGGACAAGAGTAATCATTTAGTTGAGATTGATAGGTGTAGTTTGGCCTATCCTCATAAAAAATCTCTCGATCACCCCGATTTGGGAAAGAAAAGCATAGACAGGGATCGAACCAGTGATCTCTCGATTGACAATCAGTGCAGCTAGCCACTTGACCATCGAGGTGCTTGGTTGGAGGAAGAAAAGGGATGCTTTTGATGGGCTAGCCCTGAAGTGTACTTTGTGTTCACCTGTAAACGCAGCCCTTCCGGCGAACTGGAAGCTTCACTTTTTTCGGGATATCAGGGGAAATTTTTGAGATTTTCGTTTTTTTGCGGGATTTTGCGTTTTTCAGTTTAACAGCTCCTCGAGGCTACCCCAATGAATTTCCTATGAAGAAATTGTTTTTGATTGTTGTCTAATCTAATTTTGATCTAATTGTTTTTGAAAAATCTCAGGCTACAAAACTATCAAAACTACATTAATCGACATAGCTGAATAGCTGAATCTCTTGATTTGCAGGGCCGTCTCTCCTACCGTTTGAAGATCTTCTTCTGCTCTCTTTATGTCCTCTCCGTACCTGTCCTTTTCGCTTCTTTCGTTCTCTACTGGAAATTTTGTATCACATGGGGTTTGCCTATTTACATAGCTGAATATCTTTCAATTACATAGCTGAATATCTTTGAATTAGATAGCTGAATATCTTTCAGTTACATAGCTGAATATCTTTCAGTTACCTAGCTGAATATCTTTCAATTAGATAACTGAATATCTTTCAATTACATAGCTAAATACCTTTCAATTCCATAGCTGAATATCTCTCAATTACATAGCTGAATATCTTTCAATTACATAGCTGAATATCTTTCAATTACAGCCTACGACATCTTTGCGATTTGCGAGTATTCAGGCGTTTTTCTGAACATTTTATATCATGGATGCGCTTTCTTTGACATTCGACACAAGGTTTTTTCTTCAAGTGAAAAGCACTTTTAAATGACAGAAATTTCTAGGTGACATTCACCGTTCGAGTTGTTGAAAGAGTGAAGCGTTCCGACGATTCTCTATCAACCATTTATTCGAATCAAATGGAGACTTATTTTGATCGGAATGACGAGAAGAAAAAGGATGAACGGGGATAAAATAAAATGAAGAAATGCTTTCACATTCTGTTTCAAGCGTAATATTTCATTAGTTTGTTTTTTTTGAAGGTGCGATAAGTTTTCAACTTAACTTCAACAACTTTCAACTTTACAGCTATCAGTGTAGGCACAATGTGAAGAGCTAAAGTATAAATGATTTTAAGTAGCGAACCGTACAACTAGGAGTACTTACTGTAACCGTGAGTACAGTATTTTACTAATGTCCAGACAAGGCGGGTTCGACCCCTCTTATTGCCACTCATGGCTATTCGATTTTTTTCTCTTAAATGACACAATTAAATTATATTTTAAGCCTTTTTGAATATAAACATAGAGAAAACTTATCGCATTTTTTATTATTTATATATTTATGCATATCTTTATTTCATTAACATATCATTTACATGACTTTTTAGAAATTGTTTAGTTTTTTTTTTCATTTTTTGTGTGTGCTTGTCAAGTGCTTGTCTTTACGGAATCTCAGAGTGCCTTCGAAAAAGGAAAAATTTTGTGTGGCGAGTAAATAGTTTATATAGAAATTAGTAAATACCATTTAAATACCAAAATAACATTTATCGACTAAACCAAAAATCAAATAATAAATGGAAAAATGAGATCTTTTCGGAAAAAAAAGTAAAAGAAAAAAAGTAAAATCGATTGAAGGAAAAAAACGTTACCAAAGGCATCAATGGGGACTTTAGATTACTTTTCTTTAAAGTTTAAACTTTAAAATTTAGCTAAAAGGAAAGATATTCAGCTAAGAATACTATTCTAAATTGTAAATCGTTGAAAATTTGAGCCTTTCCAGACATAAAAAAATGTAGATTTCTAGGTTTTTGGGGTTCAAAGATATGCAAAAGTGCCCGCTATGCAAATTTCCGATTCAAAAGATAATAGATGTTGAAATTTTTAAGAAAATTGAACAGCTATTAATATTATTAGATTATAAGTATGTACAAAAATGTATTAATTGATAATTTGACAGAAAATTTGAAGAAAACAATTGAAGAAAACAAAACTCCGTTTCCCTATGTAAAGCCATAGTGAGAACTGAGTACTTTGTGCCCTCAGAAAAGCGAGCTCTTTGATACACTGAATTCTCCGGTTTTCCAGAAAAACCCAAAAGATCTTTGCTTTGTAATTGTGTTTGCTAGAGAGCTCGCGTTTGTGAGAGCATAAAGTACGAGTCGAATTTGGGATTCTGACATGTTAAAGGTGACTAAAACCCTCGAAAAACCATAAAGTTAACACAAAAATAAGAAAATAACATTCTTAGATAGTAAATATTCTTAGTTTTTTACCAGACTCTGCATTTTTTGGACGGATTGAGTGGGGAATTGGCTGGGCAATCGTACGCTTTCGAGAACTCTTCAAGGTTTGACAAAACCTGAAAAAGATAGATAATTATCTGGAAATCTAAATCTTTAGAAAGCTATACTACTACTATAGTATTATATTCTAGGCAAATTTGAAAACAAATACAAAATTGTACAAACCCCGATGACTCGGAAAAGCTCAGGCGAGTGCTCATCGGTGAGCACTTGTTGAATGGCGGCCGCGTCTTTCTTGTGACCACACCAGAACTGAAATTTGAATATTTAGATACAAAATATAGGTACCGTAAATACTGTATTAGTACCCCACCCCCCTCGTACAGTCGCGTAGTCGCAAAAGTTTTTAGTATTTCATTTTTTTTCAAAGCGCCCGTACTTTCAAAAAATGCGTCTTTGGTATCAAAAAATAGCTGAAATTCAGGGCTATTTTTTGATACCTAAACGCGCATTGTAGCATAAACCAGTGTCGAGAAAAACTCGTTCAAAGCTAGACTACGCAACACTTCGCACCGTCATTATGGGGGTGGGGTACTATTACAGTATTTACGGTATCTAATGTCCAGATTTCAAATATTAAACAATTAATCGAATCTCTAGATCTAAAATATTGAACATTTAATAGAATCAATCAGAAAAAAGCTCACATGGGCATATGAAAGGAAGAAGATTTGCTCATTCGTGTACTCTTGCAGACCGGGCAGTCGATCTTCGGGCCCATTCGATTTGATGTATTTTTGATAGGCCTAAAGGTTAAAAATTTGTTTTATTCAGGTTTTAAAATATAAATTCCAACTATTTATTTGTAAATTGATTACCCGAAAAGCCTCTTTGACTCCTCCATTGTCAGCAATATTCTCGCCTTGAGTGAGCTTTCCGTTTACCTAAAAAATTGGCTTTTTAAGGTGAAAAAATGCATACAAAAGGGTCTATCTAGACTTTTAAATTCTCTGAATACCTTAAATTCATAGATATACTTTTAAAAAAGTGCTATGATAGATAAAAATATGCTTAAAAGCATAGTAAATCGTAGTTAATCATAGTTAATCATAGTTAAAATCATAGATTTACATAAAATCATACTTTATATACCTAGTCACACAGTTTTCATACATGAGACACGTGTTTTAAGATAAATTCTGTACAATTGCACAATACTTACCCTGAGAGAAGTGTGCGGAACCGCATAATTCCCATATTGCTCGACGATGCATGATTTTCGAGTGTTGAAGCCATTTAGAGAGTCCTCATTCCACCAATTTTGCAGATTTCCATCTTTATCGTATTGACTACCTAAATAAAATATTTATGAAAGATCAAGATCATCTCCAAACCTTGATCATCAAATCCGTGAGTGATCTCGTGTCCAATCACCGCCCCGATTGCTCCATAGTTGACCACTTTTGGGTACTCGCCAGAGAAGAATGGCGGTTGAAGGATGCCGGCGGGGAAAGCTGAATAGCTTTTGTAAAGTATTAGGTTGATGCATAAGTCTTTTTGTTCCTTTTCGTCTGCCGTTTCAAGCCAACAAATGCACCAATTAAACTACGGTTGATTTCATCAGAAAAACCAATTATTTTTCTGCAAAATAACATTAAAACGGGTTTAAAAATATTTTATGCCTGGATTTTCTTGAGAGTATGAAGTCGGGTAGTCAAAAAGGGCTAACTTGATGATGCGGTTTAGACACCTTAGCTAAAGAAAACCTATCTTCGTGTCAATAGATAAAAGATAGAGAAAAAAAAGTTTGATATTTCGCCAAAATTTCAGAGAAATTCATTCAGCCAATTTTTCCGTAGAGTTTTTTATAGATTTTTACGAAAAAGGCGTTTTTCACTCTCGAATTTGCTTGAAAGTGAACCGAAATTCATTTAAAAAGATGCAAATTGAACAAAAAAACACTTTTTTTATAGAGCAAACTATAGATTAATTGATGAATTTGTTACTTTTTAACAGAAGTACGAAAAAAACGAAAAGACTTATGCATCAACCTATTATTATAAACTAAACACATATTATTATAAGTACTATTATTTTATTATTCAATGGTTCAATTCAATGGTTTCATTTTGTAGATCTCAATAAGTGCAACAAAATGAAACCAAAATCATAAAGATTGTTTCACTTAGAAAAAAAGTTATGGCTAGTTGTGCAAAAAGCCCAGTTGCGCAAATGACCCTGTTGCGCAAATAAAATGGCGGAAATTAGCCTACCCCAAATATTATTCTTAAACTTTAAACCCACTGATCGCATTTTTCTCTGGCGAATAGAAAGCGTTCACGACAGCCGGCGAAACGTCGAATTCAGTCTTGTCAAAGGGTTTCTCGAGCTGAAAATTAAAAATTGAAAAGAGTAATTAGATAGTAAAGTGATTAGATAATTAGAATTAGTGATTAGATAATTATACTTATTACAAAGCTTAATAAAAATACCTTAAAGAACTCCTTTTCTTGCATCCACAAAACCGCTTTCTTCATCAGGGTGAAATACGTGTCTTGTGGGGCAAGGGTGAGCTAAAATTGAATATGATTACAGGAAAATGATGCAAATTAAATATTCTAATAAGTCTAAATTGATCACCGATCTCTCTACCAACCCTCTCATATTTTTCATCCAATTGCGTATTGTTGAGAATCTCCTCGGGATAACCGATATTGTTGATCATTTTGCCCGCCTAAAAAATGCACTTTTTTTATCAATTCAATAAAGTTTTCAAATAGAAAATCGAAAATAAAAGATTTTGAGATAATTTAGCCTATTTTGACAATGTTATTTCTCAATTTTGTTCATTAAATCTTCTCCCAAAAGCCTTACTTTCTCAATGGCGACTTCTTTCGTTGTCGCATCCATCCAATCATTCTCATGAACCAATTCGCCGAAAGATTGTCGAAGATTTTGGATCATTTCCTAAAAAAAAGCACTTAGTTTCAGCTAAAAACTTTCATTTTACACTTTTTTTGGTCAAATTCTCCGTACAGACCCTTGTTTTCCCAATCAAAACCTCAATGATCAAAGCGTTCCCTTTTTTTAATCACAACGAGTGTTTATATATTGGACACTTGCCTACTTTTTCGATTGATCTTTTTTTAAACAATGTCTAGTTTATCTATAATTTAAAAAAACCAACCATTGCTTGATATTTGTCACTCAATTGGAAGTGTTCTCTGGTGTAAATGGCACCGGCAGCAAGAGGAAGGAAGGTGGCTGGGACCTGTAATAATAAAATACATATATACAATCTGTAATAATAAAATACGTATATACAGTCTGTAATCATAAAATACGTACCGTAAATCCTGTAATAGTACCCCACCCCCATAATGACGGTGCGGAGCGTTGCGTAGTCTAGCTTTGAACGAGTTTTTCTCGACACTGGTTTATGCTACAATGCGCGTTTAGGTATCAAAAAATAGCCCTGAATTTCAGGGCTATTTTTTGATACCAAAGACGAATTTTTGAAAGTACGGGCGCTTTGAAAAAAATGAAATACTAAAAAACTTTTGCGACTACGCGACTGTACGAGGGGCGGTGGGGTACTATTACAGTATTTACGGTATATACAATCCGTAATAATAAAATACGTAAGGATAAGTCTATTTTCTAATCAATAAAAGCCGACATAAAAAAAACCTATTAAGCTGTTCAGAAAGTCTTTTAATTTCTTTTCGTATTTCCGTTTAAAATCAACAAATGCACCAATTGAACTACGGAAATTTTTCAACGGAAATATTCAACAGAAACGAAAAAACTTTCTGAACAAAAGACGAAAAGACTAATAGTTAATAGACTAAAGGATGTGTTTCTAATTTTTAAGGCCATAGAAAACCCAATGTGCCTCGTTTCTCCCCTTTTCCCTGACCTGTGTGCACTCTTTCCACCTCGGCGATCTCATTTGTTGTCCAGTGATCACTCTCATCAAATCCTGTTTAATATTCTCAAATCGCTCATCCAAGAATTTCATGGTCGATTGAGCCACTCGCCAAAGGGCATAGTTGCGGATTGTTCGCGCGTCGGATTGGGAAAGGAGTTCGGCTGCCTGTAAGGGTTTTATTTTTTTAGGTTGATCTTAATTTTGTTATTTAGATAGACTATATTTCAACCAACCAACCAAAGGTTTCAAACTCTAAACATTGTCCTATTCACTTACACGTGAGTTTAGCAACGAGCTCTCATCCAAATGATTTTTCCACTTTTATTTTTTCAAAACTTTCTCCAACTTACATGTTTCAAATATTCGATTTCCGTGACAATCACTTGAGTCTCATTCGTGAAATAGTCGGTCATATTTTCAGGAGCGATCGTCGTGAAGTATTTCAGCCAATCAATCTAAAATTTTTGAGGTAAGTTGTCCTCTATTCAATTCAGAGCTCAAATCTTTTTATCCAAAGTTTTTCAGGCATTTCTTTTAATGTTTCACGTCTATCTACTGAACATCAAAGTTTTTTGCCTTGAGTTCCTGCTACAGTATCCTTACAGTATCTCAAAATCCTACAGTAGTTCTACAGCAGTCTACATAACCACAGTATATCAACCGCTGCCCCCTAAGGCTAAGCTGTAGCCTAAGCCTAAGCTCTAAGCTCTAAGCCTAAGCTGTAGCTTAAGCCTAGGCCTAAGCTTTAGCCTAAGCTCTAAGCCTAAGCCTAAGCTCTAAGCCTAGGCCTAAGCTTTAGCCTAAGCTCTAAGCCTAAGCTCTAAGCCTAAGCTCTAAGCCTAAGCTCTAAGCCTAAGCTGTAGCCTAAGCTGTAGCCCAAGCCTAAGCCCTTGAGTTCCTGCTATAGTACTTCTACAGTAGTCTATCTACCCACAGTATACTGCCGTACCCCTCCCAACGTCAGTTATCGTACAGTTTAACCAACAAATCTTGTGCTATTGGCACTTTTCACTTACTTGTGGCAACAATCCATACAACTCGCTGATACTCTTCTTGTTGTACATCCTCGTATTATTTCTGCGATCATCCTCAGGCACAATGATCTAGAAAAGTTCTTGATGCCATTTCATCGAAAACCCTCACTTTTGCAATCTCAATCTCAAATTTGACCATTTCCTCTAACTCCGTCACCATTTGCTCATCATCACGTGTGATTTTCGCATCAGAGGCCAAGATTTTCATTCCCTAAAGAAATCTTTTGATAAATTGAAATCTTTCTTTTGCAAACCGCTTTAATGAATTTTTTATAAGCATTGATTTGAGTGGAAAACATGGTTTCATTGAGGTAGTAATCTTTAGATCCTCTGCCCAAGCTGAGACTTCCTTGATCGACCTAGAAATGAAAGGGATTGGTTGGGTTCAATTTTGATTTAGTTTTTGATTGTAAAGCAGATTGTAAAGCAGATTGTAAAGCATCTAATTGTAAGCCTTTAAATCCTTCAAAAACCCTCACAAAGATCGTGTTCCTTGAGGTGTTCTTCGCATCAGCATAGACATAAATTTGGAAGAAGATATCCGTTCCATAGTGTTTCCTTGATGAAGCCAAGAGTTCAGTGAGGAATTCATGGGATTTTTCATTTCCCTCCTTTAAATCGAAATCAGAACGAGCTTCTTTTCCACTCAACATCGGCCATCCACCGAGCTCGTCCACTGCTGTCAATAAAAGGCTGAAAGAATATTGTTAGATCTAAATCTGAAGATTTCAGATTTGTAGATTTTAAGGCTAAAGATTGAGCTTAATGATTTTTGCTTGTTACCTGGAGTGCAGCTGATCCAATTGGTGAGTGTTCATGCAGATTCGATAAGCTGTACGAGCCATATTGATCGATTTTGATGGAGAGATCTCGTTCGATTCAAGGAGTACTGTAATTCGGTGTGTGAACCTTATTCTAAAGCTTGGCTCAATATTGAATGGGGAAATGGATCCTTTCTAAAGTCAAACCTCTCAACTGTAGCCGGACTTGTTCACGAGCGAAAGCAAAAGTCCCATAAGAGGCCATATCATCGGGAATTGGGTGAAGATCTAAAGAATTGAAGATCTAAAGAATTGAAGCTCTAAAGAATTGAATTCAGATTAGATTCAGATTGGATTCAGATTGGATTCAGCTTCAGATTGAGTTGAAATTCAGACCAAAAAGACTTACGATTCCATGAACCACACGCGAATTCGAAGAAATTTGAGCACGGATCAGCCGATTGATTCATGGCATTTAGCTAAAGATTTAGCATTGTTTTGTTTGGTGAAAGTGCTTCTGAAATTCGAGCTTTTGAATAACTCACCAAATTCGTGGCTGCTCTCACGCATCCCTTCGATGTGCATGTTTTTATCTCGGGCTTCTTTGTGGTGATGGGATTCTCGGTGACTGGTGGGAGACCCGGTCGAACATCCGATATCGCTGGCCCACCAAATGGATATTTTTCTACATTTACAAGAGATTTGTTTCCAAAACAGTTAATGTACCTCTTGAATTGTCGATTCTGATGATCACTGCAAGGAGGACCGAAACGAGGACCAAGAGGAGGAGAATGGCCAGCAAAAGGAGGCGAACTAGAACAAGAATATAACAAACGAGTAACAAAAGAGAGACGAAAAGATCAGCCTAATAGCTAGCTGTTAGATCCTCACTAGTAATACTTGGATGTTTATGCTAATCAAAATGACCGCACCTCTTCAACTACGGTACCTCTTCAGCTACCGTTTCCCTTCCACCTTCAACTACAGTACCTCTTCAATTGACGTGCTTCTCCTGACTTACTACCGTACCCTATTGCTATCTATTGCTGCTGTAGTCTGCTCACTACCGGATTCAACATCAAAATCTTACTTTAAATTTCTGTACCTACTCTGCCACCGAAGCCCTCTCATTCCAGGAGCTACTCTATCAGCCATTACTACATTTTCTATCGTATTCAATCCCAAAACCTCACCCAGACATGATGTCCGTTGTGCTATCCTTGTCAATGTTTGAAGGGGTTTCTTCCCAGCCTTATATGAGACACCACCGCCATCGGCCACCACATCCGAGGGGGGACCATTGAAGCATGGAGAGCTGCTGAAAAGTAATTGATACTCTTTAGATAGCATCGATCTATCGCTTTTTATTTAGCCTCAATTCTTTCCCCCAAAAATACCTCTTTTCATTAGCTCCAATGATAACAATCGGAACCGATGGCGGCATACCCAAGGATTACTATAAAAAAGCAGTTGACGAGGAGAATACATAGGAAAGTTTATATAGAAGAAAACTAGATAAAAAAGAATTTTTTTTTTTAAACCTTGGGTTTAAGGGGGGGGAAAAAAAATTTTTTTTTTTTCTTACCTTTTTTTTTTTTTTTTTTTTTTATTTTTTGTGGGGGGGAGGGGGGGGGTTGGGGGGGGGGGTTTTATAAGGCCCGGGGGGGGGGGGGGGGGGGAGGGGGGGGGGGGGGGGTTTGGGGGATTTTTTTTTATTATTGGGGCGGGGGGGGGGTGGGGGGGATACACAACAACACAACGGGCCCCGGGGCCCCGCACGGAGGGGGGGGGGGGGGGGGGGGGGGGGGGGGGGGGGGGGGGGGGGGGGGGGGGGGGGGGGGGGGGGGGGGGGGCGGGGGGGGGGGAAAAGGGGGCCCCCACCCCGGCCCGGGGGGGGCCCCCCAAGGGGGGGGGAAAGGGGAAGGGGAAAGGGGGGGGTTTTTTAGGGGGAAAAATTATAAAAAAAAAATAAAAGGAAAGAAAGAAAGGGGGGGGGGGATATTTGTGAAGGTTATTTTTAAGAAAGTTTCTTAATACTATTTTCGACTACACTTTATAGTTCACAAAAGTACTTGTATAGTAATTTATCTTATATTTTGATTATCAATAACGTTTAGAAGATTTGATCAATAGCCATCAATAGCCATCAATATCAATAGCCATCAATAGCCATCAATAGCCATCAATATCAATAGCCATCAATATCAATAGCCATCAATATCACTAGCCAAGCAGTTGAAGCCAGGATTTGTCATGAAATGCGAAGAAAAATGCATTCAGAATTCTATAGACTCTAATGAAAGATTTCAAAAAAGGGTGCAAGACAAGGTTCATCTTGATCAACATCAAAATGGATCTCAATAGGTCTTTTCAACTGATTTCACCAATTCCAATCACCTATATATGCAAGAAAACCAGTCAAAAAACGCAACAGTTCCCGATCATTGAGATTATTCCAAAGTTTTTCTCTTTTTCTTTTTATGATTTTGATCACCTGAATGACTCGATTAGTCTCTGAAAAAAAAAACTTATGATTTCCGAGATATTTTGCAACAGAATGAGAGAAAAAGAACGAGTTTTCTTTGGATTTAGAGAATGCCCTTTTCAAGGATAATTCTCCAATTTTAAATGGGAAAAGACGGTGATTTGATCAGGTTGAATTGGGGGAAAAGAAAAGAGAATCATGAGAGATCAAAGGAGATCAAAACTGGTGATGAGTTGCGATAATGTGATTGGGGTTCTTTGTACCGTATTCCTCACAGACTTTCTTAAGCTTTAGCTTATCCACTAATACTTCTTCTGAATCTTTTTTCTTTATTCTATACAATTGAAGTTTTTGTACGATAAGGCTCATAGGTTTTTGTCTTTTCTTTTCTAAAAGATGAATAAGATAAAAGATAATTTGGAAAAGTTACCGTAATTTTCTTTCAGTTTTTGTTTGATCGCAATGAATGAATGATCAAAATGGTGATTTGATTATCAATAGCCAAGCAGTTGAAGCTAGGATTTGCCCATTAAATGGAGCAAAAACTGAATGAAAATTATGGTAGTGTTCTAGATTACTTAACTTTTAGTATTGGGTTGCTGAATTGAAAACTGCCGGCTATTGTCATATGTGACAGTTTGAGCACTTTCTTCAAAAGAAACCCATTTTGGTGTCAATGGAAAAGTTGTAGAGAATCAAAAATCAAGTTTATATCCAAATTTTCAGAACGATTCAAAAACTAGTTTTCAAGAAATGCCAAATTTACGAATTTTCACAAAACTTGCAACAAAACTTGCCTTTTAAGCGAAACTACTAAGTGTATCTTTTTGGAAATTTGGCTATAAGCCTCATTTTTGATTCTCTACAACTTTTCTATTGACACCAAAATGGGTTTCTTTTGAAGAAAGTGCTCAAATGCTCAAACTGGGACATCTCCAGTCCCCCATTTTTGAGTCTCACACTTGTCTCACACACAAACCAAAATCCTACTACGAAAGAGGAATCCGCAAATTTCCTGTAAAATGGGCAGAAGTCGTCAATAATAATGGAATTTATTTGGAATGAATTTATGGTTTTATGTTGAATAAATTTTAGTTCAAAGTCCGGCAGTTTTCAGTTCACCAACCCAATAACTACTAAAAACTAAAGTAACTCTACCTAACCCTTTGAACTAACAATTATGATTACTCATTATCAATTCTATTCGTGTATTGATGCCAATTCACCAACCCAATATAAAAAAATCTGTACAAAGAGAATGAAAGGCTGTAAAGTGGATAAAAATGATTACGTTAGTCTGATGACTTCACTTACTTGTAATTTCAATATTGGAGAACTTTTGATTAAACCCAGGGATTTATAAATGTACATCTCAAGATCTATAGATCTATAGATCTATAAATACAGTATTTTCTCAAATAAGCGCCTCCCTCCCCTCGAACGCTTCGTTCTTAGCGCCATTTTAAGAGATTTTTATGTTTATAAATATATATAAATAAAAATGGGGCTGAGAACGAGGCGTCTAAAGTTGATTGAGAGAAGCGAGCGTTTTTTTAGAGGAAATGCGGTAATCTATAGATTTGCCCAACAATCTCTCTTTCTTCATTTTACCTGGACGGTATCGATGAGGTTGTCATTGATCTACTCGTGGAATTTTATGGAAATTTTTCGAATTCAGCACAAGAAAATCGATGTAGAGCCGGGGTTTTTTTTGCGTTACTTTAAATAATCGTTGAAAATGGAATGGATTTTGGAATGGAAATGCTCATTTGTGTTGGGAGAAAAAGAGGGAAACCGTGCAAAAAAGTAAAAAAAAAAAAAAAAAAGGTTGAGTGTGGTTATAATCTGTCGACAATTGAAAATATAGAAAAGAGAGAGCAGCTCTTTGTGCGGTGCTTTGAATTGAACACAAAATGGGCTGAAAAAAAAGGGAAAATTGTAGGGGGAAAAGAGCCTTTTGTTATCATAATAGTAACTGGTGGATAGGGAAAATGTTAATAAGTTGAGTGCTGTACTTTGTGCACTTTCTGGTGCACTCAAAAGACTTTGAGGAAAAAAAGAAGGATAAAGGTAAAGAAAGAAGGTAAAGCAGAAGGTTTGCCTACTGCCAATCGGCCACCACGATATCTTTTTCTTTTTGGTAAGTCACTCATAAGCTCGGGGTTTGTTTTCCATAAAAAAAACTTTGAGTGCTTATAACTTTTGACAGATTGCTGCATTGCAAAAACGGAAAGCAGATTCGGAATCAGCGAAAGATTCTACGTTGATTAGTATTGGGTTGGTGGAAAAGTCCTTTCCGATTTTTTGTCCGATCCTTTGCCAGAAAAGTCCTTTCCGAGAGTACCTTAAATTTGTCCAATTTTGATGTTTTATAGCTCATCCTAAAGCTGAATGCTCATCCTAATGCGTGTCTAGGGGTTATTTTTGATGCTGGTCACGAAACACATGGTTTTAGCCTAGGTTTCTGCACGGAAAACTAACGAAACGTGAAAACAGCCATTTTTTGGCTCTGCCGCCCTTTACTAAAATAGCTGTAAAAACTTTTAGAAAAGAGATATCTCAAAACGGTTTTTACCAATCGATTCGTCTTGAATTCAGCTTTAGGATGAGCTATAAAACGTCAAAATTGGACAAAGGTACTCTCCCAAAAAATCGGAAAGGACTTTTCCACCAACCCAATATATGGCTCATCATCATTTGGCCACTATACCCCGTTGAGGATTCCTTTCCAACATAGATTATTTCCAAATATTCTTCAAAATCTCCGACCTGGGCGTGGATTCGTGTGTATCTTGCAAGGACATCAACTGCATTGACGACTCTCCAGAGGGCATTGCCAGATGGATGTAATTTGGCGAGGAAAACGATGGCATTTTGGTGATCGATTGAGAGAGAAATTTAGTGAGATTTCTCGAAAATCATACCATTTGTAGTCGTCGAGAATCTGAAAAATCTCTTTGAAAGATTTGAATGAGATTGGAATGAGATTTGATCGAACAAAACTGAAAGATTAACTGAAAGACGTCTTCACCAAGAGTTCGAGATCAAGAATTCTCGGGGTTTTTTTAAAAAACTTTGGTGAAAGGATTGAAGACCATTGATTCAAGAGGTTGATTTAAGCTCTTGAATCAAGAATTCCCGCAACTTTTCTTCTCAAATCCACCCCCGCGAAATCTTTCCTCTTTTTTTTCTTCACTCTTTCAAAAATTGCCTCAAATCATCGGAAATTTCGTGCAAATTTCCGGGCCATTTTTGGTTCTTTTTTTGAATCTTTTTGCCAAAGAAAAACGTAGGAAAAGTTCTGAAAAATTGAAAATTCAGAAAAGTTTTCAAAAATGACGTTTGACAAGATTTCAAAGAAGATTTTAAATCAATTGAATTGAATATGGAAAAGAGGAGTGTTCGGTGTTTGAAAAGTGTTTGAAAAGAGGAGTTGTTCAATTGTTCGGAAGGAGAAATTGCTTGTCAAAAAGAGTTTCTGAAGTTCTGAAGTTCTGAAGTTCTGAAGTTTAAGCTTTTTGAAAAAAAAAATCGACAACCAGCTTCAGCAATTTGATGTGAAGCTAGGCCTTTTGTAAATCTTATGAACTTATGAAAATCTATTGTCAGTTTAATTGGCTTACAATTAGATTCAAAAAACTTATAAAATAGACCAAAAATAAGACATTCAAAAACCCGTTATAATGCTATTTTTAAAACAAATAATTACCGTAAATACTGTAATAGTACCCCATCCCCCTAATGACGGTGCGGAGTGTTGCGTAGTCTAGCTTTGAACGAGTTTTTCTCGACACTGCTTTGTATATACCATAAATACTGTAATAGTACCCCACCGCCCTCGTACAGTCGCGTAGTCGCAAAAGTTTTTTAGTATTTCATTTTTTTCAAAGCGCCCGTACTTTCAAAAAATGCGTCTTTGGTATCACAAAAATAGCCCTGAATTTCAGCTATTTTTTGATACCTAAGCGCGCATTGTAGCATAAACCAGTGTCGAGAAAAACTCGTTCAAAGCTAGACTACGCAATGCTCCGCACCGTCATTATGGGGGTGGGGTACTATTACAGGATTTACGGTAGCTTTTCTAATAAAAAAAACTGCAGTTCAATTTGTGCATTTGTTGATTCTAAACGGGAAGTACGAAAAGAAATGAAAAGACTTTCTGAACAGTTTAATATAAAGAAAGAAGCTGAAAACTTTAAAAATATATCTCTAGATCTTGTGGTTATGATTGAAGATCAAAAAAAGAAAAAAAATGACAGAAACTAATGACTGAATGACTGATTGTTATGAGCAAAACGATTGCCCAATTTGCAGAAAAGGTTTGAAAGTTTTTTTGTTCATCAGAAAATCTCATTCTTGTGCTCTCTTGAACAACAAATAAAACTTTTAAACCATTGCAAATTGGGCAACCGTCCGCTAGTAAAAATGGAGGGAATAGTTCAACAAGCTCAACAAATTTACAAAAAAATGACAAAAGAGTCCAAAAAATGAAATGAAAAAACGACGAGAAATGTCACGTGTGGTGGTAGATAAAAGATGAAAGGAGAATTGAAGAGAAAAAAGAGTTCAGTCTCCATTCGATCTCTGTCAATTGTTTATGGGAATCATGAGGGAATTGAAGGGGGAAAGGGGAGAAGAAGGAGAAGAAGAGGAAGGAGGAGAAGAAGAAGGAGAAGAAGGAGGAGGAGAAGAAGGAGAAGAAGAAGGAGAAGAAGGAGAAGAAGGAGAAGAAGAGGCCAATTCACAACAGATGTGTGGATTTCAAAAGAGAAACCGATTTTGGCAAACACCCAAACAGTTCTTTACAGTTTCTGAAGTGACAATTGTGATAAGAGAGCTTTTTAGATTGTATTTTGGGCTGAGGAGTGGAAACACACCATTTCTAGTGCAGTAAAATAGTTCTTGTTCTTGTTCTTGCTCAAGATTGAAAACACGAGTATTCTGACACTTATTTCCTTCATTTTTTTCTACAAAGACGATTTTTTTGAAGAGTTCCATGTGCCAGAAAGGTTGTGTTTCTATTTAAGAGCACAAAATGAACTTTAAAATACGCTTCCTATCATATCTTCAACAAAAGAATGAACAAAGAAAAGGAATTGAAGGTAAATCTTGCAAAGAAGTGGATAAAAAAGCTGACTTAAAGGCTGCTTATAACAAAAACTCCTAAAAAAATCTAGAATCAAAAGCTCATAAAGAAAAAGTTCGACAAAAACAAAAGTCTTGTCACCTGGAAAATTGAGGAGTCTAAAAGTTTTTGCCTAAAAATAAAGAAGCCATTTAATTTCCCGATGAAAGGATTCAGGGGAAGTTCCCCCTTTTTGAAGGCCTTTTCCCCATCAAAATCCCCTTCTCCTATCTTCTAAAAGGGCCCCAAGCACAACCACTTTCGGAATCGATATTCAGCCTTCTCTTTTCGCTTTCTTTCTCTTTCTTCTCTTTCTTCTCTTTCTTCTCTTTCTTTCTTTTTCCCTTTTCTCGTTTTTCTGAAATTGTCTGAAATTCGAGCGGCCAACGGGCCTCTCTTTATTGGGAACTCCTCTCTCCATGTGACTCTTGAAAAAATGGGATAATTGGCCGGAGAACTAGACTTTGTCTCAATTTTCTAATTGGTTTTACGGTAAACATTCCATAACTCAAACATTCCATAACTAAATCTTCAAGTTTAGAATAAGAATTTCGTAGAAAAGTAACAATGTGTAAAATTGATAAGATTCAAGTTGTAGATTCAAATTTTAGATTTAAATTGTACATTCAAATTGTACATTCAAATTGTACATTCAAATTGTAGATTCTAATTTGAGAAGTCATTCAAAAATAAGTAGCTAAAGAACAGAAATTTGAGAATTGATTTCAGTTTTATGGAAAGAAGTTGAAGTTATTGAAGTTACTGAAATGAGGGATTAATCCGGTGATTGTTCGATTATCTTCGTTTCAATAGGACTTCAATAGGACAGCGAATTCCCCAATTCATCAAATCCTCTCACTAAATTGAATATTTATTTATTCATTAATAAATTGAAAGAAAATTAAACTGGAGATTAGAATCGGGGAAGTTTTTTTTGACTAGGAAAAGCATTTGAGAACAAGAAAAGTTCTTGAAAAGTTTAAAAACAAAAAAGATAAGAACAAAAAGAACATAAAAACATAAAGAAGATCGAATAAAAACTTTAAATTTTATATAAAATATGAAATTTTGAGCATAGGTGGGTTTTTGATAGACGGAAAGGCAAAAACGGCAATGCAACAAGTTTTATTCTAATTCAGATCTTCATGGCTTTTCCGGTTGTTGAGGATCCATCGAAAAGAGTGGGATATTCAGGTGGAGAGGCTCGGTGAGGGGTACGGTCAGTGGGATGAGTGATGGGGAATGGACAAGCATCGAAGAAGAAGAAGCACAAAGAGAGGATGGGCCGACGAGCTGGGGAATGTCCACATCACCGCCCATTAGATCATCTAGAAATTGTCGATATGTATCGAGGGTACTGTAGCTTGTCTACTTTATCATAATTTGTATATTGAGCGGAGATAAGGAACCAATTTTAGAGAGATAAGGAACCAGATTTAGAGATGGAACCAGATTTAGAGATAGGGAACCAAATTTAGAGATAAGGAACCAAATTTAGAGAGATAAGGAACCGAATTTGTAGAGATAAGGAACCAATTTTACAGAGATAAGGAACCAAATTAGAAAGATAAGGAACCAAATTTAGAGAGATGAGAAGCCAAATCTTTCAAAAAATCGACCTCAAAAAAGCTATCGTAATCCAGAATCAAGAATCAGTTTGCGTATGCAATTTTAATTATTGTACCTGTGGGAAAGTGAATTGTCGGCGGAATGAGGCCCCGTTGCTCATAGTGTCTCAAATAATTGCACAAATGCTTCAAGCGGCGCTCCTTGCTGCGTCGATTTTGAAACCAAACCTAAAATCTCTTATTAGTGCACATTTATCTATAAAGTGTTCTTTTACTTTTTGTAAATGGATAATTTGACTCGGAAAAGATGGTATTTTTGAAAAACTAAAGCTAGATTATGAGAATTCAAATATTTTTGACTAGAGTGTGTTCCTCGCGAGTATTTTTGACTAGAGTATTTTCCGAGTATGACTAGAGTATTTTCCGAGTAATGCGTTTTTTAAAAAGCACATTTAGGAAAAATTGCCGTACTTTTAGCGAAAATTATTGCAAATTAGCGGAAAAAAATCACGAGCTACCACTTATATACGACTCTTTTTAAAGATATTCAGCCGTTTAACTGATTTGGTGGGAGTGGGACAAATGCGACCTTTTTTTTTGCGCACCCGGACATTTGCGCACCTTTTTTTCCGCACCTTGCTCATTGATATTAGTGTTCGGGATAGGATGTGTCCATATCCCTTGGTTCAGGCAGAATATTTATTAAAGCACCGGAGGGTTTATATACCGAAAAGTTGAGTGGGAAATGTTTTGAAAAGCTCATTAGCGCACCTTTTTTCGCGTTTTAAAAAAGCTCTAAAAAGCTAATTGTTCGGAAATTCTTCCGATAAAGTCTATTTCTCTTTAAAATCTATCGATCAATGTTCCCTCTTAATCCTTCTTTATCCTCCAAAATCTTTCCGCGATTTCCCCAGACACAAGCTAGCCAAAACATAGACCTTTTCAAAACATTTCCCACTCAACTTTTCGGTATATAAACCCTCCGGTGCTTTAATAAATATTCTGCCTGAGCCAAGGGATATGGACACATCCCGAACACTAATATTAATCAATTTCTATTCCAAAAGTTGTTTTTCTAGGCAATTTTAGGGTGTAGAATCGAAATTTTGACATATCAGAGCTTGTGGAAACAAACGGACGGAGTTATACGGACATCGACAATTTTCTGTAATTTGATCTAGCCGTTTTGTCTTTCAAATTGGTTTCACAAGCTCTGTTATGTCAAAATTTCGATTCTACGCCCTCAAATTACCTAGAAAAACAACATTTGGAATAGAAATTGATTAATATTAGCTTTTTAGAGCCTTTTTAAAACGCGAAAAAAGGTGCGCTAATGGGCAAGGTGCGGAAAAAAAGGTGCGCAAATGTCCGGGTGCGCAAAAAAAGGTCGCATTTGTCCCACTCCCGATTTGGTGGCAAATTCCCCTTCACAAGTAAAGATATTCAATTTACTCGACGTGTAAAGAGGACTACTCGTAGTTACTTGACCCAAGACGTCGATTAATCGAGTAAAAATTACTCATACAAATTTTACTCGAGTAATTTACTTACTCGCGAGGAGAACACTCTAATTTTTAACCTATTATGATTTTTTTAGGCTCATTAAATTGTTGTCTTCTACCTGAATAACTCTCATCGAGAGACCGGTCTCCGAGGCAAGTTTGGCTCTCGCGTGCTTTGAGGGTTTTGGAGTAGTCGTGAAAATTCGATTCAACACATCCAACTAAAGTTTACTAGTAAAGAATTATGATAAACGTTAGATTTGATCCGTCACAATGACTGGTCAACAATAACAGTTTTATTGAGCTGTTATTGTTGACAATATCAATGCATATGAAATGGCTAAATGTTCAACAAAGCATTTATTCGCGATTAACCATCAAATCTAAATATTCTCTTTATTTTCAATAATCTTTTCCCAGTTCTCGAAAGCCCTTTTTCCTAAAAGCCTTCGATTTTCCAGCAAAAAAGTCCATCAGCCACTTTTTGACGTCGTCTTTGGAATCGAAGTGCTGTTGCTCATTACTCATCGATCAAAATAGATGATAATCACTTAAGGCAAGGTCTGAGCTATATAGAAGATCACTTCCCAGCCAAGGTTCATCCTTCTTCAGTTTGTCCCGAGTCATCGAAGAACATGCGGCGTTATCATAGAGGAGGATGATTTCTGTCTTTCTTGGTCAGCCATTTGTCAAAGCTGTGAATAATTCTTCGAGCTGCTCGGTGTATTTAGCAGAGTTGCTGAATAGTTGGCTTACTATTCAGCGACTCTCAATAGACTACTCCTTTCATATCCCAGAAACCGATAACATAAACTTCTTCTGGTGCAATTCAGGCTTCGGATTTGTTTCGGACGTGGCTCCGGCTATGGCCGCGCTTAGAGCTCACAACCAAAGAGCATCAGCGTCACTGACTCAATCTTAGGCTATTCAGAAAGTCTTACAGAAAGTGAAGTTGTTATTTTTGAACAAAAAGAACGAAAAGCCTTTCTGGACTCTAATTTCTGGACCTTTCTGGACTTTCTGGACCTTTCTGGACCTTTCTGGACCTTTCTGGATCCCAAAATTTTCAAAACCAAACCTGATTTTGTTTGATTGTCGTTCTAGGGCCTCTTCTCTTCAAGAACTTGTTCTCATCGTCAAACCTGTAAATGTAAACTTTTCTTGGTTTACGGTAAAGGTATATGAACTAAATGCGTAGATTTTTATGAAAACAACTCACGCATCAACATACGCAAAAGCGGCATGATCATAGGGGAAAATGAATGGAAGCGAGAGTGGATCGACCATTAAAGGAGCACCCATTGATCCACCCATTGATCCCATTCCAACATTCATCTCATCAACATCAATTTTCAAATTCATCGATTGAAGGGTTGATGTGCCCTGAAAGAGTCGATAATTCTATCTTTTTGAGTTTATTGAACCCTAGCTTGAATTTGAGTTGAAATTGATTTGAAATTGAAATTGATTTGAAATTCAAGCTAGGGTTAATGGATAATGAAATGTTAATGGTTAATGGATAAGGTCAATAAGATGAATCGAGCTCTTGAAATTGAATCCTCACCATTTCTTGGTGTGGCGGAGTGGGCACCTCGTCGTACAATGGAGTGGAATCTGTTGAAACGGAGGCTTCTAATAAACTCTTTTGTAAATTGTATCCCGAAAAAAAGTGCACCTTGTTGTGCATAGAATTGACACTCATTGATGAGACAACAGATCTCTCCACGCTCTTCATCCACCTGAACTTTGCCGTTTCTTGAGAAGTTGTGGCGAAAAGTTTCTGCCTGAGTTGGCTGAATGTTTGTTAATCCTATATATTGTAGTAAAAGGAGCTACCGTATTTCTTCGAATAGAAGACCGGGTAAAGAGTATGATCGCGTACTCCTGCGTAGCAGCCCTTATTAAAATTTCTTTTCTGCATAAAAGCTTTCAATGAAGTGCTATAGGGCTGGAAAATGACTCAAAAATACCAAATGAGCTAACAGATTTTTGAGCCATTTTCCAGCTCTATATCACTTGATTGAAAGCTTTTATGCAGAAAAGAAATTTTAAAAAGGGCTGCTACGCAGGAGTACGCGATCATACTCTTTACCCGGTCTTCTATTCGAAGAAATACGGTATCTTAAGAAATCACTAACATTTATGCAAAGAATCAAAATCAAAACCAAAGAATGATGCTGACCGAAACTTGTTGTCCCGTCGTGAATCTTCTCGAACATCTCGCACATTTATGGCACTCCGAGTGGAAAACGATTTTTGGCTAAAAGGAAATAGAGATCAAAAATAAGTATTAAGATAGTATTAAGATAGTAATAACTACAGTCAAACCTCGATTTAACAATTCGGCATTCTCCATTGTTAAATCGAACTTATTTATAAGCTAAATAGCTTTCAAGAAACCAAAAATTGACATTAAGTTGATCGTTAAATCGTTATCATTCGATCGACATCGTTAAATCGAGGTTTAACTATGTTACGCAATGAATCAAAAGTAAACCCACGGTCATTTTGAAGACAATATCATGTGGAGCGATTCCGTGTTTACAGCCGGCACATTGGAAAGTGCTGTGCTCTCTGAAAAAGTTCAGAAACTCTTCTAGCCAAAAATTGATCCTATACTTACTGAAAATAATGCTGCTGACAATAAAAATGCCCATTCTTTTCATAGCAAGTATTGGTGAGATTGTGCGAACAGATACAGCAATGCAGACAGCTCTCGTGATACGTCTAAAGGTTACGGTATGAGAAAGCTAAAGGTTAGGGCTAAAAGAAATCGTATTCTAGATTTAAACCAACTCACATTGTTCCCTATTCGACAAGCGTATCGATCAAAAATCGGCAATCGACACTCACCGCATGTTTCGAGGTGGTTTTTCTGAGATTACAATTGAGATTTCTGAGTTTTTCTACAATATAAAATTAAATTTACAATTTTTGTACTTTTTATAATTGAAACCTTTTCATAATGAAGACCAATACTATTGACAACATCAGAGATAGCACTTAGAGGCTTCACATCGACAAACTCGAATGAATCAACCATTGGATTGATGAATGAATCTGGAGATGAGAAATTATGAAAAGTGAAAGATGAAAGTGGTAAAATGAACAAAATGGAAATTCATTGGCACCACGGTAGATCGAACCCGGGTCGGGTGGGTCACGATCCAAGCCCGCTGCCAACTGCGCCATGCCGACCCCAAGATACGCCCAAGAAAAACTCGGTGTTAAGCTAGTTTCTTGGTTGTTTAGTGCAAAAAAAACTGTGCAAAGTACTGAAATCTGTTCAGGAAACTACAATAAATCTAATAGAGTCAAACTGAGGTCAAATTCTTAAAAAGGGGTGTCAATGTCATGCGGGAAAGGGGGCACCGTAGTCTATCGAATATTTAAGGCTTTCCCCCTCCCCGAAGTGATATAGCGGCCATTCATGTCAAATTGGCCCTTCCTTTTCTCTTTCTTTCCATTGTTCTATAGAGTTTTCTGTACTTGCACTCGTCTCAAGAAACTATGCATTTCGAATCAAAGCTGCTTGCCTTTTTACCTCAAAGCTTCTACAGTTTGAGTTGAATTTGAAAAATCTTTGACAGGGATCTAGATCCTGTCATCGATCTTCGATCTAGATCTTAGTGAAGCCTTAAATCTGAATCAAGGGAAGACTTAGAGTTAAGAATAGTTTCATATCGACAAACTCGAATGAATTGGAATGAATGGTTGCATTGGATTGAGGAATGGATCTGGAGATGAGAAATTATGGAAAGTGAAAGGTGAAGGAACAAAATGAATTGATTGAAAATTGATTGGTACATTGATTGATTGAACAGTGGGTCGAACTCGGATCGAGTGGGTGAAAACGTGCTGGGAAAGCTTCACACTCCGTGCGGGGAAAGCGCGCTGCTAACATAGGAAATCTTTTAAAAATTTGGGATTAGTTGACAAAGCTCTTTCTTGTCAAGGTTTGAAGACAAATTGGCGGTTTGGTGAAAGGCGAAATTTTTGGAAATTTTCCGAAATTGCGGAATCGGTTAAGAAAAACCGAAATCCATGGCTGAGAATTCGAATTGCAGTAATTGGTACTTGGAAAAATGATTTCATTGGATTTTGGATTTTCTTGAAACATTTTGTATCAAAGAAATTTTAGTACAAGCAAAAAACTATCTTACTACATTATTCAAAAGTTACTTTAGAAATAAGAGTGCATTTGAACGTTTTCTCTCATTTAACTCATTTTCTAAAATGTGTCAATCTTTGAAAGGTATCGTAATCTTGTCTCTAGTCATCAAAGTCAACAGCCTGAACAAAACCAGTAAGATTACGGTAGTATTCCGATGTTTAGACCAAAAGGAATTGGTTAGAAAGTTCCTTTTTCTTTCCTTTAGGGGTAACGAAGTTTAGATAAAAATCCAAATTTTACCGTTCTTTTCAAATATAGATGAATTAGATGAATTGCAGGATAGGCTACTTTGCGCCAAATTTTTTGCGCAACTGGGTCATTTAATCATAATCATAAAAAAGTTTTTCACGAAATGTTCCAAGAAAAGTAAAGAACCCCACCCCAATGGAACTGAACCCGCGAGCATTTATTTCGCAATCTAGCACACTACCCCCTAAGCCACCGGAGCTTCTACCACCCTTTGGCGAGACGCCCTGTTAAAGGTCAGGTCCTTTTTCGCGGCGAGGTTTTGAAGTAAAGGGCTGAGTTAAGCAGTTATGGCAGTCATGGCCGACCGAAGGTTATGGCAATTATGGCAGTCATGGCCGAGTGGCTAGGAGCCCAGGCTCGGGAGTCGATATCAAGGGTTCAAGCCCGCTGAGATTATTACGTTTTTTTGTCATATATGGGTTAATAACGTGTTTCTTGGAGTGAAGGGCTTTTTGTAACTAAGCTCGGTCTTTTGCGCAACTCGCCATCTAAGTCGGCCTTCTAAGTCGGCCAATCTTTATGATTTTGGTGTCATTTTCTTACACTTATTGAGATATACAAAAATGACACCAAAATGATAAAGATTAGCCCACTTAGGAGAAAGTTATGGCGAGTTTCGCAAATGACCCTGTTGCGCAAATAAAACGGCGGAAATTAAACTACCCCGAATTGCAAGCATTTTAGATTCTGGTACAAGTTTGATCTCATCAATGATTCCCGATTAGCGCAGTGATTGATTGAAAAGAGAGGGGATGTCATTGAGTGAAACCATCTGTCAGACAATCGTCTTTCCCCGAACAGTCAATCACATTGTCACTTCATGGCTATTCTAAAAAGAAGAGAGAAAGAAGCGATCGACACGCAAGACTCACTTCCATTTGCCCATCTCCCCCCATCTCCCCCATTTCTCCCATTCCTCCATTTCCCTCCATTTCCCTCCATTTTGACACCAATCACAGTAATTATTCATTTATATTGCCAGTCTAATACTTCCATTTCAATATCGCCTTGTGATTAATCAATTTTTAGAGATTTCGAGTTTTTTAAAGACTTTGTAATAGATAAATTTATTATAAAAATGATTTATCTCAAGAAAAACTCGTCGTACTGCTCAATTCGCTATCAATTCTGTTTCGTTTTCTTCCTCCATTCATTGGATCGAGTGTAATCATTGCATTCTTTGACGTAATTTCCACAACGGGACGCATCGAGGTCATCGTTTGACGTAACATTTCTTGGATTGCCGAGCGTTTTTTCTAAGATTTATTTAAATTTCGATTATCTTGTACTTGGCTGTAAAACGGATGTGTTCTAGGAAACGAAAAAAGCTGTTTCTTAAAGAAAGAAAGAAAGAAGGAAGGAAGGAAGGAAGGAAGGAAGGAAGGAAGGAAGGAAGGAAGAAAGAAAGAAAGAAAGAATCTGACCCTTTTCAATGAAGGAAATATGTGATAGACTGGCCGTAAAATAAAACCAAAAATCTTCTTTCGATAGGCCAAATGAACAAAAGAAATCGTAATTGAGAGTACGATAGAATAGAGAAAAGTCCAGATTTGAAGAATTGAGAGCTCTAAAAACGGTCGTTTCCAGCTAAGTACTGAAAATGTTTACGAAGCTGAAGTTTCGAGAGAATCTCCGTGCCGATCAGTGTGAGGAAAACTGGGATTACAATCTGGAAAATAACAAAATAAACTGTTCTATTGGCTTAAATTTGACAATGACATACCATAGCCGCTAACTCGAAGAGCGCCCTTTTGTGATGAGCAAAAAATTTTCCGTCTTGCATTTTCGGATCCGAGAGAACACGTATGGAATTGTAAATGGTGAGTCCAATAATTACCGAATCGACAAATAAAATGAGGGCAAAGAATGTGATTGGAATCACGGGGAATGGTAGAGGAAGTTGCAGATCGGAGGGGGATCCGGTGGGCAGATCGAGAGCGGAAATCGAGATATGGAGATGACTGTAAGCGTCGAAGAGAAGGGAGATCACCGGAAGGAATGTTAGGGAATGGAGAGCGATGAGTGAACGGACCAGATTGCTGAAGGGCCGCTCGACGAAGACTGCTTCCACTGCCTGCAATGGCGCAAGTTGTTTGTATCTATTGGGTTGGGGGAAAAAAAGGGGGCGGGAAAAAAAAAAAAAATAAAAAATTTTTTTTTTTTTTTTTAAAAAAATATTTTTTTTTTTTTATTAATTGATTAAATATTTTTTAAAAAAAAAAAAAAAAAAAAAAAAAAAAAAAAAATTTTCACCAAAAAAAAAAAAAAAATTAAAAAAAAAAAAAAAAAAAAAAAAAAAAAAAAAAAAATTGTTTATTTTTTTTAAATTATAAAAATAAAAATTTTTAATTTTTTTTTTTTTTTAATAAAAAAAAAAAAAAAGGGAGGAAATTTAAAAAAATTATTTTATTATTTGTTTTTTTTTTTTTTTTTTTTTTTTTTTTTTGGTTTGTTTTTTTTTAAAAAAAAAAGAAGGGGGTTTTTTTGTTTTTTTTTTATGTGTGTGGTGTGAAAATTGTGGGGTTTTTTTATGGGGTATTTAAGGGGAGTTTGGGGGGGGTTTTTGTTTTGATTGGGGTTTGTTTGGGTTGGTTTTCTTCCCCCCCTCCCCACCTACTATCTAAAAGAGCGGTGTCTGTGGTAATCGTATTTCTACCTAACGTATCTCAACTAGTCATACTGTAAAGCTTGATCGATCAGCAAGCAGTGTTCTGGCTTTCTTCTAAGGACAAACATGAATCAAGTGTGTTCGAAAGGGTACGATCAAGTAAATAAGACAAGTTCAATGTCTCCCAAGCAAACCTTCAATCGATAAAGAAAACACTGCACATGAGCACACATCAGAGAAATTCCCAAGTACAAGATTAGTGCCTAAAATGGGATTGATACTATTGGGTTGGTGAATTGAAAACTGCCGGCTATTGTCACATGTGACAGTTTGAGCACTTTCTTCAAAAGAAACCCATTTTGGTGTCAATGGAAAAGTTGTAGAGAATCAAAAATCAAGCTTATATCCAAATTTTCAGAACGATTCAAAAACTGGTTTTCAAGAAATGCTAAATTTACGAATTTTCACAAAACTTGCATTTTAAGCGAAACTACTAAGTGTATCTTTTTGCAAATTTGGCTATAAACCTCATTTTTGATCCTCTACAACTTTTCCATTGACACCAAAATGGGTTTCTTTTGAAGAAAGTGCTCAAATGCTCAAACTGGGACATCTCCAGTCCTCCATTTTTGAGTCTCACACACAAACCAAATCCTAAAAAAAAACCAAAAACCAAAATCCCAAGCCCGATTTGCACCAGAAGAAGTTTATGCTCTACGTTTTCTGGGATATGGAGGGAGTGATATACTGGGAGTTGCTGGATAGCAAGACGACCGTTAATGCAATCAAATACAGTGAACAGTTGGGAAAGGTGAATGAATCCCTGAAGCAGAATAGGCCCTCCAGGTCAAAAATCGTTCTCATCCACGACAACGCGCGCCCTCATGTTGCAAAATTGACTCACTCTAAAATAAATAGCCTTGTTTGGGAAATTTTGGCGCAATCCCCATACAGTCCGGACCTCGCCCCTTTTGATTACTATTTATTCCGGATCATGAGTAATGAGCTTTCGGGAGAACACTTCGATTCAGAAGAAGCAGTCAAAAATTGGCTTTGAAAGTTTTTCGATTCAAAACCAAAATCCTACTACGAAAGAGGAATCCGCAAATTGCCTGTAAAATGGGCACAAGTCGTCAATAATAATGGAAATTATTTGGAATGAATTTATAGTTTTATGTTGAATAAATTTTAGTTCAAAGTCCGGCAGTTTTCAATTCACCAACCCAATATTATAGAATGTTTTTTACCGTAACAATCGGCATCGCTTTTAGGGGGAAGGTAAAATTTGAATACGAGACGAGAAAAGAGACGTCCTCGTTGCCAGAGATAATGGTGAGTTGAGGAGACAAACAGAAGACGAGCAACGAATAGAGAAGAGACAAAAACTGGAAAATGAAATGTAAAGTGCGGCTTACTACAGAGCTTCCGGTAAGCTTTCGTTTTCGACTCACATACATCTTACTAAATCGAATATGGAGAATCATTTTGAAATCAATAACTGCCAAATAAACTGGCAAACGGGTAAAAATTCAAATGAAATTTCGAAAATAGGCTTTAAAGAGCGGTTTGAATAACTAGGATTTGGCCAAGATTCCAATTAAATTTCAAAACGGAATCGACTTTTAAGCGAACTTCTCTACTAAAACTTCATTTTTTTTAAATTACGACTTACAATGAGCAATCAACGGGTAAAAACGTGTATTGCATTTAAAGAAAAAGTCAAAAGCCAATAGCTGGACCTCACCATTGAGAGGCCGGTCACTATCCACTAGGCCACCAATGCTGATTGCCCGGTGATTGAAAAACGCTCTTTAAAGTTTATCTTTGAAATTTCAAATGAATTTTTACTCGTTTGCAAGTTTATTTGGCAGTTATTGATTTCAAAATGAATCTCCATACTCGATTTAGTAAGATGTGTGATTCGGAAACGTTTCTCACTAGAATTTCGTTCCATTCCCTAGTTAGAAAGGTTCAATCTTTCTAGGTAAACTCAAATGGCTTCCAATGAGCCTAAATGCTCGCTCGATGAACCCTTCTCCAGTTCTTTGCCCAGTACTTTACATGGTAATTGATATTTAAATTATTGAGAAACCTGTATTTGTAGCAGAAAATATTTGTATTTCTCCATTTCTCTTGATAGACTCGAAGCGATGAAGATGATACCAAAAGAATGGGTGATGAAGAGAAGAAATGATAGGATTTGATTGAGGAATGGAGATGGCATTGTCTAGAAGTTTAATTTAAAGATGATAAAGAGAAGAAATGATAGGATTTGATTGAGGAATGGAGATGGCATTGTCTAGAAGTTTAATTTAAAGATATGACTGATAGAAATTCGTTTTTCTGGCACTATTTTCCTGAAAGCTTTCTGACACTCAATCATGTGGTTGAGCTTAAGAAAAGCCGAGATTTGATGATCAAATGGGGATTTGCTGAGTTATTCCATGAAAAATTTGAACTCAACTAGCCAAACTCAAGCTTTTCCACGGTGCAAAAAGGGTGTACTTTTTTATTTGCTAAACGCAATCCCTTTTTTTGCGAAACGCTATCTGGTGCACTTGAATAAGCTTAAGAAATCTTAAACATTGCCAACTTTACCGTATTCTTTGCAACCCAATTTTACGGGGTAGGCTACTTTGCGTCAAATTTTTTTTTGCGGTCGTTTGCGCAACTCCCCATAACTTTCTTCTAATTCGGCTAATCTTTATGATTTTGGTGTCATTTTATAAATCTCAATAAGTGCAACAAAATGAAACCGAAATGATAAAGATTGGCTGACTTAGAAGAAAGTTATGGCGAGTTGCGCAAATGACCCAGTTGCGCAAAAAAATATTCCGGAAATTAGCCTACCCCAATTCTACTATAAATATTAGCCTACCCCAATTCTACTATAAATATTAGCCTACCCCAATTCTACTACAATTACTTATATTATTTCAAAAACAAACTCTATTTTAGTCAAATTCGAAGCAGAAAAGAGAAATGATTTTCAATTTGCAATGCAAAATATTTTTCTGATTTCCCAGCAATCAACCTCACATTGTTCTACAAATAAAAAGAAAATTTTCCTCTTTTCTTCAGCTCATTTGATGTCATTGCCTTAAAAAAGGTTTCCTCTTTGAAATTTTTTTCAAAAATTCAAAATTTCAATCAGAAATGGTGGATGTCAAGAATTTGGAAATTTTCAGCGAAAAGGGAAAACAAATTGGGGAATTTGAAAGAATTTGAAAGAATTTCGATAGAAATCCAATTATTTGAGTCCAACTTTTTGCACGATTTGTGTCAAAGCTCAGAAATTTTCTCAGATTTCTCACGATTCAAACGAAGAGATTTATTCTTTTTTTTCTTTCAATGCTCCTTCACGCGTCGTTGCTGAGAAAATTCTACAAATTTCGAGGAACTCGGTGAGTTGCCTTTTTGAGAGTCGAAGGCTCTTCTCATTGAGGCAAAGGCTCTTCTCATTGAGGCAAAGGCTCTTCTCAATGAGGCAAAGGCTCTTCTCATTGAGGCAAAGGCTCTTCTCATTGAGGCAAAGGCTCTTCTCATTGAGGCAAAGGCTCTTCTCATTGAGGCAAAGGCTCTTCTCATTGAGGCAAAGGCTCTTCTCATTGAGGCAAAGGCTCTTCTCATCTCAACTCAATGAGAAAAGCCTTCTCGAAGGCTTTTCTCATTGAGTTGAGATTTGAGTTTCTCAAATCTCGCTTGTTTTCAAAATTTAGATTCAAAGTTTTGTTGGTTATTCAAAGTTATGAATAGCTGGAGCTGAGATTTCGCTAGTTAGACTCAAGTACATGCTAGAAACTATGGATTTAGGGAATTATTTAGCATTGATGCGCCAAAAGTTCCCAAACAAGGCTATTTATTTTAGAGCGAGTCAATTTTGCAACATGAGGGCGCGCGTTGTCGTGGATGAGAACGATCTTTGACTTTGAGGGTCTATTCCGCCAACTAGGGAATTATTTAGCTTCTTACCGTTTAAACACTTTAAAACAGAAAATTGATAGTGCTTTAACGTTTTTGTAAAGGTTTAACGAAAGCAAAAGGTTTTTGACAGTAAGGGGATTCGAACCGGTGAGAAGAGGGACAAAGTGCGAGCGCACTAACCGCTCGGTCGCTTTAAGTACACCATTCGCTTCAGGTACACCATTCGGTCGCTTGTCGCGGGAAAGTAATTCGGCCTCATACAGTGGCGGCGCCTGTTTTCAGTTGGAGCAGTAGTTAGTCTAAATCGGTTTGAATAATATTGAACAAGTGGAAAGATTCAAAGAGTTTTCAGTTGATCTTTGAAGGTTCATTCAAAGTGATACCTTGATCATGCATACCGTAAATCCTGTAATAGTACCCCACCGCCCCTCGTACAGTCGCGTAGTCGCAAAAGTTTTTTAGTATTTCATTTTGTTTCAAAGCGCTCGTACTTTCAAAAAATGCGTCTTTGGTATCAAAAAATAGCTGAAATTCAGGGCTATTTTTTGATACCTAAACGAGCATTGTAGCATAAACCAGTGTCGAGAAAAACTAGTTCAAAGCTAGACTACGCAACACTCCGCACCGTCATTATTACATTAAAGTATTTACGGTAGAGTCATTTCAAGCTACTATAAAACGAAATATTTGAATTTATAAGGGTATTTTGATGAATTCCTGACAATAATCAGTCAATTCTTCAATTCTAACATTTCCTTTGCAACAGCTCCAGCAATTCAGCAATTCAGTCTTAGAAAGCAGCTCCAGCAATTCAGTCTTTTGCAACAGCTCCAGCAATTCGCGTTTCAGTCTTAGAAACTCTTCGAATTTCTTTGCAAATCTTTCAAATCGACTTTCAGATCAAGCTCATCCGATTCACGGAGTCGTTGCTCATCTTGCGGCTCAATGATGGTCGGCTCAATGTCATCAAAAACTCAATCAGTTCCCATTCATCACACGAATTCACTTCCATCGCTCATCTTTCACACTCCGAAATTCTCGATGAAAAAGATTCCGTCAACTGTTTTTCTTTAGCTATCCATTAGCTTAAGCTTAGCTATCCATTTTTCCCGTAAACTTCGTGTTGAATTTTCGTTTTTGATGCGCCAAATGACAAGTGTTTACACAATCTACACAAACTTTATTTAATCTCATTTTTTAGCTTTCAAAGCTCCGGTCTTTCTCTAATTTTTGCCACTGTCAAGATTGAAAATTGAAATTTGTATTTTTTTTTTTTGATTTTTCGGGTATTAGTGCAACTCTTTGATCAATAAATTTATTTTAAAAACAAAAAAATAAAGTTAAGCTCAAGAATTGCATCACAATGTGATATGTGAGATCGATTTGGGTCATTGAAATGGGTAGAGAAATGGGTAGAGAAATGGATAGAGAAATGGGTAGAAATGGGTAGAGAAATGAAATGGATAGAGAAGTGGGTAGAGAAATGGGTAGAGAAATGGGTAGAGAAATGGGTAGAGAAATGAAATGGATAGAGAAGTGGGTAGAGAAATGGAAATGGGTAGAGAAATGAGAAAATAAGTAAAAGTAAAAGAAAAAGCTGAAAAAGAAACAAAAGTTAGATCTAAAAAGCTAACAGATATATAAATTGATTAATTTTTTAAAAAAACATATCACAAAGAAGCTTGATCTCATCGAATCAACTAGGAAGCTAATCAACATCGACTTTTAAAGCTCAAAGCTTTTAAATCGAAGCTCAAAAACTAATCGACTTTTAAAATTCAAAACATTCTAACAAATCATTTCAAAAACTGATCGATCAGCTTTCTAAAAGCTTTCTAAAAGCTCGATAATTTGGATAAAACTATTGAAATCTTTCTTCCCAGGATAAAACTATTGCAATCTTTCTTGTCCTTTCCAGTTTATACTTTTCAAAGTCACCTATCCAAAGCATTACTTGAAAAGAACATAATCGAATTACAGGATTAAATTCCCTCCTCCCTGTGTCTCCTCTGCACAAAGATTTTCATTGATCGGCGTCTCCACAGTTGTCCTTTCTGTCATTTTCTCTTTTTCCTCAATTTCTCCATCTTGTACGATAAGCCGATTATCCATTGGATGTCCCACCGTATCCCAAGATTGAATCGAAGCTGAGCCGACCCACTGAAAGATTAAATAGACTTGGCGATTTCACGACAAAGACATTTTTAGCTTGGCTGCTGTTTTAGATGACAGCTAAGCTAGCTGTAGATCTGAAAATTTGTAAACGAGGGCATTCTGGGATAGAGAATCTGAATCCATTATTATTTTTAAGCAACTTTAATTTCCGAGCCAATACAATCATCAAAAAAACTCTAAAAACTTGGATAATTAAACGAAATTGGACAGAAAAAGGTGTGACCGAGTTTGGGTTTTGTTCTTTATCTCTAGAGGTCATGCCAGAAGTTACACGATTATATAAACATGAAAATTTTCATGTTTTGTAATCACATACCTTTAGACAGGATTTGGGGTTACACTTAGGTAATTAAACTAAATAAAATATTCAAAAATTGAGCAGTTTTCGTTAAAAACTAATAACTGATTCGTATTCCTTGACCTCGAAAACCCCTGATTGCAAATTTTCAGCTCAATCGACCTCAAAAAAAGTGCTAAATCCACCGGTGAGCCGTCTCGAACTTTTTTTTAAAAGTTTAGTTGAATAGCTTTCTTCAGACATTTTAAAATCAACTTTTAGTAAAGAGTTGTACCGGAATTTTTGAATCACACGGTATATGGCCACCAACAACTTGTCTTTTCAACAACAACTGATCAATTTGTCCACCAACAACTTGTCTTTTCTTCAAACCTGAAATAGAACCCCGGTGATCAAGCAGAAAACGACAATCGTGCCAAAGACGAGTCTCCATTCAGATAAGGCACCCTGAAATCCACTTTATTTCTTCATTTTGTTGACAATTTGCTTGTGCCAAGGCTTAAGCGAAAGCTACAGCTTAATCCTAAGCCTGAGCCTGAGCTACAACTTAATCAGCTAGTTAATGACTATGATGCTAGGTAAACCGTTTTCGCGAGTGCTCCAATCATATATGGAGCAATGGCCGATCCGACTTGGGCCCAAAAGCGAGTGAACGAGGCGATGGCGGCTGTTTGTGATGGAGCCACACAAACAACACTGAAAACGGATTTGAAAAGACTGAAAATATTAAGTCAACCTTGTATTGTATCCAGGCACATATCCACTCACAAAGGCCATCGCTCCAAACACACCCAATATAGCCCATCCCCTTGCCTCACATCCGCAAAAGCACAAAAGCAAGAAACAGATTCCGATGCCGAATGACGCTGAAAGTGAAAGTGATCTCGAAAATCGTCGTGAGAATCGAAAAAACCTTTCATTTACCTAAAGAATTGCACAATTTTGTGACAGTTGTGATGCTCATCCATTTCCGTTTCTTTGCCTCATCAGCAAAACCGGCAAAAGCCACCTGAAAAAGCTTGTTCTATAATCCAATTTCTCCAAAAATTCCTTCACCTTAGAGATAAATTGTCCCACAAAGGGCAGCGCCGAGAATACTCCATTCTAAAGAATTCATCAATTACAATAATCTTTATTTCGTTTACCGATGTGAGACTCATATTGAGCACGGTTCGATAGTAGAGCGGAAGATAAGTGACAGTACCGACAGTGATGAAATTGTGACAGAATGAACAACCAGCAAGTGACCAGATCAACGGCGATTTTAATAGAACACCCCATCGGGGTTTTTCCTGGAAAAGTGTAGCGATTGGATTTTGGAATTGAGTTTGGAAAGATGTCCAGCAAGGGCTAGCAAGATTTCAAGGACTCAGATACGGCTGCTTAGCCAATATCCTTCAGATCCAGCAAGATTTCAAGGACTCAGATACGGATGTTTAGCCAATATCCTTCAGATCCATCAAACTATTCTTTAGAAACTACTTTAAGCCAAATACTAGCTCTCAATCGTGCCTCGAACACCGTAATCCATAGCTTCAAACGGTCGTACTTCTAACTATAAGTCATTTAGTGTTATTTCAGTCGCAGACTACATAGCTGGGTTACGGTAAGCTCTACAACGAGTCACAGTAGCCAGGCCACTTTCAAGTAGCGCTTATCTCCATTAAAAATTGATTCACTTACCGTATGCGGATTCGCTTTGCGTCCCTCGTCAATGTGACTCTTTTCAGCTGCCGTGATATAAGGATTTGTGGCCGGATGATCGCTTACACCCCACCACCAAAGACCACAGAAGATTGCTCCAACAAGTCCTAGAATTCAACAGCTAACAGCTTTCATAGCTAGTCAACTATACCGTATAAATGAAAAGCAAAGGGCCATCCATCGAGCCACGGGAGTTGACAGAGCTCAGCTGTAAGAAAGAGGGCAACGACCACAGAGACCTAGGAATTGTTGAAGAGAATTGTAAATTTACATAGAACCAAGCTAGTCATAGTTTCAAATTGCATATAAATGCATATGGTTAAATCTAACCTGATTCCCAGTGGTTGTGATAGCGATAGCTGTGCTCTTCTCAGCTGCCGGGAACCAATGAGCCACCAAAACGGCCATACAGGGATACAGTACACCCTGGAACAGTTTGATTCAATTATTCTTTAGTAAATGTCTCTCTTCAAAAATTACGTTCCTGTTTGCATTTAATTTGTGCCGCTTTTTCGTTTTATTCTCTTCCTCAAATTTCTTTTTTGTTTTTCGACAAAACTTGTGTTTGTGGCTTCTTGTGCTTTTAGGTTTAGAGTTTTGCTTTGCTTTTGCTTTGCTTTTGCTTTGCTTTTGCTTTGCTTTTGCTTTGCTTTTGCTTTGCTTTTGCTTTGCTTTTGCTTTGCTTTTGCTTTGCTTTTGCTTTGCTTTTGCCTTGCTTTTGCTTTGCTTTTGCTCTCGTTCTTTCGGGACTTTGCTTTTCCTTGATAATGTTTTTATAATGAATATCTTTGCCTTTTCATTCTGTATTATATTAGGCTGTCCAGGAATTCTTTTAATTCCTTTTCATATTTTAAAAATAACAAATCCACTAATTAAGCTATGGCTTTGTTTTAAGGTTTTAAATTCTATTTGACTAGTTGGTTGAACAGTTTAGAAAGAATTTGTGACTTGTGTTGCCGTCGACAAAGTTTCAATCCGTTGTATACGAGCGTCGTGCTCAAGCGTCGTGCTCAAGCGTCGTGCTCAAGCGTCGTGCTCAAGCGTCGTGCTCGATGCGGTTTGTTCTTATATTGTAAACCTTTTAGGGAAACCCGTTTAACCTTTGATGTTGACTATTCTGAAACAAAATCATTCCCAATGATAAGGTTAAAGCGGATGACATCGACTGAATGATTGTTAGATTGTTACCTGTCCAAATCCCATAACGAATCTGACAATGAATAGCGGGAGAGCGCCAAGATGAACGGCTGTTGGCGGGGTGAGGAAAGTGCCCAGCACATTCACCAACGCTCCCCACATCACAACCACTTTTGGACCGAATCTGAAAGTGTTTGGATAATGACAATGCATCCGTTTTCAGATTTAAGATTTACAAATCAAGCTACAGTATTTTTCTTCTCTTCAAAACGTTGTGTACCTCCGAGTGAGAGGTTCAGTGGTGAGTGTGGCGACCAAGCCACCCACATAAAACATTGCAAAAAGAATCGCTCTCTCTTGAGAAGTCCACGCGAAAGTTCCTTTCTGAAAGGAAGATTATTTCTCTTGATTCCATGACTCACATCCAGCATCGGTGCTCTGTTCCCAATTTCCATAACCGGGCAGAGATCGATGTCACTCGATGAATTGATCACTCGTTTCTCTTGAGCCAACAAAGTTGAGTTCAACATGCAGACCATTGCCTGAAGTAAGTTGAGCTTTTGCGCGTTGAGCTTTAAGGTAATTTTTATAAACTTTAATTTGAAAGATTACAAACTTATGTTTGTAATCTTTCAAATTAAATCTTTCAAACCATGTTCAAATTGCTTCTCATGAGTCCCTCGATAGAAAGAGCGGCAAGAATGAGAAGAGCTACTCTTAAACGAATCGAAGAGATTTTCCATAATGGAGATGATGAGCTCATCACCTGGAAATCGAGTTGAATTCTGGATGAGGAAAATTTAAAGAAAGCAAGTTTTCAAGCAAGCAAGCAAGCAAGCAAGCAAAGCAGAAAGCTTCAGCAAGTTTTCTTAAAAGCTTGTCAAGAAGTGATCATTTTGTAACGAAAATAGAGTTTTTCAAGCTAAAACCGAAGAGAATCCGAAGTGTAAAATTGTAAAATTAGAGGGTTTTAAGGTAAATAATCGTGGTTTCGGATGGTCGGTTGCCATGAGGATTGGAAAGTGATCGAGAGTTTTTAAATGATAGGGTTCAACTTGCCTAACAAAAGGATTCATTCTTGGGAAAAGAGATTACAATTGGGGAAAGAATAAAGTGGTTAAAGAATCTTGGTTTGTAGAAATTTTAGGATTTAATCAAATCTCAGATCTGATCCCAGATCAAACTTTACAGCTAATGGAATGGAATAGAATTTTGTGATTTCGGTATCAAAATGAGATCAAAACACCTATCGAAAACGGCGAATATGATGGTGATTTCGGATTTTTTTATGGATCACTAGTTTTCGAGAAAAACGGCTTTAAAATTTCGAAGTCTACTCGAAAAAAGACATGCTTCTATAACTTCTTTCAGGTAGATATATTTATATATTTAGAGTATATTTAGGTATAACAACCTCTGATGAAAGCATATTCCTGGAAAAACTAAAGTTTAAAAGTTCTATAACCATTGAACTACAAGTAACTATTGAAATTCAATACAAACTTGGAAAAAAGAAAAACAGGATGACACCAGCCTGGACCGAACCAAACCGAATGATCCGCGACCGAATGAGAGGCGAGGACTCTACCAGTCGACCACGAGGACACCGTCTCTCTGTCGGAGTCATTTTATAGAAGCGTTTCTTGCTTTTACTTCTGACCATTCCCTTGTAAGAGAAGCCAATTTTTACTCAGTCAAATCCAGGTAAAAACCAGCCAAAACCAGGCTTGTGAGCTTAAAGTTTAAAAACCGATTTGAACCAAAATCACCAATGTCCATTGGCGATTAAACGACTGGAAAAGTTCGTAAAAACTCAACAGATCCCCCAAAAATCACCCAATAAAAAAAAGGGTTCAACATCAAGAATCTCTTTTTAAGTGATTTTGTTGAAAAATCGGAGATGACAGAAGAAATTGAGCCAAGAAAAGAAGAAGAGAAGAAAAGAAGAAAATGGGGGAAATGGGAGGGGTGGATTGTGGGGGAAAATGTTTGAGAGGAGCTTTCTTTTGACTAGGAAATGTGAAAATGGGTAAACTAGCAGGGAAATGTTCATATTTCTTGTCTACACATGCAAGACATGCAAGAAAACATTGATTTCAGTACAAAATTTCAAAAAGATTCGCTAAAAAGCTGCTCTTTAATGTTAGCAAAAAGAAATTGAAAGAAAATTTGTATGAGAGCTTTTAAAAGCTTTCACAGCTCTTACGAAAGCTCTTACGGAAGCTCTTACGCAGCTCTTACACTTTCACAGCTTTCACAGCTCTTACGAAAGCTCTTACGGAAGCTCTTACGCAGCTCTTACGCTTTCACAGCTTTCACAGCTTTCACAGCTCTTACGAAAGCTCTTACGGAAGCTCTTACGCAGCTTTTACACTTTCACAGCTTTCACAGCTCTTTTAAAAGCACTTACGTTTACTTGAAATTCTCATAAAATGGTCGTCTTTGATTAGAAAATCGAAATCTCAAAGAAATAGTTGAATATTTTTTAGGAATTATTGAGAATATAGAATATTAATCATTGGAAATCATTGGAAATCATTTTTTTTGATGTTTATGTATTTTTGTTTCAAGTTGGATTGGAAAAGGAGAGAAAATTGGACTGGAAAAGGAGGCTACAAACTACAACTCTTAACAACATGACCTATATAAAAAAAAGATGAAATGTTGACAAACGAAATGTAATCTAAAAAGCCCTTTTAAAATCAATTTTCAATCTTTTTTTTTATTGTTTTTGTTTAAGGAAAGAAAATTTAGAATAGCTGATCAAAGATCTAACAAAAAAATGTCATTTCCTTGCATTTTCTGTCTCTTTTCACGCGCTTTTCCTAAAAAATAAATAAGAAAAAGTGTTACGATATTGTTTTTTTGATTGAAAAAACAACAACAAGAGATAAAACTGATTGGAAATGAGCTTTATTTATTTATCTAATCTAATTATTATTAGATTAGATAAATAATAATAATTAGATTAGATAAATCTAATAATAATTAGATGAGATCTAATCTAAATCTCATCTAATTATTATTAGATTTATCTAATCTAATTATTATTATTTATCTAATCTAATAATAATTAGATTAGATAAATAAATAAAGCTCATTTCCAATCAGTTTTATCTCTTGTTGTTGTTTTTTCAATCAAAAAAACAATATCGTAACACTTTTTCATTCTAGTAAGTTATACTTTAAAAAGTATGATTATAAAGCTCGATAAGATTAAGTTTCTAGATTTTCTAAATTTGAGTTTAATGTGTCTAAAAAGATTCAATTTGCTTTTTCCCTTTTTTATTGAAGAAAGATCTCAATCAGCACACTCACAGAATGAAAATTCTCATTATTAAATCGTGCTTAAACCATTTGAATTCTAAATCAAGCGATTTCTAGTCAACAATCAGTTGGTTTAATTTGATTGATATGATTTGATTCTAACAAATAACTTCAATTTATCCATTAACAAGTCATTTTCTGGCTTTAGAATATAACTTAGTTGAATATTAGTTGAATATTAGTTGAATATTAGTTGAAATTATTTCAAAAAGCTCAAAAATTGAAACACAGACTATCTGTTTGTCTATTTTTATTCTTTTATTCTTTTATTATTTTATTGATTTCTCCAACATTACTAATACTTCTCCCTTTTGTCAGAGGCGATAAGGAAAAACAAAATAAACAAAAGAATGCAATTTCGTTGTTGTGTTAGAAAGATTTATTACAAATGGATAGATTTCGTAGCACCGAGTAGAGTGAAGTGTTCTCTTGGTGTACTCAAAATGCAAACAAACCCTTTCTAGTGTACTCAAAATGCAAACAAATCCATTTAGAGTTTCGGCATTTAGTTCTCCAATGTCTTGATGATTCTACAAGTAAACTCCGGCCTTTAATATTTTGAAAATGAAGAATTCAGTTCGCTAGAAAGGGTGTGTTTTCATTTTGACACATTACACTCAAAAGAACCCAGTGAAACCCATATAAAATTGATTTGGCTGATTAGAATCGATCGTCGTCAAGTTTTCTGTCATGGAAGAGAACAAAATCACAGATATTTTACTATAAATACTAAGGGATACTCAATAGGGAAAAGAAAATTGTTTAAACGAAAGTTAAACAAAGTTAAACGAAAAGAATAGATTATAGTGAATAGCCTTGTGATTTTGCCGACTCTCGAAGCTCTGAAAGGGAATGATTCTGGATTGAATTGTGAGTCTGGATTGAATTGTGAGTCTGGATTGAATTGTGAGTCTGGATTGAATTCTATGACTTCATTAGATGATATATTCCATTATTAGACATCTATTCAACACTTTAAATTGTACTGTAAGCTGAAATCTCTGCAAGATTCGACTCACTCAAGATAGCGTGATGTATTTTCTTCCTTGCCCCGACTGTCGCCACTCCAATATCCCTCAATGCAGCCTCATCCAATAATAAAAACGCATCCATGTCAATCTAAAGCAATATTTTTAAAAGCAAAATTCTACATCAAACTTCTTGATCTCTTAGGTTAGCTGTGTATTCACTGAGGCCAAGTTGCGCGAGAACCATTGACGGTTCGATGAAAGAGGCGATATCCCAAGCACTTTCTGAGGTGCCCAATGGGGATTCGAAAATTGAAGTAGACGCGGAAAAAGCTAGAGAATTACTTTATTATCGTTAAAGCTGTTGAAAAACCTGGAGTTTTTGTCTTTTTATGGAAGACTCTTGTGGTTAAAGTGTTTGAAAGAGATGAAGATGAAGCGGATAGAGAGGATTGATCTTCTTCCTCTTCTCTCACCGAAGGCAATCCTTTTGCTGAACCAGAGCCGGGTGCTCCAGACTAAAAGCTTAACATAGTTTATCAGTTTAAAAGTTTCTGTCAATCTAACAGACAGAACTAGGGCTTGTAAGTTTGGCAAATGAACAGGAGCAGAACTGGAGAGCTTGGACCGCCGGTGAACCGCCGGTGAACTTGCTCCGGGGAACTGCCGGTGAACTTGCGCCGGTGAACTGGAGAGCCTGGACCCCAGCGTCTACTTAAAGTACAGTTCAACTCCCAAAGAGAACATCTTATAGGCATCTGTCCTTCCGCTTCCACACGGCACAATGGCCGAATGATTAGCACGCCCCCGCCGGGTGGCAAAGCTGAAGGGTTCGGATCCGCCTTCGGTCAAACGTTTTGCTTTTTTGCCAAAAGCTCAAATGTAATAGAAATAATATAATATCACAAGGAACACAATCTAATCAAAATTCTCTTACCGTTTGTCCTTTCGTTTTCTCAGCTTGTTCTTTCGCATTCAAATCGAGCATTCCTTTGAGAAGATCAGCTGGTAGAGAGCTGCTGAATCCATAACCGGACCAAAAATCAGTCGGATAACGCACTGAGGCGTCGATTGATTCGTAAATAGCTGAAAGATGAAATATTGATTGAAATTAGAGTCTCGATTTCAACCACTGTAATATCAAATCTCACCCTGATGAGCTTTTCTTAGCATCTGTTCACGAGAGGCTCTCCTTGAGGCGGGTTGACCCGTCCAAAGTTCTCTGAATTATCAAATAGTTTATATTTTTTGATAATCTATACTATTAGCTAATTTAGCTTAAATAACTTAAAATTTCTAATGTAACTCACGCATTTCCATTGATATTCTTGGCACTGGTGAGAAGCGAGTGAGCGATCGGGGAGTCGTCTGGATCTGGAGAGAGGGGGATGTCCTAAAAAAAAAAGTGATCAAAAGCATTTTATAGTTAGGCTAAAGTCATAATAATCTTTATATAATCATTAAAATAATCATAATCTTTAGAAAATGTTCTCAAAAATTCACCTGAACGATGTCTTCCAGTGTGGAGCCTCTGCCAACAAGCGATCTCGAGAATGGGGTGCTTGAATCTGGGTTCAGATTTTGAAATGCTAATTTTGGATACTGTAAGCCTATGTCTCATTACAGTATGCATAAAAATAAAGGCTGAATAGCTTTCAACAAGGCTGAATAGCTTCCAACAAGCCTGAATAACTTTGCGATAAGTTGACTGATGTTAAAGCCGTCAATTGAATACTTTTCTATCGACTGCCACTTTTTATACTGTAGCAAGACACTACCCTAAGCTTCTACCATATCTTCTAAACAAATTTAGCTTCAATTTTCCACCATTTATCTGATTCTTCATGAACGCGTAATCATCATCGATCGCTTCACTCTGTTCTTGTCCCAAAATTCTCTGTCGAGCGCGCAGCAAGTCGACGATTTTCTCCTCACTTCCACGCAAGACAAAAGACTAGAATTATTGAATCATGGCTAAAATCTAGTCTCTACTTACAACTTGTTCCCCTCCTTGCACCGTTTTGGCTTTTGTTTGCACGGTGATCCCGAAATCGTTCTCAATCGCCGTGAAATCGACTTGAGAAATCGATGGAGATTGGTCGAATTGAAGAGAAACGGAAAGCATTCCCTAGAACTTTTTGTTCAAATTGGCTGCTCAACTACGGTACTTTAGTTGCAAAATACTAACTACAGTACCATCATAAATTTTCTCGCTTTGAGGCATCCTTTGAGGGGTCCTTTAAATGAGAGATTGATCGAGTTGAGCGGTTGGAATGGGCCTTGTTGAGAGTGGGGCCATTCGATATGAACACACCATTGAGTGCAAAGAGATTCCAACCTAGAATCAATCATTTTATCAAAAACATAATGTTCGGGCTAACTTTTGTATGGTGGATGGTTTGTGGAGGGCGCTCGTCACGGATGGCCTCAATTCGATGCCAACTCGGCAGAGGATCGGCATCTCTGACTTAAAATTGTGCTGTTATTAGCTCATAAAGAGCTGAGTGAAACAAAATCTAAAAACGAATCACGTGGATTTAGATTTGACGCTTCGTGACTCAAACTTTGGCTTTAAACACCTCAGCGCTCAGTTTCGGTAACTTTATAACAAGTTTCAACTAATAGTCTTTCATTCTTTGCAACAGATAGGTACTTCTGTACTTCTAGAGAGAAGTACCGATCTGTACATCTGTACTTCTGTACATCTGTACTACTAGAGAGAAGTACCGATCTGTACATCTGTACTTCTGTCCATCTGTACTTCTGTCCATCTGTACTTCTGTACATCTGTACTTCTAGACAGAAGTACCGATCTGTACATCTGTCTGTCTATCTGCCTGCGCAGAAGTCTTGTGTGGGTACTTCTGTAACAAGTCTCGTATCCACGACTCTGACCTTTGCCTAGTTAGATTTTATGAAACAATGATTTCGGTGTTGATCTTACCATGGTACTTGTTTAGTTAAAGGATAAATTCTCATAAGAGAACGGAATATGAACAACTAACACAGAAGTTATGGATACTTTTAACTTTTCCAGACAACTCAACTTGAGTACAATGCAAGCAAAAGCTTATATGTTACATCCAATTTTGAATCTATTCAATAACGGACGGTTCTGAATCGGACATCCAATTTTAATGGTTTCAAAATCGTGTCATATAAAAGTGTCATAACCTCTTACATACATGCATATGAAGAAGTCTTGACAAGAGATCGATCGCTTCAAGAAAAGCACTCTCTTGTCCAGCACATCCCCGTAAAGCACAACTTAAAACACAATCGCTCGTCTGAAAAATGAAAATTGAAAGTTTCGCTTAGGTCACACCTTTTTCAGCACAATGTTCACTTGTTGATTTGTTGGTGGAAGGTTCGGAGGAGTCGGTAAAAGCCATGGGACATCGAAGGTAATCACGATTGGACACAGTTCCTAGAAGGTTTAAGATATCAAAATTTCAATGGATACTATAAAGGACTATAAAGGGTACTATAAAGAGTACTATAGAGTACAATAGAGTACTATAGAGTACTATAGAGTACTATAGAGTACAATAGAGTACTATAGAGTACTATAAAGACATTACCCTCAACAATCGCCTTGCCATTTCCACTTGTGAAGCCGAGCCGGCTATCGAGACTTGATCACTTTTTGAAAGATCTTCACTAAACGAAATTTTATATGCAAAGTGTTTTACTCGATTTTTAGATAGTACCTGTACTTGTTACCATCGGGAAAATGTACATGACATCCTGTGTGTTTCATTACCGCTTGACTTCCCCTTCCACCTCTTCCAATGATGTGTGAGTGAGCCGAGTGCTCGATTTCCATCTTTAGCGTCACTCGGTCTCTCTAAACGTTGAAAGCTTATTCTCGTTTTCGAGCTTTATGCCTCAGGGCTTAGATTTCTATGTTTTGTCTCATTTACTCGAGCAACAAGGCCACCATGGCTCATGGCTGACTGGCTAAGAGGCCTGTTTCTTACGAGGAAAGGTCAACTGACAGAGCCAGCCAAATGCTAGAGTATGTCGACGAATTTCTGAAAAATGTTTTACAAAAAAGCATTTTGGCTGACTAGCTAAGAGCCCTGAATCTTACAAGGAAAGGTCAATTGGCGGGCAATTGGTCAAATGCTATTCAACCCACACCATTCGACGCGGAATTTGATGCTGATTCTGAATAGATTCCGTTTTTGCTAAATGGCAATCTGCCAGGAGTTATAAGCGCCTAAAGTTTTGTTGGGACTCTGAAAATGTCATCATTTGCTAGTCTTAGCGGGCTCTTGCTAGTCTTGTGGTCTTAGCGGCCTCCTTGCGGTCGCGATTCCGTTCAGCCTTGGCCGAGTAGTACAGTGTTCGTTTCCAGAGCGGAGCCCCACGGCTTGACCTCGCGGGTTCGTTCCCCGCTTTAGATTTTTGCACTTAGTGTAGTTTCTTTTGCAAGGCCTTACTTTGACTTGCAACGTGGCCGCAATAAGCTGTCGTGCACAGTCGACTTGATCGGGTAAACCGAGGATTTTCACATACGGATCTTTCTTCGTTTTCGCGCCAATCTTCAACTTTGACGGCCAACAAACAGTGGCCGCCGAGATCTTCTCGACTTTCTTGAAAAAATCCTCAGCATTCGGGAGGTAAATTGATGAACCTTGAAGGGAAGAGCCTAAAGGTAGGCAGGTAGCTTTAGAGAGATGGATGACTTGTTCAACTAGCAACCAGCAACTAGTAACCAGCAACTAGCAACCAGCTTTACCCACCAGTGATCATCGCCTCCAATCTCTTCCGATCCACTTGTAATTTGTGCTCAATCCATCCAGGTGGCAGGGGTTCTTGTGTTCCGTTCTCTTCTCCATCCATCATTCCAAACGGTGAGTCCATTCTTGTTTCATTCATCAATCGAACGCCAGCTTCCATCAAAAAGTTTCACAAAAGGAATGGGTTTCTTTTTAGGGTTAGTTCTAAATAAATCGTTCTAAATAAATAATAAATAGAAGAAATTTGAATTTAAACGGGTTTAAACGGGTTTACATCTGTCAAAAAAAAACAAAATATCAAAGCGAAAACGGGTTTAAAGCTTTTAAATATTGATAATTGTTGTACTTGTTGGTGGTAATCTCAAAGTTCTAACCAGAAAAAGATAAAGATAAAGCTAAAAAAATCTCTGAAAGAATATCAAGATAATCAATAAATTCTCTGTAAATTCATTGCAATCAATGAAATCCGCAAAAATTTCATGAAATCACTCTCATTCTCGACCTTTTTCTGTATCTTTCCAAAAATGGATTGATGATCATCAATAGTTTTTTTTATTGCCATTTTCTTTGAGAGTTTTCTCTTTTTCTCCCCTCTATTTCCCTAAAAATTTCGGTGATATGAACTGATTGTGGGTTGATTGGAGTGGTTGACACCTTTCTTTCGTTCTTTTACTTTTTTTCTTTTCTTTTTCTTTTCTTTTTCTTTTCTTTTTCTTTTCTTTTACGTTGATTACACGTTTCAAGGTAATGAAAATATGGGCAAAACGGAAGTAAAGGGTTTGATGAGGGATGATGATGAAGATACGGACATCTAAGGTACTATTTATTTGCTTCATCTATTTTCTGGTACTTCTGACTAGAAAATTACGCTTTTCTGGTACTTCTGACTTTTTTTTCCACTCAAATTTCCTTATCTTTTACTACATTTATATAGATGCACTTACAAAATACAGCTTATATTTCAGACATGGAAATCTAAATTCGGTTCCTTATCTCTCTAAATTCAGTTCCTTATCTCTCTAAATTCAGTTCCTTATCTCTCAAAATTCGGTTTCGTATCTCGTTAGATTTGGTTCCTTTTCTTATAATTCGGTTCCTTATCATATAAAAAGCAGAAGAGACGTCTGTCCGTATGTCTGTCTGCCCGTATGTCTGTCTGTCCGTAAGTCTATCTGTCCGTAAGTCTATCTGTCCGTATGTCTGTCTGCCTGTTTGTGCGTAGCCATTGGCAAAAAGGGGCAGGGCTTAGATTGCGCGGAAAACGCGAGCGTTTAGTGAGAGTTTTCGGTAAAATGTAGGCAAACAAGTCAGTAATAAGGCAAAGGGAAAACGTTTTCATTTGCAAAACAAAACACTGAATAAATCAAGAAAATCTCAATATATTTGATAAAAAGAACATAAATAAAAAGAGAAGAATAGCTCTTCATCGAATTTAACAGCGGAAATCATTTCGCCGTCAAAATCAACTGATCGAGAGAAGAAATTCGGGCAATGTGGAAATTGAAACCGGTTTTTTTTCTTCTTCTTCTCATATCGTTCTCGGTCATTATCGATAAAGTTCTTGTGATATAAGTAATAGATTTTCTATCTAAATGCTTCATTTTTGCTTTGCTTTTGCTTAAAAACCATCTTTTATATATCTTTTTCTTCACTTTAGCAGCCAATCCAAGCTGGTGCATAAAATTGAGAGTTTTCTGAAAGAGATTCCTTCATTTTGAGTGTAGTTGATCGATTGGAAAAGTGTCTAGAATTTCTAAAATTAATTGTAAACTAAAAAAGTTGCTTCTTTACTCAAATTCCATTGAAATTCTTCGATTGTTGGAGAGATAAGTAATCAAAACAATGAAACAAAATCGATAAGCAATGATAAATCGATAAGCAATAGCTTGATTGCCCAAGGTTGTCCAATGAAGTGATTGCCCAATGAAGTGATTGCCCAATGAAGTGATTGCCCAATGAAGTGATTGGCCAATGAAGCGACTGCCCAATGAAGCAATTGCCCAATGAAGTGATCGTCGATACTCCATGTGAACATTGAAAGGATAAGGACACTTGCCTCAACATCACTTGCCAAACACTTCCCAAACATTGCCCAAACACTGAAACACTCCAAACAGCCCAACACATTGCCAAACACTTGCCAGCCTCAAAACTTGCCTCAACATCACTTGCCTCAACATCACTTGCCTCAACATCACTTGCCAACTCTTGAACATAATTTTAGCTAGACATCATTTTAGGAACACTTGAAATTTAGCACTTTTTTTTTAGAAAAAAACTATTGATTGAGAAACCTCGAAAAACGGTAAATCGAATGCGATTTCCACTAATATTTTAATAAATAAAACGATCTAAAACAATGAGGCCATTAGAGCTATTTTTATTTTTATTTATTCAGCACAATTTTCTTCATTGCACATATTTTTTCACTGGATATAATTTTAGGAAAATCTCCGGAAAAAATGAACTTTTTTAGCAGTAATAAAAACCTCGAGAAACGTTTTTTAGTAATTTAATAGTGTTGATTTCAAATCTAGAAACATTTTGTCGATAGCTCTTACCGTTTTCGAGATCTGAAAACTCGATTTTGTATGGAAAAATCAGTTTTTCTACAAACAGTTTTTCTACAAATGTTTTCCCCAAAAACATCATGAGTTTCAGAAATTAGATCAAATTTAAGCAAGACTCTTCTTTGGGAGTTCGACGATTGGCCGTGATGGCCGAATGATGGCCATGGCCGTGTCGGAATGGTTGATGAATGGCCGTGTCGGAATGGTTGATGAATGGCCGTGTCGGAAAGTGAAGATGAAAAAAACTACCCAAAATGAAGCCATTTTACACAGGAAATGAGTCTTTTTCGAACCCTTCAGATTCATCTCAACTTTACGCCATACTGTACTGTAGTCCGGTCGTGTACTGTAACGGAATATCAAATGTCAAATATCAAATAGTGTACTGTAACGGATATCATAGAGTTGGATATGCTTAGATGCTAGATACTGTATGAGACAGGAAAAATGAGAATAAACGAGAAGAATACCGTATTCTCTCTAATAGTAGTGAGCACTACTATTTTTTTGAACCTCCTTCTGGACCGGAATACTACTAGAGAGTGCACTATTGTTAAAGAGTTTTATCATTTACTAAAGTAAGACAGATAAGATTTTTATCCAAAATTCTTGCAAAAAAACAACTTTCTAAAAATTTATTGCCTTCTGATCACAAAAAGTTAACTAGACAAAAAATCTACAACAGAATCATCATTTGAAACATCATCCTTATTTATTGGATTGGTGAATTGAAAACTGCGGGGTATTTCGCGGGACTCGCAGATAAAAAAATAAAAAAAACAACAGCATTGAACCAGCTGAGAGGGGGTTTGGTTACTTCAACATTTCCTCTAGTTATTGCGGAAAAATTATCCTTCCAGCTTTTTATTTTTTGGTATTTTTCTTCACTTCTTCTATTGCACTAGACAATCTGCCACCGGGACATATTCGTCATGTCATGCTTCATGAGTTCCTACAAGAGCACAGTGCAGGCTTGGCAGCTGCTAATATTAAAAAGATATATGGGGAGGAATCACCTTCCCGAAAGAATGTCTCGAGTATGGTTTGCCAAGTTTCGATCTGGGGAAAAATCTTTGAAAGAAGAAGAGGGCCGTGGAGCGGCAACTGGATGACTCCAGTTCTGGATGACAGGAAGATTCATGGATATTTTTCACATTATAAGACCGAGATGCAAGCATTGAGGTAAGTTTGTATTGAACAAATCAAAATTAGGCTGATTAAGGCGGCCGGGGACAACAAAATTTTTCCTGTTACGAGAGACTTTTTCACCAATAATTATGCGATAGGATTGCAAGAAGTTTGGCTGATTGGTCACGGGAATGCCATGGTTGATCCATTAAATGACATGGTTTGTTTTGATTTAACTGCCAATGAACCATTTTTTGTTGCCGCGCTTGCTCCGCTTAATATTTATTGTTTAGATCTTGTTGGATTCAACTTTTTCGATTTTTTGCGTTTTTTTTTCTAAGAAGTTACGGGTGCAGTCTTAACGGGATTCTAACGATGATGCGACACTGGTACACTTCAGAGCGTCAAATCGATTACATTGACGTTAGCAGTTGAGCAGTTGGCGGGGGAACGGAACATTAAAATGTGAGCCCTTTTACTTTCTTATTTTGCTGAAAATAACTTAGATGCAGTTTCCAAAAAAAATCTGAAAGATCGATTTAACTATTTTAGTCTAGATAGCCTTGATAATCATTGAAATCATTACAAAGCAATCGGTAGTTTTCTCGATAAAATTGTTCAAATTTTTAGTTCTTGCACAACTTGCCTAGATTACAAGCTGTTAAACGGTTCCACGACGAGGGTTACATCTCTTCTGAAGACGCTTTGAAAAGAGCAACTGGGGACTTGAACTTTGTGTTTATGTTAATCAAGAGTGAGGCGATCTTTGGTATGTTTTAGCATGGTTTTTTTCTAACGTATGAAACGCGTTCAATGAAACTATCTACCGTATTTTCTCTAATAGTAGTGCACCCAGAGCGTCGCCTAAATTGCTCGAAATCTCGAGAACCGTTTATCAGAACCTATCGATGTGGGGTCAGAAAATGTAGCTGACGATGAGACCTAGTGTTGGATTTGAGTGCTGAGCTTCTGTGAAAACTTTGAAAGCCGTAAAATAGTCACCAACTCGGCTCGGCGGGGTGCACTACTATTAGAGAAAATACGGTATTTAAGATTTGTTTTAGTATCGACATGGTTCGACTAGTCCCTGGCCCGGAAGTGGACTTATATACAATATTACGACATAGGATAATCCACCATATTTATTCTCTATTTTAAATAACTGTATTTTGTTTTCAACGAATTTGAAATGTCTTTTAAAGCTTAAGTTTCCATGTTGGAATTGTGATTGCTATTTCTTAGAAAGTACAAAGTACTACTAATACAACAATTTGAAACTCTTCTCACACTCTAAATAAATCTTTCATGATTAGATTCTTCTTGATACTTTGGTTTAATCCGCACTTTTTATTTCGAGTTTTAAATCAAAACTAGTATGAGTTTATAAAAATCGTATCAGGTTTGAGATGAGTTTTTTCTCGAACACGAAAACTCCACCGAAGCCTCTTTTTGGCTCGACAGCTGGACTAGTTCGAGTACGTTTTTATTCAAATTTTTAAGTTAAGAACAAAGTTAAGCATTATCGTCTCAATTTTTCTTATTTCTAGCCACCAATTTGTTTGCATTAACCGCTCCGGCAGCAACTCCAAGTGCCGAAACATGGCAACTTCGGCTGCTGCAACGAGTGGCACCTTATTTGGAAAAGCGAGCACAGCAAGCAATCTCTTCTCAACACGTATTTTATGTTTCTTTGGGTTTTAGTTATCAAAAGTTTTACTAGCTTTGGTTCACCGGCATCGACAAGTCTTTTTGCCACAAATAAACCGGCTTTGACGACAAGTGGTGGACTTTTTGAAGGCCCAACAGCGCAACAAAAACCCACTGTCATGCGGGACACCCCTTCAAACGATACTACAGGTTGAGCAATTTCTCTTTGTTGAACATGCCACGGTTTAGAATTCCGATATATGCAGTTTTGCCTTTTGCACATATAAAATCATTTTGACTAAATGACAGACTAGTAGCCAAAATCATTCTAAACATTGATCACCCATTACCCAGCTTTTCTGAGCGATCCATTGTGAATAGAATATTAGAATATTATCCAGTCAAAATCGTTTTTATATGTGCAAACGCAGAAATGCATCTATTGGGTTGGGGACTATGACTCGGCGCCAAACTTTAAAGGGACTTTTTGCACACATAAAGCCTTCTTTAAACATACGTTTGGTTTCATCAAAAGGATCCACTATTTCTCTACAAAATCACTTTTGAGAGATTCCACAAAGCTTTTCTTTCGTGGAGTTTATGGACTCCCAAACACAGCTAGTCAAAATGGCAAAGAGTCCGACTCATCATTTGAACAGTTTCTTTCACATAAACCTTCTTTGGTGTTTATATAAAAAGATAGAGCACATTCAATTACTTAAGTTGCCAAATTTGCAGGAAGATCCCACCAATGGTTTTTTCTAGATCACAGTTTGTAGTTTTTGTGAAAAAATGGCTTTTTCTTGAGCGGAGGCGCTGTTTGAATTTTCTTTTAAATGTCATTTTGTAGAGAATTAGTTAACCATTCTACTGATATCAAACGCATATTATTTGACGAAGTCGAATAGAAGTTTTAGACATTTTTTTGATTTTCGGCGCCGAGTCATAGTCCCCAACCCAATAGTTTCTAAAAAACAAACAGCAAAAATTTTAAATAAGTTATTCTCGCAAGATCGCGAATTTTGGAGCGAAACTAGTAAATTTTGCTAGATTTAGCGAACTCTGGACCCGGGCCCAGGAATCAGGAATCAGCCAGGAATCAAGCCCAGGAATCAAGAAGAAGCCAGGAATCAAGCCCTCTACTCCTTGTCCTGGCCCAGAATTATTTGTGCTATGTTTTTCAACGTATAAATAATTTTTCTAAAATCTCAATGAACTAACGTGATAAAGCTTCTACAAAGGTCCTGATCATGATTCAATCAATAAAGCAAAGGAATTTTCAAAAATTAAGAAACCCGTAGATTTTCTAGAAAGAAAAGTGAGAACAAGAAAAGAAAAATAACTAGAATACTAGAAATTTGGAAAATAAAACATTCTCAAACATGAAGCTTCTTTTCAGACATTTTCCCAATTGATTCGAACCAAATCGGGGTGTAGAGATGGGAGTCTTCTGCAACTTTTTACATAAAGAGATGACAAATTCTTTGTGCCGTGATAAAGCAGAGTCAATCGATTTTTCTATTTGTCTCCTTTACTCACTCATATTCCATTGCAATTCGTCGATCTGCGGGACGACAAGAATGCGCATTTCACTCACAGCCATCGATTCGTAGATACTCCAAGTAAACAATGAAATGATGAGAATCATGTAGCCGAACATCACGTCCCAGTTCACTGAAATATTTGACTTTGCTGGGCTTTGGACTTTGCTGGACAGCACTCACCCCACATATCACATTGTGGATAGGCTTTGAACGCGAAAATATCATAGAAAATGGGCATCGCCGAGCTGAGAACACCGATAACACAAAGAAAACAAATAAAACCACCAAAACCGAGTAATCTCTCGGAAAGGGATTTCTGGAAATTGAATATTCTAAGGTCTATTGTTCATTGAACCTTATTTGGGAGCACCAGCAACATAACGATCATTCGAATTGAAGCCACCACAAAGAGGGAAGCAGCCGATGGGTGAAAGAGCCACATGACTAAAATCGAGTGAGCTTTTCAAACCATTTATACATAATTTTAAAAATTCTATCAACAAACTTTTTGAATCCTCTGTGCTTTGGAGATTCGTGAGGAAAAAGGAGACAAGACATTCGAAACTTATCAACAATACGGCTGAGCAGGCGAGAACTCTGAAAGTTTTGGGTATCATAGGCAAGCATTTTGGTCAAAATTAGTGCCGAATAACAAATGCTTTACTGCATAGATTCTATTGAATTTATCTATTTGACACAAACTTGACAATTGAAATGAAAAAAATGCCTGATCCCAAGCGATTTCCCATCAATATTCAAACGAGCGATCACCACAAAGAGAGTGACGAAAACCCGGAATCCCATTGTGCCCAAAACGGTGAAACGGATGAAAGACTGAATATTTGATAATGTTAAATTAAGTAAATAAAGGAGAAATGTTTCATTTGTTGAATCTGATAGTTTCTAGTTGTTGTTAGCTCAATGAACACCAGTTTTGTGTTTTTGAATACACTGAATGCTCAACGCTACAAGACGATTCTGGAGAATGATCTTCTACCGTTTTCGACCGCAAATATGAGCCAAGGTTGGTTGTTGTACCAGGACAATGCCCCGTGCCACAAGTCACAGCTGCTGATGGGCGCCGTGTTCGACTCGCCAATCCTCCAACGGCTCTGTTGCCAGGATGGTTCAAAGCAAATCGTGTTCAACTTGTGTCTGCTCCTCCCTGTAGTCCTGATTTGGATGTGATCGAGAGCTTGTGGGCGTTTGTGAAGTCGAAATTGAAGGGGAAACTATTCGGATCAAAAGTGGAGCTTTGGTACTTCATCCGTCGAGTCTGGACAACTATTGGACCCCAAATTCTACGTGATCTGATTGACAAGCAGTAATTGCGGCTCGTGGAGGACCTACTAAGTATTGATTTTCATAATGTTTTCTCACATGTTAAAAGAATGCCTGATCCCAAGCGATTTCCCATCAATATTCAAACGAGAGTGACGAAAGAGATCACCACAAAGAGAGTGACGAAAACCCGGAATCCCATTGTGCCCAAAACGGTGAAACGGATAAAAGACTGAATATTTGATAATGTGAAATTAAAGAGAAATGTTTCATTTGTTGAATCTGATTGTTTGTAGTAGAAAAGCGTACTGTTGTTAGCTCAATGAATAGCTCAATGAACAGCTCAATGGATACCAGTTTTGTGCTTTTGAATACTGTACTTTTGAAGTTGTGAATACTTTATCCAAGGAATTTTGGAGGATGGTTGAAAGCAGCTCGGAAGATAGTTATTGTTTGGCTATGGTAGCGTAACGACCCACCTGTCCATACGGTCTCATCTGCATCAGTCTGTACAACGAGATGAAATTCGGTATCACCTCGGTTATGTTCCTTGGCTGAATCAAATTTAAAATCAGCTTTAGAAAGCTTTAGCATACAGTACCAAACAAAAATTAGACCAAGAGGTGCCGAAAGAGTATCTGATATAGCCCTTTATATAGTAGGGGAAAGCCCATGAAACCTAAAGTTATTGTTCGAATTTTGGAAGTTCGAAAGTTGTTGTTCGAATTCAAAGCTCACATTTCGATACTCCAATTCCCCGGTTTGATCGTTGGGAAAGAAATAGTAGTGGGTGCCTGGAAATGCTCATTTTTCGATGGTGATTTTCTGAAAATAACCGTTCGGATGGGTGTGATAGTGTTCGAGTTGCCATCTCGTGTCATTCGACCCTCGATCTTTACCCATTTCAGGACCGGATAAACCATCAAGGCCTAGGATTGAAAAGTTTAACTCAATTTTCAAGCCCTTCCCAGCAAATGCCGCTCTCACCTGCTAGCACAAAAAATAGAGTGGACACGGCGATGAGTGCGAGAGCGATGGGCGAAATTGAGCAATCGAGCATCGCAAATTCATCCTCGATCTCCGGTTCACACATACGATCCTCATGCTTGCGCATTTCCTTTCTTTCAAATCAATGAAGCTTTTTTTTTGCCGTGATTATTTGATTTCTGAAAGCTCAACTGGATTCGGCAAGCAAAAATGAGCGAACATGAAAGAAAGACAAGGGAGAGTTGGGCAAAATGAGCTCAAAGAACAAACATATATTGAAGTGGATAGTGGAAATACATTTATTTAACACGAATAATGTAGTACAAAGAATACACAAGCACAGTCCTTAAGCCCTAAATGTAGACAAGAAAAAAAAACAATTTGATATATGGGAAAAAAGAACCAATAATCTAGTCGGCGAGATTGAACCCTTGACCTCTTGGCTAAAATACAGGGCTCTTAGCCAATCGGCCATAGCGGCCAAAACGGTTGGCTCTGGACTAACTAGCGAAGTACTAGGTCACTGTGGGATTTCGAAACGAGATCTAGCTCATCCGATCGAAAATCGAACGAGGAACCCGAGTCTGTAATCAAAATCTGCTGAATAGCTCGTAAACGCGATGGGAAATTGAACAATAAACACTTTTTATTTTGAGGAAACCATAAGTTAATAGGTGAATTTTTTTCATTTTACAACGAAAGTATGAAAAGGAACGAAAAGACTTATTCACCTAATAGGATGAAGATGAAGACTGATTCAAATGATAGATTCAAATGATTCATTTACTTAAATCTAATTGTTATGCAAGTCCAGTAAGCCCATTCAAATCTTCAACAAATACAACAAACAACAAACAACAACAACAATAACTACTACTACTACTACTACAACAACTACCACCAGTTCAACGAATACAACTACAACCACTACTACGACCACCACAACAACAACAACAACAACGACGCCGACGACAACAACTACTACAGTGACGACAACAACAACAACAACAACAACAACAACAACAACAACAACACAACAAACAAACAAACAAACAAACAAACAAACAAACAAACAGCAACTAGTATTTTAAGCAGCAAGAATCTCAACTTAAACTTAAGGTAATCAGTTTTATTTGAAACTTTTGACAAGTAAAGATTTGACTTTTTTTGTGTAATAGTCGAAAGTCAGAAATGAAATGGATTCTCGTGAGGATTCTCAATTCTCAAGGAAACAAGTCAGAAAGAATTTAATTACAGTGAACACCACAATTTCCAGGAAATTTTCCCAACTAGTTGAACTGAAAACGAGAAATAAACCAGAAAAATGTACGAAATCTTGTTTTTCTTTGTGACTTTTGCTATGATAGGGATTACTGTATGGCAGAGAATCTCTTTGAGTTGTGCAAAATGAGCTCAAAGAACAAAGTATGTTGAAGTGAGTAGTGGAAAGGCTTAAAAGATTCTCTAAACTCAAGAGTCAAGCAGCCAGGCCATCCATCCGACTTGGCCTAAAATACAAAAAAGTAGCTCGCGTCTGGCACTTCCCCTAGTTGAACTGTAAGCGAAAGCGAACTGTACCAGGCCAAGACCATGGTTATGTTAGGCTAAATCCATGGTCAGCTCAAGCAATTTTTGAGAATTTGTTCAAACCTTGTTTAAACCACACCAATTGCAATTGGGGCTGCCTTGTTTCAAAAAAAGTACCCATTAAGTCCACTGCAATTTCCTCTACTGCAATTCTCAGTCCACTGCAATTCTCAAGCAGTGAAAGCAAAAAGTGAATCGACCATCATGGTTCAAAGTGAGCTGAAAACACTCTGCGTACCTTACATCATGGAAATCCTTTTCCCTTCGAGATCTTCTCTTTTTGCAGAAAGAGAAAATCTAGCTCTATCTGCCTCACCGAATAAAAAAATCTCAATATCTCAATAAATAAATGAAAAACACTAGTAGCAAGCGAGTCTAATTGCTGGTTGAACTTCAAACTCACTTTATCTCAAAAGGTTTATTGACTGTATCGATTTTGTTTGCTACTTCCCATGTTCGTCGGGCCAGTTCTATCTGCCTCACCGAATAAAAACAATGCCAAGATCACTAATCTTATTCTGTTATCTGTTTTCCCAATGTGATCGAAAAGCGCTACAACATTTTTCCAGAAGTGGAAGTTTTATGACTAAAAGAAGGCTATACCGGATGGCTTTTGGAGGGAAAAGAGAATGCTTTGAACGCTTTGAAGATTGAGAGAAGAGAAGAAGAAGAGAAGAGAAGAAGGAGAGAAGAGAAGAAGAAGAAGAAGAAGAGAAGAGAAGATTGAGGGATTTGTGGAATGTTGTGACGTTTATCAATGATATAATATTACAATACTAGAATCATAGTTAAGTATTTGAAAGTGTATGATGCTAAAATGCAGAGTGTTTTTAGCTCACTTTGAACCCCTCTGATTTTTGTTCTATCGTCCAAACAACAAAAATTAAGGTCGAGGCAACGGAAAACGAAATTGCTTCAAATAGACACAAATTCGAGTAACAGAACAGCCGAGTTTCTATTGATTTTGAAGCAAATTTCTTCTTGAAATGTTCTATGAAAAAATTTCAAGAAAATTAACTCTGTGTAACTCTTTGATGAGTTTAAAACCTATCTAGAGAAATGTGGATAAAGGTTTTCTGGTGTTGAATTCCAAATGCTGTCTCGAAGCTTTAAGTCAAGATCAAAAAGACAAATTTTAAGAGGAGGAAAAGCGGGGGAAAAAAATACGAATCTTTTTCAGAAACCAAATACGAACAACAGATCATCGTATACTAAACGGCTAGTCAGTTAGAGAAGTGAGCGAAGGTGAGAAAACAAAATCAGTCAACCGCAGTAAATCCACCCTGTCGATTGCTCAAGAATGGCAAAAAAAGGAGTGAAAATTTGCGAGCTGGGGAACGAATTTAGCGAATTTATATAAAGTAGGGATGTTCTATACTAACTTTCTACACAAATGAAGTTGTTTTTTGGGTAGAATTCGAGGTGGAAACGAAGAAAAACAATAGAAAACTTGCTAGAGTAAAGGGGATGGAATTTTGGGTGAAAATTGAGGGAAAAGGGAGGAGAAATAAGGCCAAATAAGGCCAAATGAGGCCAAATGAGGCCAAATGAAACAAGCAATAGGCTAAAGTAAAGAACATGAGTAAAAAAAGTGATGGTAGATAGGGCAGTACGTAAAGATTACGATGATTACGATGTTACAGTAGCTTTTTCTGAAGCTAATCTTTTCAAAGCAGAGTTCCACTGACAATGAGTGCCGTATAAAAACCAAAAGGAAAGCCTCTCGTTGTGACCACGAGAAAAAGGGAAATAAAAGAAGAGGAGAGTGAGAAAGAAGCATTGTATCCATTCAGAATCACCAATACAGCGCACATTTCCCGTCAATCGAAAGCCTTGGCTCGAAAAAAGGAGCTTGGTAAGAGATCTGAGTGATTCAAAGTGAGGCTCTTCCACAGGCTCTTCCCCAGGCTATTCCTCTTTCCACTTCTCCCCATGACATCGATCGCATTCACGCAATTGATGGCCCGTGAACGATGCCCGCACAATTGAACGAAAAGACGAGCCTGTTAAGCCTGTTTTGATCACACAAACTCGGCGATGAGTTCGATTTGATTTTTGCGTTTGAAAAGTGAACTGGATTTGGATTGAAATCGATTTGCATACGTTAAAGGGGCTCCAGAGAAAGCTACAGTAATCCGATTGCAACTTCATTGAAGAATCTTCATTGAAACCCCTCAAAGCTTCAAAGGATTAATGCTAAATTTAGTGGTTTTCATCAAAATACAGCGTGATTACCGTGAATCCTTTTCGCAAAACGTTTGGCAAATAAAGTAATGGCCTTAAAATGTAGGGATTTTAGTCAAATATTCGTTTATTATGGGTAAAAAAGAAATTTTCTAGTTGAAATTTTCATCACTTTGGGTTAAACAAGTCAGTTAGATCAGTAAGCGAAGGTGAAGAAAAAAAAAATCAGTCAACCGCAGTGAATCCACCCTGTCTATTGATATGTTAAAATCTCTTTGATATGAAAATTTCGACTAGTGAAACCGTATCGGATACATGAAAAAGGAGAAATAATTAAAAATTAAAAAAACGGCAGCCAATAAAGAACAAAAATCAGCAAGGAGGATGGCTTTATTATTGATGAAAAAAACGGTGATCATATACGTTAGCTCTCGATTCTTATTTCAATGGCAAACCTTGAAAACATCACAAAGAAACATAAAACCCACTTCTTTCAAAATTAGCATTCGAACTTTTTTTATGTGTTTAACTGTAATTATCCAACAAACCATCATATCATTTTAACACTTATTAGAAATTGGTTCTAGGAAAGGCATGATAAAAATTTCGCCAAATGAGGAAGGGCAAAATGTTGGGGGTGAACCCGTTGATCCTCTTTGCCTAGACAACGGAGGAGACACACCCTGCTGGGTATTCAAAACGGGAAAGACACGGAAAAATACACCATTCTCGCCGCTATGTGCCTCCGCTTAATTTCTCGTCCTCCATTGCACACCCCTAATTTCAATGCCAGTGCTTCCATAGATCAAGAGCGTCTTCTCGAACTTTTATGTAAAATATTTATTTATTTAATATTTATATTTATTTATTATTTATGTAATATTTATTTTAAGAACAGAAACTTTGTGTCTCATTATAAAAAAAGATCACCGCACATGATTTTGAGAATACCCGAAAATGACAACATAACTATTGATAAAGCTTTAAAAGAAGAACAAAAGCGAATTCATTCGTGCATCTTCTCCTCGGTGGGTGCCTCGTCTCGACAAACACACAATGGACGAGAGAAAAGACTCTGAATAAATTGTTTAAAATAGTTCCGTCAAGAAAACACAAAGGCTTGAATTGATAGTACACTCTTCAAAACTGATTAGCCAAACCTTTTTAACTTCCATCGAGATGAAGCCACATTGAAGCTCGTCTTCTATTGTAAGAGCATCAGAAATCGCCTAAACGATAACCCTCATAAAATTCTATAATTCGATGACTTGATGATTTTCATTAAATGAACTCACTTTATCAACTTTCTCCAAAATATCTTTGTTTCGTTCTGAGCGAACCGTCTGACGCTCAATCTGCAAAATTGAAAAGCTTTATTAAACTAAAATTTGAACGTACCTGCTTAACCTTTCCAGCAAGATCCTTGATTTGCGAGTTAATGTAATCAGAATTCGCAAAAATCGGTGACCCACGAAGTGTGTTAATCCAGTAGGTATTAAACATCGACTTCAGCATCTTATCATCTAAAATTTCTTATGTAAGAAAACAACTGATTAATCTGCTAACCAAGAGCGCTTTTGAAGAAAGTGACGTCCAATGGGTAGTAAGATTTACAGTGGACTCCAAAATCTTCAATTTTGTGCAAAGGAACACTCTGAAATGAAAAAGACCTAGTCAAATTGAAAAGAAATTAAGAAATTAAGGCCTATAAATGAGCATCGCATACTTGATATTCATTGGCGCTGCTACCACGCTCATCTGGTGGTTTATATCCCTTTGGGTAGGTTCGGAAGGCACCAATATCAACCTAAACCTTGAAGTTTGTTAAACTAAATTCTAAACTCACTTTTCCAGCACTCATAGTACGCAAAGGATCAATAACCACAGCGACCCAAGGTTCCTAGAAGATTAAAATTAGAAAAGATGAGATAAGAGCCCACCAAATACTGTTGATTTGTTGACTGTGTTGAAACATCAATACCCGAAAGCCAGCAACCGTATCCTGGATGTGAATGGTACCAGCCGAGTACCTAAAATGTTCTTACCAATCCAAAATAGTAAATTTTCAAAACCTTATGCTTGTGTCCTTCCTGTTCACCCATTTCGACATAATTGGTCATATACTCGTAGGCCTAAAAAATTGTAACAAAACTCGTAAACCAATAATGAGACCTGTGCTTGGGCGTTGACTCGAGTCTCCGTTCCCTCAACCGGTAGAGCAAAGCTTTCTGTAACAACAAAAGTATTAGCGTCGATATGACCTTGCATCAAGCCCATGACCTAAATTATTGGAATGAGCTCTTTATGAATTATTTACACATTTAACTAAAACTAAACCAAAAAAAAACACTCACCTCAAGATTTCCTCCCCTACGAGCATGTGTGACCATTTTGATCAGGGCAACCGCCGAGATTTTCACTTCTTTAAAATAGTGCGGGTCCTTTTCCCAAGGTTTTGCATTGCGCATTTGCGTCTGCTCCGCATCACTGAATCAATGTTTTTCTTAAAACTATAAACCTCAATAAATGAATGAAAATCACTAGTAGCAAGCGAGTCTAATTGCTAGTTGAACTTCAAACTCACTTTATCTCAAAAGGTTTATCGACTGTATCGATTTTGTTTGCCACTTCCCATGTTCGTCGGGCCATATCCGACTGCTGTTGAATTTGTCGAATTTGTGCCAATTGAACGGTCACTTTTTCGACATTTTCGACATTTTCAACTTCAACACCTTCCATACCTTAAATAATTGTTTGACTTTTGTTGTCTGTCAAATTGCAGATATTTCTTTGCAATAACGGCGAAATTTGCTGTCGAAACTCATTTCAAACTGTTTATTAAGAAGAAATTGCTAAAAATAAATTATTTTAACGTTTTAAAGTTCAATAAATAATGGTAGCAATAGTGGAAAGAACATTTTGTATGTGATTGAAAAAATACAATAAAAGGAAAGGCATGGACAAATACAGATAGAGATTTGCTTGTAAAAATAAAATAGATCTGGTAAATTTTGAAAAAAACATCGCATTGCTTAAAACGAAACTCGAATGCGGATAAATTTTGCAAAAAAGCTCTCACAATCATCCAAAAGAAAACCAAATAATGGAATATTATGTGTTTCATCAAGTGAGGAAAGTGTGTGTAACTAGCGTGAACAACAATGGAAATCACAGATAAATGTATGTGTGAATAAACACTAGGACAATTTCAGAAGTGTGAAAGAAAAGCTCTAATACCGGATATTGGAAAATCACTTTCAGCAACACAACCGACACGGGTTTTTCATAGCACAAACATTTTAGAACCATACGAGACTACAAGACTCGACAATTTACGCACGCATCATCGCTTGTTGTTTAAGAGATGAGTTGTTGAATCACTTTTGGAGAAACGATCTCTATAAAATAATTTCATGTTATGGTTCTTTTAAGGAGAAGCAAAAAAAATTAGCGAATACCCTTCGAATAGCTCTAATAATTGTAATTAAAAATTTTGTGCTGTTCTAAATTTTCAGCTTTATAGCATTAATCCCTTTTGTAAAACCAAAAGTATACCTCAGCTGGTAATGTGCTAATTCGGCTCTCATCAGTTCGTTCGGGTTCCAGCTTTACACCGGGTACTGTCAAAACCGATTCATCGTCCTAAATAAGAAAATAAAATGTGTTGTTTCCAGACTAAACAAATGATTCTCAAGCGTTTTTCTACAAAACAATTGATTGAGCACAAACCTTTAATTGAAAAACTCCAGGTGGAAGCACTCGAAGGAAAGAATGTTCCATCGCTTCAGCAGCTGACATACGATCGCGTCCCTCATACTATAAAATACAACGTTGCAAAACGAAAATAGAACCATTTTCAAGAAGAAACAGAGGCCAAAATTTTAATGTACCTGTAGAAAACGACGTAGCAGATCAAAAAGCCTTTTGTCGAACTCTCGGCACATGTACTCTAGACGACGCTTTTGTCCCAAACCATCGTCATAACTAAAAGTACCAAAGTGTTTAACAATTACACCACAATCAAACCATTGTCGAAAGAAGTTTGGAAACTCCGGTGAGCTGCAAATAGTTGGATGCCGGTCTGGGTCAGGAGCGCCCAATGTTCTAAATATGAACGGGTTAGCGATACTTTTGGCAAATTCCTTACCGAAAGATAAAACCAAGTTGTTCTTCCCTGGAGACCGATGTGAAAAGAGGCCGCATTTTGGCCATTTCGTAGAGAATGCAGCCAACGCCCCACATATCAATGTGCGTAGAGTAATCAGTTGATCCTGTAAAGACTTTTTTAATAAAACTTTTAACCATTGACTCCAAGCATTGATTTTACAAGATACAAAAAGCTTTAACCATACCTAACAAAACATCCGGAGGACGATACCACAAAGTCACCACTTCGTTCGAATAAGTTTTCGTAGGAACACTTTTTGCTCTGGCTAAGCCAAAGTCTGCCAACTTCAGCTCACCCCTAAACAAAATGTTTTTTATTTTAAATTGAAAAGTTACCTCGCTGTCACCAACAGATTTTGCGGCTTTAGGTCCCGATGCAACACTTTCCGCTGATGACAATACGCTAATCCACGCAACAATTGAAAGATAAACAACTAAAGCAAAAAAATTACAGACAATATTGATTAAATTACCCGAATGTTTTTGAGGTTCATGTAGTAACGATCTTGAATGCTGTCCATGTATTGCTTTAAATCCTTTTCCACATATTCAAACACCAACGTCAGCAAACGATCTGTGTGAATGATGTCGTGTAGCGTTACCTAAAATGCTACAAATAGATAAAGTTCAGTCTCATTTTTTCGCGAATTCAAAAAGAGCCAAAATTAATTGAAGAAAAAATATTACCACATTGGCATGTCGAAGATTCCGTAACAACGAAACTTCCCGAATGGCCGTGCATGGGGCTCCTTCGTCTTGCTCCAGACGGATCTCCTAAACAAAATTGACTTTTATTGTCGATAAACACTGAAATTTTTAGCGCCTTTTTAAGAATAATTGAATACAAGGACTTGCTTCAAAAATTACAATCAAAAAGCGTGATCTTACCTTTAAAGCCACAAATTTGTTCGTCAATAAACTTCTTCCTTTGATCACAGTCGCATAAGTTCCTTCACCCAGCCGTTCCAATCGTTCATATGTTTCCAGTTTACCAAAACCGATTTCGCTCTTAATGTCCACATTAAACATTTGTCACAAGTATTAAAGACTCACCAAACTAGCGCGTCGATTTTTCCTCGTTAACGGTTGATCCAATGGTGCCTTGTTTAGCTTTTCCAGTACAGAGACGGGCAAACGGAGATCGGCCGGCAAAGAAAGACGTTTCTGGATCTCTTCCTACAAAATTGATTTTACAAAAGTTTTAAAAAATAACTCAAACCTCGCTCCATTTTCTTGCTGGCTTTTGCCGCATTTTAACATTGACCACATAACGAGGAGCCGAGTTAGGCATCTGATCGGATGTGCACGGTGACACCTCGACGCTCTCTCCATCACTTCCCAGTACGCACGATTCTTGAACTACGGCTGAAATCAACATTATCAAAAAGGCTTTGCATTTAAAATCTAGATTTACACTTACTTTAGACAAAATCAACCTATATATCCATAACTTCTATAAAACTCCAAAGTTTAAGTGTAAATAATTTTATCCCCAAAAGTAATCAATAATCATAAATTTTAGTGCTCACATAAAGAAATAGAAGGTCGAATTAAGGAGCGTTGTGTATGCGGCCGTCGCTTATTCACAAATTGGGTAAACCAAGATGAGAAAGAAAGCTTCAAACCGCCTCTAGTGGCTCGCGTTGGTTCAATCGGGGAATGGTCATTTAAGGCCTCATGTCTCGAAATAGTCTCTTCGCCAAAATCGTGAAAAGTCGCAGATTTTGGTAAAGAACTCATTCAACATAGATATTAAAATTCAGAGAAAATCGTTGTAGTACAATAAAATATGAATATAGCTTTTAGAGTTCAAAGAAATTTTTTCTCGCAACAAGTGGCCAAATTGAAAGATTGGTCGATAGAAGAGAAGTAGAAGGAGGAGAGTGGCCGCGTGGGACGACAAGAGGCGACGGAAAGAGCCGCGAGGGCAATCGATGTTGTCCCTTTCATGCACAGAGACAGCCCCCACAAATCGCACATTCGGGGAGAAGAAAAGGGAAAAAGAGACGTCTCAATGCCGACGAGAGGCACCCACACCATGTAAGTGACTCTTTGTGCCCTCGAAAAGTAGCTCCCATTTGGTCTCACCCGGCTGTTATTTGCATGGAAAAGGGAATTAAGAAATGAAAGTTTCTTTTCGGGCGCGTATTGCAAATTTTCCACTTCCTGCTTAAGCTTTAAAACTTCACCAAGTCCCCAAGTTATTTTTGTGTTTCGATATATAAAAAGTTACAAATAGATTTTTGCAGAGCTGCGGAAGCTAGTTTCTCGAAATTGTTTCGAAAACAAGAATCATGGGTTGGGAAGTATGAACTGGGCCGACGTTTAAAGAAACTTCTATAGCATCGAGTAATTTCTATCAAATGACAAGCGGCTAGTATCATTAGAAAGGTCACTCATTTCTCTTCAAAATCATACAGTTGACTCTCTCTTGCGGAATGGAATTTTGGTCCCGGCCGACGCTAAGCTATATAAAACCGCATTCTGATGTTGTATATAACGGAAAAGCTTTTTTGGCCCCTTCCATTCCGTTATAGAGTGGACTATATCTGAAATAGAACTAAAAAAGCGCCCCAATTCAATCACTCCTCGTCATTTTGACTGGTTGCGCTTAGAGGCCCATAAAATCCACAGAGCAAAGAAGCTTTTCGGAATCTCTCAAAAGCCATCCTGTAGAGCAATGATAGACCTTATTGATTACACAAGCATCGGATTATATGGAGCTTTTATGCGTTCAAGAAAAATTTTTGAAAGCCATTTCATATTTCACAACCTAACATTAGCGGATAATTTACCATCTCCATAATACGTTGGATGATACATTCTCGAAGAATACATTGAATGCGTTCGTGGCTTAGGGCGGTGATGTCTAAATTTCACTTGAATCAAAGCTCATCTCCAAATCATACCTTGGTTCAGGTACTGGATTTCGCAATGCACAATCCTCTTCAACAATTATTCCATCCGCAGCTAATCTAAAACACATCGTAAATCTTTTTAAAATTTTACCGAAACCTGTCTGCTAGTTGGCTCATACTATCCGATAAGCTCCATGTTCTGTAGGGTTGTGATACAATTGGAGCGCCTGTTATCTAAAAAAAATGTAAGATGCAAAAAAATTGACAAACATTTAGATTTGAGTTTGAAGAGCTGCCCCTGAAAGCAGCTGATAGTCTTCGCTTTAACTTTTTCATCATCTGGAGCCGAGCTGGTTCCTAAATTTATGAAATTAGGTAATGAAAATAGCAAAGCAACCCCAAAAACTTATAGCTTATCTTGCATTGAACCAAGAAAATTGAAAGACTTTTAAACAAAACATGTTTTTGAGCAAGTTGGCTAAATAGGCATAGCTCGTTGTGCCCAAAATGTTCTTGTTTGGGAACCAATACGTACATACGGGCAATAAACCTTACCTAAAGACGAAAAGGCTCTTCTTCTGGCTCCAATTCCCGAGGGCAATTAGAAACACTCGGTGTACGACGACCACTCAAAGCCAGGTGGAAGAGAGGAAAATCGGTGTTTAGATGACTTCCTAAATGCTTCCAGTAAATACGAAATGAGAAAACAGAAAGACCAAAGCGTTAAAATGAAATTGGAAATTTATCGATTAACGAAACAGAACATTGAAAAACCGAGATGACATTTAAAGCTCATTTTCCAAAGAGAAACAGTGTAATTTCTGACTTATTGTGATGGAATGTTGGACTAAAAGATTCCTAATCAAAAAGAATTTTTCTCCAACGATTCGGAGAAAAAAATCTATAAGGCACTAGATAAAGTGGTGGTTGAGAAGAGAGAAAGATGAAGTATGGCAAACAAATAAATGAAGGAGAGGAGGGAAAACGGTTGGTAGATGAGACGATGGTCAAACACAATAGGAGAATAGAGCGATAGTGAATCAGCCTGGCGAATTGGGCAGCAGAAATGGGGATGGAGGAAAAGGGGGAAAGCCGGGGCGAGAATCTTGAGGCACGAAACCGGTCTAGGCTGTGAGATAGCGCATGAGTGGGAGCAGTGCTCTCCCCTCAACCCTCAAACACCTTGTGTCAAGGAGGCTTACCAAGAAGAGCTCCATTTTTTTGCACGAGCCCGGATAATTTTTAGGCGGGTGGTACTTTTAACCGGGTTTTGGGGATGGAAAATCGGTCGGTCACATTATCGATTTGGAAACAGTCCTTCAAAAGGAGTTAGTGAGCTCAAAAATCGTGAAGGTACCTTCAAAAACAGTACTGGAACTTTTTAAACTTGAAGTAATCCAGCTGAAATGAGTTTCATTAGACAATTGGTACGAACATCATTACCTAGGTAGTGAATGTAGAACAAAACTGAAACCAAATAAATGAGAATTTCATTTAAAGCACAAAGGAACGGAGGAGAGAAAAATGCTGACCAGAGAAAAGTCAAAAAGAAGAGAGCCTTTTATGGGCGTGCCTATCATCACACCAATCGATATTTTGCCGATCGCCTCTCTTTTGCTTCCAGAGAGCCTGTTTGTGTGAGTGCTTGCGCCCACTTCGTAATGAAAAACAAAAAGTTTCCACAGATGCCAGTTTTGAAAGAGACTTTTCGCACCGCAGGATAAATTGAACAGAAAGTAGCATCACACGAAACTGGGATCCCGGGGGCGGGACAAATGCAACCTTTTTTGCGCACCTGAACATTTGCGCACCTTTTTTTCGCTGGAAAAGGAAAAAAAAGGTGCGCAAATGTTGAGGTGCACAAAAAAGGTCGCATTTGTCCCACCCCCGGGATATAAAGAAATGGTGGAAGAAAAAGTTATCAGAAAAAGGGCTCAAATACTTGCTTTGCTTACAAAATGAATATTCGGTCACGTGAGAGAAAAGCTAATGGATTAACAAAAAAAGTATAAATTGAATTTTTGTAAACACTAGCCATTTTCCAGCAGCTGCTTTTTTGAGGCCAGTTCCGAAATTTTCCCGCGCGACTTCGGTGAACGAGTTTTTTTTCCCTGTCTTCATAGAGTCGAATTTCATCATGGCGCCTTGCTCTTACAATTAGCCCCCTTTTCCCCCTTTAACATAGCTTTGTCATCGTTGCTAATTTGTGTTAAGAGACTGGGTATGGAGCTTTTCAAAGCTACATTAGCTCAAAAGGATTAAAGCATAGGACGTTCCGTGCTCGATACTGTAATTTCAGAAAAAGTAGAGTAATCTCATCTATAAACTGCAGTATACCCTTTCAATCAAAGCGATTAGGTTAAAAATTGATTGATTAGGTAAAAATTTTTGTGGAATCTAGCCATTCGTGGTGTGAAATTTATTGTAAAGGGAATTCTTTAGCAGAAAAAAGGAAGTTTACGAGGCAGTAAAGCGATAAAAAGAAGGGCAGCAGCTTTCTTATGAAAAAGCGGAGACGGGGGCCGGGGTGTAGCAGAATAAAGGATTGCGGGTGGAGCGGGTCGGGTTGTGTGGGAAGGGGAACTGAAAGGGTCAATACGGATCGAAGAGAACGGTTTTCCCTCTTTTTCTCTCTCAATCCTACGATTTTCATCTTTTCTTTCGCAAAGAGATCCCCTTTTCCCATTCACTCCCTATCCTTTCGTGCAGATGGTGCCGAGATGTTGGGTGACCGCAATTCGATCGCCGCTTTGGCTCAATGAACAGATATAGGAGAGAAAATTTATGGAAAACAAATTCACTTAGGATTTTTGATATTTAGAGATTGCATTCTGTGATATAAAGATAAAAGAAATAGTTGAAAATTGTTTGGAAATAAGTCGGATCCAGATTTTTGTGATTTCAGAAATGATTGATGATCACAGATAAAGTGTGTTGTTCGTGATTAATGCGCTTTCTAAAGTGTTATGTCAGTTTGCGCAAAAAGGTTGCAGTAGTTATGTAAATTTGTTTATTACGCAAATTTAAATTTTTCATTCATCATTTGCAGGGTTTTTCTCAGCTTTTCTGCTTTTCTCAGTAGCGTTTCTCAGCTTTTCTCAGTAGCGCAAAGTAGCTTTTCTAACATTCTTACTGAATATTTTCTCGGATTTAGATTTAGATTTGAGAAAATCCACGGGATAAACTATTTACAGTTAGTCATCAGTAAAATTTCAAACATTCTTCAGTTTGAACAGAACGATCAGAGTTGCGTGGCTTATTGAGTTGATCTGAAACAAAAACGTCAATTTAACAATCAAAACTTTTGATTCAAAAGTATCATTTCAATATCAGTTTAACAAAAAGAAACAGAAAAAGGCAATATAGCTCAATAGAAAAATCATAATCATCATCATCTTCAATATCGGTTCAACCGATATTGAAGACCTTCAACTTTTCGCTAAAACTAAAAAACGCCTTGAGATTTCCATGTTATTTAAACTAAGATATTTCGGAGAGTAAATGTACTTTTTGTGATAATGTAAATTATGCAAATTTTGACTCAATTATGTAGCGTTGATTTGACTCAACCTTTACCCCCTGTGTTTGACTTAAAAGTTAAGTCTCAAATCAAGGCTTCCTATGGCGCTATATTGTATTGTATCCGTGATGTTAAATAAACGTCTTTCATTAGGATTGTAGCTTATTTCGGTGCATTTCTGAAACTCAGTTGAAGCATATTTTGTATTGAAAACTAACGAAACGTGAAAACAGCCATTTTTTGGCTCTGCCGCCCTTTACTAAAATAGCTGTAAAAACTTTTAGAAAAGAGATATCTCAAAACGATTTTTACCAATCGATCCGTCTTGAATTCAGCTTTAGGATGAGCTATAAAACGTCAAAATTTGACAAATTTAAGGTACTCTCCCAAAGAATCGGAAAGGACTTTTCCACCAACCCAATACTTTTGTTTATTTAATTTGCTAGAATGTGTAGTTTGTAAGTATTTCGGTATAATAGATTCATTTTTAAAGTTTATTTTTAAAAAGTATTAGAATTTGTTAACGTATCAACTTTACTCATTTTACTCAGGACATAAGAAACCGTTAAAAATCGTTCGCAAAATAAGCCGGATCCAGAGTTTTTTGATTACAGGGATAATTGATGATCACAGATACAGATATGCGTTTGATGTATTGATGTTTGATGGTATTGTAGACAATCATTTTATTGTATTTGGTCGTTCGAACGATTTCCATTAGCTCCTTTCCAGCTTTGTGCAGCTTAAGAATCGTAGTTCGTCGTTTTTTTGGCATCCATGTTGATCGGAAACCCTAAATGAAAACATTTGTGATGAACATGAAAGAGTTGAAAAAGAAGCAGAAGAAATCCTCAAAAATAACTATACAGAGTTTACAAAAGAAGTGTAAGAGTTTTTGAGACACCCTGTAGGTGTCTATGAAACTGAAACAAAGAACATTTACAGAAGCACTTCTTTTTCTTGAGTTTTTATTTGTTACACCAATTGAAATCTACTGACTTTCTTACGTTCTTTGACTTTATAGCAAACACAAACACTTTGCCTCACTAAAAGTATGACAGCAATTTCAAGAAGAGTAATCATAAGTACATAAGTACTCATACAGTACTCATACGTGGGTATGAGTCACACTCAGCTATTTTTTCAGCGCTCTCTTTTTGTTTCACTATCCAGTATTGATCCTAGTGCATTTTATTAGACTTTCTGGACAGCCTAATTTACACATTTGAGTCAATATTTTGTTGGTCTTGGTTAATTTGATCTCAATTTTTGATTGATTGATTAAACATTATTTCACGGAGAAGAAATATCCTCGAACGGAGTTCGAAGGCGATTAGATACCGCCGTAGTTCTGACCGTAAACGATACCATCTAGCGATCCGGTGGTGGTTTTACCGCCTTGCCGGGGAGCTTCCCGGAAACGAAAGACTTCCGGTTCCGGGGGTAGTATGGTTGCAAAGCTGAAACTTAAAGGAATTGACGGAATCGCACCACCAGGAGTGGAGCCTGCATCTTAATTTGACTCAACACGGGAAAACTCACCCGGCCCAGACACTGTAAGGATCGACAGACTGAGAGCTCTTTCTTGATTCGGTGGTTGGTGGTGCATGGCCGTTCTGAGTTGGTGGAGCGATTTGTCTGGTTTATTCCGATAACAAGCGAGACGCACCCCTACTTAATACACCGCGAATAATTTCGTTCGCAGGTGTTCTTAGAGGAATTGGCGGTATCGAGCCGCACGAAAGTGCGCAATAACAGGTCTGTGATGCCCTTAGATGTTCGGGGCTGCACGCGTGCTACACTGGAGTCTGCAACGTGTTCCATGGCCGAAGGGTCACTGGCAAACCGTTGAAAAGATTCCGTGATCGGGATAGGGAATTGCAATTATTTCCCTTGAACGAGGAATTCCTAGTAAGTGTGAGTCATCATCTCGCTCTTAATACGCCCCTGCGATTTGTACATTTGGTTGGTGGTGCTTCCATTTAAATACGCTCAATTGATTAAACATTATTTCATTTTGATTAGGTAAAGCACAAAACTTTTGAGCTCTGAAATTTTTGATTTATGAAACAAAAAGCGGGGTGGTGGAAATGCTTCCGCTGGTTTCCATTACTAATTCAATTCGGTGGGAGGGCATCGAGCTGAGATTTGCCGTTTGTTTGGGGAAAAAATTCCCAAATTCGTGGAGAATTCCCATTGTCATGTGCCAGTTTGATGAAAACTGTTGCAAATGTGACATTTGTAGAGTTGCAAGCATTTTGCACTTGTCCATCTCTGTCTTTGCTTATGCATTTTTGGGTAGGCATCTAGTGACTGCTCGAGTTTGTCCTTTTAACTTCTCTATTTAGTCTAAAGATCTATTGAGCTAATCTCCGGAATGAGGTCAGTTAAAGATTGTCAATTATCCGACTTTCAATTTTCGCTTTTTCACAAGACTCTGATGATTACTTCCTTCTTTGGGATAAGAAGAAAACAATTGAGTTGTTGCTTGGGTTCTTTGTTCTTTTAAGCTTTTGTTAGAGAAATTTTCATCATAACAAAGAGAAATTCTTTATTCTTTGAGAAGTTTTTTTGATAGAATGACAACTTTTGCAATTGGCTGCTTTTCTAGCAGCTGGCAGCTTCAGCTGGTTGCTTTTCTAGCAGCTGAAGTATTTTAAAGTGATAAACCACTGTTTTCTTTGAATGATCTGCAATTATTTATTTATATAACAACTAATAGAAATTCTAACAACAAAATTATCAACAAAGTTAAACAACCATAAGCTTAATGAGTGGCTTTAGTGGTCCCTTGAGGTCTTGTTCAGCAACAATCCCTTGAGGTCTTGCTCAGCATTGAGAATCAGAGAGATATTCAGTTAATAACTTGAATATCTTTCTTTTAGATGCAATTTTTCGTTTAATTGCAAATTGTTGGCTTCTCATGGCTTTTCGTAGCTCTTTATGGTTTTTCATGACCCTGGCTTATGATCTAGCCTGATTTGGCCTTTAAAATTTTTCAGGCCAACCAAAGCCAGGCCATATGCATGGCTTATGGCCTGGCTAACCGTGGCTTATGGCCTGGCTAACCATGGCTTCTCTTTTTGGAGCAACCCTATTCATAACAGTTGCATTTACCCAGAAATTGTCAATTTGTTGAGTTCAAGTGAGTCTATATTTCTATTTGAACTCAACTCACGAAGCATTAGAGGATTTTCATGTGCCGGGAAAGCTCAATTGTTGTTACCGATTTACCAAACATATCAATGCAGCTGTGAATTGATTATCTTTTTAGAAATAAAATTGCTGAAAATCTTTTCAGCTTCTTTTCAATACCAATTTCTTTATTTCTTTTCATTTCATTTCAAATCATTTCAATGCTGTAAATTGCTTAAAGTAGAGATTACTGCAGGAAGTGTACAGTAGCTTTTAGTATCAATTTTCTATAACTCAAAAACACTCGACCATTTACCTCACCAACTTTCCCACTTAACAGCCCTTTCATATTTTAGCGGTGTTTTTCGAAAAACTTGCAAGTTCTCTCAAATCGACTAGCACGACTCGACTCGACCACCTGGTGCTTCTTTTTTCACAAAAAAAATAGAGTTCCCATTGAGGATTGATCTCTTCTCAAATCCTCCCCCTTTCCCTCATTCACCCCAGCTCATTTCTTTCACCGAGTCTCCTTTTTTCTCAAAAATTCATGAAGCTGTGAAGTGACGGATACTCACTCCAACACAACAATTGCCCAGAAAACTGAGAAGAAAGGGTTTTTGAAAAGAACATGAATATTTGAGAGTTTTCCTTTGAAGATACGGAGGAGTGAGTGAACGATCAACCACGGTATATTCTGGAGAAGAAGAAGAAGAAGAAGAAGTGGGTTGTGCTTTGCAACTTTTGCTGTAAAACTTGAAATTTGCTGTTATTCGCTTAGTCTACTATTTACTTTATTTACTTCAGGCTGACGAGCTTTTCGTTAAAGTTGAAGAGTACTTGAACATCGAACATTGAATCTCGAGAATTCTTTGAAACATTCAAAATTTTCGAATTTTGACAGTCTAAAAATCGTGTTATTAAACAGAATATTTATTGGGCTGGTTGTTTATCGAAAACTCACCAATTTCAGCACGCTCAATTTATAGAAAATTTGATCGAGACAACTTCGAGACTCGATAAGCATTTTATTTCTGATATTTATTAAAGTTATTCAAAAGAAAAGCTTCAACTTTTCCCTTTTCTGGACAATCATTTGCTGAATGGGAATGTAATTATCGTGTCAATTCCTCGAAATAGCCGCTTCTTTTTTCTGTGAGAGAAATCTCCATGGCCATGGATTTCTATACGTGAGTTCTTTTTTTTAAATCTATTGGCTTGCACAGAGCTGCTTCATCTTTTGTTTCTATAAAATCATTTCGAATTTCGAATACCTTTTTACAGTCCTCGTTTTCTTGTCTCGAATTTTAAATGTAAATTTTTTTTTTGATCTGTTTTCGCACTCGGGTGTTCCTATTTGCGCAGATCACAACCTGCTTCCACATTTCTCGATCCCTTGCTATTGTCATCCAGTGTTTCCTAGCTTGATTGTTCCTGGTTCGAAGTCTTCGACTTGCTGATGCTGGTGGTGGTTGCACTCTAGCCATCCTTTCTCTGACCGTCTCTGCCACTCTTGTGCTCCACCTCGTTGCTGGTCTTCCGATGGGCCTCTTCTGGTCTCGTGGTAGCCACTCTGTGATCCGTATCGTCCATCTGTCGTCTGTTCTTCTGGCTACGTGGCCGGCCCATCTGAGTCTTTTTCTCTCAATCACTTCCACTGGATCTCTGAGTCCCGAGAGCTGGCGCATATCCGTACTTTGAATGTAAATTTTGAATGTAAATTTCAAAGCAGAACTTTTCAATGAGCTTAAGATTAAGTTTAATCAAAGACTAAAATTTGCATTTTCTTTCAAAAAGCTCTATTTAGGCGAGAGGAGTCTAAAGCTTGACAAATTTGACGAGATAAAACACTTATTTAATCAAAGACTAAAATAAAACACTTATTTTTTTTTCACCCTAATCACTGGCTTCAATTTTGTTGGGATCTAACAGGATTGTATCAAAATTTCATTAAAAAATCCACTCCTCAATCCACTCCACAAACTCCTCAAAGCCTTTCCTCCACTTAAGCGATTAGCGATTTCCGTTCTGATTTCGCTTTGTACCAGAAAAAACATAACCGAATTTACTCAAGTGTTTAGCCGAAGCCTTTCAAATTTTCATTTTTTGATATTTTTGATTAATTTTTGATTCACTATGAAATTTTTTTTGGCAAAATTTCTTGAAATCAATGATCTTTTTGTTGTCAACAAGAAACAATTTCAATTTCTTCGAAAAGAAAAGAATTTTTTGGGGTTTTTAATTTGAAATTTTCCTCACTTGTCAATCATATTGCTTGTCTCGTTTTTGTCTTTTTTTTGAGGCTGTCAATTCATCAATGTTTTGGAGAGAAAACAGAGGGTCAATGAGCAGAAAAGGAGAAGAAAAGGAGAAGAAAAGGAGAAGAAAAGAGAGGATAAAAGAGGATTTTTGAAATTTCTTGAAAATGAACACTTCTTGGAGATCTCAAGGATTGTAAAGCTTGCAAAGCGTTTGGAAGAACAGTTTGGCGTTGGTTAGCTGAGTACTTTTGTTGGTCTGAGTCTTCAAAGTCTTCCATTCTCTAATATTCCTTAACAAGTCTATTCTGTAAACATTCTAAAACCCTATAAACACTGAAATTTGTCTATAAACACTGAAATTCTGAATCGTGTCGCTTAAAAAATCTCTATTAATATTGCAAAATGCCGTCAACAAACGAGAATATGGTCCCGTTGGCGCAACGAGTGCGAACGGTGATGATGGTTGGGTTGGTGATACGCGAATTTTTACTCGAATTCAATATAATAAAGCTATAGCCAGTGGTTATTTTATTCTAAAGATTCTAAAGATAGAGATATTCTATTCTATTCTATTCTTCATTCATCTAAAAACCCTTTCAGAGCCTATGAGACCGAGTCGGCTGATTCTACGTACTACAGGCTTGTTTCAGATTTCTCTATACTCTATACTCTATCTCTAGTTTAGATTCTTTTCTTCAAAATCACTTTTTCTGGGCTAGTTTTATTTGAGATTTGAGGGAAAGAGCTTTTGAGAAATGATCACTAACCACAGCTGTGGTGATCGGAGATTGGAGGAAGTCTCCGTTGTCTCATCTCTTACAATCTAATCTATTCCATGAGCAAGCTAAATTGAAGTCAAACTAACTTAGTTTTGTCTTGGTCAAGCTTTTTCTAAACCAAGCTAAACATAGTACCGGTTTAGATTTAAATCCTGCTCCGATCAAAAGTCATTGTTAAGGTTGGGCCAAAAAAAATTTGAGTTCCCCCGTCGGCAGCCACAATTTTTCTGTTTTCGTGTTGTGCAATCATTCAAATACCACATTTCTGGAGTAATTTTATGCGTAGATTCCAAAAAAACATAATGAAAACTTGTGAAAAAGCGTTTTAAGTCAAGTTTCCGGGCTTCAAAGTACGCGCTTCTATAGTGTACTTCATTACATCGACTATTGGAACACTTTTCAAGGTCAAAACTAGAGCTAAAGCCATTTTTAACCACTAAATATTCATTTTCTAACTAAAATTGACTAGTAGAGGCAAAAGAAATTGAAAAAATATTTTTTAACATTTTGACTCATGTGGGGGATCACATGGTCAAAACTTGAAAATTTGTTTTTTTTTTGGTTTTGCTCTAATTTGATCAGATCAGAAGATTGTAATTAGATTAGTAGGTTAAATTATGCCAGAAGAAGTGTATTTGGTTTCAAAAAATGTTTTTAGAGACTATTTTTTAGATCTCTTCCCTTAGATCTCATCACACTGTATGAGCGCGTACTTTGAAGCCCCGAAACTTGACTTAAAACGCTTTTTCACAAGTTCTCATTGTGTTTTTTGGAATCTACGCATAAAATTACTCCAGAAATGTGGTATTTGAATGATTGCACAACACGAAAACAGAAAAATTGTGGCTGCCGACGGGGGAACTCAAATTTTTTTTGGCCCAACCTTAACAATGACTTTTGATCGGAGCAGGATTTAAATCTAAACCTGTGCTAGGTTTAGCTTGGTTTAGAAAAAGCTTGACCAAGACAAAACTAAGTTAGTTTGACTTCAATTTAGCTTGCTCATAAAAACAGATTAGATTGTAAGAGATGAGACAACGGAGACTTCCTCCAATCTCCGATCACCACAGCTGTGGTTAGTGATCATTTCTCAAAAGCTCTTTCCCTTTTCAATCATTCCCAACTTGACACCTCTAAATCTAAAAATCCCGAGACTTTTTCCTTTTCTCTAAAAATCCAGAAACTAATTTTCCGAAAATACTTTTGAATTGGCGGTTTCCTCTTAAAATATTCATTAGAGTCGAGAGCTGACTTCCTCTTTTTTCTTCTTTTCATTTAACCTTTCAATAGCTTATTCAAGATATGATGATGGCAAACTTTCACTGGCAAATTTCAAATTAAAGTTAAAGTCGAATTTTTTGAGGTAAAAATGGATAGGCTTTTTTCAGATGCCCAGAGCTGTTAAAATGAAATTGTTTTTAAGCTCTGGATAGATAAGGTTAGATCAACGGGGTTAATAGATAAATACAAATTCCAACTTGCTACTTCTGTTAGCTTTCTACCATTTCAAAGCATAAACTTATCTATTTTTATCAAAAAGCAAGTCTGATAGAGGTTTTCTGTCATTACTTGCTGTCCTTTCTGTCATTACTTGCTGTCCCTGCAAATGCTTGTCTCAAATCAAGAACTCCGTCAAAAAGGACCAGGTTCTTTATTGAATTCACACAAGGAAATCAAGGAAATCTCCGGAAATCAGGAATTCCCACTTTTTTTTTGAACGTCAACGAGCAGTCTTTTTGGAACAATTTTTGAGAATTCAAAGAATTGAAAAAACCCTATTTGAGTGTTTTTTAACCCCCAATTTGGGGTAGAGGAGGTGAAAAAAATTGCCGATTTCTTTACACCGCCACACTTACCCATTCTTTTCTTCTTCTTCTTCTGCTGGAATTCTCGAAAAAGAAACGTTATGTCATTCACGCGTTTTCTTCTGTCTGCAACATGAGTTTTTCTTCAAAGTCTGCCCTTTCAGCAATGAATAGATGAGGTCACTGATTAATCGTTGACTAATCTTTGCAAAACGTACTCGTCTTTTCCTTCTTTCTATCCATCAATCGGTAGCTCGGTTTCAGTCAAGTTAATCAAGAAAAAGTCAAGAAAAATAGCCACAAATACTAGCTTATCTGTGACTTCTATTTGCCAGTCACAGCTAAGCTAGTATTTGTGGCTATTTTTCTATGTTAATTCTCTATTTTGCACAAAGTTTGATTGATAAGAAAGTCTAAGGATCAGGAAATCGGAAGTCGCGTTCAATTCCTTCATCACAGAGCTATTTTTCTTGTTCCTCTACCTACGCCAATAAACACAAGCCATACAAATAAATACTTTCATTAATGTATCAAAAAAAACGGCAAAATGATATGTTATAGGACGATTTGTGTACTTATAAATATCCTAGGATATGCGCTAATTTCCTGAGCCTGAGCACTTTTTGTACAAAATTGTGACGTTATCTATTCCTGAACTTCTTGTATCAATTTAAAATTTCATTCTATCAAAGCTAAATAATGATTTAAATTTTAAAGAACTATAGGTCCAGCAAAACCTTATTCTTTATCAAATTAAAACTTTAACTTTAGTTCGATTCTTATTGACGTGCGGTTTTAAAGGAACTGGTGCGAAAGCGGTGCGGCGTTTTCTAAAGCGTGGATGCCCACCGTACTCCACACAAAAATTCCTCTTTTGCCATTCTTTTAATTTTTTTTTCCATTCAACATTCCGTGATGGAATGTTTTCCGTTTTTTTTGATGCCGAGTTCCGCATAAGATTTCTTCCCCCTTCTATAAAATCTATCCTTCCTTTTGCAGCGCGTTTTAAAGTTATGTCTCCCCAAATTCCCTTCCCGTTATATTATTCCGCCCATGTTTTCTGTTTAAATTTCTAAAATGGTTTTTTTTCGTTTCTCTTCCTTCTACTTTATTGTCTTTGAATCTTTTTGTACGTGCTGTATAAACGTACAAACTTAACCAGTTGTTAGCTGTTGTTGTTGTTGTTCTTAGCTGTTGTTGTTAGCTGTTGTTGTTGTTGTTGTTGTTAGCTGTTGTTGTTGTTATTGTTAGCTGTTGTTGTTAGCTGTTGTTGTTAGCTGTTGTTGTTGTTGTTAGCTGTTGTTGTTAGCTGTTGTTGTTGTTGTTAGCTGTTGTTGTTGTTGTTAGCTGTTGTTGTTAGGTGTTGTTGTTGTTGTTAGTTGTTGTTGTTAGCTGTTGTTGTTGTTGTTAGCTTAACCAATTCTCTTTCAACTAGAATGCACAAAATCTACCAAATCTAATCGGTACAATCTTTTTGGGTTTTGCGTCTAATTTTAGAAAAAGTATTGATGAGTAGAAAGGTATTGGGTAAGATTAAATGGTTACTAATTCTTTAGTTATTTCGAAATTTCAAAGCTTTGCTTTCTATTACCCATTTCATTTTTTGAGGAACTGGTCGATTCTATGAAATAAGCCTATTTATCTGAATATTTCTCAAATCTTTTCCATTCAATCGATTCGTTGACTCAATTTTTATTGATTCTTGGTATTTTTCTGAAAGCATCACAGGTTTCTTTGGTTTTAAATTAAAAAATAAAACCATTACGTCAAGCTCTTAAAGTTTTCACTCAAATTTCTCCTCCCAACTCGGAAGTAATCATAAATCAGAAAAAACCACGTAAATGCCTAGGGAACGGCTTTTGTCGTTAAATAGACCAATTCGAGAAATTCGTTCTTTTGCCCCAAAAAGTAAATCATCTTGGAACTCTTTTATTATCTTGATAATAAAAGAGAGTAAAGTTTTTATTATCTCTTAATATCTAGACAAACAAGTTAGACACGGCAAACTTTGCTTGGTGTACTTTGTGTCCAACAACGAGAACGCACGCTTTCTGGTGCACAGAATTATTGAATTTTCTTCTAAAAGTAAGCTTTGTTGCTCACAAAATAAGGAATTGATTGCTCCAGAAAGGGTGCGTTTGCAAATGTTGAGTGCAAAGTACATAAAGCACAGTTGAAAACTTGTAAACGTCAAAAAAAATGGTAATCAATTACGTTAAAAAGATCTCAATTCTACAAGCTTTTTTGGACTAAAATGTTTATTTTTGTGTCGAAATCTCTCTTTCAATTTGTATCCTACAGCCTTGTTCTTTCCTTTTTTTCAAACTTTTCAAATATTGATGATTTTCACATTTTCCCCTCATTTTCCCCTCTTTTCCTACACTAAAAACCTCCACAAAAATGTCATATTGCACATAAATTCTTGACTTTATTATTGCTAAAACAAATATTTTACTTAAAAATGAATTTATTATTGCCGAGAAAGATCTACACGTTCGTTTTGTTTCTATTTTTAGTCCATCTAAGCTTTCGAAATGTGTAAAGAATCTCGAAACTTTCGATCTATCATCAATACTTTTGTCTAATATAAACTTCACAAATTTCATTGTTATTTTGAAATTTCCAGTTACCATGAATTCGGGATGACTCTCGACGATCCATCCGCTTCTCCTTCATCCATTGATTCGGCGCTTTTCTTTGGTGAGTCGATTAGTATCTTTATCTTTTCTAAAAAGCATATCTTCTAGAAAGCTATCGTAATCACATCTCCAGTTTCATTTAAGTTCACTCCAAAATCTAATTCACTAGACAATAACAGGGTGTCCGGAAAAAAGTGGTCATCGGTTTGAGTCTGAAAACATTTTCTCGTTGATTTTTCAAGGCTCATCGTGGTGTCAAAAATGGTTTTGCCTCAGCGGCCACACAACAAGATGAAGTCGATTTTTTTGATGATTTAGTGAATAAGGGGGTCATGCACGAGCCAGGGAGCTCAAAATCCATGTATACATGAAAAACACACCTTTGAATTCCTCTATTTCACCACAAATCTTTCTACTTTTTGTTTGTTTTGTCTTTTTGTCTTTTTCCCACTTTTTTTCCGGACACCCTGTATAATTGACCACATTTTCCTTGAGCTTTTTTTTGTTTTGTTGGACCTAAAACTCTGAAAAATCCCTAGAGACTGAATTGTGAGCAAAAAGAATGTACAATTTAAAAAATTAAGCCAAAAAAGAAAGACAAAATTTAACAAAGACAAAGAAACAAAGATGCAAAAGAATTTTGAAACTTTCTCAAGATCAAACTTTTCAGTATTGGGTGCTTTTGTGTTGAATGTGATCGTGGTGATGTTGGCGATTTGTTATTTCGATCCCACACAAACGAAACCCCCACTCGTGCACAGGTTTGTTGAGAGGGAAAATTTAATAAAACTGCTCTTTCCAAAACAAAATTTTACTAAGTACCTTAAGAAAAAAAAAAAGATCGGGTATCTTATACAGCGATTTGTTTTTTTCTCCTTTAGCGTTGATGTTTATTTTTATCAAAAAATAGCCCTGAATTTCAGCCATTTTTTGATACCAAAGACGCATTTTTTGAAAGTACGAGCGCTTTGAAAATACTAAAAAACTTTTGCGACTACGCGACTGTACGAGGGCGGTGGGGTACTATTACAGTATTTACGGTATCATCAATACAATAAAAAAAAAACAAAATAGTTCGAATCCTTGTAGAAAGCATTTCAGTCATCAGAAACGATGAAATCCTTTACCCAAAACTCTTTCAGAATGTTTCAATCGTTGAGAAGATCTTGTCTTCCGACGAAACTCTCTTCAGAGACAGCCGTCCTCTTCGTTTGAATCCATTCAAGCTATACAGACTTGTGACCCGAAATTGTGCCTTATGTTGATGATTTTAAAAGTTTTAAAAGTTCAAAGTGCATCAGGAAGTGTGCGTTGACGAATTTATGCTTTAAATATGCTAGTCAGCGATTTTTGTTCTATTTGTTTCTATTTAATTTTGCGTATTGTTTTGCTCATCTCAAAGTACCTCCAGTCGACTCAATTTTTTGTTTATCGGCTGGTTATTTAAACTTTATTCTATAGATTTTCAGCTTTTCAGCTTTTCAAAACAGAAAAACAGAAGCTTTTCCGTTTTTTTCGTTTTTTTCGTTTTTTTTTCGTTTTCACTTTATGCACATATCTCAATTTATTGAAATTTTTGAAATAAATAAAAAAGAATCACAAGTTTTGATTTGATTTGAATAGAAGAGAAAGGAAAGAGCACCGGTGTGAAGAGATTTTGGGAAGGAATTGGAAAGGAATTGGAAAGGGATTGGAAAGGATTTTGGAAAGGAATTTTGGAAAGGAAAAAAGGATTTTAAATCATGAAGATTAACTAAATTTTGTTCAGCTTTATGCTAAAACGAAACCTTTCGAGAGTATTCAAATCCTTGTTTTCCTTTTGACACCCTCGAATAGCCAAATAGCGCTAGAAAGGGTGTATTGACGAGAGCACAAAGTACAAGTCGAGTTTCATAAAGTTTTCCAGTATAAAACCAGTATAAAACCAGTATAAAACCATTATAAAACTTCTAGGAACACAGTCTGCTAGGAACAGTCTTCTAAGAACACAGAACACAGTCTATAAATGGCTCTTGTCAAGAACTAAAGGATATGAATTGAGCAGAAAGAGAAGAGTTTAAATAAAACGATTAAATAAATGATAAAATGCTACCCTGATTTCAAAGAGATTTCAAACTTTCAAAGTGAAACACTTTTGTTTCCTTTGAAGTCATTCTAGATATTTGTAGATTATACAGCTGTATGTGTGATGGTCAAACTGTGCCTTGATTCGGGATCAAAATAAGCTAAAGGCGCGAGTTTGGTGTCTGTACGTTGAGATCGTGGTGACAAGTGTTCTCTTGGATCGCGTCGATCTCGATATAGTGAATGAACGACTCTTGGCTGTACCCATCCATCACAAAGCCATTCCGACGATTCACACGTGCTGTGACGATGCACGGCCGGGCATGGGGACTCTGGAAAGGGGATTTAAATGGGGATTGAATCGAGTCAAGTTTCGATGTGTTTTGAATCTCTTTATTGATTTGGCTGCCTTAAAATTCACGTTTATAAATGAAAAATTAGCCGATAGACGTGTGATTTGGTTTAAATAAAAAACTAACTACTCTCTAATAGTAGTGCACCCGGCCGAGCCGAGTTGGTGACTATTTTACGGCTTTCAAAGTTTTCCCAGACGCTCAACACTCAAATCCCCCACCAGATCTCATCGTCAGCTACATTTTCCGACCCCACATCGATAGGTTCTGATAAGCGGCTTTTGAGATTTCGAGCAATTTAGGCGACGCTCAGGGTGCACTAATATTAGAGAGAATACGGTAACCGCAACTTTAGAATTAAAAAGCTTTAAATAAAAAAGACGAACTATTTCATTTAGCTCATTTAGCAAAAGCAACTTGAGCTCGCTTTGAAGTAAATCCAAAACGAGAATTCTTGTTTGTTTTTTTTTCTAAAATCCTTACAATAAACATAGAATGAAACTGACTGAATCAATTTTTCTGAAAATTTAACTATTGACCTAACTTTTTACCCTCTATCTATTGACAACGTTTGACATCAAAATAAATTTCTGTGAAAGAAAAGAAGTCTCATTTCATCAAAAGCTAAACTTTGAATTCCTTTTTTTTGTAAGACCCTTAAATGACTGTGGAAAGCTATTCAATTCAAAATGAATTCAATAGCTATATACTAATAATAAGCGGGGGCCCAGAAAGGGAAGGGTCTGTGGTCGACCCCGTCCGATCTGCCAAGTTGAGCAACGTCGGCGCGGGTTAGTCGTGGGTTCGACTCCCATGGGCTCCCCTCCGAGCGCCCCAGCCCGGCCATCGGAGTATCATCGGCTACGACAACTACACTTCTGCCTCAGTAAATGTGGAAGCGGGTTGTGATCTGCGCTAAGTGCGAAGACAGATCAAATCATTATTATTATTATTATTTTAATAATAAGCAATAATTCAAAGCTAATGAATTCAATAAGCTCTTCAATTCTAACGCAAGCTTTTCAAAATTCTTTAAAGGATAATTTGTAAATAAATAATAGAAGTCTCTGATAAAATAAATGATAGCTCGATATTCGATCGATCGATATTGGAGATTCATCGATATTCGTTCATTATTCATTTCAAAGAATAAGAAATAAGCGGACAAGACCTTCCGGTTAACTACAGGTTGATCAACTCTGATCTGATTCTGATCAACTCTGATCTGATTCTGATCAACTCTGATCTGATTCTGATCAACTCTGATCTGATTCTGATCAACTCTAATCTGATTCTGATCAACTCTAATCTGATTCTGATCAACTACAGGTCAACTAAAGTACTTGCAAAACTTTTAAATGACTGTGGAAAGCTATTCAATTAAACTTTTAAAATATAAACCTTAAAATTATACATAAAACCACTAATCAAGAGCTCATAGCTCAAAGCTTTTGATGTGGTGAGCAAGTGGTCGACACAAGCTGCTAAAATCGTCTTTTTTTCCAATTTTTTAATTATGCATAAAGTTTAGACTAATTCTAGAATATCAATAGAAATTTATAAACTTTGAATGTTCATCTTTATGCCAAAAAAACGTAAGAAAATGATTTTAAAAGCGTTTCGGTTAAAATTTATTTGAATATTTCTTATCGAAGTCAGTAGATTTTGTGTTTTTATCAAAAAAACAAATTCAATCTCAATTTTAGTTTATTTTAATTGAAAAAAGATTTAAAGCTTCAAATTTTATGTTTGTTTAATTTAATTAATGCTAAGGATAAAAGCATTGAATAATTGGAACATTGGAACATTGGAGTATTGTCTAATTTCGGATTGTGTTGCATCGCATTGCATATCGGCGTGAAATAAGGCAAAAATGCGTTTTCTATCGGATTTTTCTGTGAGTACCTTTTTTAGATGCGAAAAATTGTGCTGATTCCGAATCTGAAAGAATTTTCCAAATCCCTCTGACAGAAATTTTTAAAATTTAGTTTTAGCGGTTTTTTTGGTCATGTTGTATGGGAAATTTTGTGGTATCCTGCAGTTTGAGGCTCGTAACTCGACAACGAGGGTCTAGAACCAAAAGCGAAGGGATAAGTTTTATTCTAGAGACTCTTAGGAACATTTTGATCCAAAAATCATCAAATTTTCTCAACGCTACAAAAAGCTATAAAGTTACAAAAATTTCCCATACAAAATGACCAAAAAAACCGCTAAAACTAAATTTTCAAAATTTCTGTCAGAGGGATTTGGAAAATTCCTTCAGATTCGGAATCAGCACAATTTTCCGCATCTAAAAAAGGTACTCCCAGAAAAATCCGATAGAAAACGCATTTTCGCGCCGGTGTGTTGTGCGGGAACTTTTGAATTACTTTGTCCTAATCTTTTTCCACATAAACAACAAACCCAATTGGAGGCGATGCTCAACTTTCGGCTTTTCATAAGCATCATCGACGAGTATCGGTATGACATGTCCTCTCCGATAAAGGTCTTCGGTTTTCGTTCTTGATCGATCTCGTCGAATGATGCAATACGATGCAAAACAGAAGACAAACACAAAGAGGATCACACTAAAATGAGAAATAGAGACAGAAATACAGACAGAAATTCAGACAGAAACACAGACAGAAATTCAGACAGAAGTACAGACAGAAATTCAGACAGAAATACAGACAAAAATACAGACAGAAGTACAGACAGAAGTACAGACAGAAGTACAGACAGAAGTACGGACAGAAATACAGACAGACAGAAATTTAGACAGAAATTTAGACAGAAATACAGACAAAAATACAGACAAAAATACAGACAGAAATACAGACAGAAATTCAGTCATAAAAATTCGTACCTGAATTGAGCATAGAAAAAAAGGGAATGCGGGGTTGGCGGAGGCAAGATTTTACGCGGAGTCTCGACAATGAATCTAAAAATCAATCCAGGTTCTGAGCTCAAAATTCTTGTTTTGAGTTGCAAAAAAGATTTGAATTTATTTCTATCTATTTATCTAGATGTTTATCTATATCTATATCTATATCTATATCTTTCTTCAAGTATTGATTTACTTCTTCGAGGAATTCCTTCCACTGGCAGAAGCAACACATTGATATTCTCCATATGCATCGCCAGCTCCTTCCTTGATTTCGATACAATGTCTCACTTTTGCTGAATAAAATTGGGATTTAGTTTTGACAAAAGTGAATTGAAGATCAGAAATTTGAGATGAGAAATGAGAAAATGAGAAAATGAGAAAACCTTTTCGGTTCTTCTTCAGATCACTCACATAATATCGTTTCAATGCACGAGAAAGAGTCGGTTTCCATTTTAGAACACAAAATACACCAAGAGAAGATATCTGTTTCAATTATTACCTCCATCATTGGTTGTCGTTGAGTCAGTTTGTCCTAAAACAATTCCCAAATGGATCCAATGAACGGCGGCGATGGGAAGAGCTGAGATCTGGAAATGAGGAGAGTTTAGAGAAGGTAAATTGAAGAAAATTGGATAAAATTGGATAAAATTGGATAAAATTTGAAGAAAATAGAATCAAAAAGACTATCGAAAAGGATTCTTATAGAATTATAGCTTTATCACTAACCGTACAACAAAGAACAGTGGATTGTCCCGGGCGCGAGATCGACTTTCTCCACTTCAGCTTCTCCCTCAACGATTGGACCACACGATTGCTGAAAGTTGACCATAAAATTCATTTGTTATCTGTTTTTAATGCCTAAAACCATTTTCTTACTACCTTTTTATTGCTAGATTCTGTAGATCTAAAGCTATTGTAGAACTAGAATCTCTAACTTCACTCTTCCCATTTCCATGCTTGATCCAAACCCCGAACCGTTTCCTTTTCAAACGAACTCTCCCGAATTTATCAAAAGCATTCCCATCTTGAGTACGATGAAGAGGAAAATCGGATTTATAAGATTTGAACGGAGAAGATTCTTCTCTCTTCATCTTTACTCATTTTCCTTTCTTTTCCCTTCTTTTCCTTTGCTTTCTTCTCCTTTTTCTTTCTTTTCAATGGCCATCTGATACCCCTTTCATCGATGCTTTCCCCCAAAATTGAAGAAGAAAAGGGCACAAAGATTTTGGATGCAACTGGATGTGAAATGGAGGAGTTGAATTTCTTTCTTTTAAAAGAGATCCTTCATATTGATGTCTATTTTTGGAGATCGAGATATTCAGATATGCATGGCTTAGTCTTTAACATGAGCATATCGTCACTGGCAGGATCAACCAGATATGAAAACAAGTTGCGATCTCTCCAGAGAGAAAACGTCGAAAATGCTTTCCGCTTTTGGCACCACGATACAGATAGTCACCAAACACGTTGCAATCAACCAACACCCTAGACTAAGCCATGCATATCTGAGATAGATGGGTCAGTTAGCAGGGTCGACAAAAAAAGATCAAGCCTCAGAACAGATTTCGGATCAAGTCAAGCCTATGCCAAGTAAAACCAAAGCCAAGTCAAAGCTAACAATAAGATTTTAGGGAAAATCCATCCAATATGGTAAGGCTGAAGATTCCAGATCAAGGCCAAGGAAAGGACAAGGAAAGTGAAAGCCATTAGCTTTGGCTTAGCTTGACTTGTTTTGGAATGACCTATTTTCAGCTCTTCATTCAAACTATTCAGTGATTTCTTTTTTGCAACTTACCCGCTATGTTATCTATAGCTAGTTCTCAACAAACTACCCACTAGGCAAATTCCAATAAACCTGGATTTCAATATGGATTTCGGGGTGGTTCAATTTGTGAACGAAGCAAAGAGAGATTCTCTTTCAGTTCGCGTTTCATATAAAGTGTCATTTGAGGGTGTGAAGGGGATGGAAGACTGGTCAAAGAGAGGTCAAAGAGAGGTCGAAGAGAGAGGTCAAAGAGAGGTCAAAGAGGAGAGGATCATTCGCGGGAGGGAAGGGGACCTCGAGTGCGAATATGAACACACCCCTTCACCCCCAAAAGCCCTTAATGGATCTCTTGCCATATCTGAGAATGTGAATGTAACATTTGTTCCATTAGGATTTTAGAATAGACTAAAACAGCCTACTGTAATCGACTCACCTTTTGCGCCGAGTAGAGCCTCATTTGAGCGACTGTTTCATTGCATGGAAGCGTCGATGGATCGACAAGAGATCTAGGAATGGGAAATGATGATAAAAGATTGGAAATTGGAATGGAAATTGAAATGGAAATGGAATTGGAAATGGAAATTGAATAAACAGTGAACTTTGATTAAAGCTTTACCTCTTATCAGCCCATGCAACCCATTCCCAAAGAGAGCAATCGCATTGGAGTGGATTCGAGACAACGTTTACCTCCTGGAATTTTGATTTGGTTTTGTTCTGGCTTTGTTCTGGCTTTTTGAAATATTTCTAAGCTTGAGGGTACTAGGAAGGCTCAAAATTCAAATTCCTATTACGATAGAATTCTAGAGATCCAAAGCCAAAGCCCAAAGCCAAAGCCAAGATCCAAAGCCAAAGCCAAAGACTTTTATTAAGCTTTACAGAAAGTCTTTAGCTTCTTTTCATACTCCGAGAATTCGATCAAGAGTCCTAATCAATCAAGAATCAAGATCTTAAAATCTAAAGATCAAAATGAAACGAATCCCCTAAACGATGGCTCAATTCCTAACAAGAGAGAGGCGATTGTTTGCGGGCAAATTGGGCCTATAAAACACTCGCAAAGAGCATGTAGGGATGAAGAGTCTTTTTGAGAGAAGCCCCCATCGATCTCGATTATCCGATTTAGACGAGCAATTCTTTTTCTCTCTTTTCGTTCACCATCTGTTCCCGTCTTTTCCCCAATGTACCCTAAAATCTAAAGCAAAAAGGGGTATGCAAATTTGCGCCTTTCATTTCTAAACATGTCAAAACAACTCAAAGCAGATTGTAAAGAAATTGGAGATTTTGATTATTGTAAATATATATTCTTTCTTAGGCTAAAGGCTTTCATTCTTTCTTTGTTTTCTTTGAAGAACTTTCCATTTCGCGATTGCGTGTTTCCCATCGAATAGACTCAAAAAAAACGAATGACAAACCACTTGGAAGTTTTGATTTAAAAGTAGACACAATTTTGTTAGAAATCTTTCTTCTAAAGCCGATTACAAGAAGATAAACCCTGCAGAAAGATCTTTATTAGTAAAATAATGAACTGTAGTAAATTACTACGAATTTGGCAACAATTACTACTAAACTTTGACTCATGTAACTATGCGTTGACTCAAATCGGTCAGTTAATCGGCCAGTTAACCAGTTAATCGCCAGTTAATCGGCCAGTTAACCCCCAGCATTTAGCCAGCGATTCCCATAAAGATGTCAGTCAATTTTGAGTGAAAAGAATGTGGAGAAAGCTGGGGCAATTAGCGTTTAGGGAAACAATGGGAAGACAAACAAGAAGAGATTTAAAGGGAAATGAATGGAAATGACAGCTTTGGTGAAGAGGAAAAGAAAGGTGATGAGGAGGGAATGGATGTTGGGTAATAGCTGAGGGGAACGATTAGGCAATCACCGCTATTCTATTCTAATTGTAAGACAAAGATGAGATGAAGCTATTAATTAGACTGTTCTAATGCAGTAAACGCTAATACTTCTCTCGGCTTACAACCTTGGACTTTTTCGAGGGATTCAACTCAAACAAAACCAAATTTTGGTGTTCGCTTTTGTTTGATCTGTATAGCTTTCACTTTGTTAAACTATTTTTATTAGTATTCTTTCTTTTTGAAATAAAATTAACCTGAAGGTGCGTCAAATGGGTCCACGGTTGAAGCACGCTGATCCTATTATGACCAAGAGAGAGGGAATTCAATTGAACCGGCAGAGATCGAGGGTTGACCCTGGAAAATAGATTGGCTTAAAAATAACAATAAGTTAAAACTACCTGTACAATGCATTGTAGGATAGGTCCAAGAACTTTAGAGCTGTCAAAGCGGATAGATCGGGCACAAACCGGAGGCCATTGTGGGCAAGACTCAACCAGGTCACGTTACGCAGGCCTGAAATCTACTATATATAAAAAACAATGCCTCATCTCTACGGGCTTTTCTCAGCCCACTTTTGGCCAAAAACTTTTAAAAATCTTGAACTATAGTATAGTTGTGTGATTTAAAATTAAAAATTGATTGGCACTACGGGGGCCGAACTCTGACCGGGTGGGTTGTAGAAAAGCGCCCTGCCGACTGCACCACGTCAACCCCAAGCACGGCAAGAAAAAGCCGACATTATCCCGTTAGGCTGGTTTTTTAGGCGGGCTATCGACTGCGCCACGGTGACAAAACGCGTCAAAACATGCAGTTAGAAACCTCCCAAGCTTGTCGTCGTGGTGCAGTCGGGAGCGCGCTTGTTTACAGCCCACACGATCCGGGTTCGACCCCCGTAGTGGCACCCAGTTTTGACTTTTTTCGACTGATTGGAAATAACAATAAAATTGGCTCATTGGTAAAGCTATAGATGAGTTTAACCAAACCGTTTTGAACGATGAACGTCGAGATCGAGTTGTGCGAAAGATCGACTCGAGTGACGGCTTTCAACGATCGAAATGCCGTCGATGTGACCCTCTCGATTCCACAATATCTCAACGAAATCTCTTGCACCGAATCGTACGAGCCCGGGAAACTGAAAACGATCAAAATCGAGGCATCCAAATCTTAAACCTTTCAACATTTGCTTTCATTGCTGATAAATGTTCAATGAACTTCCCCCAAACCGTGCTTTGCTCCAAATTCAAATCCGTTTCCCCGTATTTTATTCAATTTCCAAAAATGCCATCACTTTTCGTGGGAATTCCCCATTTCCCCCCATTCTTCGAGTATTTCCAAGCTCTCATCCCATTTCTGAATAAGGATTCTCATGGTAGAGAGTCCTTTGAAAAGGCAAAAAGATACACAAAAGTTAATGGGAATCTTTTGAAGGAATCTTTTAAAGGAATCTTTTAAAGAAACCTTTTCCCCACAATCAAATCCATTCCTTTCTTTCACTATTTTAAAATAGGCAAAAGATTTTTAAGCTCAATTGAGTGGAAGGGGAATTTTTTTTTTGTTGAAAAAGAGAGTTGCGGGAAAATGACACTTTTTTGAATGGGGGAATAATGGAGGGCTTTGTGACAAACAACTGGATGAGGGAAAAGAAAAGGCATTCAAATTATTGAGGAGACAACTATCAAGTGCATTAGAAAAGGTGTGTGACTTTTTCCGCTCACTTGTCAATACTGGTGATCGAATTGTTGAATAGAGTGACAGAGATGACATCAGTGGGCACAGTTGGCAGATGGGTTAGCGATGAGGAGATGCACTCGATTGAGGGTTTGTTTGAGACTGAGAAGCGGCGGCATGGATCACCGAAGGTGAGTGAGAGGGATGCGATGAGGAGTAGCTGGGGAAACATTTGAGCATTTAGATCTAAATGAAAGAATGGAGATTGGGGAATCGGGAACAACGAGGTGAGGAGTTTAAAGTTCATGAACTCCTGAAAACATCAACATGAAGTAATTTGGGTATTTTGAGAGGCTGAATCTAGTAGAAACTAGAAACTGGGTTAATTCTAAGTTCTGACTTGGAATTAACCTAGTTCCTAGTTCCTACTAGATTCAGATCTTCAGTCTACAAATCTAAAAATTCGAGATATTCGGGAATTGCCAAAAGCTTGAATCAATAAGTACATCTTCCAAAGAAGAGTGGGCAAAGTTGACGATTTCCAAGTTGATCCTTGAAAGTTACCAACATGAGTAAAGAGAGGGATTGCTAGGGGTAAAGATGGGGCAAAAGATGGGGCAAATGAGGCACACAATGGGCCCCAAAAGGGATTCATCCCTAACAGAAAAGGGGAGGGGCTGATGGAAAGAGCTGAGAGAAAAGAGCTCAGAGGCTCAGAGACATCCTTTTTCCCCCAAACACTCTCCCAGGCCATAAAAATTAATAAAGATCTTGTCATTGAGAGGCGTTTTGAAAGCGGAAGTAAACAATTAGTCAAGTTAAATAGTTAACTCAGTTACCGTTGCATTTGTTGGCCAACCAAGTACAAAATTCGATGAAAGTCGTGCGTATTTTGTGTTCATGCAAACGTCAACTTTCTAGAAGGCTCGATTTTTATTTTACATCAAATTCAGAATGAACTAATGATAAAATTAAAAACCCGTGCCAGAATGTGAGCGTTTGCTGTAGCGGACAAAGCATTTGTATCTAGACTGCTCAAAATATTGGGTTGATGAATTGAAAACTGCCGGCTAATCTCATATGTGACAGTTTGAGCACTTTCTTCAAAAGAAACCCATTTTGGTGTCAATGGAAAAGTTGTAGAGAATCAAAAATCAAGCTTATATCCAAATTTTCAGAACGATTCAAAAACTGGTTTTCAAGAAATGCCAAATTTACGAATTTTCACAAATGAAATGGCGGAAAAGGAGGGGAGGGGGTTACGGTATCTGTCTGTCTTTCTGTCTGTCTTTCTGTCTGCCTTACTGTACGGGCATTTCATCAGCCGTATATTTGGATCAATATTTCATTTTGCATGAATATTATATTTTAAGTTGTTTTTGGTGTCATTCGATGCGTAATTTCATTCTGCATCAAATGATCGTTAAAATAGTCAAGATATTGGGTTGGTGAATTGAAAACTGCCGGGTATTGTCATATGTGGCAGTTTGAGCACTTTCTTCAAAAGAAACCCATTTTGGTGTCAATGGAAAAGTTGTAGAGAATCAAAAATCAAGCTTATAGCCAAATTTTCAGAACGATTCAAAAACTGGTTTTCAAAAAATGCCAATTTTTAAAATTTTCACAAAACTTGCATTTTAAGCGAAACTACTAAGTGTATCTTTTTGGAAATTTGGATATAAGCTTGATTTTTGATTCTCTACAACTTTTCCATTGACACCAAAATGGGTTTCTTTTGAAGAAAGTGCTCAAATGCTCAAACTGGGACATCTCCAGTCCTCCATTTTTGAGTCTCACACTTGTCTCACACACAAACCAAAACCCTACTACGAAAGAGGAATCCGCAAATTGCCTATAAAATGGGCAGAAGTCATCATAATAATAATGGAAATTATTTCGAATGAATTCATGGCTTTATGTTGAATAAATTTTAGTTCAAAGTCCCGCAGTTTTCAATTCACCAACCTATTAGTTGAAGAGAGTATTGAGCGATTTTGGATAACTTTAGTAAATTTCTGATTCTTACCATTCTTTTCTTTTGTTCACTGAACGATTTCCATTTCTTTCAGGATTCTTTTTAAACGATCGTAACTACCGAATGTCCTCGTAAAAGACCATAAAAAGGAAAAGAAAAGTTTGACTGAAACGAGGAATTCTTCAAGATTTCCATGCATTTCCTATCGATTTAAACTATCGATTTTAAACGATTTTAAATTTACTTTTTTAAAACTCAATACTTTAGCATGATTTCTTTATCGAATTCGATTATTTGCCCGAAACTCGTCTGGATTGGCGACAAATTTCAAGAAGGAATCTCAATTCGAATCGATTCTGATGGGAATATTGCGGAGGTGGTTGATTTTGATATTTTGATTTTGATTTTGATAATCTTTAGCAGCTTGAAACTAAATCAGTTACTAACTCAGAAAAGAAGTCAAATGATAATGTTAAGATTGGCAAAGGAATTTGTGGAACCGACAAAGTGATCTGGTCAAATGAGGCGCTCATCCCCGGTTTTGTCAACACTCACTCCCACGCTTTTCATCGTCATTTAAGGGGCAGATCCGAGATTGGTAAAGGAATTCAAGTTAAATGCTATTGGCAAAAAGTACACTATGATTTTGTAATGAAATAAATAGATATGATTGCCTAGGTGACGAGAGTGGAGATACATTCTGGAGGTGGAGAGACAATATGTATGGTTTAGTCGATGAGATCGACTGGGAGACGATGAAACGGGTGCCTAGATTTCAGCTGTACTTTGGGGGTTCAAAACGCATGGCTTCTGGCAGAGCAAAATGAAGTTATCATCTTTCAGCTTTGCAAATCCACTTTCCAAGAGATGATCAACGCCGGGATAACCACCGTTGGAGAGTTTCATTATGTGCATCACGGAGAGAAACGGTTAGTGAAAGCAGATATCTGATAAATGTCCAAAAAGGCTTTAAAAGATTCAATTGCATCGATCTACTATATATCTTACGGATATTTTGAATCAACGAGCAGCTTGCCTTGAACGCCGACTTTAGAGATTTCGCGGTTGCCAGTAGAAAAAACGATGCTAAAATGGTTGTAGAACGGACTACTGACTTTTTAACATACCCATCAATTAGCTCGTCAGACATCAATTAGCCCGATCACATTCAAGATAAATCCCTTCATTCGACGGAATATTTCATTCATTTTCGTTCGATCGACTGGCTTTTTCTCTTTTGGTCTGAAATCTTTTTGAAAATATAATATAGTTGTGCAATTTAAAATAAGTCAATTGTACATTGTGTAGACAAAACAAGTCAGTAATAATCAAAAATTTTATTTACTAAACTCAAAGTTGAGCATCACTACGGCACTCGAACCCGGACTGTCTGCCCCCTAAACCACGCCCTCCCGATTGCGCCAAACTTCCTCCCAAAAACCCACCAGAAAAAACCGACATTAAGCCGTTCGGCGGGTTTTTCGGCTGATTTTGATGAATGATCGCCAAAACCGATTTCCAGCTTCGACCTCGACTCGGCGGTGATCGAGGCGGCGAGAGAGGCGGGCATTCGCATGTGTTTGTTGACAACTTTGTATCAACGAGCCGGCTTCGACACCCCAACCCCGCATCCAATTCAGAAAAAGAGGTTCAAAGGCCCAATTTCCGACCGTAATACAAACATTGACCCTAGTTTTCCAGATTTATCAGTGACTATGATGAGTTTTTGAGTCATGTGCGGAGTCTAAAAGCTCTTGAGAACGAGACCATCTCGATTGGAGTTGCAGGTAGATTAAACAACAACAAAGCGGTTTTTTTTGCAAATTACGCTAAATTCGGCTTATTTTCTCAGCAATTCCGATCAAAACTAACAATCTCAAAGTCTCAAGCACTCAGTAAGCACTCAGTAAAGGTTACAACTATTTTCCTGTTCATCAGCCGATTTTCAGCTCACTCAGCTCGAGCGGTTCCATTCGAGAAAATCACTTCTTTATGGGAATGGGCAAATGATGAGAGGGTTCCCTTTCACATTCACCTCGAAGAACAACCAAAGGAATGTGTTGATTGTCAGAAGTATTTAGTGAGTGGAAATGTTGATGATTCTTTGATGAAAGACAACGATTTCAGGGTACAAAAGAGACACCAATGGATTTGATCTTGAAGAGCATTGTGCCAAATCAGCTCTTCACTGGCGTTCACAATACGTGAGTGGGGGAAATATTAGATTCGATTCGAATGCGGTATTAGTTTTTGGGTACAGTAACCCGAAATACTTGAAATAGAGGTCATTTGCATATAATCACCGGGAGATACTTGATTTCAGCTACACGAGTGAGGAAAATATGAGCAAATTGGCGAAGCTCGGCGCCAATGTAAGCATTTGTCCGTGCACTGAAGGTGAGAGCGTTGATTTTAACATTTCAAATTTGATCATGAGGATTTTACTTTAAAGTCCGACTTGTAAACAAGTTCCCCAATACCAATCCCAAAAAAATCCCAGGTTATCTGGGTGATGGGATCCCGAAAATCTCCACCAAAACGCATCTCTCATTCGGCACTGATTGCAACAACAGAATCTGTTTCTTGGAGGAGATCCGTTGGGCGGCATTCACTCAACATGTAAACATCAAGTTTCTCCAAAAATAAAAAAAATTGCAGGTCAAACACAACTCTCGAAATGTGGCCGGGCTTTCAGGTGTGACAGCTATTGAGTAGACCAAGATCAGAGCCGACTTTTTAGCTTCCCGACTCATGCATTATGCTACGATTGGAGGAGCACGATCGTTAAATCTTGAAGATAAAGTGGGCTCGTTTGAGGTCAGTTTGACAGAAACTAACAATAAAATGAATCCTTCGCGAATTTTTTAATCTAATAACTCTCCAAAAGACCTCTTTAGCTTGGTAAAGCCTTCGATTTCGTCTCGTTCTCCCTGAACAGTCCTTTGCTTGACGGTCTCCAGTCTGACGAGCTAATTGATGGGTATGTTAAAAAGTCAGTAGTCCTTTCTACTACCATTTTAGCATCGTTTTTTCTACTGGCAACCGCGAAATCTCTAAAGTCGGCGTTCAAGGCAAGCTGCTCGTTGATTCAAAATAAACTGACTTCCATTCATTATCAATAAAACAATAGGAGAACTTATCAAAAATAGTGAAAGAGCAGACGAAACAGCAAAAAGCACTTGACGTGACATCAGATTCACCAACCCGTACCCAAAAACGAAGGAATAAACGAAAGCAATAGATCCACAAAAAAAACTAAATAACAGGGTCGGTCAACAAATGAGAGAATAAATATTAATAACAATCAAGAGATCAAAAAGAACAAAAAGAAATCAAAACTGGTTTTTATTCCTCGCGATGTCCCTCACCACCACTCTCCATTCCGTCTGAATCGTCGGCGTTATCGATGGACCAATGTTTGTCACGAAAAGCTACGCATTGTTGCAAATCTTTCTAAAAAGATTTAGATAAGTTAATCTGATTTTTGCACTATGCATTCCATAACTAGAAAATTTACTATAAGACCAACCAATTCGTAAGGTGTTCCCACCCGTGCTTTACGCATTTGTGTCGTGTACTCGGTGCGTAGTTGACGATAGATTCGGCTAAAAAAGTTTAGATTCAAAGCTCATACAAATTTACTCACAAAGGTATCACTTGAATCCGTCGAAAAAATTTATACACGCTCCCATCGATATGCGAAGGATCTTTGGTCTTCATTTGTGGATCTTGCAGCTGCTTGATGTTCCTAAATGAAACATATCGCAAGATACTACTTTTAAAATAAGCAATTAACTTATACTCACATAAAATGGCGTTTACGACGCCGTCGTTTCTTTCTCGGCCCACTCCCTTCATCAATCGAAGCTCTGATCACATCAAGCGAACATCGGGCTCGATCCAAAAAGTCACTCGCAATCGTCGAAGTGGACATCAAACGGCCTCGTTCCCCAGATTCTGGCGATAATAAGTCAACCACTGGGACCTTAAACAGAGCATAAAGTACTCTACTCGATAATACCCATATCTCGAACCCATTATTTTTGTATTGTACCACATAATATGAAACGTACAGTGGGCGATGTCAACTCAAGATGTAGACTTCCATTCGGCTTCCCCTCAATCTTCACTTCATCTGTAGAAGTCCGCACTTTCAAGGTTAAACAATTTTCCTGAACAAAAATTAAAACGGTTACCTTTTATTTAACAAGTTACCTTTTCTGAATTTTTAGCAACGTTTCTTGGTGCCAAATTATTCCCCTCATTCAACGTCTTCCTTCTTTTACTACGCCGTTGTTTGCAAAACAAGAGCCTAAACACTTATTGCATATTTCTCTTCAGCAAATTGCCAAAAACCTCAATAAATTTCGTTTTCTAATTGCCATGGGTAAGTTGTGATGATATGCCTAAAATAGTGTATAAACAAAAAAAGCATAAACAAGCAACATACATATGAGAATTTTTGTACAGCGTTCGGATCAGAAAACTGAGCGAATGCAAATCCACGTAGTCTTTTAGGCTGCGAATATCCATTTTGATTGGCAGCTTAAAGAAAAATGTTTGATCAATCATAATTTTAAATGTTTTGAAATAAAAGTTCAAAATTATCACGTTTTCGTTGCCTGTGAGGTAGGCGAATTTGGACGACCGTTCCAAATTTCCTTAATTCGCGTAGCAGCCGTTCGCGGGTCACCGTTTCGGGCAAGTTATCCTAAATTTAGTAATTCTACTAGACATCATTGATAAAAAATAATCGCAGAAAACTTACCAAGTAAACCATGCAATCATAGGGATGTGCTCGAACAGGTCGGTGTCGAATCAACCAAGTATCTGTATCGTTCACCAATTCGAACATCGTCGTTTGTCGGTTGATAGATAGAATGGCAGCCGAAGGCATTGCTAACACCGATGTTGAAGGAAGGGAGAGGCAATTCAGTACATCCAAAAACGAGGCTTCTAAACTTGTTTGATGATAAAAAGCTGAAAGTAACGTTAACCTGGTGTTCCATCAAGATCTACTTTGTTGAAAAGATGACCAACCGGGGAGGGATCGATGCTCAACGCTTTTTCAATCTAAAGCAAAAAGATAGATTGATGGGGAAATAAATCCTTTGTGAAGGTTGTAGATTTAGGTATCTCAATAGTCTAACTGTTTGATCTCACATCTGATCCATGATCCTCATGAACTTTGGAGACTCTAAACTTTACCTCCTCAATAACTTGATGCCGTAAATTTCCCGTCCTCGTTCTTTTTCGTCTCTTCTTTGCTATCTTGGGTCGAAATCTTCGGAGCTGGCCTCTTTCGATTTCTTTCATTTTACGTACGAGTTTACCTAGAAAATCCACAATATAACCCAAATACACCGCCGTATATCAAATCGACATATAATTCTTTCTAAAAAACTGCATAGCACATGATTTGGCAATGGAGATAAACAAAACGAACCAACGACAACATGCACCAATTTCCTTCAAATGATCAATAAACATTTTATTCATGGCAATAAATTATTAAAAGCACCGTCAACATTGCAGATTATCCAAATTCAAGGCAAAAAGTTCTAGAATGCGATACACAGAATACTTTTCTCAACACAAGCGTATTATTACATGGGGAGTGATAAAAACGGCACCCGTTTCACGGCAATTCCAAACTATTAAAATTGATCACTTCCATTGATTGCTTAGGTATCACAGCATGGGAAAATATGAATGGAATACTTAAATGAGGCATAAAATTGAAAGAAAGTAACCTAAGAAGCGGAAATAAATTATTATGATAAATACGAACAAGGTTACAAAATTTTTATAAGAATCATGATGCATTATTGCAAAGATTGCACACGCGTTCTCGCTCATCGCTCGTCAAATGAACACAACGACGGCAGAATATCTAAAGACAATCTACATTAAAATGACTAAAATGTGTTCCATAGAAGTCCACATATAGATATAGAAGGCAACAAAGTAATCCCAAAAAAGCGTTAAACTTGCCTTTCCACATCGATAACAGTGCATACGGCGTTCACTCCTCGACGTAAATTCAAAACCACAATTTGGAGATGAGCAACTAGTCGCATCCCTTTCAGACATCCATTTAAGAGCCACTGGTTGAAGTAATCCCTCGCAGTATCCACTCTCTTCGCCAAAACCACTGATCGACACGCTCGTCTAAATGCATTTGAATTTTTTCTGACAAGATTTGTTGCATAATTTATATAAAGCATAAAACTTTTTTGCTTACGGGGCTTTGAATCCCATCTACTCCCTCGGCTCCACTGCTCGATCCATGTCCACTGTCGGCCATAATTGATGCGTTGCCCGGCGCTGACTTTCCCAGTTGCTGCTTCAACTCTACTAGTTTCTAAACAAAAATGATTAAACAGTTTATGTTTAAAAAAATACATTTCTGAGTTGAGCGACATGTGCTTCCAAGATTCCAACGTGTTCAATTGTCGCCATAGTTGAATTGTAAATATCCTAAAGTTTTCACATACTTTCGACGAATCTTTTAGTACCTCTCGTGGTAGAATTCCTTCATCAAAACGATTGTAAAGTCCACTCCAGACCACGAACGAACTAGCTCTTATATCGATATCGAGCAAATAACCAAATGAAGCTGGCTAAAAATATGGAATATTTTTAATTACAGTGCACGACCTCATAAAACGGGTTAAGGAAATCATCGCGCCGTGAATCCAGATGTGTCCACAAAGATTTAGTTCGTGTTGATAATGAGAGACTCTAGAAATATTTTTAAAAAAACCAAAAGAATTGCAACCTTTCTATCCGAATCGCAGTTGCCCAAAAACGTTCCATATTGACAAGAATATGCATGCTCATGGAGCTAAAATCCAAATCAACGTTGTCAAAATTTATAGGTTACCTCGATGAGAAAACGCTCGTTGAACTGGAAAGCTCGAGGTCGCATTCTCCAAACTTGCCATACACAATCAAGCCATTGGGAGAACACTGGAGATATCTGAGTTCACTTTTATAGACTGCTTGTTGTTCTTCCAAACCTCTTTTGGAGCTTCTTCATTGTTTGCACCAATGTGAGCGCATCTGTCGTCAAATTTGTGTCCAAAGCCAAGCCAATCTTTTTCAATCAAAACCTAAATTGAATTACTGGGGACAAAAGTAGTAAATCTAACTTGGAATCCATGTATCGTTCGGAAGAATGGATCAAGAAGCAATTGGGCCAAACTTACCTAAATCAAATAATAAACCGTTACTAATTTATGAAAGCTCCGAAAAGGAAGCAAACTCACCGTTTGCGACGTTCGGTCCCAACCATCGGAACAATGAATAACGCAAGAGATTCCTAAAAGTTAAGTTGAATGTACTTTTAATGAATAAATCTTACCTTTTGCAATGCTATCGGCAATAAATAGCGAACATTCGGTAACGATCCTCAGATGTTTTAACCATCCAGAAGAGTCGATAGCTTTTAGATATTCAGTCATGGTCTTAGCTCGAGCACAAGCTAAATAAAGTTGTAATATATAATTCATCTTCAGGTTGCAAACCTTCAACAACTTTAATTTGACTTGAGCGCATCACATGAATGTTTTCAATGTCGTAAAAGTATGAGCGGATATTCGCGTAATTTCGTTCATCCTCAAAGCCCTTTCCTTGGACTTTGTTCACCATTGCATTAACCTGAAGTTATGATCGTTTCAAATCATTCAAACAAACTACCATAGGTCGTGTATCAATCAAATACACAATTTCTTGATGAGGATTTGCTTTTCCAATCAACGTCATAAAGGTTTCGTCTTCAACACAGCGCGCTCGAAAGCCGGCATTTGGTTGTGAGCATCTAAAATAGATGAAATAAATTACGCGGGAAGTTTGATTGAAAAACGAACCTTGCTATCGCTGCTCCATTTGTTCGATGAAAATAAGTAAGTACTGGAAATCTTCCTCGACTTCGAAAGCTGATAGATCCTTCTAGAAGTGGTGTCCGTGCAGTGGAGGGAACCCAGAGCTGCTCAGGGTAGGTGTCACAAGACTAAAAGTATCTCTATCAAAGGCCAAACTGATTTAGAAAATGAATATTAATGATTCCATACCTTGTAATTCGCATTAATGTCCGTCTTCATCCAACTAGAGGAGACACCTTGTCGAGAGAATTCTGTCATCCATTCCAGACTAAAGTTAGAAACTCAGAAATTTAGGAGCTCAAAACACGTACCGTTTCCAGCCACGGGCATCTTCATTTTGGTCTCTGTTTTCAAAAGCAACGACACTTTCAATATTTGCTAAAAAGTTAACATTTTAGAGAATGAGTTCATAAAAATACTTGGCTTCGAGCAGTTAACGAGTGTTTCGTAGAGTTCTTGGCAAACTTTGTCGCGATTTATCAGAAGATGAATCTAAAAGCAAAAGTTTTTCAACGAACAAAAATATTAAAACCTGCATAAAGTGTTTGCAACGAATCAGAAGTGGACATCCGGCAACAGACAAAGAGCCACGTTCCACCGTTCCAATCAACCCATTGGCTAGCTAAAAAAATAAAATTTTACGATCGAATAGCATGTTTAACTTACCCAAATTTCTCGACTTCCTTCGTCTGCTTTGAAGATTACGTGGCTTGTCGTTACATGAACCTAATAATCTTTGTTAGATTTTGGTTTATTTAAATTCAATACCGTTCCACAAATGTTCGATTCAGCGCCCCAACGATCAACTAGTTGCACTTTATCGACCTAAATCAATAGTTATCACAAAATTTAAATAGGAAAAACCTTTAAGTAACTTTCTGGAGCATCCTCTTTCCCCTTTACTACTTCATAGAGAATAGATATTTTGTCTTTTATCAAGCTTCCGGCCACAGTAATATCTTCCGTGTAACCAGGGTGCGCAAATATATCGGGACGGGTCGATGGAGTGTCATCGTTTGAATACATAGAACTTGTAGACAATAGTCTACTACTTCTTCTCATCAGTTACGCTTAATTTAAAATTCCATCAAAAATTAACAATTCTCAAGGTTCAAAGAAAGTGAGAAATAGGGATTTGTGGTCGTCTTTTTCGCAAACTCGTCTGCCAACTAACAAGCAAAAACGAAATTGGATTTGAAATTGACTAGGGGAAATGGCGACAAGAAATAAGACAAAGCTGGCTCGAAACTCAAAATTATAGCAAAAAAATAACAAGTAGAAATTTTTAAAGTGAAATTATGCATTTAATCGCCCACAAATGGAAGAAGATCAAATTTCCATCGGGGCTCCCAGCTTTAAAAACAAGCCCTTCAGAAAAGTAAAAAGGGCATAAATTTATTTTTTTAAAAATTAAATCAAACTCAATTTTTCTAGAAGCATTTTTGCTTAATGAGAACAAAAGAAAACCTTCATTAAGCATTCATTGAAGTTTTTCTTGTGGCTCTCTGACTAGCCAATTATATGGCGTGTCAGAGAAAAGTTAGCCAACGGACTATCGGGATTTGAATGGGGAAAAGCCGGGTAATCAATAGGAAGAGAGGGAAAGAGCGGAGTACCTCTACGAGGATGGAAAAAGCTGCCCAATGTGGCCCTAGCGGACCAACATCTCCGTCAAAAAGAAAGGCCAAAAGCGCACCCTTTTCCTTTTTGGTCTTTTTGCGTTCTTTTTGGCTTTTCCCAGACTGAGTCCCCTGGAAGGGCCCTCAAAACAGAGAAATGCGGGAACGGAAGACTATATTGCCGACCAACCTTGGGAGAAAAGGAGATTACTTGAAATTTTAACTATTTTTAAAGAAATGTAGGTAGGCCATCATAAACTTTAGAACTTTTTGCAAAAGCACCATCGAACTAGAACTTTATAGAAATAACACGCTAGTCTAGAACATTGATTTGCAAGGATCAAGTGCGTAGCTTAATACCACAAAATATCTTCCCCTTACGATCTCCAGAGCGACAACTTGATTTCTAAGAAATAAACGTGAAACTCACCCTTGGTGTTAGAATATCCTCGAAGCGCATGTCTTCTAGAGAACCTTGTGTTGAACCGTCAAGTGTCGCGGCGCACGGAGTGTGTGGGAAGAAGCGCTAGGAGGCCTAAAACATAGCCAATTTATAATAGTTGCATAAATTCAAAAGCAGGAGTAAAAAGAAAGGAAATACACGTCAAGAACGTTGGTGCAGGTGTTTAGATTATGTGAATACAAAAGATACAACTTTATAGTGTGATTCTAAACTTTTTGGGAGGCTCCCCAAAAAAAAGTAATAATTTTCTGTGAACTCTTTGTTTTTGATTTTTGCGATTATTGATATCTCTGTTCTCACAGATCGCAAGATATTCAGTCAAAAAATGCGTATCTTTTAACAACTTTTGACTAGTCAAATTCTCGCCTGTGTTTCAAATTAGAGTTGCACATCATGGAATTGTCAATGCTTCATTACTTCACTGGATATGGAAACAAAATCGTTACTCTAGCTTGGGAATGAGACAACTTCATCCGTCATTGAATCAAGATAAGCACAAGTAAAAAGACTGCCTTTTTTTCATTAGAAAAGGTTCACAAAAACTTTCATTCATCAATAAGAGTTTCGAAAATTTATAAACAGACGTTTTTGAAGCTTTAGATTAACCCCGATTACTTTGTCGTTGAACCAATCGAATTTTGCTTCTCCAAAAATATAATCGTCTCGTCGTTGGTAGTGGCGTGTAGTGTTTTGGCTACCGTATGATTTCAAGGCAGAGGGAAAAGGCAAAGCTGCCAAAAACTAGATACTTAGGCACAATTTTGGTTTGTAATAATTTATTGACATTGTTCTCCTTTAATGTAAATGACTTGTCTCTGGGAGGAATTTCGTCGTAATGCTGCCAATAAAAAAGAGTAGACCAAACGCGAAAGATGTGGCTCCCGAGAATAGGGTACCCTGAAATGTCTTATCAATAAGTTGACCTTAGAATCAAACAAGTGCTGGAGCATGGGGTGCAGCTATGGCCCCAAAATTGGACAAAGTAGAGCAAAGGCCTAAAGCCGCCGAACGACAGCTTACCTAAATGGGATTGATTTCTTGAGATCTAATAGAACCAACCGGGAAAATTTCAGCTCCATAAATAAAAAGACAAAGGAAGACCCCACTGGCGCTCAACTTTGCCAGCAGCCAGACACACATGAAAATCGTCGAGGTTTCTAGAAGTTGAGTTTTTGTGAGAGATTGATTATCGAACCTAAAGAAAATATGGTCATAATTCCCATCACAAAATGGAGAACACTTCCGCTTAAGGACAAGATGATGACGGTAAAGCGGCGTCCAAGTCTGAAAGTTTGGAACTGAAAGTCTGAAAGTTGTTGCAGTAACTTTAAAATTCTACAAAAGCATAGTCAGTTTTTGATTTTACACTTTTTACTATCTTTTAGCTTTAAGCCAACCCACCGATCGAACAACAATGGTGACAAGAAATATGAGGGCACTTCGATAAGTCCCGACAAAATATACTGTACATGATTATTTCCGACATTCAACACTGTGCTCGCAAATGACATCCCGTTGTAAACAAAATAAACGGCTGTCCTAAAACCCTTTTCTTTGCGGTCAGTCTTATTCTCAAAACCATAGATACGATGACAATAGCACATTTGTCAGGACATCTTTTTGAAATAAGTCACCGATAATTGCTTTCAAATTCTTCCCCGCTGAAGTGTCACCATCGTTTTGCAAAATAGCCTTGAGATTGTATTTTAGTCTAAATTTATGTAATTGATTTCTTTTTGAGTCTTTTTGAAAACTTGCTTTTTCTTTGAAAAGCGTTCCACATTTTTGAGATAGGCTCGAATCGCGTCCGCGTCTTGTTTAGACACCGAATATAAAAGACTTTCCGGTAAAGCTCTAGATTATTTTTGTAAAGAGTTTATAAATATTTATAGTTTACAGGATTAGAAAGAATCCAAAAATGGCCAGAGGAGCTGATGCGGCGGCGAGGAAGTGACGCCAATGTGCGAAAAGTAAAGCGACCGGTGAGACCTTGAAAATACTAGTTTAAAATACTAGTTCTGTAAGTTTAAGCCTCTTGTCTACAGGGTGACTGAAAAGTTCTGTCCATATTACCAATAACTTGTAATAAAGTATAAAATCAATTAATAAAACTTGTAAAAGCCTAAAGTGTCTCAAATTTTAATGGTTCCACAATTTTTTACTCGACGCCAACCATATAAACCTGACCGGGGCCATAATGTCGCGGGAAATTTTTGGATTTCTCGCAGCTATTTTATGACACTATGGCCCGGGCTCTAGAGTATGGTTTCAAGAGCTTTTTTAGTATTATTTCCTGTGAGCCAATACCATTTTTCAGTTTGTTCGTGTGTCAAATTTCTACAATTCGTTCTCTAAATCAGTTTTGGTTTCCTTAAAAGCAAATTTTGATAACCTTTCGGTACTATGCGCTTTGGGGAGAGCCACTTTTTTTTTTTCAAAACCACTTTCTCTGGGGTAGTTTTATGCGTAGATTCCGAAAAACACAACAAGTGCTTAGGAAAATACGTTTTAAGCAGAGTTTTGGGGCTTTTAAGTGCGCGCTTCTATAGTGTACTCTGTATAGTGTACTTCACTATATGGAGCCCAAGCTATCGACTATTGGGGCACTTTTCAAGGTCAAAACTAGAGCCAAAACCATTTTTAACCAAATATTCATTTCCTAACTTAAATTGATTGGTAGAGGCAAAACAAATTGAAAAAATATTTTTTGAGTTTTTTATCCGATTTTGACTCACTCGATCGATCGAAATTTGGAAAAAATTTCATTTTGCTTAAATTTGATCAGAAACGTAATCAGTAAGTGAAATTATGCCAGAAGAAATGTTTTTGGCTTCAAAAAATATTTTGAGAGGCCATTTTTAGAACTCTTCCCTATGTGTATCCCTCTCCTCGCACTGTATGAGCGCGCACTTTGGAGCCCCGAAACTGAGCTTAAAAGCCTCTTGTTGAAGCCTCTCCCAAGCTCTTGTTGTTTTTCGGAATCTACGCATAAAACTACCCCAGAAAAAGTCGTTTTGAAGAAAAAAAGGTGGCTCTCCCCAAAGCCCATAGTATCCATTTTTCTTTAAAACTATACCTTACATAGTCAGATTGCTTTTGAAATTATCGATTTTGAGAGCCATTTTGGAAATCACTTGAGCCAATATGAATAGAATACCAATATGCTAGTAAGATTCTCTAAAAAATTGATCATTTTCAGAAAATGATCAAGATCTTTTGACCTATTCAAGCTAGCCTATCCATACGGGGTCGGAATCGAAAGCTGAATTCATGGGCTATCCGGGAATACCCAGAAACATCTTTAAAATCTTTGAGATTTTCGATAAATTCGATGCGCCGACGCCCACCCCGACGCATATGTAATATGTGAAAAATATGTGCCAGAATGTGCGCGATTACCGGGCCGCCTCAAGTACGCACAAAAACTACCAAAGGATCGCAAATTTTTGGGAAAAATTACATATTTTTTAACTTTTTTGCAAACTTTTTTCAGATCTTAAAAGCTTGATTCATGACGCATTTTTTGCGCATTCAAGAATAAAAATCTGATCAGCCAAAAAAAAGAGTTTTCTCAGAGTCAAAGATCGGTAGTACAATGATTTTTACCACAAAAACTAATTTTCGAGCTCGATCTCGCCAAGATCCATAAGCCGTTTGCTCTATTGTCTTGGTATGAAAAAAATTTGTTAATCGAGCTTAAAAAATAGTCGAATTTTCTAAATTTCAATTCCATTTTGCTTTATCTCGACGGAGTTTTACTATAAAGACACGTCTATTAATGCAGACAGAACTTTTCAGTCACCCTGTAGAATGCTAGAATTCGGTTGAATATCTTGATGTAAGCTAAAGGTATTCAGTTTGGTGCTCTTTACGCCGGTTACTGTACTGTAGTTAGACAAGAGGTTTTTATCTTTAAGTTAACAATTTTTTAGCGTAAAACTCACTCACCAGACAATAACCGGTTACCCACATCAGACCAAATATCAATGAGCATATTGAGTGTGAAGACAAAGGCAAACATTCCGCTGCCAGGACATAGTTTGTGACAAAGGCAGCCTAGATTAGGAATGGTTTGGAAATTGATTTGTGAACGATTGGCTTTGTAACTTTGAGGATTTCATCAAATCAAAATTATACCGTGAAAAAGACACCAGTCAAGAATCGTGTGAATAGAAGGAGATTGAACGATGGAGAAAGAGCGGAGGCGATCCCGGTGAAACCAGAGAATAGAGCTGAAATTGCAACCACATGACGTCGCCCATAGCTAAATTGTAATGAATAAAAAGAGTTAATAAATTCTATTTAGCGCTAATTTTAACGATAAAAGTACTAGTCTGTGATGAGTGCCAGAAATTGACCAGCGATGAGATTTCCAACGAAAATCATTGATCCAGTCCATTCGGCCGGGTTGATCCACGAGTTTTCGAGTTTGAACTACAATTTTTATTTGTTTTTAGAAACTTTCCCTACTTCATCTTGCACTGTTACAAACGGAGTGTCATTCAAATTCTTTTCAAACGGGCTAATAAACGCAGGAGCCATAATGGAAATGGCGCTGAGAAGCCACAACATCCCCATTGATATCACAATTCCACAGGTGTATGGATCTCGTAATCTGAATTTGAGAAATCGATGGGTTTTTGGGTATTAACAACCCGCCAATTTGATCGAGTAACTCATGAACTGTCATCGCAACTTTTTGTGTTGAGCCCTAGAACTTTGGGTTTTGAGATTTCAACTACGTATTGGAAAATCGATTATATGGGAATTTTTCTACTACAATTATTGAGATAAAATGTTTAGCTTGATTCCTGTAAAGTAGCATAATAAGGTTACAATTAGTATCACTACAGTATACTAAAGAGACTTCGCCAGCCAGTAAGACTGAATATCTTTTTGAGCTAGAACAGTCAAAGTTTGCAGCCTCTTTATTCAATCTGTAAATTGTAAACTCCAAATTCTTTTAGTCAGAAAATCTAACCTTTTCGATTGTCTCCATTCCCACAATTTCTCGATAAATGCTTTAGTGGACGGCTGGAAGACCTAGAGAATTTTTTTGCGTTAATTCAAATGCAACATTGCTTTTTTCTCTATAGGATCAAGCTCATTCAGTCAGAGAAGATATTATGTTTGCGATTTTTACGAGCAACGGGTGATAAAGGTGAAAGTTTGCACATCCAAAAGTGAGACTGAATCAATATTGAAAACCGGTGTGTGTTTAATCGTTGAGTTGAGGGTGAAAGTGTGTGAAAATTGTGGTCGATCGGTGGTTCGGTTATTGCAAATTGATGGAATGGGATATAAGTGGGGAGGAAACGATTTACAACGTGTTAATCTGTGTAGAGTTCACGCAACGAAGCACAATTGGTTTTTGGGGCATGTTGAATGAGAAATCAAGGGTAATGATCATGCAATATGAAAGGGAAATTTATAGGGCTTTACTAAATTTCGGGAATTTAAAAAATAATTTTACTAATGCCATCGTTAAGTGCTTTTTCCAAAAATGTAACGAGTTTTTTAATCAAAAAGATGAAAAATCTTTTGAAATAGACCAAAAACGTAAAGAAAACAGCGCGAAAGAAGGCGCAAAAGGCGTACAATGTGGACAAAAATACTGTTAAAATTCCCGAAATGAACGTTTCCCGAAAGGAAATTTCCGAAATTTAGGAGAGCCTTTTATAGAACTGTGCAAATTCTAAAAATTTGAGAGCTGACCGTTAAAATCGCATCAAAATAAAGGTATTCAACTTTCAGCTTTGCCACTCCTTCGACGTCTGAATGAATCTGAAATCTGAATTCATTTATAGGAAAGTTTTCCTGAAAGTGAAATGCTTGAGAGACTAAATTATGCTAGTTGTTTTATGAGGCAATAATCATGATGTTGGCATTTCATAGAGTGTAAAAAAATCAAGCAAAACTTCTAAACTTTAGCAATTTTGTGTCTTTCAGTTTCACCATCATCAAAACATCAATCGTACCTCTGAAGAATGAAGCTGAAACATCAAGGCAGAGAGAATCAAACCAAAAACTCATCAAACATCAAACTAACGTCGCTAGATTGCTTCTTATCAGTCAACTTTGGAGCAAATTTGAAAATACATTACGATATAGAGTCATTAGAAAATTAAGTCTTCTATTTGTTTGTGCTTTCCATTCGGCACTAACTTGACCGATACTCAACTTCAAAAAGCGCCAGAAATGTTTCATTCATTTCTTCACTCATGCACTGTTTCATTCGAAAAAATTTGCTCTCCTCCTTGTCTATTCACATCTCGACCAACACATTTTATGAATTGCACCGTGTTAATCAGCATCAAAACATTTTCAGCAATTTACCTAACTTTGATCACTATGTATTGTCTGAGAGGGCATATCTCTAGTTTCTTTTGCACTCAAACTACCGTAGTTCAAAATTCGTAGTCCTTTCGTCTCTTTCCGCGGGTTTTTTGTGTTCGTTTCTTTATCTAATGAGTGAAATACTTTTTTGTTTACCGCATAATGAGATCAATGAGCTTTTATCTTTAAGTTGACCCTTTACAAATCAACAAATCAGATAATTGAGGTTTTTTTCCAAATGTTTGTCTATTCAGTTCTGGTTTAATTTTTATTTTGCTTAAACTCTTTTAGAGTCTCATTTTTAGATGGCCACGGAGAAAAAGAAGCCGAAGTTTGTGCCAAGTCGTCTCAAAAGCAAGTCCAATTTCTACTTACGTGGGGAAATGTTGAAGATTCGAGACTCAATCGACAATAGCGCCTGGAGAAGATACGCTGAACAAGTGTAAGTGGATTTATGTTTGTTCATTTTTATAAAATCATTTTTGTTTAGGTTTGACATGAACGCGGAGCCATTTCATGTTGTTTTGGAGGATGATCCAGAAGAAACGATAGCAGAAGAAGCACAATCAACGGTGTCTTTGATGGCTGATAGTCACGAGGGAGGCTCGCAAGAACTGAACGAAGCAAAGGTAGTACTTTCAAATTTCAATTTGTTTATCTAATCTAGGTTTTAGGAAGCAGAACTTGTAGCTAAGCTTTCTTCCATGTCCGTCTCGCAACCGGCTTACACTCGAGAAGAGATATTGGGGATAAAAAATCAACACGATTCAAAGGTTTCTTTTCGAAAACTAATCTTGATCGTAGAAATTTAGTATTGGCAAAATTTGGCTGCTAAAACATGGAACACAAAAGAAGAACCTTTTGAGTTGGACAAAGAATTGCAATGCCCCTTTGCGGAAAGGCTTCGAGTTTTACGAGAGCGTGAGAGGCAAGCACGTAAAAAGGTGAAACTTTTTTGTTAACAAGCGTTAATGAGAGGTTTAGGTGATTGAAATGCGAAAACAGCCGGATGAAGTTACTTGGGAGGACATCAAGAATCGATTTATTGCTGAAAATTCTGTAACTTCCAGGTTCCACATAGCTGTGTTTATTTTTCAAGTATGGTATTTAGTTCAAAGACTCAGCAAATCGAAGTCAACGGCAGATCCGCAGAATACTGGGCAAAGAAGGTTTTATTCAAATAAAAACTTTAACGTTAATTTTCAGGCAGAACAATGGATTCAAAATTGTGGTGCCGCCGAAAACAAGGAGAACATTTCTGGACAAAATTTGAAGAAGGTTAGGTTTTTTGTATCCTGCAACCCTAACTTGTTATTTAGAGCATTCCAATTGAAACACACAATCCATCCAAGCTCATTGAAATTCTCGAAAGTGCGGCCATTCATCGGGAAAAGGTTTTTATTATCTGGATTTTATGTCATAGATTTTTTTAGATTCTTTCTCAGCCCAACGATGTCTTTCATGATAGAAAATTGGCTAAGCGACGATCTCAAGATAGAAAGTTAAGCTCGACTTCTTCAACGAACTCTGATAATGTAAGTCTCAAACCGATAAGGCATGCAACTAATTAACAAATGAGACTTGCGTATGGCAATTGATAATACCAACGAAATTTGTTTTTTTCTAGTTTGCTAACGAACTCCAACACTCGTCACCAACGTCCACAAGTCATCAGTCTTGCGCATCGGAGAACTTTTTGAAACGATCCGCCTACAACATGGACTTTGCACGAACCTGGCACAATTATGTTACTACTTCGTGTTATAGAAAATAAATAGAATATTGTATAGGTTTGCTTTCATGTTATTGTTTTTTTTTGATCTGGTGCGGGTGATTTGAATTTTCTGCGATAATAAATGTTTTTTTCTATCTTAAAATTGCTTTTAATCTCTGATTTGGTTGATGCCAGTTGTTACCTATAAACTTGTAGGCTATGCGGTATTTGCATAAAATTAACGTTGATTTATCCTTGATTTAGTGGAAATGCCGGCTGCAAATAACAAAAAGGGGCCTGCTTCGAAGAAAGCTGGCGGGAAAGGCGCCAAGCAAGGTATTTTTGTTAGTAGCGTGCAATAAGAATCCCGAGTAATTATCATGCCTATTTTTCAGGCGATGACGATCTTGACGCGATTCTCGCTGAGATGGCAGTTGCTGATGAGGCGAAAGCAGCCAAAGCTACTAAGAATCCAAAGGCCACTCAAAAGGGTACATTTTAATGTATTGGTAAACTCTAAAGTGTACCTAGTTTTAGCCACGAATACTGCAAATGCTGCGGCTGATGGCGAACAAGGCAAGGAGGGATGGGAAGCTGAAATTGCCGCGATGAAGCCAATTCATGAGCAAATTCCCGACGGAAAATTCCCTAAAGGTTTTTTGCAGCTTTGTTTGAAGGAAAATTAATATTTTCAGGACAAGAATGCGAATATTATCTACCAGGGAAAGATGAGCGTAAAGCTTCCGATCGCATGTCAAATGAAGAGAAGAAAGCGTTGGATGCTGGACTAGAAGAAATGTGGCAGGTTTGGAGATCTTTGTGGCTCAGTTTATCACCAGTTTAGGACTATCGCAGAGCTGCCGAGGCTCATCGTCAAGTTCGCAAATATGTTAAGTCTTGGGTGAAGCCTGGAATGCGAATGATCGATATTTGGTGAGTTTTTCCCACAACTTTTCGAATTTAGACTTTTTGGTTGGTACCACTGATGAAAAGTTCTTGAATACAATCTTCATGTAAAATTTTAGTGCTCGACTTGAAGCAACCTCTCGTCGTTTGATCGGAGAATCAGGCTTGGAGGCTGGGCTCGCGTTTCCCACTGGTTGCTCGCTCAACCATTGCGCTGCCCACTACACACCCAATGCTGGCGATGAAACAGTGCTTCAATATGGAGATGTTTGCAAGGTATTTGATAAGCACTTTAATATTCATCTTTTGTTTTTAGATTGATTATGGTATTCATGTGCGCGGGCGACTCATCGATTCGGCTTTTACTTTACATTTCGATCCAAGATTTGATCCTCTGGTATGTTTGCTAATATAGAGCATAAAGACAAACTTTTTTGGGCAAACATGGCAATTTTTGTTCAGGTAAACGCTGTCAAAGAGGCAACTAATGCTGGAATTCGTGAAGCTGGGATTGATGTTCGTTTGTGCGACATTGGAGAGACTATCGAAGAGGTTTAACATTTAACCGTTTAACATTATATACATTAATTGGATTTTTATTTAGGTAATGACTTCTCATGAGGTAGAACTTGACGGTCGAACCTATACTGTGAAACCAATCCGCAATCTTAATGGACACTCAATTGGACAATACAGGTTTTGTTTTTTGACGTTCTCATTGATAATGTTTCTAGAATTCACGCTGGTAAGACTGTTCCAATTGTGAAAGGCGGCGAACAAACAAAGATGGAGGAAAACGAGGTTAATATTGAACTACTTGAATGTGTGTATCAAGGTTTTTAGGTTTACGCCATCGAAACTTTCGGCTCGACTGGAAAGGGTTATGTGCACGACGATATGGACTGCTCGCACTACATGAAGAACTTTGAACTGGCTGAACAACACATTCCACTGCGGTTTTAATAAGCGATTTGGCGTGTATCTTTGAATTTAGTCTTCCGCGATCCAAGGCTCTTCTCCAAACGATTGACAAAAACTTTGGAACATTGGCCTTCTGTAAACGGTTAATAATTCAGATTTTTGTTGGGTTATCAGGATTTATAGGTGGCTGGATCGCGTTGGTGAATCGAAATATCTAATGGCTCTCAAGGATTTATGTGATAAGGTATGGTTCTTTCCTGAAGTTTTTTCTAAAATTGACTAACGTCTTTTTTCATAGCAAACCATTTTAAAGCTCAAATATAGCCACTTCTTTTCAGGGAATCGTCGATGCTTACCCACCACTCTGCGATGTCAAGGGATGCTACACGGCTCAATGGGAACACACACTTCTAATGCGACCAACGTGCAAGGAAGTCGTTTCGCGCGGTGACGATTATTAAATTGTTGCTATTGCACGTATAATTGTTGTTTTGTTGTGTATTTCTGAAACCCATATTTTAAGCAGCAATTTACTGATGTTGTAATTTTCGATACTGGATTAGTTTAGTGTAGCCTTGAAGAAAGAAATTCTACGTGGTATTTTAAACCTAATCAATCATCACTTTATTTTGGTTACTCCTGATCGTCCGGTTCAATGAAATCTATTTATCGTTGCTTGTGTAGTTTTTAAGTTTTCCGATTAAATTGTTTGTCCAAAATTGATTGTTTACGCACAATGAAAAAACGCAAAGGGTTTGAGATTATTAGGTGAAGGCACTGATTTAATAAGTTTGTTGATAACACTTTGAAATCATAGCAAGATAAAAATAGGACAAGGAATAAACAGATGTAGGTAATTTGGAAAACCCTAGCCACATTTTTCAAATACCTTTCCAAAAAAAATAAAGATAAGGCCGATGGGGGAGAATAATGCTAGGCCGTTTTTTCGAGCACGGTGGCTCTACTCTTTTTCAGATGCGATTAGGTAGACAATCTCTTGATTTTCGCGCTCTTTCATGAAATATTATACTTCGTCTGTAAAGTTTTCAATTTGCGGTTTTGCTTTGATCCAATTAGAATTCGGTAGCAAAATTGGAATTCCCGGGTAATTACAGGGGAAATTCTTCAAAAAAGAAATTCTCAAATTCCGTGACTTGTTGGGAGTTTTGAGAAATTGGTACGACGTTTGTTGCATTTTGCAATAAGCGTTTTCACATTTGAAAAGTCTTTTTAAATGATCGATCCGGTCAATAAATTATTTTGTTGCACACAATAATTGTGTGCAACGAGGGCCAGAAAGGGAAAACGATTGAGGACAAACTCGATGATCGTCAGGAAATCGGCATCCGGTTGCCATATTTCATGAATAATTACTTGAACCAAAGTTTTTTTGAGTTCTTCCAGATTGGACTTGAGGTATTGCTAGTTGGCTCTGAATTTTGTGAATAGATTCATTTGCGTGTGTGTGTGTGTTTTATTTTATCCATCGTGATTGGGTGTTAATGCAAATTTTGGGGGTATAACCGTATTGATGCATATGGGGATAATTGGTACCGTATAGTACCGAATTTTTGTTATTAGAAGGGTTTTTTTTAAAAATAGAAATGTTACCAAAAGGTTGTTTTCTAAAAAGGAAAAAAGTTTTTCGCGAAAGGGATCAGAATCTGGGCAGCGAAAAAATAGGTAAGCTTCGTAGGCTAACAGCTAACAGGCTAACAGACTAACCTCTACGAAGACAGACAGACCTCGTAGGCCAACAGACTAACCTCTACGCGAGGACTTCACTTTGTTAAGGGTAATGTGAAGCCGTGTTAAAGGCATCAAAATTGTCACCTAATTTTTTTTTTTTTGCCAAATAACTCGCGATTCCTAGCCGATAAGCAATTTTTGAAAACGGATTCGGAATCAGCATCAAAAACTGCATCTTATAGATTAGGTCTTGTTTGAAAAAGTCACTGTGCCTTCAGGTAGTTCCCGAATTAGAGGCGAAAGTTGATTAGCTGCCTTCCAAGTCCTTATCTAAAAGTATTAGCAACGTGTAAACTTTCAAAAGCTACCGTAAATCTGTAAATGATAAAGAGTAGTTCTATGATAAAATTGGGGCCTAGAAGAGGAAGGGCCTGCGGTCTATCCCGTCCGATCTGCCAAGTTAAACAACGTCGGCGCGGGAGTTCGACTTTTGTGGGTTCCCCTCCGAGCGCCCCAGCCCGGCCATCGGAGTATCATCGGCTACGACAACTACACTTCTGCCTCAGTACCCCGCACGGCCTCCCTGCTCTCTTCCGGCATCGAGGGATCAAGCAAAGGCCTCAGTAAATGTGGAAGCAGATTGTGATCTGCGCAAATAGGAACAGGTCAAAGTGCTGAGTGCGAAAACAGGTCAAAAAAATGATAAAATTAGCATAACCAGAAATGCACAAAACACAAAAACGACCGACAAAAAATGTATCTGTAAATGATAAAAAAAGTGACCCAAAATGATTTCAGCAAATAGGGAAATCGAGAGAGAAAAAGAAGCGTCGTTCAAATAAATCGTGCATAGAGAATGAGGCGAGTGTGGTGTATTCGGTGCTTCGAAAACTGACTTGTCTCTTTATCATATTTTTTCAATCAAATTCCCCATTTCCCATTTCTCTTCTTCCTCACCTACACGTGTTTTATTGATAAGCCTTTTCACTCATTTCTCTGCATTTGTTCGCAAATCTTATTGAACCCATTCATCCGCTGTAAAAATAGTTTATGGAAAAGTTTGAAAATGGTGGTCAGTTTATCAGGTTGGATTTTTTGATTTGATTGAAATTTAGAGGATGATACAAAACATCCCGATTATGGGACGATCACCGAAACGGATTCGATCAAAGAGGATCCTGAACCGACTGTAAGTGCAAAACTGTTTATGGATGAGAGTTAAGAACTACTGGACAACGAAATATCATATTTGAAAAAAGATCGTCGTCACTTTCGCGCGTCTGTAACTCCCTTGTCTTTACCGTATTTCTAAATATTAACATTACCATTGTGTAGCCCTTGAAAAGAGCTTTCAGGAAATGTATAACACTAATAGTTTAAACTCAAAGACAAGGGAGTTACAGACGCGCGAAAGTGACGATCGTTTTTCAAATATCATATTTCATTGTCCAGTACTGTATGTTGCACAAAGGACACTAATCATCACTTCTTGAAAAAAGCCAAGGAAAGACCAAAGTGGGAATTGAAACTCCTTGCAGATTGTCTTGCTCTGCCAACCAGCGCTGTACCACTGAGCCACGGCTACGCGAAATCGGGTCTGCAAGGAGGTCCTTAAGACCCAAATGGCTATATTTTCTTAACAAAACTTTAGACGCATATAACTCCTGCCATATTGTCATTTAGCAAAAACGGAATATATATTCAGAATCAGTATAAAATTCTGCGTCAAATGGTAAAGGTTGAATAGCATTTGACCAATTGCCCACCAATTGACCTTCCCTTATAGCCAGTCAGCCAGTCAGCCAGTCAGCCAGTCCGCAGGGCTTTTAGCCAGTCAGCCAAAATGCTTTTTTGTAAAACATTTTTCAGAAATTCGTCGATATGCTCAAAGTTTGGCCAAAAAGCACCTTTCTGATCATTGTTTGCGAGTTTTGCGAGCGTTTCAGCTATTACTGCATGAGATGTTTGTTTACTTAAAGGGGAATAGATAAATCTTCAATACTTTAGCCGTTTTAACTTTGTACTTTATGAATATTCTGAAATTCTCGGGTGACACAGCTACTGTGCTTTACCATGCATTCAATGTGCTTTGCTATGCGTCACCGATGTTGGGATCGTTTATCGCCGATGGATATATTGGGAAATATTGGTGGGTTCTTTTGAAATCTTTCACTATTGTAGTAAAAAAAGCTAGAAAGGATCTAAAGATTGAGAATTGATGTATTTAAAATGATTTACAACACTTGAAACAACAATCAACTCTTTTCATTTAGGACAATTTTCTCGATTTCGATTTTCTACATGATCGGTCAGTTCACTTTGGCAGCCGCCTCGACGTTTAGCGTTGATGCTTCCGTTCATCCGTTAGTTCACTAGAAAAGTAGCAATCTATTTGGAAATCTTAATCTATAAGTATTTAATCGATTTTGAAACTCTATAACTTACCGTAAATACTGTAATTGGACCCCGCCCTCATAATGACGGTGCGGAGTGTTGTGTAGTCTAGCTTTGAACGAGTTTTTCTCGACACTGGTTTACGACACTGGTTTCTCGACACTCGACGTTTAGCGTTGATGCTTCCGTTCATCCGTTAGTTCACTAGAAAAGTAGCAATCTATTTGGAAATCTTAAACTTAATCTATAATCTATAATCTATTTAACTTAATCTATTTAATCGATTTTGAAACTCTATAACTTACCGTAAATATTGTAATAGTACCCCACTCCCATAATGACGGTGCGGAGTGTCGTGTAGTCTAGCTTTGAACGAGTTTTTCTCGACACTGGTTTATGCTATAATGCGCGCTTAGGTCTCAAAAAATAGCCCTGAATTTCAGCTATTTTTTGATACCAAAGACACATTTTTGAAAGTACGAGTGCTTTGAAAAAAATGAAATACTAAAAAAACTTTTGCGACTACGCGACTGTACGAGGGCGGTGGGGTACTATTACAGGATTTATGGTATCTCTAAGACCCGTAAGGTTGCTTTAAATTTCAGTTGGCTTGATCTATTGGGTCTTTTCGTGATCGGGATGAGCACTGGTGGGATTAAACCGTGTGTTTCTGCACTCGGCGGTGATCAGTTCAAGGTTTTTGCTGCTTTCATCATCGGATATAATAAGAATAAAATAGTTGTGCCATTTAAAATAAGAACTAAAACTTGAGTGGGATGGGGGGTCGACCCAGGATCGTGTGGGCCGCTCTCACTGCGCTACGGCGACAGACTGGCAGACTGTCCGTCTGTTAAGACTCTAGACAGAGACTTGTTTAGCGATAAAGGGTTTTCCAAAACAAACCTTTCCAGCCCCATTACACTCTAATGATCTCCCTCTATTTCTCGATATTTTATTTCACAATCAATGCCGGATCCACAATTTCTTCATTTGTTTCGCCAATCATGCGATGTGAGTTATGAGAAAGCAATTCTTTAGCAATTCTATAGCAATTCTTTAGCAATTCCCTTTCTCTTTAGCTAAGCCATGTTTGGGACATGACAGTTGTTATCCACTTTCTTTTGGTATCCCCGCAGTTTTGATGATCATTGCGATTGGTTTGAGTTTGAATTTAATAAAAGATAGCCTTCATTTAGCTATTTTCATGGCTGGATCACCATTTTATAAAAAATTAAAGCCAAAGGAGAACACGATTGCCCGAGTAGCCGGAACGATCAAGGTAGGGGCAAAATATGAGTTGTTCAACGATTTCAATTTACATTTAGATAAAGAAAAATAAGCAATAAAGCCAAAAATTTCACTGAATACTTTTAGAAAGCTGTTGGAAATAAGCTGAAAAGAGGATCACCAAAGAGGACACATTGGCTCGATCATTTCTTGGATAATCACAAATGTGCTGATGATCTGAAATGCATAGAAGCCAAAGGGAAATGTGCACAGGTGTTCTTGAAAATCGATTAGGTTTATAGAATTTCTAGAAAAGATTCGTTAAAGACGTGAAAGAGTTGGTGAGAGTGGCAGTGATCATGCTACCCGTGCCTTTCTTTTGGACACTTTATGATCAACAGGTGAATAGAGATTGAATATTTGATAAAAGTGGAAAGATCTCTCTAACAGCGGGTTTGTTTGGCTTGGTTTTGTTGTGGCCGTGGCGCAGTCGGGAGCGCGCTTGTACCCGCCCGCCGCCTAGATGCCCCCGGTTCAGCTCCCGGCTGGGTCGTGACTTTTGCTTTTTAGAAAAACGAAATATGAGATTCACAACTAAATAGAATTCTAAGCCTAACAAACTAAAAATCATGGAAATTGGCCCACGGGGAGCCGAGAAGAGACAAACAGACAGACAGACAGACAGAGGGACAGACGGACCGACAGACGGACAGACAGATAGACGGACAGACAGACGGACGGACGGACAGATAGACGGACAGACAGACAGACGGACAGACAGACAAACAGACAGACAGACAGCCAAACAAACAGACAGACGGACAGACAGAGGGACAGACAGACAGACAAACAGACAGACAAACAGACAGACAAACAGACAGACAAACAAAGAGACAGACAGACAGACGGACAGACAACTCCTTTTATCTAGTAGATAGCTTTAAGAACAACTAAGAAAAGTAAAGCTAAAACTGTAATCAATGAAGTAAACCTACTAATCCAATCGTGATTCTAGGGTTCTCGTTGGGTGATCCAAGCTGTAGCAATGGATTCCAAAATCGGCGATTCTTTCTCGCTTCTTCCCGATCAAATGAGCACACTGAATGCCCTTCTCATTATGATATTCATTCCAATATTTCAGGTGAATTAAAAGACATATTTTATTGTTATGCTAATCATTTTAGGGTTTCATTTATCCAAGTGTCGAGAAGTTGGGAATCCGATTGACTCCATTGAGGAAAATGGTGGCCGGCGGATTTTTGGCTGTGCTTTCATTTGTCATTTGTGGCTTTCTGCAATTGGCTGTGAATGTGAGCTTTAAAAGTATAAAGAAGTATTTAGTTAAAGTAATCCAAAGGAAAAAAAAAGTATTCTGTATTCTTTTCAGCAAACCCTGCCCGATATTCCGTCATCATCGACAGCTTTTGTATCAGTTGTGAATGGATATCCAACTGGAACATGTGATTTTGAGATCTCTGGAATACCCGGATATGAATCAAAGTTCATAAGCGCAAACTCGGTCTTTATATGGTTTAGATTTCATATAAAATGTTTTTAGTCTTTTATTGATAACAAAATCGATGACATTAAACAATTGTATCGATTGAGTGTCGGGAAAGGAGGCAGAAGTTATCAGATTGTCTTCACACCCAACAAGTAAGCTTCGAAGAGTAAGATTGGAATAAGTATTGTACAGTAAGACTTATACAGTAAGCTTTATACTGTAAGCTTTATACAGTAAACTTAATATAGTAAGACTTATACAGTAAGCTTCATACAGTAATCCAGACGGTGAGCGGTTATGTGAAGATTATCATAGTCTTTCCAGCCAAAAAGTGTTTCCAGAAATTCGAGTGCTTGTGATTCGACGAGTTTCACCGTTTCAGCCCATTTCATTGGCGGGAAATCGTACATGGTCACACTTTTGCCGATGGGGAGAACATTTGTCCGAGAGGCACAATGGGAAAAGCCCACCGAAGGACAGGGACAATTTGCGATTGGGTAAAGAAAATACAGAAAATCGAGTATTTGAGAGAATTCTAGGTTAACAGTCGTTCTGCCATGCAATCGTTTCAAATTGAATGGAACTTCTTGCACGAATGGCTCATTCAATGGAAGCTTTGCCTTGTGTCGATACGATAAGGAATGTGATCCACAAAAGCATGAGTAAGAGCTTCAAATAATAGTTGTTTTTGATTAGACTGAATTCGTCTTTAGTTGGTATTATGCATGGAAGAGCAGTGATAATAAGAAGTTCAAATATTTGGACGTTTCAAATCAGAATGGAGCTTCATTGCAAGGATTCTCATTGGACTATATTGATGTGAAGCCTGGGACGTGAGTGTGGCTTTGAATTCTTAGGAAGAAGAGATTTGTCCACAGATTCTGATAGGTTTCTTCATTAGTTTACTTTCAGCTTTCGATTGTATCTTGTCAATTACATGAAAGATTACAAAGGAGATCATTCACCGAAGAAATCAGAGATTCAAGTAAGATTTGTGATGCATAAAATTGATTCCTAGTTTACTTTCATTAGGTGGAACCATTCGATGTCTATCTACAAGTGAAGCGAATGGGTGGTGTCTACGCGTGGACAGTTGCCGACGATCAGAATGGAAATGTGAGTTTGTACTTTGCTTAAGGAGAATATTTACATTATAGCTTTTGAGCTAAGTATTAGGTACATGCATAAGAAATACGGAAATATAAAAAATAATAAATGCATTAAATTTGAACATTTAAATTTGAATATTTGAACTTTGAACATAAATTTCCAACGATAGAAACCTGATATCGATGAACGTTATAACCTTTTTAAAAGCTGTAAAACTCCTCTACAAAATAGGCGCTAAAACGTGTTTCAATTGATCGAAACATTGAAGGAATTTCGAGGGCGAAATGCGAGTGACCAAAAAAAGGAATCGAGTCACTTTAGGGACAAGTTTAGTGTGGTCAGAATAGAGTTAGCTTCCCAAAATTGAAGATTTTGAAAAAAAGGATAACTATAGATCAATTCATTAAAAAAGTCTAACGGAAATGCATTTGCAAAAATTTAGATAGAACGCAAGTTCAAAACCCTCAAAATTGTCAAAAAAACCGGCTTTTTCACAAAAAAGAAAAATGATTGTAAAAACAAAGTTTTCCCATGAAATGATCCCAACTCTTAATTAATTTAAATGATATTTTAGCCCACTATATATATCATTTTCCACTATATAGTCAAAAACGAACTCTTGTGAAAGTGGGGTTTTTCAAAAAGTGCCCTTTTTTGGTCACTCGCATTTCGGCCTTGAAATTTCTTCAATGCTTCGATCAATTGAAACACGTTTTAGCCCATTTTGTAGAGGAGATTTACAACTTTCAAATAGTTTATAACATTCATCGATATCAGGTTTCTATCTTTGGAAATTTAAATGTTGAAATAAAAAAAAAAACCACAGATAATCTCGACGCTTCACACAATTGTCCCCGAGAATCACATGAATATTTTATGGCAGGTAGACTATTTTAAGGCTTATGATTAAACGATGAATCTATCCAATCTATCCAATCTATCCAATCTATCCAATCTATCCAATCTATCCAATCTATCCAATCTATCCAATCTATCCAATCTATCTAATCTATTATCTAAAACTCTTCAGGTTCCTCAATACTTTGTAATCACAGCGGCAGAGATTCTCTTCTCGATCACTGGACTCGAGTTTGCCTATTCACAGGTGAAACAAATAATAGCTAAATAAAGTTATTGAGATCAAGAATATAATATATAATATTTCTATAATAAGTCTAGTTTTATAATATAGTCGAAAAAAGATTATATTATAAAACTCGGTTACCTTTTAGTTAGCCCCGAGTCTTAAAGCGCTCGTCTCGGCAATGTGGTTGTTGACGCAAGCTGTCGGCGATGCAATTATTATTATAATGGACGAACTAGATCTTTTTGATAACTTGGTAAGAAGTGTTCAAAATGAAACAATCTAGCTACTGTAATCAGCTGACAACAGCTAGCAATAGCTAGCAACAGCTGACAACAGCTAGCAACAGCTAACAACAGCTAGCAATAGCTAGCAATAGCTACAAAAATCTGTACTAAAATTGATAGGCTGGATTGATATTTGTTTCCAGGCCACCGAGAACTTCACTTATGCCGGGATTATGTTCGTTGTTGTGTTCATTCTCATGTTATTATCGATATTTTATTACGAGTATAAAGAGATTAAACCGAATGGAGAAGACGATGATGAAGAGATCGAAGAATCAAATGGGGAAAGGTTTGTGAAAAACGAATGGAAAACTATTGGAGAAGAAAACTACAAGATATAAAGATTTAAAAGATATTTCTAGAAGAGCTAGAAGATTTAAAAGATAGCTTTTTTTAAAATATGAACTTAAAAACAATAAAAACTTCAGGAACGGCTTCTCAATGACTCTTCAAAATGGTGGCTTTCATGATGATGAATTGCTAACAAAGTTATGATATTGAACGGATTTAGTTAATGAATTTTTAAGCAATCGTTCGTGTTATTATATCTGTTGTAGGGGAATAAAATTGAAAAACTTTTGCTAGCTTTAAATTAAGATTAAAAGATAAAACGGATTTAGTTAATGAATTTTTGAGCGATCGTTCGTGTTAAACATGCAAATTAAACCTCAAATACTGGGTAAATGTTTCTTTAGATAAAATGTTTTCCATTTTTAACTTTTTTCTCTTTTTAAACTTTATCTAAACTTGAAAAATAACAGAATAAAGCAACAAAAAACAAAAAAAAAAAGAATTTTTAATGCAAAAAGACTACTTGAATCAACCAAATTTTAACTTATTCATGCAGTTTTTTTATAGTGGCATCGACTGTTGTATTGAACGATAGCTTTTAAACATCATATTTTCTTTAACCAATCGCAAATTGTCCGAAGGACAGGGACAATTTATCAGAATCTGTGGCCAAATCTCCTCTTCCTAAGAATTCAAAGCCACACTCACGTCCCAGGCTTCACATCAATATAGTCCAATGAGAATCCTTGCAATGAAGCTCCATTCTGATTTGAAACATCCAAATATTTGAACTTCTTATTATCACTGCTCTTCCACGCATAATACCAACTAAAGACGAATTCAGTCTAATCAAAAACAACGATTATTTGAAGCTCTTACTCATGCTTTTGTGGATCACATTCCTTATCGTATCGACACAAGGCAAAACTTCCATTGAATGAGCCATTCGTGCAAAAAGTTCCATTCAATTTGAAACGATTGCATGGCAGAACGACTGTTAACCTAGAATTCTCTCAAATACTCGATTTTCTGTATTTTCTTTACCCAATCGCAAATTGTCCCTGTCCTTCGGTGGGCTTTTCCCATTGCGCCTCTCGGACAAATGTTCTCCCCATCGGCAAAAGTGTGACCATGTACGATTTCCCTCCAATGAAATGGGCTGAAACGGTGAAACTCGTCGAATCACAAGCACTCGAATTTCTGGAAACACTTTTTGGCTGGAAAGACTATGATAATCTTCACATAACCGCTCACCGTCTGGATTACTGTATGAAGCTTACTGTATAAGTCTTACTATATTAAGTTTACTGTATAATGCTTACAGTATAAAGCTTACTGTATAAAGATTGGTCGAATTAGAAGAAATTTGTGGCGAGTTGCGCAAACGATCCTTTTGCAGAAATTAGCCTACTCCGATTTTCGCTTTTCGAAAGTTTTTGTTAACGAAAATTTCTCAATCTTAATCGATTACGACATCTAAATTTAATCAATCGGGTAATATGAATAAATTAAGTAGATTTATATTCAAATCAAGAAGAAAAGTCTTTTGAAAGGTGTCAAGCAGTGGCTTTTGATGTGCTTTATATCAACTGACATTCAAACTGTTCAATAATTCAATATAATTTACTAATCAACAAGTGTACTACTGTTGATAGTGTAAAATTTTCCTTTTTCCTATCTTAAACTCAAAAAACAGCTTTCACATGAAATTCAAGAATAATAAAAGCCTTTTGAAAGTCATTCTGTCTATATTTGCTATCAAATTTTCACAGATCGTTTCGTTTTCTCAAAATCGAATCCTGTAAGAAATAGATTTGTATTTTGATCTATAACTCTATAACTTCTATAACTTCTATAACTCTATAACTTCTTATGAGACCGTGTCTCGGTGTGGTTCAATGGTAGATGTCTTGAAAACGCACAATTTATCAAAACTTTCCCTTATTAGGGCAAATTTCGCCCAAACTAGAGCAACCTAGCACTATCACAATTAATCCAACACTTGCATGTGAAAAAGGGATGAATAGAAAAGGGAGCACACAACTGACTCAAAACAAAGCCTAAATAATGGGTTTTTAAGTACACAAACTACGACAAACGGACAACTGAATATCGTCTAGTGTGGAGTTGCGGCCCGCTGGATATCGTCTAGTGTGGAGTTGCGGCCCGCTGGATATCGTCTAGTGTGGAGTTGCGGCCCGCCACCCAGTGTGGAGTTGCGGCCCGCTTGAGAAGCTCTCGACATCTTTCAAGTCGCTGATTACGTTAGTTTATCCATCAACTTTGAATTTTAACTTGCGTATTGAATTTTGACTAACTGCACAGCAGTGGCAATTCGCCCCACCCAGTGTGGAGTTGCGGCCCGCTTGAGAAGCTCTCGACATCTTTCAAGTCGAACTCGTTTATTGTCGTCGTCGAGTTGCCCTTGCTTGAGCTTGTAAGGATAAAGGTTGATTTCGCCACAAATCCATTAAATTCATTCAAATATTCACCGGAAACATTGATGATTTTGAAGAAAGTTTCCAAAAAAATCAAAATCCAAAGCTATTTTTGTAAATAAATTGTAAAATACTTTGAAAAATTTCATTTCAAACTTTCTCTTGTGTTCCGATCAGCTAAATGGATTTCGTCAAAACCCCATTGGTTCCAATGAAATCCTTGTTCACATATTTGACTGAGTATTTTTTCTTTTGCCTGTTTAAATAGAAAACATCCACGATTCAGGCCTTTTTGGTCAATTCAAAATGAGCCTAAAAAAACGATGAGAGACGGAAATCGAATTATTTCTCTCACAAAATTCTTTCCACTTTCTCTTTAGAAATTCTTTTTTTTGTTGGGTTACTTAGTTTTGTAGGCAAAAAACTATCGTCGGCATTTAGTTACAGAGAGCTATTGGGTTGGTGAGTTGAAAATTGCCGGACTTTGAACCAAAATTTATTCAACACAAAATCATGAATTCATTCCAAATAATTTCCATTATTATTTCTGACTTCTGCCCATTTTACAGGCAATTTGCGGATTCCTCTTTCAGTGGATTTTGGTTTGTGTGTGAGACAAGTGTGAGACTCAAAAATGGAGGACTGGAGATGTCCCAGTTTGAGCATTTGAGCACTTTCTTCAAAAGAAACCCATTTTGGTGTCAATAGAAAAGTTGTAGAGAATCAAAAATGAGGCTTATAGCCAAATTTGCAAAAAGATACACTTAGTAGTTTCGCTTAAAATGCAAGTTTTGTGAAAATTCGTAAATTTGGCATCTCTTGAAAACCAGTTTTTGAATCGTTCTGAAAATTTGGATATAAGCTTCATTTTTGATTCTCTACAACTTTTCCATTGACATCAAAATGGGTTTCTTTTGAAGAAAGTGCTCAAACTGTCACATATGAGATTAGCCGGCAGTTTTCAATTCACCAACCCAATAGATTGCGATTAGCCTTGATTTGCGGAGAAGTCGATGTCCAAATTAAGGATTCTGAGCCGACCAGGTGAGTTTGGCAAAAGGAAAGGGAAGGGACTTACCTAAAAGCCCTGCGCCAGACGACGAGCGATTACTCGGCCGCACAACGAACACACAAATTTTAAGCGAAATACCAAGTGTATCTTTTTGGAAATTTGGCTATAAGCTTGATTTTTGATTCTCTACAACTTTTCCATTGACACCAAAATGGGTTTCTTTTGAAGAAAGTGCTCAAACTGTCACATATGACAATAGCCGGCAGTTTTCAATTCACCAATCCAATCCATTTTCTTTTGCCTCGACTTTTGAATTCTTTCTCAACTTCGAGTTGTCATCATTAAAGAATCTTTAACGACTAAATTTTCGTAAACGATTTCAAAATTCCTTGAATGTCTAGATTTTCCTTTTCTTGTCTCAAATAAAACCCAATCACAACAATAACAATTCTAAAAAGTCAACAAACAACTTTCTGAGAAAAAGGGCAAAAGGGAAATTTGTTTAAGCAATCGTTTATTTTCGTTATATTTTTCTCCGACAATATAGGGTTTAGAATCGGTCATTTATTTGATCTATTTACATCGAGGATTACTGTATCTGTGTGTCTTTCTTATCTTTTATTTCATGTGAATTCTGTTGATGTTCCGAGAGTCTGTTTTCCGTTTTCCGCCCAAAAATTTTTCTTTTTTCGATTTCGATTTCTCGAGACTAAAAGCCAATTCGCGATCATTTTGACTAACAAATTCTCATTTGTTCCCATTTGTTCCCATCTCAATTCTCATTTGAAATCTTTGAAATTCTCATCTTTCTTGATTCGATGAAACTTCTCAAGCATTAGCTAAATCTTTCTCGACTTTTCCAGCTTATTTTACCAGAAAACTATTGCTTTACTCAATAAATGACTTTTATTTGCAGTTTTCAACTTCTAGTACTCCTTTCACCAATTGGATTTGATTCAATCTACTATATAAAATAGCAGTGTCTGTCTGTCCGTCTGACAGGCTTTTTCTCAGTCGTCTTTGAGCAAAAACAACTGAAATTTTGAAAAAAATCTTAAAATATCATATAGTTGTATAAAATATCATATAAAATCTAAAAATTCAGAATTGAGTGGTACTACGGGGGTCGAACCCGGATCGTGTGGGCGATAGTCGAGGGCGCTCTCGACTGCGCCACGGCAACGGAGGGGCGCTCTCGACTGCGCCACGGCAACGGAGGGGCGCTCTCGACTGCGCCATGGCGACGAAAGGGCTGGGTCAGGAAAACCCAGCTGTTAAGCTGGTTTGCTCATAAAATTGGATAATTGATTTTTCTCAACGTTGATGTCTAGTTCTAGATTCCAGACTCATAGTCAATTTCTCATAACTCAAAGGCCTAAAGAAGTCGACATGATACTGTTAGTAATCAAGTACTAGATCAATTTTAGCGTGCAGTGCTGTTTCAAAAGTAATTTTTCTGGATTAGACTAGTTGTTGGCTATGTTGGGCAGGTCTAGCCCATAAAAAAGTTTCTATGCTTGGCAAATATCTCTCTCAAAACCTTCAGAAATCGCTGACTCATCTTTGAAAACATTCTGAATCTATTACAAGAGTCAAAATTTATTGGATGCGATCAGAAAAAAGGGAATCATCATCGAATTTCAATAAGAATCAAGCCATTTGACGATGGGAAAGTGCTGGGGAAATGGCCGATGCTTTTCTCAATCACATTTTTATGATTCAACAATCTTTTCTTTCTTTTCTCCGCATCATTTGCTTTATTTCAAAAGATTAGATCAATAGCGATAGGGAATCTGAACGATAGGGAATCTGTCTAAATTCGGTTCCATATCTCTCTAAACTTGGTTCCTTATCTCTCAAAATTCGATTCCTTATCTCATAATTCGGTTCCTTATCTCTCTAAACTTCCTTATCTCCTTTTCTTATAATTTCAGGTGCCATCACTGATTGCTCAATTCAATTTCACTTCAAAAATGTTCCGAGAATGTCTCTTTGCACTGCTCATTCTTATCGCTATTCAAATTGTTTGTGAGTGATAGAAATAAAGCTTAAAAAGTCTATTATAGTATAGTATAATAAAGTTATTTAGACTTAATATAATAATGTTATTAGTCCACTAGCAAGTAAATGAGTGTGCTGATGTGCTGAGCTAAAATTTAGAGCTAAAATTTAGTGAGTGACGATGGTGTGAATCTGTTGAACGGACCTGGAGCGAGTAATGAAACGGGTATGATTTAGTGAAGGTGTTAGAACGATTGTTAGAAGTTAGAACCAATTTGTATCTAATACATAATCAGCCATGCTTTACTCTTATCAAGTCAGTCTGATTCTCATTTCAATCTGGTTCTAATGAACAGAATGAACAGAATGAACAGAATCAACCAACATGTAGTACTAATGCTGATGCCATTATCTGTACTCTACTACAGTACCCAATCTTGAGCTGCTAGCAAACCATACTGGCTACGAATGGCTACGATTAGAAGAATAACAGTCAACTAAACACTTTGAGCTTTACGAATCCGTCAATCTCGCTACAGTATTTCAGACGATTAAGCCAGTATCTCTATTCTTCCTATTACAGCAAACTAACAATAAGCATTCATATCTCTTCTAGTCTAATTTGTTCTTTAATCTTATTCCAAACATTCTCAGTATTCTCAATATATTATCATATACAGCATCTACCATATAAAGCAGTGTCTGTCCGTCAGTTCAGCCGTCCGTCAGTCACTTTCTCAGCCGTCTTTTGATCAATAAAGCTAAAACTTCTTTAGAAAATCTTAGAATATATTGTAGTTGTGCCATTTAAAATAAAAAAACCAAAATTGACTGCCAAAACAGGGAGTCGAACCCAGATCGTATAAGCTGTAGAGAAGCGCCCGACTGTGCCACTGTGTCCTCAAACCTTAGAAACCAGCTGTTAGCGAGAAAACCAGCTGTTAGCCGGGTCTTTCGGCTTACAATACAATTTTTCGGCTTAATCTGATTCCATAGATGATTCGAATTCAACCAATGGCAATTCAACCGACGACAATTCAACCACAACAAAGAGTCCCGATGCAGCCACTTCAAATGCTTTCTCAATGATTTTCCTTTTCTTTTCTCTCTACTTAGGATTAAGGCCAATGTTGTAAATTGAAGCACAATCTGAATAACAATTCTTGAACATAAGATTCCTAAATAAGAGAAATAAACTGTCCTTTTTCATATCAAGATAGAAATCTTTGAGCTCATCCAAATTTCCCAACATCTTAGTCATTGTTTAGTCAACTTTTTTTCAAAATTTTTATTGTATTTTAACTTTTTTAATGTAAATTTAATGTAAATCAATAAATTTTTATGTAAAAATAATTGACTTTTACACAACCAAAATGGTAAAAATTAACTTTTACACAACCAAAATAATAAAAATCACAGAATCTTTGCTTTAAGGGATTTGAGGGGAAGTTTGAAGAGAAAAATTAAATTAAAACTCTGAAAAACAATTAAATCAAAACTTGAAAACAAGTTGATTCTGATAAAATGAAGTTTGCATAGATTTGAATTTGAATTTCAAGTAAATAATCGTGTCTACCCGTTTTAGTGAAGTACTAGAGTGAAATGAATGCGGAGGATTCTAATGGAACAAAAAAAGATATAAAAGATAAGACGGTACTTTCTCTATAACGGGAAGGAGGAGTTTCTTTCCCCTGCCCGTGATGCGCGACCGGGAAGTGACAGACAGTCACCTGCTTCACACGGTGTTTTTTTAAAGGGGCCGGAAAGCACGTGACGCGCAGAGAACACACAAAAAAGCCAATTTACTGAGTCTAAATAAGGTGTAGAATTAAAAGGCTCAGAATTGAGTGGGTTTCCGCTGAAGAGTACCAGGGTCGAACCCGGATCGTGTGAGCCATAGTCGAGGGCGCTCACGACGGAAGGGCTGGGACAGGAAAACCCAGCTGTTAGGCTGGTTTGCTCATAAAATTGGATAATTGATCGTTTTCTCAACGTTGATGTCTAGTTCTAGTTTCTAGACTATGAATTTCTTTTATAACTCAAAGGTCTAAGCAGGGAAAGCACGTAAGAAGCAAAGCAGAGAACACACACAAAAAACAACTTTACTGAGTCTGAGGTGCAAAGAAAACCCTCGCCCGTTATAGGGAAAGTACCAATAAGATCTAAAAAGATAAAGAATCCTATATTAGATAACAAAAATATTTCATATATTTAAATATAAAAATTTCTGTTTCAGAAAAAATTCATTAAAAAACAAGTGAGAATGAGGCAGAGAAGGGGTTGAGTTGAGGCCGCGTCATCTAAACAATTCATCTAATCATTGCTTTTCAATGTACTGTAATTACAGTGTGCTTTTAATAACTACAAGAATTTAGATCTAACTACAGTATCCCCACAGTATCTAGACAATAAAAAGTACTCAAACGATGAAGCTGAATATTTCTTTCAATCAGAATTTGAAAGGGATTCAAATCTGCGCCTATTCCAGCAGAAATACTTTTACTTTTACTTTAGAAAGTAAAACTTAACTTTAAAGCTTCTTAAAGTCTTTACAATCAAGTCTTTACAATCAACTTTTGCAAACTTCTTATTTAAATTTCAAATCAAATGTAAATTTGAAAAGATTACCATCATTTTCCGAAGAATCGGCTGTATGAATGATATACATGACCGGAGTGGTGAGCGACGATTCTCTGGAACAAAATTTCAAAACAATTCACAACCTCATACTATTAGATATTCAATCTACAGTAATCACAAGGAAAACTATTCATTTAAACGGCTTTAACCACTTCACTCACTCGAAAGTCCGAGCGGCGAATTTCGGATTCCCATGGATCACGTGGTGGCCTTCTGAAATTCGAATATTAAGCTTAATATGTAAAATTAGTATTTAAAAGAGTCTAATTTCTATATACCGTATTCTCTCTAACCCTGAGTCTAATTTCTATATACCGTATTCTCTCTAATAGTAGTGCACCATGAGCGTCGCCTAAATTCCTCGAAATCTCGAGAACCGCTTATCAAAACCTATCGATGTGGGGTCGGAAAATGTAGCTGATGATGAGATCTTGTGGGCGATTTGAGTGTTGAGCTTCTGGGAAAAATTTGGAAGCCGTAAATAGTCATCAACTCGGCTCGACGCGGTGCACTACTCTTAGGGATCACTGTGAGCTGACGATGAGATCTAGTGGGAAATTTGAGTGTTGAGCTTCTGCAAAAGCTTGGAAACCGTAAAATAGTCGCCGGGGTGCCCTACTATTAGAGAAAAACGGTATCTTCTATATTTTGGAATTTACCAGGTAAAATATCGACTTTTAACTTCATTTTATTCGTCTCACAAAGACCACCGCGACGTCGATCAATTCCGTGCGGAGTACCGGTTGAAGTGGCTGAATTTAGGGGATTTTTGAAATGATAAACTCATAAATAAACTCATAAATATACTTTAAAAATATCGATTTTAACTTTTCAAATGTTTATATGATAAATTTACTGATGAAATAGTATGTGTGAGCCGGTTGAAACTCGAGTCCACCGGGCGTTGGGCTGAACTGACGGAAAACGATGGAGAGTGACTGGAATTGATTGGGCTTGATTGGGCTTGAGGCTGGACTGGACTTATAAACTCTTTTAAAGTCTTTGTGCTTTATAACTCGATATATAGATATATTTTCTTTATGTAAATTACGTTTATCTATTCGTTTTCTGTACCTGTGGAGAATTCGGTGAGTCACAGGCGCCAACTCGATGCGGATTCGCGCCTAGGTAACATTGGTGGTACTCTTCAGCGGAAACCTAAAGAAATGAGCATTTAGTGTCAAGTTTGTAGGCTTGTTTAAGTAGCAAGTAATTAACGATTATAAATAATTTTTAAGTAAGCCAAGACACTAACAATGCCTTGTCTACCGACAGATTTTCGTAGAATTCGCATCAGGCTTCTTCCCAAAACCCAAAATTCTCAGGTCAGGTCAGACTAAAGGCAAGCTATAACATTTTGACTTTTTCCTTTAACAACCCTGCTTATGATGTAACGCTTTTGCTTATGATGTAGTGCTTTTGCTTATAATGTAGTACTTTTGCTCAGTATGCTTAATTGGGAGCTTTTTTTGAGTCAAATCTAGTCCTATTTGGTCCTATTTGAGTATAATCTGTATTCCTAAGACCAATCCTAACCCAAAAAAATAGATACATAGTTAGAGTAGTGCTCAAAATCATTTGTACACCCAGCATTTGCAGAACAAAAATAGCAGAAGCAGAACCCCAACCAATCATCGTAAAACTTTGCAGATTAGTTAAGATTAAGTTAAAAATAATTCAAAATTAGTGTATAATTAATTTGATAATTTAAAAAGAGGCTCTTTTAATTTAATAGTTTATTTAGAAGCAAATATTAAAGATAATAGTGAAATCATGAAATTATGCAGAACGCGGGGGTGTACGAATCATTTTAAGCGCAAATCCAAGAAAAAGTAGAAGGAACTTGAGCAAGCTGTTCGTCGTTTGCCTTATCTTCTGACCCACTGCCACTCAACCACCACTGCTCTTTAAAACCTCGGCGAAAGCTACTTACATCCCATACAAAACTTTGAACGCTTGCAACTTTTGACAGAGCTCAATATCTTCTGCTCAATAGCTTCTGCTCAATACCTTCTGCTCAATAGCTTCTGCTCAATAGCCAAAACGGGAAGCAGATTCGAAATCAGCGTTAAATTCTGCATCGAATAACCCATTGCATATGTCATTTAGCCACCAAATTCCCTTGTGAATCACTATTCACAAGGGAATGTAACGCTAAAGGGAACATTTGTATGTGGGATGACTCGATGAGGGGGAAGCTCCAACAAAATTTGATTTCCTTTGACCTCTGAAGGGATGGAGAGGAGTGATTTGATTTGTATCCCTTCTCCCAATTGACTCCTCACAAAGATTGACTCCTATTCAGTCAAGAATTGCTTCCAAATGGCCCCCAGATTTGCCCATGATTGCTGAGCATGATTGACGTGTAATGAATATTCAATACAAAGTAAAAGTATTCTTTACAGAAATCCCCACCGCATATATCACAGAGTATTCATAATGATCGATGTTCGTCGGTTGTGGGCAAACGATCGAGAGACGATCACCGATTTGAGCGTTTAATACGTGGGCATTGTTGCTGATCTCGAAACTGAAATGAGCTTGAAATTGAGCTTGACTTGGAAAACTTGGATTAAAGTATTAAAATCTAAAAATGGCTTTTTGAGAAATCCAAGGTAAACTCTTCATTGTAAATTGTTTTCAAAAATGTAAGCATCACTCTTCTAATGCAACAGATTCTTCCCAATTTGTCCCAATGGTGAACGGTTTTTAATCCTTATTCGGCATTGTTTAAATGGTCATGAGTTACATTAAAGCACATATATCTCAATAACTAGAAAACCCAGGCAGCTAGATGAATATCCCAAGCAGCTAGATGAAATATAAAGTCCAATTATCGGCTCATCCCAGCTGTTTGATTGAAATTGGGTGTTTAGCGGCTAGGTGAACGATTTTTAATCCTTATTCGGCATTGTTTAAATGGTCGTTCCTTATGTGGCATTGTTTAAATGGTCATGAGTAAGTTTTTATGAGGTTTTTAGACAGGATTAGCAGAAACTAGCGTTGTCCTTTTAGCAAGCGAATTGTTTTAGAGGAAGAATTCGTTTAGAAAAGTCTACTCTACTTGTATACTTTTGCTTGATTGTTGCTTTAAAAAAAGCTATTGCAAATTCCCCTAAAAACTGTGGATCTTTTTGACAATGATCCGGAATGGCTTCTCTCAATCATCACTCAAAATGGGGGAGGAGAACCAGCAATTAGTCTCCACGGGGAGTCTATCTCTCTTTTCTTTCTTTCTTCCTCTCTTCCTCTCTTTCTTCCTCTCTTTCTCCCTCTCTTTCTCCCTCTCTTTCTCTTTCAATATTCACAAATAGACACCTATCAATATCGGCAATCTATGAGAAGAAATTGTTGGAAGAAAAGAATAAGAATCTGGGTAAATGAACCAAATTTTGTCTTGCATTTGGTTGTAAATGAGCTCAGAAATAGACAGCCTGTTTAGACAAAAGCTAACGAGAAAATGAAATTTCTACAAGATCTATTGGGTTGTTGAATTGAAAACTGTCCGCTATTGTCATATGTGACAGTTTGAGCACTTTCTTCAAAAGAAACCCATTTTGGTGTCAATGGAAAAGTTGTAGAGAATCAAAAATCAAGCTTATATCCAAATTTTCAGAACGATTCAAAAACTGGTTTTCAAGAAATGCCAAATTTACGAATTTTCGCAAATGAAATGGCGGAAAAGGAGGAGGAGGAGGGGGGGTTACGGTATCTGTCTGTCTTTTTGTCTGCCTTACTGTACGGGCATTTTTTCAGCCGTATCTTGACCAATATTTCATTTTGCATGAATATTATATTTTAAGTTGTTTTTGGTGTCATTCGATGCGTAATTTCATTCTGCATCAAATGATCGTTAAAATAGTCAAGATATTGGGTTGGTGAATTGAAAACTGCCGGCTATTGTCATATGTGACAGTTTGAGGACTTTCTTCAAAAGAAACCCATTTTGGTGTCAATGGAAAAGTTGTAGAGAATCAAAAATCAAGCTTATATCCAAATTTTCAGAACGATTCAAAAACTGCTTTTCAAGAGATGCCAAATTTACGAATTTTCACAAAACTTGCATTTTAAGCGAAACTACTAAGATGTATCTTTTTGGAAATTTGGCTATCAGCCTCATTTTTGATTTTCTACAACTTTTCTATTGACACGAAAATGGGTTTCTTTTGAAGAAAGTCCTCAAACTGGGACATCTCCAGTCCTCCATTTTTGAGTCTCACACACAAACCAAAATCCTACTAGAATCCAAAATCCGAAAGAGGAATCCGCAAATTGCCTGTAAAATGGGCAGAAGTCAGAAATAATAATGGAAATTATTTGGAATGAATTCATGGTTTTATGTTGAATAAATTTTAGTTCAAAGTCAGGCAGTTTTCAATTCACGAACCCAATAGTTGTAGCTGAGCTCAAGAATAGATCTAAAATTATTTTAAAGCTTTTTAAACCTGAAAGCTAGTTCATTGAAAAGTTACAATGGATTCTATTAATTCTTTTCTTTTCATTTATCTCTTATTGCATTGTGAAAAAGAGATAAAAAGCGATCTTCTCAATATTTTGTTATATTTTCTTTATCCGATTCCCACGATAGTCACCAAAATGGGGATCAAGGGGATGATATCACAGTGACAATAGGAGAGTCTATATTGTTGATTAATCGAGTGATTCTAGAGAAGGGGATCCAAGCAGATGTCCCATTGCGCAATGTTACTCGAATCGATCTTCTTATCTAGCAAGATTTGTTATGGAAAGAGTTCTGAATCTCTCCAAATCTTCTCTATTTTCTCAAGTAAACCTTATCCTTTTAGAGATTCGACCTTTGATGACCCAAGTGATCTGTCAACAAAAATCCCTTTGACTAATTGCCGAAAGAGTCGTTTGGAGGGGGGATCGATGAGTCAAGATTTTGGGTAACGAATAGCTACTGGTTATGAGAAATGTATACAAAGTCGATAAACATTGAAAACTGGATATGTACGCACCAAATTTGAGTAATGAAACCGATTTTTTCAAAAAGCAGAAGTCACGGTACAGCTGAGAATCGAACCAGGATCGTGTGGGCTGTAGACCAGCATACTCTACACCATGTGGACAACTATTCTAGACAACTATTCTAGACTACACGACTACACCATGAGGACAACTATTCTAGACCCCGAAACATCCATTTAGAAAAACGTCTGGTAGATTTAAGCATTGACTTTCTTATCTCAACCGTCAGTTTAGCATTTATCTTTCTGTCATTTTGTGAGCTCTGAGAAACGGATGAAGAAAAAAAGAAATGACAGAAAAGGGCAATGATTATTAGAGCATATGCAAATTGAATCAAGAAATGAGTAGAAAAGGGAAAGAGGGAAAGAATCAAGAGATATTTAGATGGACAAGATATGGATGGATTCACACTTCTTTGCAAGGAAATTCCTAATCACACCGAAGATAATTGCCAGATTGCCAGTTATGTCAAGAGTTTTTTTAGTTCTCAAGTTGTATTTAGCTTTATCTTGAAGAGTTTTTTTGAGTTTGATTTGCTCAAACTTTGCATCCTTTCCATTACAAATTGTTTGGCCGTAGAAAAAGCTCTTGAGAGTGAAAGTCACCAATTTCCCAAACAAAATGACAAATTGCTCGTGACAGGTGTGATGCTAATTTTGGGAAAGTTTTAGTAAATGGATTGTACATTGGAGGAGAGGATTGAAGCAAATGGATTGTACATTTGGAGGATTGAAGGATAAGGATTGAAGGATTAGAGAATTGAAAGATTGAAGCATTGAAGGATTGAAGGATTGAAGGATTGAAGGATTGAAGCATTGAAGCATTGAAGGATCGAAGCATTGAAGGTTTAAACTCACATCGGATTCGTTGTCGTCCAAATGACATCATCTAATCGTCGGCTATGCACGATTGAGATGAGAAAAATTAGAAGAAATGTCAGCATCTCATCCTGAAAAGAGAGATTGATGAGATTGATTTGCATTTAAAGACAATAATAACGAATTAAGATATTCATTTAAGGTCATGAATATCTTTAGGTATAGAAAAAAACGGAAATTGAAGGTTTTAGAAAGAAAAAAAGTCAAACAAAGAAAATAAAAATAAACAGCTGAATATCTTTTACTTAAACATATTTAAATATAAGTTGAGATTAATCGGTAAAATTGCAAAGTTGTCAAAGATATGAGAGCGGAAAAGCTGATATTGTCAACAAAATACAGGTAATATATAAAAATTTACATAATAATATAATAGGATTCAACTGAATATCTCATTCTTTCGTTTATTTCTTTCCCCTTTCATTTCCCATCTAAATACCTCGGTCATAATTTACGAGGAGAGCTCGTCTCTTCTTTAATGTGAAGATCTCTTCACAATGCGATCTCTTCATAATTCCACTAATAACATGAATTGCAAAAGAGCAATGAGTACTAGAGATAAAGGATATTGACAAGTATTTAGACAATATAATAAAATGGTTTGGCACAGGTTTGGCTTTAAAGCTGTTTGAAGGAAGTAAAGCTGTTTGAAGGAAGTAAAGCTGTTTGAAGGAAGTAAAGCTGTTGTAAAGTGGTCTAGATCAAGCCAAGCAGCCAAGCTACAACTTACCAATATTTTCGAGTTTTCAAGGCATTGACATACTCGAATAAGAATTATAAGACAATTGAGAATTATAAGACAACAATGAAATGAATGAATGCAATGGATAAGAGGGGTTTATGCAAAGCGGATCCATCTTTTTTTTATCCACCACTTCCGTTCTCTTTTCTTTGCCGATCTCCTCGTTGAAGGATGGGTCAATTGGGTGTGTCATTGCCTATTCCCATCTCATTTAGAAAAAGGTATCAATAATAAAAGACGCGCTTGTCGCTTGTAAACTTTAAATTCAGATTTCTGTTATATAACAGAATTGGTAATCTTTAGCTTACTTTAATTACCTTGTTAGTAGTCTTGTTTTAAGCCTGTAAGCTGGTAGTTTTAAGCTGGTAGTCTTGTTTTAAGCCGAATGCGTAAAAACACTTTTTGAATTTGTTGATCAAAGCCTTATTGTCGATGAGTCAAGAATGGAAAGTGAAAAGCAAAAAGCAAAAGTTTACAGTGTAAAGTTTCCTATTTTTAAATGTGTATGGAAAAACACGATGACATATAAGTGAAAGGGGTTTTTGTTGGATGAAAAAGGATGGCGTGTGGGCATTGTCCATTTTCCTTTATCCCATGATAAAACGAGAAGAAAGGGACAAAACCGATATACATTGGTTGATTGAAGAAAGTGAATTCAAGTGAATTCAAGTGAATTCAAAGTGAATTTTATGTTTAAAAATAGACAAATATAAAGTGAAGTTGTTTTAGATTGTTGAGAGAGCTGAGAATAGAGCTTGGAGAACAGAATCGATCCACATATCGGTAAGGAAGTCCATCAAAAATCAAGATATGGATTTGGCTTAGTTTAAAATCAATTAACCCTTGCTTGAAGTATATCCTGGTTATATTTTTGCCAATTTATAAATGAAACAAACCGTTTCTTGAGTTAAATGAGGTGGAAATGAGGAGTCTATGAGGCGGCGAGATGAAAGAAAAATGAAAGGAAAATGAAAGAGAAATCCTTGAGGATCTCTTGAAAATGACAGAAAGAAAATAAGAAAATAAGAAATTGGAAGGGATAATGTAATGTTTTAGAAATAAAAATCATAGTTAAACATCAGTTAAACAGAGACAAGTCAAAGTTGGTAAGAATTGACAGAGATTTCAAGCAATTTGGTAAGACTGAATCAAAATCAAAATAAGGGAATCAAAATAAGTGAATCAAAATATCAAAGATAGTTTTAAAGAACAAAAGTAGACTGATATTTTGAATATACTGAAAAGCAACTGAAGGAAAGATGGAGAGATGGAGAGATGAATAGAGAGGAGGGGATTGTGAGGGGATGGGTGAGTGCATCTATCACCCACCCCTCTCCTTTCTATTTCTCTTTCCCACAAAAGGGTCATCACTTTTGTTTATGAATCTATCTTTTCAGAAAAAAACTCAAACAAACAATAATATAGCTAGATTTGAATCTAGTGCCTCTTCAGTGATTTATAGAAATTTCCATGAAAAGCTGAGTTTGAGTTTTAAATCCGAAGACAGATAAAATTCAACTATTGCCAAGGATTTTTCAAAGGATATGAAGCTTGAAGGATATATTCAAAGAATTTAAAGCTTAAATATAGAGCTTAAAACTGAGTTAGATAAGAAAAAGCTTTGATCAAGCTTTGATCAATCTCTAACAGAAGCAGCTCTGGTAATTGGCTCAAGATTGTCTCCTGGTGATCCAGGTGAAGAAATCTCCTGGTGAAGTAATCCAAAATATTCAAAACTTTGAGTTCAATTTGAAAACTTTTCATATCCGTATTGGAAGTGTATTGGCACCGTATTGGATCTAAAAAGAACCGTATTGGAAGCGTATTGGAACCATATTGGATCTAAATAGAACCGTATTGGAAGCGTATTGAAACCGTCCAAAAACTTTCTTGAATCTGAAAGTCGATGAAACTAGAGAAAAAGTTGCAATAGTGACATGTTAGTGAGTAGAGAAGAGGAGTTAGATATGGAGATTTGAAAGGGAATGAGTAGAGAGCTAGCAAGATATAGAAAAAGAAGAGATTTGAGGGAAAAGGGGGATAGAGGCTCATTAGGGCCCATGCCAGAGGATTCACTCAAAGATCCAGCTCTTTCAGGATGGGAGAAGGCCGGATGTATCGTGATCGTGTCACTCTCTTCCCTCTTCCACTCTCTTTTCTTGACCACTTCTATAACTCTAGAATCCATTACTCTTGTGCTGAAATCAAAGTCTTTCTCTTTTTCTTCCCCAAAGTTGATGAAAGAATTAATGGAACTTGGGCAATTAGTCGCAAGCTATGTTTGGGCTTAAATGGAAACATCTTTGAATCATTGTCAAGTGGGATGGGACTTTAAGAAATAGTAAGAAAGGAAATTCTAATCTAAAACCTGATACTTTTCTGTTATCTTGATCCTATTGACTACTTAATGATTCTATAGTCAAATCCGTAACTAATCCATGTTAACAAACAGATGCATTCAGCCAATTACTTCACCTCAAATATCTTGAAAATTACTATAAGTGTCTAGAGTAAACTTGCGTGGACAAAGCAAATATAAAGAGAAGTTCAATTTTAAAGAAAAACTCAAATCTGAACGATTCCATCCTTTCGTCTAATAGTAAAGTCAGAAATTAAGGAAAACACATGGCTAAATGTTTATGAGTTGAAGAAAAGATCGTTGAAGTGAAATTGAAACGGAAAGAGATACTAATGTTACAATATTACAATAATTGATCTTACAATAATTATTGTAAGATCTAAAATGAACAAATGTTTTAGATTTAGCTAAAGCTTACTAAGATTTCTAAAAAACGAGCAGACTTTGGTCGTATCAAATTCCCGGAGGATCACGGAGAGGACAAACAATCTCTGATGTATAAAGGGAATGGGAAGGAAAAAAAGGGGAATCATCTCAAAAATCATAACCACTTGAGAATATTGAGAGATTTGAAAAAGAAAAGAAGAAATGAGATCTTCATTTTGAGAGATTCTTTTTGATATTCGTGAGGGTCTCGTCATCCGATTCCCGTCTTATTCAATTCAAAGACAAGACTATTTGAGACTTGATAGTTGGGGATTGGTTTGACTGATTTGTATTTTAAATTACCTACACAATCGATAAAGACTAGAACCTGTTCCCCAAAAGCGAACTCGTTTGAACAATGATCTAATCTGAAAGTAGTGTTGATGGTTGAATGAAATGGAAAGAGAATAGGTGACACTTCTCTTTCAATTGATTCTCTTCTCTTCGTTCAGTCATTCAGTCTCTTTTCGTCTATTCAATGAAAGCGGACATGTTGCGGGGAGGAAAGCGAAAACAAGGAAAAGAAATAAAGGAAATGGGAGAGGCGTCAAAAACGGTGACAGTTGAATGAAGTCGGTGAAGGGAATGAAGAGGAAGAGAGCTGAAACAAAAGATACCAATCAAGAAGGGGTGATTGCAGAAGTTTGACTGAAGAATTTGGATTTTATTAAGGACTTAATAAACGAACAATTCCATACAAATAAACTCGATCGAACAGATCGAGTTATCAAAATAACCGACCTTTGAAGTTCTGATACCTATACGGCTAGTTATGCACTGGATATGCTAAAGCCAGCAAGACACCACGCACTAAAACGTGCCCATAAATTACCCTAAGCGGGAGTGGGACAAATGCGACCTTTTTCTTGCGCACCTTTTTTTCCGCACCTTGCCCATTAGCGCACTTTTTTCGCGTTTTTAAAAAAAGCTCTAAAAAGCTAATATTAACCAATTAACCAATTTCTATTCCAAAAGTTGTTTTTCTAGGTAATTTTAGGGCGTAGAATCGAAATTTTGACATAACAGAGCGTGTGGAACCAATTTGAAAGACGTTTAATCTGGCTAGATCAAATTACAGAAAATTGTCGATTTTTCTCTTTGTTTAACTCCGTCCGTTTGTTTCCACAAGCTCTGATATGTCAAAATTTCGATTCTACGCCCTAAAATTACCTAGAAAAACAACTTTTGGAATAGAAAATTGGTTAATATCAGCTTTTTAGAGCTTTTTTAAAACGCGAAAAAAGGTGCGCTAATGGGCAAGGTGCGGAAAAAAAGGTGCGCAAATGTCCGGGTGCGCAAAAAAAGGTCGCATTTGTCCCACTCCCCCCTAAGCTTCCAAAAGCTTATCAGCTTCGCCAAGAAATAAAATTACAATTATTTCTAAAAAGTAACAAGACATCGAGCACTAAAATTCACCTCCGATTACCGTATGCTTACAAAGGTTATATAAGGCCACTAATTCGAGCATTTTGCCATTGTTTTCAACAATCACTTCGTTTGAATTGATCTTTTTCACTACTAAACTCGTGTTTTTGAAAACTTTACTTCAATTACTCATTATTTTAGTTTCCCATATAGCCTTTTGTCCTCTAATACAAAGCCTTTGACCTTACGTACTTGAAAAACGATTGAAAACTTAACCTCAACTATAGTCATCTGTTTGATCGCGATGTTTGGTTAATTTTTTCAGCATCTTTTATTTTTGTGAATCTTTGTCTTTAGAATCGGTCTCGGATGTCTCACTTAGATCAAACGGTGACGAATGCCCCGTTTCCAGTTCGCACTTCGTCTCCGTTGCCATCGATGAGCAACAACAGTGGACAACATGTGGTGAGGGCTGAGGATACTATGTAGTTGGTACTTATCCCTTATCGGGAGGTGCAGTCTAATGGAGGGTGCACTTAGGCAGGCCCCGGGTGGGGTTGAGTGCTGCAAGCTCTCTAAAAATTCCTCTCCAACTACTCCGCGTAGAGCTTGCAGCACCAAACCTTAATCCGAACCTGCCTAAATGCACCTCCTGTGGGGTGCACTCATGTGGGGGATGACATGGTCGAAATTTGGAAAAAAAGATTATTTTGCTTGAATTTGATCAGAAACGTAATTAGTAAGTTAAATTATGCCAGAAGAAATGTTTCTAGCTTCAAAAAAGGTCTTGAGAGACCAGTTTTAGACCTCATCCCTATGTGTTTCCCTCTCATCACACTGTATGAGCGCGCACTTTGGAGCCCCGAAAATCGGCACAAAATTTCTTTTCCCGAGCTCTGATTGGGTTTTTTGGAATCTACGTATACGATTCCCTTACATGAAAATTTTTTGAAGCTCCCTTTTCCACCGAAAAAAAGGTGGGCAAATGTCCCAGTGGGCAAAAAAGGTCGCATTTGTCCCACCCCCGGTTTTGAAGAAAAAAAAAAGTGGTCTCCCCAACTAGGATAGTACCAATCTTTTTTAAAAAGCTTTCTTGGCTATGGATGCTTTCTGTTAACTATCTCCAACAGGCTTTGTTCTAAAATAAATATTTGTTTTGTTTAGCCTGCCGTTCCTGTGAGGGATGATGGTGCAAGACGTTTTTCAATGCCGTTCAATGTACAAGGACAGTATGTGGATCAACATGGTTATGGATACGGACAAGTGGCTGGTCAGTTTAAATTTATTGTGTTCCGTTTAAAGATCATTCTTTAGTTGCCCCACAATATGGCCCGTCGATGCATCTTTCATCGAATGTGCAGCTTGTCACAAACAACTCCCATCTAGCTTATCAACATGGAATGATGTTAGCTTATCCACAATATTACGGGTGGGACTTGTTTTTTCAAAAAGTTGATTTGATCTTATTTTAGTCACCCGGGCAACGATGTTCAAGCGGCTGATGCTGCTGCGGTTAGGCGTGTTTCGTCAGCACCGAACGTGCATGGACAATATGTGGATCAACTTGGGCACGGGCATGGGCAAGGACAAGTAAATGGTTGGTGCAGAACAGAATCATAGTTTTACTCTTACCCATATTTTAGTTGGTGCACAGTACGGTCAAGCGTCACTCGGTACAACGACTCCACCAACAAATGTGCCGCAACATGATGCACATCTAGCTTGCCCACAGCGTGGAATGATCTATGCTCCTTATCCAAACTATGGCGGGTAGAGTTGATTATTTTTAAAAGCTGAGCTATGTTTTTGTTTAGTTATCCAAGTACCGATGATCAAGCCGATGAAAACGCTGTTTCGATGAGGCGTTATTCGACTCCTGGCGTGCAAGGACAATATTGGGATCAATTTGGGTATGGATATGGGCAAGTAAATGGTTAGTGTTAAGCTTTAGATCCAAAAGTGCCCATTAATCTTTAGTTGGAGTTTCATATGGACAAGCAATGATTCAAGGGCCTCTCTGTGAATCAACGCCACCAAGCTTGCAGCAGCTTCCACACAACGCTCATCTAGCTTATCAGCAAAGTGGAATGCTCTGTGCGTATCCCAACTATTACAGGTAAATTCATCGCTTACTAAAACTAATTTTCCAATTTAGTCAGCCAAGCTACGATGATCGAGCCAATGAAGCAACGATGCGACTTGGCGCTTTGAAGCTGAATGGCGACGGTCAACGGCCCGGTGCTGGCAATGCTTTTCGAGGTACTCCACCTGGTTACTCCAATCACAAGACTCGCTTGTGCAAGACGTTCCAATCGACGGGAAGCTGCCCTCACGGGGAAAGGTGCCGATTTGCTCATGGAGAGAGGGAGTTGCAATCTGCGGTTGGCTTTGTTGTATTCTATATCTATATCTATGTTTATTAAATAAAGAAGTACTAATTCTGTTCTTTAGGTTCTGCTAACGGGTGAGAATGAAAAGCATCAGATGAGGAACACAAAGTTTGAACCCAATCATCAACGTCGAATCGAAGCTATTCGGGGAAATTCACCAACTAGCTACGCCAATTACAAAACTCGGATGTGCAGCGCATTCTCAACCAAAGGATACTGTCTACATGGAGATAATTGTCGATATGCACATGCTGAAACGGAGCTCCGCTCTGCGGTTAGTTTAATTGCCCTTCGAGCTAGAATAACATTTTAGACTCCGGTAACTAGTAATGGAAGGTACAAGACGAAACTGTGCAAGCACTTCGAATCGAATGGCATCGGCAAATGCAACTATGGATCTCGTTGTGAATTTATTCACCCAAGCGATGGGGAATACAGGAAAAGTATGTTTTCATTTACCGCATTTTTAAGCTCTTTTAGGTGTGACTCCAAAGAAAGAGCAAAGGAACTCTATCCAACATCTGTGCAGGAAAGGATCTGTTGATGGACCATCGTTGAACAAGTAGTCGATTTTTTGTGTATTCGTGTCTGTATAATTTTGATATTGTTATTTCTCTATCTCTTTCTCTGTCTTAATGAATCGTTTTTAAAATAAATCCTAAAACAATCACCCGGAAGATGAGTCCTTTTAAAGAGAAAACAAAAACAACAGATGAGTCGAATGCTAGAATCTAAAACTAGTTAAAATGAAAGTACAGGGTGGCGCAAAAGTTCTTGCGCTAGTTCCTGCGTTGAACAACTATGATGGTCGTGCGCCGCGCTTGATCGCTCATCTTCAAGCATCAAGCCTAAAATCAAAAATTTCCCTTGATGACTAGGCATGGCTAGACATAAATAAATTAGGAACAATACACAAAAATAATGAAAGAAAGTTTGTGAAATTTGCGCTTGTGAGACTTTTAAAATAGTGCTTGGACATTTGCGCCACCGTGTATACTAATTTTTACGTGGATGAAACTCTCGTGAAGTTGGTGGATGAATGAAAGGAATGAAATTCCCGAAGTGAAAGACTGAAAGTGAGTCAAAAAGAGGGTATTCATAGTCAAGTCAGGAGAAAAATGAAAGGAAAGGAAGAGGGGAATTGTCGATCCTAATTGGATCGTTGTGTCCGCCTTTCATTTTTGAAAAGACTTTGTGAGTTAGAAATGAAGCTAGGCGCTGGGAAATATTCAAAAAGTTGTTGCAAAAGGTAAAATTTCAAAATAGCTCACAAAATTCGATACGATTAGAATTGAAAGGATGAAATAGAGAGAAGGTGTCCATAACCATATAAGATTTGAAATTTAGCATAGATAAAATAATCATGATAAAAACACAAGTAAAGCGCGGGAATCGAGGCCGATTCCTCACCTTTCTTTGCCCTTTTCAATGATTCCTTTTCTTCGAAAAATGGGCCAATCCTTTTCTCTTTTTCCCCCTTTTCTCTCTCACATTTTTATCCTTTCATTCACCAATCTTTAAGGTCAAAAAATCCGCGGATTTCCACCACCTTGAGTGTCGGTTTAAGAGTCGATCTCTCGTATTTTAGGGCTCTTTGGCTATCTTTTTTTTTTCCTTTTGTGGTTCACGAAATCGAACACACCTGACCGTTTTTGAGAAGAATAAAGGGGATTCGAATGGGCAAAATTATGCGTTGAAACCATTTCGACACAACATAAAAAGAGGAGAACTTGTTTTTTTTTGGGGAGGAGGAGGAGGAGGAGGTGTTCTAGGTTTGAAAGTTCTAGAGCCAAGATTTATTACGAGTTAGCCTTGAAAAGATATCAAATTTCAGAACCGATTTGAATACAAGCTGATCTTTTCAATATTATCGATTGCTTCCGTTTGGAAAGCTAATATTGATCAAGAATAAATCGAATTTTAGCCAAATCCCATCAACAAATCCCATAAAAAAGTGTGTTTGGGAAAAAAACAATGGACGCGTGGGGTCACAAAAAGAAAACAATGAACACATTTTCATTTTCCCAAATGTTTTCGTTTTTTTCATTTCGGAGAAAAAGTGCTCTGAGAAAATCGGCTAAATTTATTATCAAAGCAAAGCAAAGCTCTCAAATCTAACAACAAAGCAAAAGGAAAATGATAAAACGAAAGAATAAACGAATAAAAGAAACGAAATGATAAAAGATTCCCAAGATTTTGATTGGCTTTCGATTGAAATGAAGCCGGGAAATTCGTAGTTCACTTTTTAAAAAAACTTTGTAGATTTCTGGATGACTTAGAATTTCTGAAATCTATTTGAACCAACACTCGATTGGGGAACAGTTGTGTTGAACTTTGTGTTGAAAAATGAAAAGACACCTTTTCTCGCGTTATTCTGGATCAGTGTGCAGCTGAACAATTCAGTGCACCGGAAAGTGTCTTCTTTTTTTTGTTCTTTATTGAATAAGTCAATTCAAATCGAAGGATTTGAAAAAAGAACACTTAAAATTTTATAAAGCTTGTTAAAAGGGACAAATTGCGTAAAGGAAATGGATGAGATTAGAGGCGAATCGCGGTGGGAAAATCGGAAATCGGATCAGTGCGAGAAAAAGAGATTCACACAAATTTATCGCCGTCTCGATTTGTGGGAGATTTGTTTCGAGGTTTCCAGTCATTTTATGGCTTTTTTTTATGGCTTAGTTCTTTCGGAATCAAAAAAAAGTCGATTTGAGGTGTCTGGCTCACTTTGAGTCCATCAGAAAGCGTGTGTTCCGTTTGAGCGCACAAAGTACGTGATCAGCTATTGTAATACCGTATTTTCTCTAAAAGTAGTACATCCTGAGCGTCGCCTAAATTCCTCGAAATCTCGAGAACCGCTTATCAGAACCTATCGATGTGGGGTCGGAAAATGTAGCTAACAATGAGATCTAGTGGGGGATTTGAGTGTTGAGCTTCTGGGAAAACTCTGGAAGCCGTAAATAGGCATTAACTCGCCTCGCTTGGGTGCACTTCTATTAGAGAAAATACGGTATCTACTTATTACAGGCACTACGGTAAATGTTAGACTAAAATGCGCTTAAATTTAGAGCCTATAGTACTCTGAAGGGGTTCAGTGTGTTTTGAATATCTTTAGAAAGCTTGGAAGCTAAGGTGTGCTTAAATTGTAAGCTACAGTAAACCATACAGAGATTTAATATCTAGAACAAATGCTTGGAGATTTTTTGAAAAAATTTAACATCAAAATAAACTACACAGGATTACAATCAGAAAAGTGTTGAAAAGTTTGAAAACTATAGAAAAAAAAGAGATCAAATGGAGGAGAAATTGACGATAATTGGAGGAGAAGAAGAAGAAAAGAAAAAGGGGAACGGTCTTTGGTTGAATAGAGAGAAAGATGAAGAATGGAAAAAAAGGATGTGGAACTGCAAGTCAGTAGAATTAAAGTATTGAAAGAAATGGAGAAAAGAGAAAATAGGGGCACTGTAAATTGCCCTTTCTTTCTCTTTCCAAGAGACTCTTTCAAAGAAAAACGAAAATTCTCTCAATTTCTTGTTTGAAAGTCGAGAAGTGAGTTCGTTTTTTTCGCGATATAACGGTTCTATTGCAATAATTGCTAGTTTATTTCAGAGAATTACTTTTGAAAAGTCACTTTTCCTCATTTTGACCGAATGAGTGCTCGTGCTAAAGGTTGAGCGTTTGAAATTCACTCAAAAAGTAAACCTATTAGAATAGAAAATGGAATTCGAGAATTGAATATCTTTAGAATTCTTTTAGAATTACTCGTATTGAATTTAGATGATAAGATTGCAAAATTTGGGGAATCCTCTTTACTTAAAGCAAGATTCAAGGAGCAAGTCCTTGAATCTTGCTTTAAGTTGAAAAAAAAAGTACAGCAAAACCTAGCAAACAATTCAAATCAAACATCGCACCTTGAACAAATCTGAATGATACGAGAAATGGCTTGCTTTTTTTTTGACAATGCAGAAATTTGAGGGTAAAAGAGAAAGAAAAACAAGATTTTTCTTTCTTTTGTGTCAATCAGACAATGATCGGTGCTCTTCTACCGAAAAATATATGATTGATGAGTCAAAAAAAGAAAAAAACGAGAATTGAAGTGTTGATGGAAATCAAGGTAAATGAATAAAGGTAAATGAAGAAAAATCAATGGTTTTCTTAGAAAAAAATCAATGAATTTCGAAAAGTTGTATACCAAGAATGGTTTGTATGTACAAAAGATTCAATCAAAAATCTCCTTGACCGTTTGTTCGAAATGGTTTGGGAAAAACAAGGGAAAAAGAAACCAGGAATAAGTGGGAAAAGAGAAAAGAGTCAAATGAAAGCTTATTGATTGAGATATAGGCTTTGAATAGCTAGGCTTGGCACATCAAAAGCAGAGCACAAATATAGCACATCAAAAGTTCACGACAAAAAGCAAACGATAATTCGGTCAAAGTTGACCCTAGTCAACAATAGTATAGTATTACAGTAGTACAACGATAAAACGTACTGCAATAGTACTATGGTAATGCTACCTTGCAGTATTGCAGTAAACTAGAGTGTGTTCCTCGCGAGTAATGCGTTTTTTAAAGCGCACACTTGGGAAAAAATCACCGTCCTTTTAGCAAAATTTTTAGGTATGGTTTTTTTTTTCCCTTTTTTTTTTAGAAAAAAATTTTTTTTAAAAAATTTTTTTTTTTATTTTTTTTTTTTTAAAAATTTTTTTTTTTTTTTTTTTTTTTTAAAAATTTTTTTTTTTTTTTTTTTTTTTTTTTTTTTTTTTTTTTTTTTTTTTTTTTTTTTTTTTTTTTTTTTTTTTTTTTTTTTTTTTTTTTTTTTTTTTTTTTTTTTTTTTTTTTTTTTTTTTTTTTTTTTTTTTTTTTATATTTTTTTTTATTTTTTTTTTTTTTTTTTAATTTTTTAAAAAAAAAATAAAAAAATAATATTTTTTTTTTTTTTTTTTTTTTTTTTTTTTTTTTTTTTTAAAAAAAAAAAAAAAAAAAAAAAAATTTTTTTTAAAAAAAAAATTTTTTTTTTTTTTTTTTTTTTTTTTTTTTTTTTTTTTTTTTTTTTTTTTTTTTTTTTTTTTTTTTTTTTTTTTTTTTTTTTTTTTTTTTTTTTTTTTTTTTTTTTTTTTTTTTTTTTTTTTTTTTTTTTTTTTTTTTTTTTTTTTTTTTTTTTTTTTTTTTTTTTTTTTTTTTTTTTTTTTTTTTTTTTTTTTTTTTTTTTTTTTTTTTTTTTTTTTTTTTTTTTTTTTTTTTTATTTTTTTTTTTTTTTTTTTTTTTTTTTTAATATAATAAAAAAAAAATTTAAAAAAAAAAAAAAATTTTTAAAAATTTTTTTTAATTTTTTTTTTTTTTTTTTTTTTTTTTTTTTTTTTTTTTTTTTTTTTATTTTTTTTTTTTTTATTTATTTTTTTTATTTGATTTTTTTTTTTTAAAATGGCTAAATTAGAAAAAGAAAAAGGGGGAAAAAAAAAATTATTGCAAAAAAATGACGCAAAAATGACGAGCCTCGCTTTATATAAGACACTTTTTAAAGATACTCAGCCGTTTAACTGAGTATCTTTAAAATTTCCTTCCAACGTAAAAAATGAGTTTTTTCCAAAAACCTGCCCAAAAAAATTGCTTTTATTTTTTTTTCGCGCAGGCGCACTTTTTAGAAAACGCATTACTCGACAATTACTCATGCAAATTTACTCGAGTAATTACTTACTCCCGAGGAACACACTCTACAGTAAACTGTGTTAACCTTCAGTGCACCATTGTTAAGTAATCAAATCGTTTACGATGGATTCTACTAAATTTTAGGAATTTCATTTTCGGGAAAGTTAACAATATTCTCACATTTGCATAAGGAATCTAACTAGTTTTCGAAAAAAAAATGTAGGAATAAAATGGATTTCTCGTTCATCCCTTTTCTCCCAAACAATTATATGCCTTTTTTGAGGCTTTTGAGTGCTATTTTCATTGCGAGAGTCAAGGACAAAGATTTGAAAGAACAGAAAGAAAAAAAAAGGAAAGAATAGATCAATCTTGGGTTGAGTTAAAGCAAAAATACCGTATTTTCTCTAATAGTAGTGCACCCTGAGCGTCGCCTAAATTCCTCGAAATCTCGAGAACCGCTTATCAGAACCTATCGATGTGGGGTCGGAAAATGTAGCTGACGATGAGATCTTGTGGGGGATTTGAGTGTTGAGCTTCTGGGAAAACTTTGGAAGCCGTAAATAGTCACCAACTCGGCTCGCTTGGGTGCACTACTATTAGAGAAAATACGGTAAACAGTACAGACATTTTTTGATCTCTAATCCTGTCATCTGTGAGATCAAAGAATGTTAAAGAATAGTTCGAAACGGATGAATAATTTTAACATTTCTTTGAGAAAATTTGGTGCTCAGCCTTTCGTCGTGACGTAGAAGGATCTGTGAATCGAGGAATCTGATTTACCAGAAATCTTTAAAGTTCACAGTATTTTATCTCTCCAAAAATTCTCTTTCGTGCCCTTGCCCATACTTTCAAGAGCTTAAATGGTTACCTTTACATTTAAATGATCACGATGTTGATGAATTTCAATATTATGACATAATATTGAAGATATTTCAGTAATTTATTGGAAATGTCAGAATCTTTTCAAATCTAGTGTCAAGGTGGGGGACTCGAGGACCCCATTTTCTGCCATCAAAGTTTTTACTAGACACTCTTGACCTGTTTTTACGCTCCTCTTTCGACGACGGTCGTGGTGAAGCAGGTAGTGTGCTTCTCTACGGAACGAAACCTCGAATTTTTGTAGTCAGTTCGACTCCTCCACTTGACAGCTTTTGCTTTTTGTTCTTAATAGCGATATCTTCACAAACTCTTACACAAGCTCATGGTGTTCTGATCAAAATTAGATAAGAACATAAGAAGAAAATAGTATAAGAATTTGTGGAAATTAAAAATATCTTTATGGAAAATAAAAAGCAAGTTTTTCAGTTTGTTTGTCAAGTGGAGGATTCGAACTCACTACAAAAACTCGATCTGTTCCGTAGACAAGCACACTAGCCACTACACCACGAGTGCTGTTGAAAGTGAAGCGTAAACTCAGCTCAAGAGTGTATAACAAAAAACTTTGATGCCAGAAATCTTGCGTTTACGACATATTCGGCAGATTTTGATTATAGATTCGGATCCTGGTTCAATTTTCTATCGAATTGGCTAGGTCTTGTTGGGAAATTCCACAGTAATCTAGTATTCTTCCATAGTTAGACAATTCTATGTCAACAATTCTAAAAATCGATCGAAGAATTTTTACATACTATAGAAGAAGTTTTAATGAATTGTTTGAGAATTCACGTTTAGAATCTCTGTGCATTAGAATCGTCAAATGGCTGAGGCAAAATGCCATCTTTTTTGATAAAAAGTCAAATAAAAAGCCAGTGATCGAACTTGTGTGGCCTCGCTCTGGAAACGAACGCTCTACCAGTAGGCCACGGTTACATTCAGACCGTTTCGCAAGGGGCCTCTAAGATCCAAATAACCCAAATAACCCCAATGATTCTAAACGTTTAGATCTTAAGAATCTCTCTGTAGAGGAAAGGTATGTTTGAGTTTGAGAACATTACTCACAAACTCTGTGAATTGTCGGATTTGACTTAAACTCGGGGTAGGCTAATTTCCGCAACTTTTTTTCGCGCAACAGGGTCATTTGCGCAATTCGCCATAACTTTGTTCTAAATGGATCAATTTTTAGGATTTTGGTCTTATTTTGTAGATCTCAATAAATGCAAAAAAAAATGAAACGAAAATCATAAAGATTGGCTGACTTAGAAAAAAGTTGTGGCGAGTTGCGCAAACGACCCAGTTGCGCAAATAACCCTGTTGCGCCAAAAAAAGTTTCGGAAACTAGCCTACCCCTTAAACTCTGCAAAAATGTTCTCAAGTTTGTTTATTTTGGTACCGTAAATCCTGTAATAGTACCCCACCCCCCTCGTACAGCCGCGTAGTCGCAAAAGTTTTTTCGTATTTCATTTTGTTTCAAAGCGCCCGTACTTTCAAAAAATGCGTCTTTGGTATCAAAAAATAGCCCTGAATTTCAGCTATTTTTTGATACCTAAGCGCGCATTGTAGCATAAACCAGTGTCGAGAAAAACTCGTTCAAAGCTAGACTACACAACACTCCGCACCGTCATTATCGGGGTGGGCACTATTACAGTATTTACGGTATGTGAATTTGGAGGTGCTCAAAGATTGAATGCAAATAGATGAATAAAGTATTGATTATTATTGTAGAATCGTTGTTACTTAGAATTGTTTTTGTTTAAAGCTAAAAAAGGCTTTGAAATTTAATCCTCCAAAAGTTAATTTCTTTGGTTGAGAACGTTCAGCGTCGTTTCAGTAGGAGGGCGTATGCCCGTTGTTTCCCATCGAAAGAAATTCCTTGCTATTCTGATCGACTTGCTCTTTTTGACCTTAAACCCTTATCCCATCGCCGCATTTATTTTGATTTGGTCTTATGCTATAAAATCATCTTCTCTCCTAACTCTCATCCGGAACTTAAAGGACTCTTTAAGATTTCGAATCACGCCAGAAGAACTCGTAGTCACAACTTTCAGATTACCCCCTTTCAAAGCTTTCATAACCGCCAACTGTATCATTCTTTTGCTTGTCGTGTTCCTCGTATTTGGAATAAGTTACCTTGTGATATTTTTTCGTCTCTGAACTATTTTAAATCCTCAATATATAAGCTCGATCTTGTAGCTCTGTCAATTTTAAATTAGTTTTTAATGTCATATATACACGTGTCTAATTGTAGTTGTGTTTGTATATCAATTATCTTTCTTCGTCTACGCTGTTCAATCTGTTTGCATTGTCACTTTTCCTTGTCGGATAAAGTATATATATAGAAATGTTAATTAATTTAAACGTTAATGCCTTTATTTAAATATATTTAAATATATTTAAATATATTTCAATCTTTTCATTGATTCAATAAAATGTTTCGTACTTAAATACTTAAAAAAAAAGGGAAGAGAAGGACTCGTATTTGTACACGTATGATGAGATCTATCTATAAGCTGATAAAAGTACGGTTGAGAATAAAGAAATAAATAAAAGAATAAATAAAATAAATAAAGAAATAAATAAAATCAAATACCCTAACAATATGTATAAATAAATTCAAATAAAAAGAATAAAATATAAATTTTAAAAAAACAATTTAATTAGAGAGCTAAAAATGATTGATTTCGAGGAGCGCCGAATTCTCGTTCGAATTTCGATTGGATCAGCACTCGGTATTGAGCCTAGAATTTTGGAAAATTATTGAAATTTGAAATTTATATAAAATTTACATAAAATTTGCATAAAATTACATAAGCTTTACATAATTTTACATAAATAAATATTTTAGTTCAATTGTTCAGTTCAATTAGTTGTTAGTTCAGTTTAGTTCAGTTGTTAGTTCAGTTCAGTTCAGTTGTTAGTTCAGTTCAGTTCAGTTGTTAGTTCAGTTTAGTTCAGTTGTTAGTTCAGTTCAATTAGAAATATTGATTTATTAGATAGATACATCTTTTTACAAGTAAAAATGAGTCAGATCTAAAGAGATCTAAATGAGTCTAAGTTTGTTTTATTGAAGCCCTTCATTTGTTATTTATTTCTAAACTACAGATTGATAATAAATTTACAATTTTTCTGATTTTGTTTTATGTATTATGTTAAAAGTTTTCATATTATTAACCTGTGCTGAATTTCGTCGAAAACTTTCAGCTGATGGAGTGATTGGACGGGGGATTGGAGCTGGATAGGCCGAGAAGGAGCCTCGACCCTGGCAAAGGAAAGGAAAACATTAAGAGCTTTTGTTTTTGCCGTATTTTCTCTAATAGTAGTGCACCCTGAGCATCGCCTAAATTCCTCGAAATCTCGAGAACCGCTTATCAGAACCTATCGATGTGGGGTCGGAAAATGTAGCTGACGATGAGATCTTGTGGGGGATTAGAGAGTTGAGCTTCTGGGAAAACTTTGGAAGCCGTAAATAGTCACCAACTCGGCTCGCTTAGGTGCACTACTGTTAGAGAAAATACGGTATATAGTATATTGCTGGTTTTGATATAGAATACTTTAGCTCAATATTCAAATCATTAACTAAATTGTAAAAAGATTTCTTGATACTTGTGACTATTTTTGACTACACTTTATAGTCCACAAAAGTACTTGTATAATAACTTGTTCTCTTTGCCTTGTTGAGTGTAAAATATGTAAATTTTGCGACGAAAATGTAAAGTGCGGTTGAAGAGAGTCACAAAAATCGATTATCGTAAATCGACAAATTATAGTTGTAAGAGTTAACGATTAGGCTTAAATTTGACAATCTCTTAATCTCTCAATTGCACTCACTTCTTCCAACACAGTGCAATCATCTTGTTGTCGCTCTAAACGAGCGCACAATCTCCGACACGCATGAATGGCTGAGAGAGCTAAAATTATATGCTTTTATTTTTATTTTAAAATCAAATAGCTGTTTAGCATAAGAATAGAAAGGATAGAAAGCTGCTTATCAAAGAAAAATTACCGTAAATACTGTAATAGTACCCCACCCCCATAATGACGGTGCGGAGTGTTGTGTAGTCTAGCTTTGAACGAGTTTTTCTCGACACTGGTTTATGCTACAATGCGCGCTTAGGTATCAAAAAATAGCCCTGAATTTCAGCTATTTTTTGATACCAAAGACGCTTTTTTTGAAAGTATGGGCGCTTTGAAAAAAGCTTTGATTAACAAAATACTAAAAAACTTTTGCGACTACGCGACTGTACGAGGGTGGTGGGGTATTACTATTACAGTATTTACGGTATCTCTAAGACCCGTAAGATTGCTTTAAATTTCAGTTGGCTTGATCTATTGGGTCTTTTCGTGATCGGGATGAGCACTGGTGGGATTAAACCGTGTGTTTCTGCACTCGGCGGTGATCAGTTCAAGGCTACTTACAACTAAAAGATTTCAGTTTTGAATTCCGTAACCTTGAATGTTTTGGTGTGCTGGAGATGCTTTTAGGAGAGCATTTTAGGAGGGCGGTGGAGTACTATTACAGTATTTACGCTATGTTTATCATTATCATTTTTCATATGTTTTTTTCACAGTTTTAAGTACAATTTTTAACGATTTGAGGCTTGTTTTTCCCCAATCTCTTTTAAATATTGTTAATCTTTCTTCAAAATTCTTCAAAATATGAAACCTTTTTTGTTTTGAACTCAAATTTCACATGTGAGAAACCTCTCAAAAATTTAATTTCCCCTAAAAGGTTCGATCATTTTTTTTTTCTAAAGAAGATAATCTTCTAGAAGAATCTGAAGAAAAATTGAAATTCTGACCAAATCCAGACAACTTTTGTCGCACAAAAAGGTCACTCACTCCATTTTGGGTCTTTGATTGGAAAAAAGATTAAAAAAAATGAAAACTGAGAAATATTTTGAGCCTTTCTTTGATTTTTCGACTAATCCTCATGGGAAATTGCAAATTGACGTCCGAAAAAATGGAAAAAAAGGATAATCAAATGTGGAAAAGTCGCAATAATTCGAGTTCATTTTACGCTTTATCCAAAAAAAGATCATTAATCCTCAACTTTTTTTTGATTTTCATAGGTCAAATTGTTTACTCTGAGATTGGATTTGATTAAGATTACAGTAAAGGGGAAAAGGGGAAAGAGTTGTTTAAGATTACAGTAAAGGGGAAAAGGGGAAAGAGTTCTTGGAAGTTTGAACATTTTTGACAAAAATGCAAAAGTTCATTGTCTACGAGAATAGTGGAACAGTTTTAGATTCAAAAAGAATTTTGAGGTATTTCATTTGTTTATGATTTTCGATTGATACAAGATTTAGCTTTGACCTCGAATTTGAACGAGTCTGGGACAAAATTTGAGTCTTTTATTGGAGATCAGTAGAAAAGCTTTAGCAAGCAAGTGTTTGTGGTTTCACAATGAAACTTGGGTAATTAAACCGGCGGGGGGAGGGAGCGAGGGGCCGAGGCCGAAGGGCTATCCGCCACGTGTGCCAGACGCCACTTTTTCTTACGAGCAACGTGGAAAAAACGCACATTTCCTTTTGCGCGTTCTCTCCGGTTGCTCACAATCACAGCCCATCTGGCACATAGTCCCGCTAGAAGAGGGGCGTTTTTCTTTTTTTTTTTCAAATTTCCTTCTCTTTATAATAAAATCTAAGAATATCGAAACCCGATTTTTTTTCTCCCCAGCACGTTTTTCGATGGATGAAGGATTTCCTCGGCATTTCCCCAAAAAATTACATAAAGAAATTTCCCAGATTCCCCAAAAATGGCAACGATTCAACGGGAAATTGTATGAAAAAGGGAAAAAAAGGGAAAAAAGGGAGAAAAAAAGAGAAATGACCCTCTAATCTTTTTAACATTTTCAAATATTTCCGATGGAGATTATGAAAAATGGAAATAGAATTGGAAATTTGATTTTTGATTGTTTGAAGGAAATCTTAAAAATTGTGTTATATAAAAACGAAATTTCAAACAAAAACTAAACGATTGTTTTTCAGTGTTGAATTTTAAGCTCAAAAAAACGTAAACACATCATTTCTAAAGCACTCTCAGAAGCAAATGTGCCAGAAAGGAAATTTTTCCATTTTAAGCACATTTTACGCAAAAATCGAGAAGTTTAAAGCAAGCCCGGATTTTGTTGTTTTTGGGAGAATCGCCAGAGCTTTGCTTAGAAGCGTCCAAAGAAGAAAATTTAGCAAAAACTTCAGCCCACATCATGACCAAAATGAAATTCACTCAATTTAGGGGGATTGAGGTTTTAGATCATTAGCTGTTATCCAGAAAACTGCTAGCTACCGCCAATCGATTCTCCGTGTCGGTTTACATAGGACACATGGGCTAAAGATGTGATTTAAAGCTTTTGAAGCGAGCTAAAAAGACTCAGACTAAAAAGACTGGGTTGTGATGGCTTTTGTTGCGCCAGGTCAAGGCGATGGTCATGGCCGACTCGGTAAGAGCGTTGTATCTTGCTTTGTAGTCGAGTGATCAAGGGTTTAATCCCGCCAGCAAGATTCTAGGTTTTGTTTTTGCCATAGGCTTAGGGTTTGAGTTGAGAGAGGGCAAAGCTCTAGCGATTTTCCCAAAAACAATAAAACCCTGGGCTTTGTATAAAGTGTATTTTGACAAATTTTAGAGTAAGAGTTGAACTTTTAAAGAACTTTTAAAGACGAACCAAGTGTGAGGAGGGAAAGCATTGCAATCAGTGGAACGGCCACCGCTAATGCTGTGTCTTTCGATAGGAAATCATTGCCGACAATCTGAAAGTTTGAGATTTTAAAATTAGATTAAAGTCTACTAGTTGGGAATTTTCATAGAGTTCAATCTTTCAATGTTTATGCTCCGTGAATACTGTAATAGTACCCCACCGCCCTCGTACAGTCGCGTAGTCGCAAAAGTTTTTTAGTATTTCATTTTTTTCAAAGCACCCGTACTTTCAAAAAAATGCGTCTTTAGTATCAAAAAATAGCCCTGAATTTCAGCTATTTTTTGACACCTAAGCCCGCATTGTAGCATAAACCAGTGTCGAGAAAAACGCGTCCAAAGCTAGACTACCCAACACTCCACACCGTCGTTATGGGGGCGGGGTACTATTCCAGTATTTACAGTATTTATCATTTTTCTATGCTAAACAGCTTTCTATCCTTCCTATGCTTATGCTAAACAGCTATTTGATTTTAAAATTAAAATAAAAGCATATAATTTTAGCTCTCTCAGCCATTCATGCGCAAATGTTTTTTAGTATTTCATTTTTGTTTAAAGCGCCCGTACTTTCAAAAAATGCGTCTTTGGTATTAAAAAATAGCTGAAATTCAGGGCTATTTTTTGATACCTAAGCGTGCATTGTAGCATAAACCAGTGTTGAGAAAAACTCGTTCAAAACTAGACAGTATTTACAATAATTGTATTTTGTCTTTTAGCTACTCAAAAATTCGAATTTTATATAAACAATTTGCTCTAGTATTTTAAAGGAATCATCATACTTTAAACATTGATAATATCTTTTTGAAAATGATATTATCGTTAATTATTTGTGTAGTTGTTTAGAGGGCATTCTGTGCTTTCAAATGATATGATGATTCAATTCAATTCAAATGATCAAACTAAAAACTTTACAGCATCGTCGCTTTGTCATTGATTTAGTCGAAACTTTCAAAATCCTCCGTTGTAAACAGATTAGCCCTTTGTTTATAGACTTTTTCAAATTTAAACCGCGGTCAGGGCCCAGAAGTGGCTCATTCCTTTTGCAAATTCCCTTTGCTTCCAATGCCTCTTTATCAAATTCATTTCCCGTTAGAGCCGCTAGATTATGGAACTTGCTCCCAAACGACATACGAGAAATTCAGTCGCTTTTCATATTCAAGAAACGTATCGATGCTTTAGATCTAGTGGCTCTTTGCCGTAAGTAATTGGCTTATTGATTTCAGTATGTATTGTATGATTAAGTATCACTGTGCATTTCTCTATGATTTCTTTCACTTTATCGTTTGAATAAAGTTATTATTATATGATGATTCAATTCAATTCAAATGATCAAATCGAGCACTTCTTTGGATTATAAATTTCTGAAAATCAAAGCCAACTTTAGAGGCACTTTTATAGAATTAAGTTAATCAAATCAAAGCTTTATTTGGTATCATTTGAAAGCCTCAAGTTTTCTCTATATAACTATATAAATAATTAAGAAAAATATGATTTCTAGGCAAAGTTTTGAGCGTTTAAAGTGTGGCTATTCTTTCGAAATAACCACCAAAAGACAAATAAGACAATTTTCTGGATTTTCTCGACAATTTCATGATCTTTCAGTCTATTTTTCAGATTTTTAACTAATTTTTGGGGAAATTTCAAATCCTCTTCTTATTTTGTTTTTCTTTTTTACTTGAACATGTTGTTGACCATGATCCGGGGGTGAGTACATTGTGTGATCGTCGAAATAATAACAAAAATAGTTTCGAGGAGATTTTCCTTTTACTTTTTCTTTTAAGAGATTAACGATTATCTGAAAATTTCAAAAATCTTACTTAACATGTATTAAATGAAAAATATCAATACTTTATCCGACAAGGAAAAGTGACAATGCAAACAGATTGAACAGCGTAGACGAAGAAAGATAATTGATATACAAACACAACTACAATTAGAATTAGAAAATGAAAGATTTCAATATTTAAAAAAAAAAAAGGAGTGAAAATCTTCAGCAGACAATTTTGCTGAAGACAAAAAAATGAGCTTATAATCAAAAATCGATAAAAATCTCAATGTTTCTCAAATTGCACTCAAAAAAAAAGGTGAAATTTGAAAGTTTACAGTTTTTTTTTTGCGTAAGAATAACAATAAAATTGATTGAAATTGAACATTTAACATTAAAATTTTAGTGTAAAATGAGAAATTGAAAGAAAATTGAGAAAAAGGGAATGAAAATCGAAGAAAAATTTCGTAAAAACAGATTCAAATCATTAAAAATCTTTTAAAGTATGAAAATTCTAAAATTTTGGTGATTTTTGATTGAATGATATGGGGGAAAGTCATCGAAAAGTCATTTATCAGGAAAATATCAGGAAAATATTAGACAAATGTTAGAAAAATGCTAGAAAACAAGCTGTTAAAGATAAAATGGCTCTAAACTTTGTTTCAAAACTGTTGAAATTTGAAAATAAGATTCTAGCTTTGATTGATAGTGGATAATCGCAAATTGAATCTAGAATTTGGAATCTTTTTTTTTAAAAGATGCTACCGTATTTTCTCTAATAGTAGTGCAGCCCGGCGAGCCGAGTTGATGACTATTTACGGCTTCCAAAGTTTTCACAGAAGCTCAACACTCAAATCCCCCACCAGATCTCATCGTCAGCTACATTTTCCGACCCCACATCGATAGGTTCTGATAAGCGGCTTTTGAGATTTCGAGATTTCGACCACAAGATCATGACAGTAAACTTATTACCGTATTTTCTCTAATAGTAGTGCACCGCGGCGAGCCGAGTTGGCGACGATTTTACGGTTTCCAAGCTTTTGCAGAAGCTCAACACTCAAATCATTGTCAAGATCTCATCGTCAGCTACATTTTCCGACCCCGCATCGATGGGTTCTGATTAGCGGTTCTCGAGATTTCGAGGAATTTGGGCAAAGCTTTTGGTGCACTACTATTAGGGAGAATATGGTAATCGGAAACTTTACAACTTATCTTAAAGCCGGAAAACCGACTGCCGTATTTTCTCCCGTCGAGCCGAGTTGATGACTATTTACGGCTTCCAAAGTTTTCACAGAAGCTCAACACTCAAATCCCCCACCAGGTCTCATCGTCAGCTACATTTTCCGACCCCACATCGATGGGTTCTGATAAGCGGCTTTTGAGATTTTGAGGAATTTGGGCAAAGCTTTTGGCGCACTACTATTAGAGAGAATACGGTAATCGCAAATTTAGGGAGTTTTCAGGAGTCAAGGGAAATGGGATCACATCAGAGTTTACTCAGATCTTTAGGGCTGAAGCTGAAGACAAAAGAAAGCTTTCTTTTGTTTTAGGAGAAATTGCATTTGCTAATCCATAGTATAGCATTAAAATGGACTATCAAAAGTGTACAATTCAGAGTTTAAACTTTGTGAACTGTGGTTTGATTAACTGCTAAATCTAGCTAAATTTAGGGGAGTCATCACGGTTGCACTGCAAAAATTGCGCCGTAAGACGAAAACGAAATTTGAGCATCGAAATTTGCGACAAGCAAATTTTGCCTCACAAACCAGAAGCGAAAATTGCGCTGTTAAATTTTGCGATGCCAAATTTGCGCCACCAGACCAAGAGCAGAGGGAAAAATTGGTCTTTCGGTGGAAAATTCGCGTGCACAAATTTTGTATGCTCAATGTTTTGGTTTTTGGCTTTCGGCGCAATCGTGATGAACTCAAATTTAGCAAAAATCGCTTCTCCATTCAGCGTTTAAAATTTAGCGTTGCTAGATGTTAAATTGCAAAATTGCTTTAGCAAAATCACTCGATTCTGACTTGTTAAATGTCACCAAAAAGCTTCATAAGCTCGAGGTTGCTTTCTACAACTTACACACCAACGAAGTGTTTTCTAAAATGCAAACGAAATGCAATCGAAACTGCTAGTTCACCGAAAATGTTTTTGCTGGAAAAAAAAAAAAACCAACTTCTGTTTACTGTTTAGCATCAATTTCTTCCTTTAAAAAGCTTCAAAAAGATAAATATTAAAGATTAAAATCGTTTCACTACCTGTAGTTTCTGCTTTGTGAGTCTAAAAATGAACCTTTCCCTTTTTTTTTGAAGCTTTTCAAGCTCAAATTTCCCTTCTAAAAGACATAAACATAAAAAGTTAGCAAGAAAAGTTGTACTTTGTGCCAAAAAATGACTAAACATCCCCTTTTCTGGTGCACTCGATTCATCTTTCTCTAGTTTGCAGTAAGAAAAAGAAAAATGAAGTAAAAACTAGAGAAAGCTAAAGAAAGGGCGAATTGAGTGCATCAGAAAGGTGTGTTTAGTCATGTCGAGCATAAAAGTACAATAAAAGATCGAGTTGGCTGGGGGATTTTCAGTGCATCAATGTTTTCTGCAATATCTGACTCAGAAAATGAATAAAAATCCTTTAAGAAACGAAGATAAATCTTGTTTTTGATGAGGTCGAAGATTCGATGAGATTCTGGTAAAAAGAAAGTGTAAAAAATATGGCTAAAAGGTTAAGCAGATTTTAGAAAAATCTACAGAATTCTTAAATATTAGACTTTTTTTTCCAAAAATTTCTGCAGATGCAAATCTTTGCGAATTTGGAAGAAGTATAATTTTAAAAATGCTAATCTGAATTGAAAAGGGGATTTTTCTGATTTTCGAGAAGATTTAGCTAAACTACAGTAGAGATTTGAGGAAGATCATCTTTAAGAATTCGTTTACGAGAAAAGTTTAAAGAAAAGTTTGAAGTTCAAAATTTAATGCTGAAAATTTAATGCTGAAAATTTAAAGCTGAAAATCTAAAGCTCAAAATCTAAAGCTCAAAATGTAAAGCTCAAAATCTAAAGCTCAAAATCTAAAGCTCAAAATCTAAAGCTCAAAATCTAAAGCTCAAAATCTAAAGCTCAAAATCTAAAGCTCAAAATCTAAAGCTCAAAACTTAAGGCTCAAAACTTAAAGCTGAAAATAAGTCGCGTATAAAAACTACGCGACTTTACGTATTACAGTTTTTACGGTAAATCGTGCTAAATTAATGCTTTTTATCCATTAGTAATCGAAAACGCATTGTTTTCTGTACATCTAATTCTAAATTAAATAAACAATAAAGTTTCGTTTAAACATTAAAGTTATAAGCATTAAAGTTAGTTTTATTAAAGTTATTATTATTTTCCAAGTTCCCAAAGTTATTGTTGAGCTTTCAGAGAAATTTCACGATTCGTTTCACTAAGGGCAAAAATTTCTCATTTTAAAAGAGACGGGTGGATGGACACTTTGGCTTATTGAAGGGGAAAGAAAGAAAGAAAGAAAGAAAGAAAGAAAGAAAGAAAGAAAGAAAGAAAGAAAGAAAGAAAGAAAGAAAGAAAGAAAGAAAGGAAGGAAGAAAGAAAGGAAGGAAGAAAGGAAGAAAGAAATGAAATGAAGGAAAAGAAAAGCTTTTGGACATTGGACAACTTTTAGAAAAGAAGAACACTAATTGGAGAAAAGCCAAGATCGCAATTGGTCTTGGCTGGATAATAAAATTGAATTAATGCTATTGATGTGCGGTGAAGGTTCTGCTGGCTTTAGGTTCTGGTTTGAATTTTCTGATGTCTGGTTAGAAGATCCTTGGCAAGGCTAGTCCGCAGAAGTGGTTGCTAAAAATGTAAAAATTTGAATGACTTGATGGACTTGATGGGCGTTTGAAATTCGGAAATGCAATTTCATTTATCTCCAGTCGATCTTTTCGTTAAAGAGCAAATTTGCGCTTTTTTCCATTTCCGCATCAAAGAATTCGGGAAAATGGGCAAATTTTAGATAAACAGCTGAACTTTTTGATTGAAAAATTCAAAAGATTTCATTTTTTTTAATATTTAGCCAAAATGATCTGATTTTCTAACAGCTGAAAGTTTTATAATTAAAATTGAAAAGTTCTGGAAGGAAGTCAAGTCAAAAATCGGAATGAATAAGAAAAAAAAAAGTGTAAAAAGTCGGAAATCTTATGAATATCGTTTAGTTTGTTGATTAAAAAGCTTTGATTTATTAAAATATTGCAACTTGTTTATTAGAAGAATTTGGGAGAAGTTCTAAAAAGAAAACTTGTTGCGAGTTCTAGATCTGGATCTGGATCTAAATCTGGGTCTAACTTCTGCCCGACAGACAGACTTCAAGGCTTGGCTGGAACGACAGACAGACTTCAAGGCTTGGCTGGAACGACAGACAGACTTCAAGGCCTGGCTAGACATGGGAAAATTCCAACCCGAGAAGTGTCGACTCGTTGAAATCCCCTCAAATGGAAAAGAATCAAGAAAAGAAACTGATCGAACAGGAGGAGATTCGCACAGAAACTAATAACTTTTGAGGGTGAAAATGGGCAAGAAATGGAAAGAAATGGGCAAGAAATGGAAAAGAAATGGAGAAGAAATGGAGAAGGGAAAGAGATGAAAAGAATTTCCAGAGATATGGAGAGAATTGACGGGGTTTAATCCCCTGTTTGGATCTGAATCCATCCACGGATTTCCTCTAATTTCCGCTCTCGAAAATCTGATCTGCTACTGGAAAAGAAAAGAGATCAAAAATGTGCAAGAATTTTGAAGAAAGTGGCTAGCTGAAGCTGTAAAATATAGCATAAAAGTGATAAATCTTTAATTGAAATGGTTAAAAAGCAAAAAGAAAGAAGATTGATTGAAGATTGATTAGGAGAGAATCCGAACAAAGGTTAAAGGGCTTCAGAAGTTTCGTAAAATAGCCCACTATCCAGTAGACTATAAATGAATCTATAAATGAATCTAGTTTATTGGTGAAACAGAAGAAAATCATAAATTTAAATGACTATTTGGGAGAGTTCGTTGAAGACATCTAGAAGGCTTTCTGTTTGATGATAGAATAAATAAATCAAAAATTTGTATAAAATAATGATTTAAAAGTGAAAACTAAAGAAAAAGAAAAGAAAATCTTCTATAAGAGACCCATTTTCTTGCACTCGTTTAAAGGATTTCTCTCGAAAAAAGTGTCCGATTGAAGACGTCAAACCTATTCTCTTCTCTCCGATAAATGCCATTTGTTTGTCTCTTCTTTTTCTCCTTTTTTTTTCTTTATAAATGATGTGAAAGGATTTCTTACAAAGGTTTCTAATTTAAAAAAGAACAAATCCTGTTTATTTTTCTCGTTGAAATGTGATTAGTTGAAACGTTTGTGGTTGGATAACTAGATTGTGATTGCGTTGAACGGTGAACTATAAGAACGCGCAAAGTACTAATTGATTATGAGGTTTGATAACTAGATTGTGATTGAGTTAAACAGTGAACTATAAGAACGCCCAAAGTACTAATTGATTAATATCATTATCTCCAAAACATTTCTTGTGTCGCGAATCTCCTTCCAGAGTTTGTCCAAGTTAATATTAGAGTATTTTTGCTTAAACAAAACCAAAAGTTGAGTTGAGTGAAACTACGGGAGGTCGAACCCGGATTGTGTGGGCTGTAGAAAAGCGCGCTCTCGACTGCGCTACAGCGACGGAGGGTGGACGGCCGCCGTTAAGGTAATAACACATCACCGCTAGTAATCACTCATCGTAACACTCATTGAAAAGAAAGCCACTTGAAGCTGAGAATGCAAAGAGATGTAGGCGAAACATTGGGTACCATTTAGACACGGCACAACAAACACTTTGTCTACTTGAAACTTACCACTATGTACGCCACTTGCTAACATATTTTTTCAAAACTCACCCAATTATGCTTTACATCAATCCGCCACAAATTCGCGAAGCTATCTAAGGTGTAAGCTGCAGCGGCGAAAAGGAAACATGAAATTTCTGATCATAGTCTCATTGTATGGCTCATTGTATGGCTCTATCAACTAGGTGTATTTAAAAAGAGATCATTAACCATTAGAATTTGCAAGATGATGCTTAAAAAGAGCAGAACTTCTTTCACTATTAGATTAATCATGAAAAAAGAGCGGGATAAATGAAAATAAATGAAAATAAATGAGTAACTTAGATTTTTCCTTTTCATTTTTCAATCATTTTTCCTTTTCAGCTAATCAGCTAATCATCGCTGACACATCTTTCTCATCTTTTAAAACATTTTTATTCCAAAAAGATTGACTTAATGCTTAAAAATAGCTTTTTCCTAATTTACTTCACAACGCTTCAACGAATTTCTATTATAAACTTAAACTCTTCAATACCGGATAAGTACACATTTTTAAACCTTTCATTAATCGTTTACGGATCAGTGCTCAATCAGTTGCCAAGTTTTTAATCTTTGACTTCATTGAGATACCGTAGTTAATACAAAAAAGCGAACTTTATTCTCTGAACAGCTACCCGGCCGCCCAGAAACATTGTCTAAAATCTCTCTGCAAAAAATGGCTCGCGGTGAGAGGGGTCGAACCCACCGCCGCTTTTCCCGCGCTCGCTTGAGAGACAGTCGCGCTATCCCCTCGGCCACCTGACGTCCAAATGTTCCTTCTTTAGCGACGGCTATTTTGTACAAGTGATAGATGATAATAACTTTTTTTGTTTAAACAGGATTTATCTATTAATTTTTCATTTTCTTTCTAACAAAAAAACTATGAGAATCGGTTGATGTGGAGCCGAGATCCAGAGTGTGACGGACGGACGGACGGACGGACGGACGGACAGACAACCCTCAATTATATATTGTAGATTGTTAGTTTTGTTTTGTTTATTTGTGTACTTGGTTTGTGATCAAATTTGATTTTAAAAACAAAACTCTTATCTACAAGAACTTTGTTACAAATTCCATTTCTCCACAATGTTTCCCCGGAATTTCGCCGAGAGTCGCATAAAAAAATACACAAAAATCAATCCAATGACTGTACAAGAACCGATCCAAAATTGGAGAATAAACGTTGGCTGAAGATTGGCAATAGTAAAAACTGTTGAAACAATTGTTGGCATTGAGGGAAGGATGAAAGAAAAGAGGAGAGCTTTCAAGAAAGATTTACAGTGTTCCTCAGAAGTGGCGATGAAGTAACGAAAAGTGAAAGAGAAGAAGAAAATGAGGGAAATTGAGCAGGCAATGATGAGAAGTGGAGGGATTGATCGGGAGGAGAGGAAAGTGATCAGATTGAGAGACGATTGGGGGAGAGGCCAGACACGTTTAGCTTCATTCACAACATAGATCAACAAGAAAGCATTCGTTAGGTAGATTGTGGAAAAGACAAGGAATGAGACGAAAAGGCGAAAGATCCAGAAAGGAGAGAGGATGGGTTGGAGCCGGGGAATGGAGTGGTGGAGGAGGGAAATGATGGGGAAGATGAAGAGAATGATGGGCAGATTGGGGATGAGGAAAGAGTGGATCTCGGTGAGAAGAGCCCAGCGACCGAATGGATCCATTTGGATCGAAGAAGATGAAGAATTCGATGCAAAGTGGTTGAAGAGAAGCTAGAAAAGTTGAATTAAAAGCTTTTTTGTTGGGAAGATAGCGTTAAGATACTTTCACATCCCACAAAATTGTTGTTTTCTAAAGTGCACATTTCACGTCTGTCTAGGTTGTCACTAGAAACGTCTCGTAGTCTGTGCCATTTTTATTTTTTTTTCACTTCCTTGCTGACACGTCAAATTTGGGCTAAAAGGCAAAAACTACGCAACTTAACGCTTTTCCGCAGTTTTTGCCTTTTAGCCCAAATTTGACGTGGCAGTGAGGTGTGATTTGTCGAAATTCGGAGTCTACGCATACGATTCCCTTATATGAAAACATTTTCGAAGCTCTACGACCTTTCCTAAGGCCTTTTCCAGCAAAAAAAAGGTGTGCAAATGTCCAGGTGCGCAAAAAAAAGGTAGCATTTGTCCCACTCCAGTAATCGTTTAAAAAAAAGAATTGAAAAAAACCGACTTATCAATCAAGCTAAAAGCGAAATCTGTGGTTTTTTTTGACAAAAATGAATAAAGAGCTGATTGATTTCGTTTTTGAAACACTTTCCAATCAAACACTTTTATCAATGACAGCAATCAAAACATCTAAAAGATATTTAGGCATTCATAAAAATTTAGAAAATATGGGAGTGGGACAAATGCTATCTTTTTTTTGCGCACCCGGACATTTGCGCACCTTTTTTTCCGCACCTTGCCCATTAGCGCACCTTTTTTCGCGTTTTAAAAAAGCTCTAAAAAGCTGATATTAACCAATTTCTATTCCAAAAGTTGTTTTTCTAGGTAATTTTAGGGCGTAGAATCGAAATTTTGACATAACAGAGCGTGTGGAACCAATTTGAAAGACGTTTTGTCTGGCTAGATCAAATTACAGAAAATTGTCGATTTTTCTCTTTGTTTAACTCCGTCCGTTTGTTTCCACAAGCTCTGATATGTCAAAATTTCGATTCTACGCCCTAAAATTACCTAGAAAAACAACTTTTGGAATAGAAATTGGTTAATATCAGCTTTTTAGAGCTTTTTTAAAACGCGAAAAAAGGTGCGCTAATGGGCAAGGTGCGGGAAAAAGGTGCGCAAATGTCCGGGTGCGCAAAAAAAAGATAGCATTTGTCCCACTCCCGAAAATTTACAAAAAGTTTAGATGTGAAAAAATTTCTAAACAATTGACTTTAAGTAGCTTTATTTTAAATGACAATTGAAATGAAAATTTTCTTACTCTACCTTTGGATATAAATATTTATTGTATTGTTTTGTATCTTTTTGCAAGTAATCTAGGAAATTTTAGCGATTAATGTTTCACAACGAGATCCAGTGAAGCCGAGATTGCAGAGACAAGTCAGGTGGTTCACCTGAAACACTTTCAATGGACTTTCAATGGAAAGCTTGGAAAGAAATTCAACTGTTTACAGAATATAGATTAGATTAGATTAGCCTTGTTTTTTGGATGTACTTTTGCTAGTAGAAAGACACTCCTTTTTCTCGCGATATCAAGATGTTGCTCAGTCGAAAAGCTCACCTTATCAACAACCAATGGTGTACAAAGGAATTTTTTCGATAAATCAAAAATCTGATTGCAACAAGTTTTAGTGTGCATTCCAGATAAGCTTAAATCAAAATACCTTTAAAATTGGTCTCTTCAAAAAGGATTTATGACTGCAGAACCTTGTCGAGAGTTCAGCTCCTTTTTGAAGAGACCGATTTTAAAGGCATTTTGATTTAAGCTTATCTGGAATGCACACTAAAACTTGTTGCAATCAGATTTTTGATTTATCGAGATTTATCGAAATTAGAACTTTTACTCGTTGTGCGGTGAAAGTTGTTGTTGTAAGAAAGCTAAGAATTTGTCTAGGAAGCCAGAAAGGCCTAGAAAGGTCCAGGAAGGTCCAGAAAGGAAGGTCTAGAAAGGTCCAGGAAGGTCCAGAAAGGTCCAGAAAGGTCCAGAAAGGTTCAGAAAGGTCTAAAAAGATCTAGAAAGGTCTAGAAAGGTCCAGAAAGGTCTAGAAAGGCCTAGAAAGGTCTAGAAAGCTTTTGTTTACCCATTTTTAAGCTCAAAGTGCACTTCAAGGAACAAGGGTATTTATTAGAATGGCTTGAATGATTTGAATGACTTACCGTCCCCAAGCAAAGCCCTCTCCCATTGCAGTCTCGATTCGAATCACAAACGGCTGAGATATGATTGAATTAAAAAAAAAAGAAATCAACCAGTCACTCACCATCTTCACAGAATTTCCCAGAGTATCCAATTTGACAGAAACAAACGTAATTCTCGAGTGTGCCCAAACAAGAGCCTCGTTCATTGCAATCAGCAGCTGTGCATGAACGAGAGACGATACTCTGAACAAAAGAATGCAGTAAATTTTTGAATTTAAAATAAAACTACAATAAATTTCAGTTTATTAAACTATTTATTCTATAAATTATTAATAAAATTATTAATAAAACCTTAAAATACAAAAATTATTAATAAAATTGAAAAAGTGAATAGTTTCAAAAGGCTAAAACTTTGATTTTAGTTTTTAGAAAGCTAAATTTTCAATAGTACTTTACTCAGAAATGTCTATTACCGTATTTCTTCGAATAGAAGACCGGGTAAAGAGTATCATCGCGTACTCGTGCGTAGCAGCCTTTTTTAAAATTTCTTTTCTGCATAAAAGCTGCTATAGAGCTGGAAAATGACTCAAAAATACGACATGAGCTAACAGATTTTTGAGCCATTTTTCAGCTCTATAGCACTTGATTGAAAGCTTTTATGCAGAAAAGAAATTTTAAAAAGGGCTGCTACGCACGAGTACGCGATCATACTCTTTACCCGGTCTTCTATTCGAAGAAATACGGTAAATCTTCAATAGTACTTTACTCAGAAATGTCAATTATTTAAATAATAGACATTTCTGATATTCAATCAAAGGCTTTAAGATATTCAATAGCTGATAGCTTCAAGATATTCAATTAAAGGAAAATTCTCTATATAATTCGATAAAAACCCACATTTGCCGTATGATTTGCTTCTCGGAGCGCTTCGGCTTTAAGCTGGTTTAGCTAAACGTTCAAAAGTTACAAATTACTGCTCGAAAACTCTTCTAAAATGATTCTAAACTGTAATTTGAATAATTTAAATGAAAATGATTTTGCTGATGATTTTGCTTTAGAATTTACCCTTTCTTTAACTTGATTTGACATCGAGGAGACAGTCGATGCAGCAGCTTCAACCTGAAAGTCAAATTTGTCTCTAAAATGCTCTAAAATGCTTTCAATGTCTCTAAAATACTTTCAAACTTTTTAAAAACGATATTATACGAGAATAAAGAATCATAGTAGAATATTTATATAAATAAAGTTAAAAATAGACTTTGGGGAATACGAGCGGCTTTTTATTGGCCTCTATGGGCCTATATGGGCCTATATGGGCGACCGCTTTGGACTGTGCTTAGTGCCTTTTAGAAAGTGCCGTATTGAAGGTTAAAAAAAGGCTCGTTTCAACGGAAAATTGCATTGTTGAGCTTTTTAGCTTTATAAAGTATAACTATTAGGGTGATGCAAAAGAAACTGCCGATGGATATCAGCTCTCATTTATCAGAAACGAGCGATGCTAACGGCATTATTTTTTTAATGTTTTGTTCACAATTTCGACATTTGAATTTTTTGGTTGTTGTTTATTTTATTTAAAAATGCTTATATTTTTTATTTAGATGATGGTCGAGGAAAAGGTTGTGCTACGAGCAGCATTACTCTACTCGAGCAGCAGCAGCACTACGAGCAGCAGCAGCACTACGAGCAGCAGCAGCACTACGAGCAGCAGCAGCACTACGAGCAGCAGCTGTTTAACTTCAAAATTGGAAAGTCTCCTGCCAAATCGCATCGTTCTCTCTGTGCTGCTTTCGGAGATGTCTCTCAGGCAGTGTCAGACTTGGTTTCAACGATTCCGAGAGAGAGACGAGACTTTTGAAGATTACGAGCACGGTTCGAGGCCAGAAGTCGTGAACGAAGCCAAGCTGAGGGACGTTATTCAGGCCGATCCATGCCAATCCATGCCAATCTGCTCAAGATCTTGCGAAAATATTCCATTATGATCATCTCACCATCGAACGCCATCCTTTTTTTGAATTTACCGTCAAATCGGCAGTTTCTTTTGCACCGCCTAATAGATCGTTTTAATTACTTTGATAAAAGCGCTAAAATTCAAAAAAATTCAAATTTCCCCAACTTCTCCAATCAGCGCATCGATTTCATTTGTCTCCTCGTCGCGTTTCACGATTTTTTCCGGAGCTGACTAAAAAAAAAGAATTTGACATAAAATTGGAAGATTTTTTAAGAATTCTTTAATCTAATTCTAATTATCTAGTAGAATATTGATGATTTAAAATGATATTGTTATCGAAAAAGTATCAGTATACTATGCTTGGCTCAGTCTATGCTTGGCTCAGTCTATGCTTGGCTCAGTATATCCTTGGCTTACGCCTGATACGGAGCTACAGCTCAACTCAATTCACTAAATAACTAATATAGTGAATTGATTACATGAAAAATGGAATCAAAGCGGTTTGACACAGTATTGAATGTACAAAGGGATTGATTCTCAGTACGCCAGAAGGGGTGTGTTTACCACTCGTGTACTGTAACTATAGTAGACGGACTACAGCCTACTGAGCCAGTCCTATCATAGTCCTTTTCTAAAGTGGAAATTAGGCTATTGTAGTGAGTAGCTACCGTAAATACTGTAGTACACAATAGTAGCTACCGTAAATTCAGTTCAATTTCATTCATTTTCAGTGCTCAGAAGTTATTGGTTGAACCGTACCTCAACTTCATTCATCAATAGAAGTATTAAACTCAGGAATAGATAGGATTTCATTATTGAAAAAAAAGGATTTTAAACTTGAATCAAAACAGAGTGTTTTGAGGTGAAAGTTTTTGTTTTTTTGGGGGGAAAGTTGACAGTTAGAAGTTAAGCGATTCGGGAGGAGGGGAAAGGGGAAAAGGTCGATTGTTTCGACGGAGAGACGAGATTCGACCCATTCATCCATGGAGGGGAAACAGGAATTCGATTGGAGATGACTCAGGAAAAGAGATCCGAATCCACAGATGATCCTTTTTTTGAAAAGCTTTGACATTAACAATTATGGGGAACCGGTTATGGATGAGACACGAGGTGAGACAAAAAGAATGACCTCGAGAGGAGTCAATCAAAAGTCGCGAGTCAATCAAAAGTAGACTTTTGTAATTTCGCTTTTAGTTTACCTTTAAGCATCTCAATTTATTGTTGATAGAAAAGATATTCAGCTGTAAATTCTAGACAAATTTATGGATGTTTAAAGGGTTTAATTCATTCAAAAGTTAAAGGGTTTAATTCTTTTAGAGAAATTCATTCAAAAGTTTCCTTTAATAAACAACAGTTTCCTTTAATGAACAACAGTTTCCTTTACTGAACAACAGTTTCCTTTAATGAACAGTTTCCTTTAATGAACAACAGTTCCCTTTAATGAACAGTTTCCTTTAATGAACAACAGTTCCCTTTAATGAACAGTTTCCTTTAATGAACAACAGTTCCCTTTAATGAACAGTTTCCTTTAATGAACAACAGTTCCCTTTAATGAACAGTTTCCTTTAATGAACAACAATTTCCTTTGAATGTTTCTCTTTTTAAAGGGGTACTTTTGAATGCATTGAATGAACTAAACCCTTTAAACATTCATTCAATTCATTCAAAAGTACCCTTTAATAAGAGAAACATTCAAAGGAAACTCCTGTTCATTAAAGGAAACTTTTGAATGAATTTCTCGAAAAGTTTAGACGAATATAATCAATTTTGATGTAGAAATGACTAAAGTAAATCGGTTTATCAATCATTTAACAGATATGAAATGAAATCAGCTTCGTTTAACAGGTTTTGTATCTTATTGTTAGTTTAACATCAGTTTAACATCAATTAAACCCAAGTTCCAGGTGGTAGACTCAAGAAAATGAATATCCCAATCGATTCCTCGACCTCGAAAACCCCTGGGTACAGCCTTACAGCAATATCTTTTTATTAAATCAACAAAGCCAAAGACAAATCGCAATGCAAATTCCTGGCGAGGCGTTCTTTGTGTGGTCGGGTAATCGCTCGCCGTCTGGTACACGATCCCGATACATAGGTGTTCCCTTTTGATCCCTCGAGCGGAGCGATGACGGGCTCCGCGATTGGTCCAGGTTCATCAGTCGCTATGTCCAGATCCCCGGGAACAATTTTTCACCGAAATTTGGCTATATTTTTCTAGAAAACTCGATTTTTCTAGAATCGGCCCCAATTTGAACTCCTTCTTTTGGTAGAAATTTGAGTGGTAAAAATGACTTTTTCACAACGAAAAAGCTACCGTAAATACTGTAATAGTACCCCACTCCCATAATGACGGTGCGGAGTGTTGCCTAGCCTAGCTTTGAACGAGTTTTTCTCGACACTGGTTTATGTTACAATGCGCGCTTAGGTCTCAAAAAATAGCCCTGAATTTCAGCTATTTTTTGATACCAAAGACACATTTTTTGAAAGTACGGGCGCTTTGAAAAAAATGAAATACTAAAAAACTTTTGCGACTACGCGACTGTACGAGGGCGGTGGGGTATTACTATTACAGTATTTACGGTATGAATTAATCAAAGAAGATCTGGGTTTTGATCTGGTCAAATTTCTGATCTAATTTCGAATCTAATTTCCCGAATCGGATGGATGCTTCAGATGGAGAATTTTAAAGTGGCGAATGCTTTAGATGAAGGATTTTTAAAGTTATTCCGTTTCAATCTGATGTATATGTTATGTTCATTCAAATCACAACAATTTATGCATTTCATTCAACTTCGAGCTTTTCATTTCCCGATTTGTTGTTTCTTGGCAGCCTCGCGGATCTTGGCGCGCAAATCTTCGGGCATTGAAGCGATCACTTCCTAGAAATAGCAGAATCAAAATATTGTAACCTCAATGGGTTGATTTATTTAAAATACGGTTTAACAATTAAACAAGTTTAACAATCGTATTTCAAATACAGTCGAACCTCTCTATAACGTAACTCACGGGACGGCTATAGCTTACGTTATATAGAGGTTTACGTTATATAGAGTGCCGTTTTATATAGCTTAACGTCGGCCGGGACCGGTCACGCCTTACGTTATAGAGAGGTTTACGTTATATCGAGGTTCGTTATAGAGAGGTTCGACTGTAGTTATAACAGTTCTCTATTCCTCACCCTATACTTTGTGCATTTATCCTTGAACGAGATGCCTTTATTCGTGCGAATCGCGTCCAATTTCGTCTGAACTTTATTTCACAACTTGGAGCTAAAGCTTTTGCAACCTTGAACTCCTCAGGAAGTATCTCGTGTGTCGGTGGTGGTGGAAGAGCTTCGATTTTAGCCTGGATTCGATTTTAGCCAGTTCAATTAGTTTATAGAAAAAGACTTACCTGAATATCAGCAGGCAGAGAGAGCAACACTTCGACCATTTTGTCGAAACGAGCCTAAAAAGTTTCGAATTCTTTTTGCCGGAAATTCTTGATTAGAAACTAAGGCAGTATCTTTTAATAAAAACTTTCAACCAAACAATTTTCAAATTTAAATTCCATTTAAACAATTCCAATTTAAATTCTATTTCAATTTTCAAATTTAAAAACGAAACAAACCATGGAATCAATCGAATCATCAGTATGTAAAGCCTTGAATTTCTCTAAAGCATCTGGTGGCAATAAGGCGATGAATTCGGGATGGAAAGTCGCCATTATCGTACGTTGCTAAAACTTCATAGGATTTATAAACATCATTAATTAGTACACGATTGGAAATAGATATCATTGAAGGTTATTGAAGGTTATTGAAGGTTATTGAAGGTTATTGAATGTTATTGAATGTTATTGAAGGTTATTGAAGGTTATTGAAGGTTATTGAAGGTTATTGAAGGTTATTGAATGTTATTGAATGTTATTGAATGTCATTGAAGGTCATTGAATGTCTTTGAATGTCTTTAACACATTTACACCATGACTACAATAGAAAGTCTTTAGAAAAGAAAAGTTGGTCGAGGTCGGTCGAGCATTTCTTGGTCGAATTTCGGATGATCGTCATGGCCAACTGGCTAAGAGTATCTTAGACGTATCTTAGACGGGAGGGGTCAATGGTTCAATCCAGCTGACTAGATCCAATGATCTAGATTCAATAACCTGTATCCAATAAAGAACCAATGTTCTCCTTTACCCGTGTGCCCAGAAGCCGAATGAAATATCCAAAAAATAGAGAAGTTTTCTTTAAAAACTAATAACAGATTCGATGAATTATTTACATTTCTAGGCGCTTCACGTATACCGATGAGCCCTATCGTTACGAATGTGTTAATAAATAAATAAAGGCTATTCTCTATTTGACACTACTTAGCTTCAGCTATTGAAAGTATTATAAAGGGCCCAGTTTCTTATCTCATTACAGTATCCCGAGTTTGTTACATTAGACAAATAAACAAAGAATATAGTAGCTGAAAGTATTCAGCTGATACAACTGAATATCTTTTATTTATAGACGGTATCTTAACTCAACAAAGTTAAGCTAACTTAACTGTAACTCAACAAAAGACTGAACAATTTTTAAGATGCATTAAGATTAAGAAAATATTTTTCCAATAAAGCCTGGTCAAAAAGATTACGGTAATGAAAAAACGAGAAAATTTTTGATTTGTGAATCCCGATCGAGATCTCGGCCCTTTTATAGCACTCATTTTGGAGCTAGGAGACGATTTTTTTTCTGTGAAAGGTTTCCTTTTTTTTTTGGACTTCTGTGCGCGTTGATGCGTTTCCAAGGAGATTTGTGCAAAAAAAAAGCAGAAAACACAAAAAATTGGCCTAAAATCGCAATTATTTTGTGCTTCGGGTATACAGGTGAGAATTTTTTGAGGGGAGATCGCACACTTATAATTTGTCTCATTTTTTTTTTGGTGAACTTTATCGAGGAATTAGCGATTTGACTACAAAAATGACTTTCTAATGAAGTGGGGAAAAGAGCTGTGATTTGTGATTGGAAAGAATGGAAAGAATGGAAAGGATGGAAGGGATGGAAAGGATGGAAAGAGACAGCAAGAATCGAAAGAATCGAAAGAATCGAAAGAATGGAAAGAGACAGCAAGAATCTAGGCTACAGATGAGTTATAAAGATGGGATAGACATTTTGGACATTAGAACGAAAAAGAAACATTTTCGCAGATAAAACACCTATCGTAGCCCCGAATTCTCCGACTTTAACAGCCAAGAACCGAATCAGAAATGATCTTTGTTCATTCTAGAAGCAGTTTCTTTCAAACTCACGAAGATTCGAGTCCGGTTCTGTTCATTTCAGATCTGATTCTGATCTGGTCAGTTCAGTTTATCTTCGTTTAAAAAAAGGTCGATTTTCACTAAAACCAATTCATTTCTACTACAACAATTCTTCTTTTATACATCTGATGCTTGTATTGGGACGCTTTTAGCACGTAACTCATTCAATTTTTTTCAAAATGATCAAGATTTTAGCCACTTCCACACGCCCGGCTCTAGTGAGTTTTGTAACAAAAATACAGCCAATTTAAATTTGAGGACAAAAGGATCTGCATTTGGACTGATTCTCACTAAAAACAAATTGTCAGTGCAGTGATGGTGGTTTTATGTGAAAATCACTCGAGTGTATCGGTTCACCGGGTGTTAGGCTTTTCGGGGTTCTCGGTTGCCTCGGTTATTTGGTTTAGCGGAATTTCTCGCGGGGTTGCTGGCGGGTTTGGGGCAGCATTTTGCCTCAGGGATTCGGGCGCGGGGGCAGCGGGAGCCCACTGATCCTTTCCTTTGAAGAATATCACAGAAAGGAACACCTTTCCATAGGGAACGTGTGCCAGACGTCAAGCGATTACGCGGCCGCACAAAGAACACCTCGCCAGTGGTTCCAAAGGGATTTCTCTTCTCTGTTGATCTCTTTCTCTATTGATGGCCCAAAAACGATATTCAGCTGTAAATTTGTACCCGGGTGGTTTTTGGGGTCGGGGAATCGTTTGGCGCTATTCATTTTATTGCGTCTACTAGCTGGAACTCGGGAACGAGACCTTAAAAAAATACCGACTGGGGCTACCAGTGGTGAATTTATCGCATACACGAAATATATCAATCACAATACAACGACACGCACAATACTAGGCTATATCTTAACTTAACCCACGTCATGACAGACGGCTCCCTAACCCTAAGCTCAATGGGGAACTAAATAGCTTTTTTGGTGGTGAAGGGAAGATGACGATGAAGGAGTGGCTTGTCACTTTAAAGAACTGGGGCCACAACCACCAGACTGCCCTCCAGAAAACCTCTCAACCCGAAGGGAAAGGAAATCCGAAGGGGGTGACCATGTCGCAAACCTTCCGATTAAGATAAAAGACACTTAACCAGTCAGCCACACGTGCTTCTAGGAACTTTTCTCAACAAGCCTTTTTGAATGTCAGACAAAGACATTCATTAGAAGATATTCGTAATTTGTTTAAAGATTCATGATCACAATCTTATTATATCAAGCATAGAACAAGAAAAAGTCTTCAGAAACCCTAGTATACTGTGTTATCTTGTTAACAAACTTTGAGATGAAATTTGTAATTATTTTCAGTTGATGGAGCTTGTTTTAAATGTTTTAAAGTCTAATAAATTGAGCGATGAATTCTAGATATATTTCTAGAAATATATTCAATTCATCGAAATCCATTTGCAAGCTTTCAACAAGACGTCGATCGTATAATATTTAGCCCATCATTAGCCTATTATGTATACTTGTATTTAACAAAAAGCTTGTTATTTTTATTCAATAATTTTCTAGGTTTTATAGCCATCAAACATAGAAAAAGCTATTCTCTTTGTTCGGCAGGAAACGGGAAGATGGGTAGTGGAAGTGGTGGCATTTGGGAGATTGACGAATTCTCGACACAGAATGATCTCAACGAAGCCGAGAGTTGTTTCTTCCATTTTGTTCTGAAACGAGACTTTGTTAGAATTAAAGCAGAAAACTTGTTTGACTTGTTTAAGAGTTCAAAAAATGTGACCTTCGATTCTGGAACCATGTTTTGATCTGGGTTTCGGTGAGGTTGAGTGATTGTGCGAGATGGACCCTTTTGCTTACCGATAGATATTTATCTCTCTTAAGAATTTTATTAGTATACAATATTTGTTCTTTACTTGAAACTCTGTCTCTAAAGTGTCCAATTGTCGTGCCGAATAGGCTTGTCTCGGTTTTCGCTCAACCGCGCTTTTTCGTCCTCGGTGATACTCGTGTTTTCGAGCTGAAATTTGATTGGAATTCATTTAGAGCTCTAGAATTTAAAGCTCATTTAAAGCTCATTTAAAGCTCATTTAAAGCTCATCTAAAGCTCATCTAAAGCTCATCTAAAGCTCATTTAAAGCTCCTCCAAAGCTCCTCTAAAGCTCTTCTATAAGTATTAGAGTTTTGAATCTTATTGTAGATTATTTCAAGAAACTGATAGAAAGAAAAAAGCTTTTGAAGTTTATCTCAAAGCAGCCTGGCCCAAAGCTAGCCTGGCCTCAAAGCTAGCCTGGCCTCAAAGCTAGCCTGGCCTCAAAGCTGGCCTGGCCTCAAAGCTAGCCTGGCCACTTGAAAGTGAATTATCTCGACAAAATGTTTGAGTAATTGCTTGAAAATTTTGAAATTCTTTAATTACCTCTCAATCCTAATAACATTTGTAATTCGATGAGTGATGGATTCGGGTTGGGAACGGGTAATGGAGGGGCAATGGGAAGAAGTGGAGGAAGAGTGGGAAGGCGAGGAGGGAGATCGTGGAGGAATGCTGAAAATGAGCTATAACTGATAGTAGATAAACAAAATGCCGTATTTCTCTTAATAATATGAAATGCCCAGAGGAGTGTCGCGTAGTCGTTGTTTTTGAGGCAATCATTTAGAAAAAAAACTCGAACAAAATCGGTTCAGAGGTTCGCGATAAAAAAAATGATTTAGTGCGTAAAACGACGACTACACGACGCTCCCCATGTCACAATATTAGAAAAAAATACGGTAAGTCTGTAGATTATAGTGGACACTTACGCAGTAGAGTGGGCAGAAGGTTTTGGAATGAAAAAGAAGGGGGAATGTGCGGGAGGGTGAGGGTGGGCTCTTGATCGGATCCCTCGTCATCCTCATTCACTTCACTGTCCCCATCGAGACTTTCATTCTCCAGTAAAAGCGATTCAGTTCTCTCTACAATCAGATATTTCGTTAACTCTAGTTCTCTATAAGATTCTTTCCAATCAGTAACACTTAAAGCGTTCTTTTCGACCCTAAATCGGCCGCAAATCGGGTTCAAACCGATAAACTGATTAAAGAGAGAGTTCTCTTATTGGCTTAAAAACGAAGAAATTGTAAAGCTTGATTGTTTAAATGCATTTATTGGGTTGGTGAATTGAAAACTGCGGGCTATTGTCATATGTGACAGTTTGAGCACTTTCTTCAAAAGAAACCCATTTTGGTGTCAATGGAAAAGTTGTAGAGAATCAAAAATCAAGCTTATATCCAAATTTTCAGAACGATTCAAAAACTGGTTTACAAGAAATGCCAAATTTACGAATTTTCACAAAACTTGCATTTTAAGCGAAACTACTAAGTGTATCTTTTTGCAAATTTGGCTATAAGCCTAATTTTTGATTCTCTACAACTTTTCTATTGACACCAAAATGGGTTTCTTTTGAAGAAAGTGCTCAAACTGGGACATCTCCAGTCCTCCATTTTTGAGTCTCACACTTGTCTCACACACAAACCAAAACCCTACTACGAAAGAGGAATCCGCAAATTGCGTGTAAAATGGGCAGAAGTCGTCAATAATAATGGAAATTATTTGGAATCAATTGATGGTTTTATGTTGAATAAATTTTAGTTCAAAGTCCCGCAGTTGGTTCAATTCACCAACCCAATAGTTTAAAAAAAACAATTTCCATTTAAATCACCTTTTTCCAGCAATTGATCGATCCGAAAAGCCATTCTTGAGTCGATTATTAGATTCAAAAAAAGGTACAATGGTCAAAAAGTTATTTAATTGATTTAAGATTGGTTTAGATTCAGTAAAAGCTTTAGTACTTGAGAAGTTATTCAGTTAAGAGGCAAGTTCTGGAATAATGCAATACTCAGAGATCTCAATCCTTTCTCCTTATTGTTAGTGTGTCAAGCGTGAGAAAGTGAAAAGTGACCCAGCCAAATTTCGGTAAACATTACCTTTCCTAATCTCTAAGCTAACAAGGAATGGCTAAGTAATCAAGTTGAAATTTCTTTATTTCTTTATTTCTTTTCTTCAATTTCCCCTCAATATTCCCATTGCCGGCAATGTTCGTAATTCGATCGGATTGAGAAATTCTCTCTATTTGGCTTTCAATCAGATTTTGCCTTTCATTCAGATTTATTCAAAACTTTCACAAGTAATGAAAGAAATTTCAACTTGATTACTTAGGTATAGATTAAGAAAGATAATGTTTGTTGATCAATGTTTGCCTAAATTTGGCTGAATCCTTCTCACTTTCTCACTTGTGTTCACGAAAAGGTTCACGTTTTGAAGAAATAGTTTTTATTTACAAAGATTCATCTTTTGAATCTCTCCGTCACTCCAGCAATTCATCCGTTTCATTTATTGAAGAAACTTCATGATCATCTCTCTGCATTGGTGACTCCTGAAAGAGTTTCAACTTGAAAGTTCAAAATAATCTAATCAAAATAATCAAAATAATCAAAATAATCAAAATACAATCCCCACATTTGCACGTCAACTATAAAAATCTTAAATAATTCTATTTTCTACATTTGAATAAGGACTTTGAGATGTAACTTTGCTCTTTCTCTCCTTCTCTTCTTCTGATAAATAACTCTAAGCACTCGATGTTGAACTTACTGATGAAATTTCTTGAATCCCTTGATGAATGTACGCGATTCGAACCCATTCAATTTCTTCAAGACTCTTCTTCACGATGCCCTCCATTTTTCCAATCTCCGAAGATAGATCTGTTTTAAAAGTTACCTAAAATCTATATCTTTGTCTATACACTGAACTTTTTACAGTATACCTCAACAATACATTTTTCACCGGTATGAAAGACGAGGAGATCATCAACAGTAATACCCGAAATCTCGTTAAGAACCTAAAACGTTTGTAAAACTTTAAAAACTAAACTAGCTAGCTTATCACATTACAATATGCTGAATATCTTTTAACTTCTTTAATTAACTAAGGTGAAAGATGTTCATTCTTGTTTGCTAAAGCCTGTTTGCCTTTTGAAATTTTTCCCGACAAACCTTCATCACCGCTTCTTTTCTCCATCCAGCCGCTTGTATCCCATGTACTTTATTGCAATTGGTAAACAAAATCGGTAACCAATTCCAGAAAATCATCGCAAAGATCAAGACGGCTCCAAGTAGATCGAAATGCTTGAAATCGAAATGCTTTTCTATAAAAATCTATCTTATTCACAAACTTTATCAATATATCTTGTCAAAAGAGCAAAAGCGAGAGCGGTTGAATTCGTCAGAACATCCGTTCGTTGATCTTTCGATAAAACGTTCACTTGTTCAACGTCTTTTCTTCTAAAAGATCTTTATGATTTCATTTTTTAACTTCAAACTTACAAGATACAAATTATGTATAACCCAAGTTTTAATAAAATGTTTAGCGAGATCACAAGCAAGTGCTCTTTCTCAAGGCGAGGATCGAAGCGATTCCCTGTAATGACGATATGAACAATAGATTAATAAAATTTCACACTCACCAAAGAAATTATCGACCGAAATGATGCCATTGACACACGCGAGTACCAGCATCACAACTGAAGCTACAACCTAAATAGCTAAATAGCTTTTTTGAGGCTTTTTTCGTAGAGTTTGCAAATGAGGTTTTCAAAAATTCTAAACTAACTAACTGAATTCTTACATTTGAAAGACTCTCACTGGAGCGTCCTCTTGGGTACTGAGGTGCACCGAAACACGAGTTCCCCTGAAAGCGATTTGATCGGTCTACAAGTGTATTTGAAAGGCTGATTAGCTTGTAAATGCATTCGCTTAAATGAAATTTTCCTAACAATTTGCTCAGTTTACCTGAATTCTTGTGATCAAGATCAACGCTCCCACAAAAACATCTCCAAAAGATTCAATCGTAGAATTGGCAATTGAAAATGAGCCCGTGGCATAAGCGACAACACCTGAACGAATTGTATATCAAGTTAGTAGAAATAAAATAAAAAGTTGACGTACTTGAAAGTTAAAAATGAACAATTTTTGCCATTCGAGAGATTTAAAGCTATTAAAAGCACTCACCTTTCACTGAAACCAGTAAAATATTCGACAAATTCACAATGACGATAATCAATAAAGCGTGCGCATTTTTGTTAGCCCAAAAGCGACGCTAAAATCGATTTTTTTAAAAATCCCAAGTTGGTGACGGTTACTTTATTCGGTAAACTCGTCAAACACCCTTGGTTCTTTGATGATTTTGTCGGCGAGTTGTTCAAATTCATAATAGTGAATCAAATTTCGTGCCTTGTGAAAAACCTATCAGTCTTACACACTTTTGATAGACTGGGAAAATCAAAATATGGCTTCTCCCCCACAAAATTTGATCCTTTCAGCTGATAACCCGGGGGTCTCGGCCGCCTGATAGAAAGAAAGATCAAGGGACAACCCCGCTTGTACACAGATGTTTTTCTTGGTTGAAAAAATACATTTGTAAAAAGTGAAAATTTCTCCACTTGTATGAATTACTTGTTCGTTTGGCAAGTTATAAACGTGATTTTGGATGCTGCAAAGATATTGCTAATTTGATTTTTTTGTACATTTATCGTGAACATGAAAATACATGTAATAAAATCGACTTATTCCGCTATAAGTGACGTAAGTGAAGTTGAAAGCGTATTCGAAAGTCGAGCTCGGGCACGGAAAGCATCAGCGAGGGGTTTCTTCTAAAAAGAGAACATTGAACTAGCACTATGTAAAATAAATGTCTTACTCAAACATAGAAAAAGTATTGCAAAAAGTTGAAAGTGAAAAAGTGATTTAAAGTTTACCTTTTCAAACTTCTTGAAATAGCTGGCAAGTTCTTCCCACATAGGCGTCGAGCCATCTGCGGCGAAATCGAGAAGTGGACACCAGTTGTAATGTTGAGATGCAGGAGGAGTGTCGGTGGGAAGAATTGAAGGCACACAAACACGAGCGCACAGCCCACACTCAACTCTAAAATCGAATCTTCGAAACGAAATAATAATAAGGCCCCTTTGTTAAAACGTAAATATTTGCAAACAAGCTCACTTTTTAGGATTCTTAGTAATCGGAATCCATTGTAAAACGGCAAAAGACGCAGCCGGAAGCTCAGCGTCGCTGATTTCTCCGAAAATCTCAGTTAACAATGATTTGAAAGCGGAATCTTCATACTAAATTATATTTTGCAAAATTTTTAGTGTAAAACTAAGACCTTGTACTTCCCAAAGTCTACTCTCTTCAACTCCTCAAATGTTATTCTATAGAAAAGTTTCAACGAGTCGATCGAATCTCTAAAAGGTATACGTAATTTCAAGAGCCTAAAATAAAAACCTGAATTCCGAAAAATAATCCGCTGATGGTGATCGAAAGACGCAAATGTTTTCATGAGCGTTCACCAGTTTCTCACGAACGTGTCTAAAATAATTAATTTTAAAAATTCGGTAAATTATTCCACTTGACACAAGCGATGTACGTCGCAACCAAACATTCTTTAATATCCGGAAGAACCGTACTAATAATTTTTGAGCATGATGCACACTCGACTAACTCAGAACCTAAAATATATGCAGATTACGAAAAGAAGTGTTTTAGTATATACCTTTCATAACCCATCCATATTCAGCAAAATCCCGTGGTGAAATCTCCGGAATGGCTTTCCATTTTAAACTCTAAAAAGTAGATAAAACAACTATTGGAAAGAAATTAACACCGTAAAAGTGGCAACCCGTCTCTTGTACCCGTTCATATAATTCTCGCTTCTTCTTCGCCTAAAAAAAATAAATAAGTAAACATTGTGTTTTTAAAAGCACCGTTTGTTTTGTTCTTGTTCAACGGGCGGACTGGTGGCTTGTCGAATTTGGGCCAGAAGTTCTTGGGCCTAAAACAAAACAGTTAAAACGGAAAATTAGTTATAAAATCAATTAAAGTTCATACAAAAACTAATTTAGGTTTGACTTTGAAACAAACACTAGCCTTTCGCTTGTGCGAGAGAGCTCGTTCGATGTTTGTCGTCGGTGTGGGCGTCGCTTCGAAGCGTTTGCTCGGTGATTCGGTTGTTGTCGATAGCAGCTGTTCTTCATTTTCTTCCACCATTCTAAAAACCAAATAGATTATAAAATTGAATGTTTAGAACTAAAATAACGGCAGAAAATAAAAAGGTGCGTGCTGGAAAAGAAAGATGATTGAATGAGAAGTTTGGCAGCGTTTAAAATTTTTCAGTCAATTTAAAGTTACTCATTTCCTTAGCTGAGTAGTCTAAATTGAGTATTGCTCTATAAACACCTGCGATCAAGAGAATTCACTATCCGTTAACAGAGCTACTATTAAATGAAGTTTCGAGCTACTACTTGCGCCTTTGCACAACCAGAACTAATGCTCGCATAACAATTAAAAATTAATTTGCCGTGAGCAACATGTTGAACCGAATGTGTCGCTCCTTGATTCATAATTCACCGAAAGCAGTCATCCAGCCATTGGATTGATTTAGATATGGAAACCCTCGGAATAGCTTGTCGTCGATTGGCCTTCACAACAAAAGCATCGGGACGGCGAATTTCCACACAGAAAGCACTCGCCACTCGATATGATCCGCGAGTGTTCCGTGATCCGATAATCAAACTAGATGAGGTGGGTTTTGTTTTACGTTTTACGAAATCCTCAATTTTTTGTGTTCGGTAAAAATATAAGAAGCTTATTTAGCCGATGATTATTCAATTCTTTTTAAAAGGTGATTTGCTTTCAGTTGAACAAAAAACTTGCACCGGAAGATGAGAAAAACTTCCTCTACATAAAGGCGATGGAAAGTGACGATACACCAGTTTTCTACAGGTTTTATTAGATTTTTGTCAATTATTAATTGGTTTTAGAAACGAAGTAGTCGACAAATTGGTGCGAGTATGCATGAAAGACGGTGGCAAAGAAACATCGAGGAATAACATTTTTTCAGCTTTGGAAATTGTAAGTTCAAGCCTCATTGGTCTTTTACAATTTTCTTTATTTAATTTTAGATCAAAAGGCGACAATATAAGTTATGGCGAGAAGCACCAACAGAGGAAGAAAAGGTAATTATTTGACTGTTTATTGAAAAATATAAATGTTTAGGCAAAAATTGAAACAAACCCCTTCAAAGTTGCAGAAAAGGGAATTAAGAATTGTCATCCGTTAATGAAGTTGATGCCGGTGACAAGAGGTAATTTTTATTCGATAGACAAAATTAAATAGTTTTTAGGAGGTACCACTTATCGGGTCCCATTTCCAATTGAAGAAAAAGAAGCTGAATTCCGAGCGATGAAAATGTTGGTTTTATTTTATCATTTTAATGATATGCACAAATTTGCCGTCTGTTGTTTATTTTTTCTGTATTTCATTTATTTTAGGATGCGGGATATTTGCCGAGGCAAAGCGAAACACTCGAAAATTTTGCACTTTGGGGTGAGCTTTTTTGAAGTTAAATTAGCAACTAAAACTAAAAGTTAAAAAAAATAAAGAGGTTGTTAAATTACTTTCTACAGATAGCCATTTTTCTTTAGGATTACATTGCAAATGAACTACTCGCCGCTTACAACAATGAGGGACAAACGATACAGGCCAAGCAAGAACTCCACAAACAGTGTGAAGCCAATCGAGCTTATGCTCATTATCGTGGATAATTTTATTTCTTTGCCTCAAAAGTTCTTTTTGTCTTTGCTCTTTCGAATACAGGTATTGTTATCATTTTCAATTTTGTCTTTGTCATTTATCCCGTTGCTTTTTGTTTTAGATTAGGTTTAGGTCTAGATTATGAATTGTTTTTTTCTTGTTATCGAGAGTTGTTTAATTGTGGAAATAAATGGATTACACAGCTTAATTCTTTTAAAAGATGTATTCACTTTTTAATATCGATTTTACTCTTGTCGACTTATCGTTGGGAAATTTGTTAATGTGTGCATTTTAGATGTCGCTAAACACCTCACACCTGGCCGAATATGAGCAACAATACTCTATACAGACTGCAGAGGTTTTTATTTTATGAAGTTTTAGTGTTGGTTTTATTTTTAGGTTACGGCACAAATAGCGGCCATGCAACGAGCCAAGCCCGAGGAGCGTCCAAACATTGTTCGGGATACGAAGAAAATGCTGGCTCAGGTTAGTGCCATTTGTCTTAACTTGTATGTGATTTTTAGGTAAATGATCTTTTGGACCAAATGGAGCTGGCAGTCCGAGATTTACCAGCTGGAAGGTATTTTTCCATGCTTTAGCCCACATTAGAAATGTTTTAGCGGGGAGCGTTCAAAGTTCGAGATGCGAGTCCGTAGTTACAAACAAGACAAACGACAGCTTGATGGAGAACTCGATAAAGCGGTTAGATTTGTTGTGGAATAGTAAAGAATGAGTGACAAGAGTTAATAAAAATACTTTAGATTCAACGCGCCCGAGAAGAGGCGGACCGCGGGGAGTTATTTTCGGAAGAAGCTGATGCACAGGTAAATTTTTGGTTGTTTATATTCATTTTAAGTTTTATTGGTAAAATTGCCTTTATTTAACAATCTATCAATTTAGGAAGACCAACTTATCGCAAACACTCAACGCCTAGAAAGGACGAGTCGAAAAATACAAGATGCTTACAGAATGGTTGTTGAAACAGAGGAGGTAAGTATCCAAATGAAAGACTGCCAGTTACTATTGATTTTGAGTCTATCAACAACTAAATATTAAATGTTTGGTTTTAGATTGGGGTCGAAGTGTTGAACAATCTTTCGTCACAAAGGGAAACAATTGGACGATCGCGGGATCGAATGCGCGAAGCAGACGCGGATTTGGGACGAAGTTCTCGACTGCTGAATATTATGATTCGCAGGTAATTTAGAGCTAATGGTATCCTTTTACAGGCTTTAAATATGCAACTTTTTCTTTTTAGAGTGATTCAAAACCGATTGCTTGTGCTTGGAGTTGCCGTCTTCCTCATGTTTGTTTTGTTATTTGTGGTGTGGAAGTCAATATGAATTACTTTAATAATATGAACATTTACCCTTTTCTTCCTTTCTACATTGTGATCTTGTTGAGGCCATATTTTAGTTACTATTCTGTACATAATCATTTCTTCGTTTCCTATCCGGTAGATCTGCTTTAAGCGTTTCTTTTTACTGCATCTTTATTAACTAACTTTACATAAATAAAGTTTAACATTAATAAGTTTATGGTTCAATAAAATCACATAGATATACAAGGCATCAATGGGAAAAACGATTTGAGCATTTATGCAAAGCTTATTTTGGAGCCGCCACCTGGAGGGACTTTGGCTCTTGTTCCGTTTTGGATTTCCGAAATTTTGGCTGCTGCCATCTCTTCAACTGGGGCTCTTTTCACGGCTCTTGGTTGAATAACCTGCAATTTTTGAAAGTTTTGTGGTGTCAGAGTATGAAAAAGTAGTACCTTCTCTCTTTGTTGAACAGCCGCAAAGACATAGGGACAGTATGGGGGAAGGTGAACGAATTTCCCCGCTCCTCCTTCCACTGATAGTTGGCCATCCTCCCAAACAATCTAAATGGGTCGTTTGCTATTGGTTATAGTGTTGTTTTTCTTTACATTTCCTCTAGAGATAGTCATCTCAGCGACTCCGTGGACTTCTTGACCCTCGAAGATGTTGTAGTCGACGGCTTGGTGGTGGTGATCCTGAAAAAGGGTTTGTTTACGGTTTGTCTCAATGTTTACAGTCTACAAGCGTAAATCTTCATTACAGATCTATGTCATATGTGTTTGGGATGGGTTTGTTTTGATGTTTACGACTTTGAGTCACATTAAACCGGCATCAATGAAACGATTCCGTGAAGTTGATTCATTTTCAAACCTTCGAGATCACTTTCGTTGCTTTCGCATTCCAAATGACAATGTCTGCATCGGATCCGACAGCGATTCTGCCCTTTCGCGGGTAAATATTGAAAATCTTTGCACAAGTCGAGCTAAAACCGATTGTTTACGTGATGATTACTGGGAATTTTCCGGAACCTCGTAACAGCAACGAATCTCATTGGATCCATGACTCCCCTATGCACTCCTCTCTCCCAAACAATCGACATCCGATCCTCAACTCCGTTCACTCCATTCGGGATCTAGACGGAATTTTTGGTTTTTCGACGTAATTGATCTCAATACCTTGGTAAAGTCGTGTTTACCGGCGAGCTTTTGTTGACAATTCTGCAATTATCTCATTTGTTGGAGTTTTGATTTAGAACTTACAAAAGTGCAATTGTCTGTGCCGACCAGATGGAGTTCGCCGCTGAAATTTCTTTGATAAAGAAGAATTTGATAGCTTTGCGGTTCTAAAAGAAGCAACTATCTACTGAACTGTTGTCTAATATATTGACAATATAGAAAATATTGTTCTACGTCAGATCAGGCAATGTCTGGCTTGAATCAAGTGCTTAGGATAATCAGAAGAATCAGCACTAAGTGCTAATCAGAATTAGAATTCCAGTTTTAGAGATTGTCAAGTTGAACAAATGCTTATCGTCACCACTAACTTGAGTAATTAAATCAATAGATGAAAAACAATGAAAAGTAGAATGATTTAAGATTACTTTACAGACTAACAATTGAGACGAATGTAAGCAAATGAAAAAAAATGAAGTGGCGGTGCCTACTTTCCGCCAAACTTGCCATAACTTTCTTCTAAGTGAGCTAATCTTTATGATTTTAATGCCATTTTGTTGCACTTGTTGAGATCTACAAAATGATATTAAAAACAGAAAGATTGACTGATTTAGAAGAAAGTTATGGCGAGTTGAATAACTTTTCTTTACTTAAATGCTTGTCTAAGGTAGTTCGAGCGTTGTTTAGGATTAAGACTATTCCGTGACAGTCACAGCTACAGAATCCTGTCAAGAACTTTGCACTAACCAAGCCAGCAATTTCATGAGCGCTTCGGGGGTGGTCGGGTCTCGGCTGAGTGGAGGCGACATCACGTGTCGAGCCGCAGTCAACCAGTCCTCCGAATAATAATGACTCCCGTCGGTTCCCAATCCAGCCGCGATCGGCTCACCGAATACAACGGATCCTAGAATAGATTGGCTACTGTACTTTTAGAAGGTCTTGGTCTTCATTTCTATGAATCCTCACCCTTTTGTCGATGATGCGCAATTGCGCGGGCGGCTCCTTTGCTCATCACATGCACAACATAGAGGGGACAATTCGCTTGTCCGGCTAGCACACAGGCTCTGTTTGTGGCCTCCGCTTCTAGCTGAAATGAGCTTTGAGCTTCTAGTCGTCTATCTGTCTGTCTATCTGTCTGTCTATCTGTATGTCTATCTGTCTATCTATCTGTCTATCTATCTGTCTATCCATTCCCTCACCTCTTCCGGCCTGCTCTGTGTGTGCCCTTCGGGTCCTGTAATTCCCATATCCAACAAAGCTTTCGCTTTTTCTGCAATCACTGGCCCATTCTCGGCATGAACCCTTGCCAAGGCACCAATCTAAAAGAAGATTAGGTTTATTTTTGCTTTTTGAAATTACTTTAGCACATTGTAACATTCCTTGATAGAACTCGTCATCTTGCACCATGAAGACGCCTTTGTAGGCGAGGAAGAATTTGAAGGAGTTGATTCCTGGAATTGATAAGATGGGAAGTAATAGATGAAACATTAAGCTTCAAATCTATTACCATATTCAGGCATGGTGACCATTTGCATTTCTTTCGAAACCTCTTCATTCCACGTGGTGATCGCCATCGAAAGAGCGTAATCGCAACAAACCTAACAAAGAGTTTTTGAATCTACACAAGTCAAATACAAAAATATTTTTCTTTATGCTGTTTATGTAATGCTTAATATCTTTTTCCAACGAACCTTAGGATCAGCCCAATCTCTCCACTGTTTGTAAGCCTTTAGCGGAGTCGAGTCTTTGCTTGGAATCACGAAATCGATAATCTAAAAGGTTTCCAAAGGTATTAAATGTAAATTTTCTAGAAATTTGCCAAAATCTGCTGACCATAGTCGTTCCTCCAGCTAGAGCGGCTCGAGTTCCCGTGTAGAAATCGTCGACGGCCACCTCGCCCATAAATGGAAGCTGAAATTTCTTGTTTAACAACAGGTTTATTGTTTTTCTGCTTTTGTTTTTGATACAAATTGATTAGTCTATTGGTAGAAAATCTACGAGTGAAAGCCTGATGAGCCTTGTCCCAATCTACGAGTGTAAGCCTGATGAGCCTTGTCCCAATCTACGAGTGAAAGCCTGATGAGCCTTGTCCCAATCTACGAGTGAAAGCCTGATGAGCCTTGTCCCAATCTACGAGTGAAAGCCTGATGAGCCTTGTCCCAATCTACGAGTGCAAGCCTTAGAGCCTTGTGCCAATCTACGAATGCAAGCCTGATGAGCCTTGGGCGAAAGACAGGTGAAAGTCAAGCGAAAGTTTGATACAACAAAACCCCAGTTATTTTCTTTGATAATTTCCAAATACTAGAATTGAAAATATTGAATGAATGTGTGTACCTGCATGTGAGTGTGTGGATCGATGCCTCCAGGGATCACCAGTCGACCGTCCGCCTCCACCAAGACAGCTCCCTCGGAGTGCAGATTCTGACCAATTTCCCTGGAAATGGAAATTTGGATATGAAAGCAACAGAAAAGTAAATGTTGTGTGTGAAAGGAAATGTGATTAAATTTAGAATTAAATTTAGAATTAAACTTCGAATTCCTTGTGTTTAGGGTACTTGAACTACTACCTTTCCCATCAGCAGTCTAAATTTAAGCTCAAATTTCTTGGTGTTGGGCTTTTCAATTAAAATATTTTTTGTACCAATCGACATCCAATGATAGCAATAGTTTATGAATTGAAAAGCCGAACACCAAGAAATTTGAGCTTAAAGTTAGAATTGTTGATGGAGAGGGTTGTTGATGGAGAGTACACGGTGAACTCGAATGGCCAACTTGCCTATCAACTAAAGGTATTCAAAGTTGTTTTAGCTCAAATTCAATTAAGATTGTGTCAGTAAGAGTGTCAAATTTCCGAAATCCAACTTACACAATTTTCCCATTCTTCACCAGCACATCCGCTTTCAAAATCTCGTCATCGTTAACGATCGTTCCATTCTTTATCAGTAACGCTTGAGACATTTGTGTAATTTAAGTGTGATTCTGAAAGAGTTCGTTTAAAAGATAAAGTAATAAACAATAGAAAATGTAAGTATTTAAAACTTTTTATATAAAAAGAGACTAAAATAAAAAGTTGTTAAGTAAAAGTTAAGAAAATTGAATAAGAAAAAATAAAATTCTCAGTCTTTTATATCTAAAACTGTTAAAACTGAATATTTGTAAAAATTTGTGAATAGCGTCGCCTAAATTCCTCGAAATCTCGAGAACCGCTTATCAGAACCTATCGATGTGGGGTCGGAAAATGTAGCTGACGATGAGATCTTGTGGGGGATTAGAGGGTTGAGCTTCTGGGGAAACTTTGGAAGCCGTAAATAGTCATCAACTCGGCTCGCTGCGGTGCACTACTATTAGAGATCACTATGAGCTGACGATGAGATCTTGTGGGGCATTTGAATGTTAGACTTCTGCAAAAGCTTGAAAACCGTAAATAGTCACCAAGCTCACTACTATTAGAGAAAATACGGTACGCTTTATTCAGTTGAATAGCGACAAAACAAGATCACAATAATTACCCAGGACACCACTCAAAGCACACCCAAAAGATAAATAGATACATCAAGAAAGAATCACAGAGCCGACAAATCAATTGCCGAAATTGCGGCTTTAAATCTAGCCAAGAATATCACGAACATGACGGGGTAAAAGGTTCCAGAATTTAATAACTCGATTAAAAAAGAAACTGTGGGGGCTTTTAGAGGAAATGGAAGAGAAAATGCCTCCTTTTCTCATACGCCAACCCTTGAAATAAGAAAAACCATTTTAGATCTACGTAATTGTCTTTATATTATAATTGCTTGATTGTCAGAGTATGGCGCCAGATATTCGGATTTGATCTGTGTAAAGAAATGTGAAAGAAAGACTGTGAAAGATCGGACATCAGAAAGTTCAAATCAATCCGATGAGAGACAAAAATTCATTGAAACAATTGAATTGATTGATTTCGGGAGTGGGCTTTAGTGAAAGATAAATGACTAATTATAAATCAAATCAATTAGCTTTAGAACTGATTTATTCGGCTGTTCAGAAAGTTTTTTCCGTTTCTTTTCATACTTCCGTTGAAAAATAACAAATTCTAAATAAATTTGGTTGATTTTCTCTAAATAAAACGTATTTATCGTTCAATTTCCCATCTTTTTAAGTCAATTTTGGTTCTTGCAAGTCTTGCAAGCAAATTCGAGAGTGAAAACACGCTCTAATTATGCTTTAAGGCTTGTAAGCTTGAAAAAACGAAGTTTGACGACTGAAATTTAAAAAAAAAAAAAATAAATAATACATTTATTGAAAGCCAATAATGTGATACAAACAAAGGATACATAATAAGACATAACGGTCTAAATACACAATTTTTATGGCACTGCGGCCGTTACCCCTATTGTCCCTATTACCCAAATGTTGTGAAAGAAAAAACCCACTTGGTGGGAAAAAGAAACATTTTTATCTTGCCAGCGTGATTGAACCCTCGACCTTCCGCTTAAAAGACAAGACTTCTAACCGGTCGGCCATCTGGCCTTCTACAAGTGATATACAAGTGATAGAAAGGAGTAGTTAGTTTTTGTAGAATTCTTTATCTGAAAAAACGTTAGTAAAAAACGTTTTTTCTTTCCTTTTCATACTTTCATTGAAAAATAACCAATTCTAAATAAATTTGGTTGGTTTTCTTTAAATAAAACGTATTTATTGTTCAATTTCTCATCTTTTTAAGTCGATTTGAATTCAATTACAAGCAAATTCGAAAGTGAAAAACGTGTTTTTCGTAAAAATCTATAAAAACCTCTAAAAAAAAATTGGCTGAATGAATTTCTCTGAAAATTTGGCTATACACCTAACTTTTTGTGCTCTATCTTTTATCTATTGACACGAAGATAGGTTTCCTTAGTTAAAGTGTCTAAACTGCATCATCGAGTCATCTTCCGACTTTATGCTTCCAAAAAAATCCAGACATAAGACATTTTAAACCCCCTTTTTATATTATTTGGCAGAAAAATAAATGACTTTTCTAATGAAATAAACTTTCGAATTTTAAAAAAAAAAATACCGACTGGGGCTACCAGTGGTGAATTTATCGCATACACGAAATATATCAATCACAATACAACGACACACACAATACTAGGCTATATCTTAACTTAACCCACGTCATGACAGACGGCTCCCTAACCCTAAGCTCAATGGGGAACTAAATAGCTTTTTTGGTGGTGAAGGGAAGATGACGATGAAGGAGTGGCTTGTCACTTTAAAGAACTGGGGCCACAACCACCAGACTGCCCTCCAGAAAACCTCTCAACCCGAAGGGAAAGGAAATCCGCAGGGGGTGACCATGTCGCATGTGGGGTTCGAACCCTCGACCTTCCGATTAAGATAAAAGACACTTAACCAGTCAGCCACAATTTGCTTGCAAGTGAACCGAAATCGACTTAAAACCGTAGTTCAATTGATAAATTTGTTGATTTTAAAGAAACGAAAAGATTTTCTGATTTTCTGAACAGCCTAATAAATAAGTAAATTAGCTTTTTGAACTGATTTAGGAGTGAAAGATTTTGCTTTACTTTTGCTAGATGAAGGCTGAAAGTGCAAAAAAAAAGCTAAAGAAGCTAAAGAAAAAGCTAAAGAAAATTTCCAATTGAAAATGAATTATCGAAAGAAATCTATTAAAACAATATCGAAAATCTTCTCAATATTCAATATTTAGACTCATTTAAGTACTTTTTGTCTGTAACTTTGTAAGATTTTTCTAGTTACAGGAAAAGGGAATGAACCGCCTCGTGAATGGTCTTTAGCGATCAGTTTGCTCTTTGGATATGAGAAATCGGGGAAAGAAAATTGAGTAAAATAGGGAAAAATAGGGAAAAAGAAAGGAACTTTGCGAAATATTGTGGAAAATGCACAGAAAAATACCGGTTAGATGTGCAGAAGAGATTTTGAAAAAAAGAGGGGAATGAAGGTCAATGAAAACAGTAGAAAACTGTTGAAAAAGAGCGGATTTTGAGGGATTTCCTGAGGGAAATTTGTAAAAGAAAAGAAAAGAATAACAATGAATTGAAGAGAAAATAGAAATAATAAAATAATCATAAGAAAATTCTCGAAAATGAGCGAACGTCAACGAAACAAAAATCATTTGTGTGGCGAATTTGGTTCATTTAAAGGAATTGGGATAAATATTTATGTAATGATGGGTTCTAGAGAAATGAATTGTTAGAAATATTAGAAATATTTTTTTTTAAAGTTTAGCAAATAAGTTGATGAATTTATGACGTGTTGAGTCTATTTGAAAATCAAATTTCTATTTGACGATTTGTCTTGTTAGTTTTTCCATTAAACCAGAGTTCCAGTTGTTAGACTCAACAAAATGAATAGTTCCAATCAAATCCTCGACTTCGAAAACAGCTTTACAGCTTTACAGCTGAACATCTTTCCTTGGGTCATCAACAAAGCAAAAGAGCAATATAAATGACTGGCGAGGTATTCTTTGTGTGGCCGGGTAATCGTTCGCCTTCTGGCACACGCTCCCGATAGATACCTGTTCCCTTTTCTTCCGCTCATCTGAGTTCCTTATTGCAGCCGAACATCTGAGTAGCCGAACTTCGACTTAACGAATCACTCAAGACTGAAGACTTCGATACAACGAACCAAAGATGTGCTTCAAATTTTCTGCGTAGTTTCCCTGGACGGCCAATTTTTGCATTTGATTGAGGCAGCTACGCAGAAATTTTGGGCAGAATTTCAAATTCATTGTATCCGAGTCCGACTGTATATCAATAATCTAGTCCGGAATGTATAAAACCCTTCTCAAAAAGACTATAACGAAGAATTTGATCATCACTATGCCCAATTTCTTGTTTAAGTTCAATTTTGGGCCCCAATTTTGGTTAGCATGGCTTTAGCTTTTTACCCCTCTAATTCTAAATGCTGTTAAGCCAGAACTAGATGAGATATTCAAGGTTGGAACTGACTGAAGAGTTATGGTTGATAGCAAGATTGATAATATGAATACAAGTTTTTTAAGAACATCTAGCCAATATCGAGTTGTTGGCTGTCCCAGTCGATTGATAATCGTTGCGGTGTGCGATCGAGATCAAGGTCATCGAAACAAAAAATCAAAGAAAAGAAGATGAGATAAAGAAGTAAAGAAATTTACAGTTTCAATATTGAAAACTAAAAATTGATGGCATTTTTGATCATTTGAAAACTCTTTGAAAAAGGCTATTGCTTTTTGATTGTTAACTTTTGATTGAGTCAGTTTAACCACAAAGTTAAAGTGTACTTTGTGCTGAAAACTGTAACCACACCGTTTCTAGTGCACTGAATTCTCCATATTTCTATTCAGATTCAGGATCTCTATTGGAAGAGAGGGGAGATTTGGTGTGCCGGAAAAGATGTGTTTGACTATTTTTGTGGATAAAGTACAAGCTATTGTCTAAATTGAAGCATCAACTGTTGCATTTGGCTGGAGCAGCTACGTCTAAATTGAAGCATAAACTTCTTCAAAAAGTTTCTCTACATCAATTTCTTTGATACTTTTTTAGGTTTTCTGTATTTGACATTATCAACTCAACATTTATTATCTTAATCAAAAAAACCATATGACGAAAGAATTGAAAGCAAAAAAAAGGGACTGGGTTTGGGCAAAAAAAAAAAAAAGAAAACTTTGACAAAATGAAAAATCCAGAACTGACTTTGGCAAAGCTGATGGAATGTAGGCAAAAAAAAGGGTTTAATAGAGAATTTTCAGGGAAATTTTGAATGATTTGGCTAAAGACGAAAAAAACGAAGCTCTTTATGGAGAAATGAAATAAAATGCACTTAAAAACTTATGAAATAAATTTAGATTTAAACATTGAAAGCTTTTTTTTTTGACAATTATAGCTAGTGTGTGCTGTAGCTCCCTTGGTAAATTATTGATGGCGAATGGAAAGAATGAAGAAAGAAATGTTCCCGAAAATCGAGGGGAAATCGTGCTAGAAGAGTTTGACAAATTGAGGAAAAAAGTTTTTAAAAACAAAGAAATCGTTTTCTAAAATCTGGGCCTTTTTTTGTAAAATTTTGATTTTAGGGAAGTTGTGAAAAGTTGTGAAAAGTTTGTGCAAAAAGTGGAGGTGAATTGAGGGGGGATTGGTTCGGTAAAGTGGATTGAATGGCTTCAACTTTTGTTAGCTTTCAAAGCTTAACAAAATCAACGCAAAAGTATAATAGATTTGTAGGTTTGTAGTTTTGTAAGTTCGTAATAGGTTTGTTCCATAAAATGGCCTCAAAAACTGATCTTGAAACCAGTTCAAATAACTTGGTTGAGATTGAGTAAAAGCATTACTCTTCTCTAAAAGAAGATCAATCGAATCAAGCGGGATCTTTGTCAATAAATTGAAGATCGATGAGAAAAGCTAATTCCTCGTGGGGATTGGAGTGGAGAGAACTTTTTTTTGTCTTTTCCCGATCTCTCAAGAATAAATGAACAGCTGGTCTCTTTACTCAGATCAAATCGGTCAAAGAAATCAATTGATGGGGAAAGGATCTTAACAAAAGATCTCCACAGACTATCTATGCAATCTAAAATGTTATTAGCAAGTTTTAAAGCTTGATGACTTGGTGATGACTTGGTTCTTAAAAAGCTTTAACTTTTTAAGAACCAAGTCATCATCTGCCTATGAATAGTCCTTTTCAAGCCGTGTCTAGAAAAGTTTGGTCTAAAAAAATCTTTAAAGATCTGAAAGATCTATAAATCCCTTTAAAAGCTTAAAAAACTTGAGCTCCTAAGATGTCTTGTAAGATTACCGTAAGATTCATTTATTATTTAAAAACTATTATCTAAAAGATAAGCTAGCTGAACCTAAAGGACAGATCAGTTCAATCAAAAGAAAAGATCAGTTTCATCAAAAGAACAGATCAGTTCCATCAAAAGAAAACAGAATCAAAAGAAAAAGAAAAGAAAACAGATCTCCTTGAGTAAACAGAACCACCAAAAATCCCTCAAATCTCTCAAAAAATCAAATCCCAATCAAAGAATAAAGATTTTGAAATCCCAATATTCCAAAAAAATCAATATTCAGTTTCCCTGGCCACCTGGCGTAAAAACAAACACTGGGAAGGGAATTGCCATTGGCTTTTTGGAAATTAACTCCATCATTGACAATCCTATGCTAAAATCTTTACCGAACCAATTCCAGGGTATAAAAAATCAAGAATAAATAATTGAAGTGTAATCTTTTGTCCAATCGTCGACTACCAAAGGCCTGTCGTGCGTCCACCGGGCGGATTCCGAGTGCGCGCTTGTGGGCGGTCGTCACCTGAAAATTTCGATTCTTTTGGAAATTTCTGGAAGATTGACTTAAGCTTATAGATCAGTAAATACTAATTCTAGATCTTAAGCTAACTCTTTTTGCCTGACAAACCTTGTCCACCAAACGAGATACTACTCTCATTGTGACTTCGTCGTGGGCGAGCGGTTGGCGGTTGATTCTCGCCGAATGGAGAGGCTTCTCTCTTTGGTCCTCCTCCACCACCACCATTTGTCACCGTCATTCCATCGGATCGATCGACTTTCTCGAAGTTTGACGACTGAAATACAAGTGATAGAAAGGAGTACTTAGTTTTTGTAGAATTCTTTATATCTTGTCCAGGAATATTCTAGTTATGCTTTAAGGCTTGTAAGGTTGAAAAAACGTTAGTGAAAAACGTTTTTTCTTTCCTTTTTATACCTTCATTGAAAAATAACAAATTCTAAATAAATTTGGTTGGTTTTCTCTAAATAAAACGTATTTATTGTTCGATTTCCCATCTTTTTAAGTCAATTTCGGCTCACTTGCAAGTAAATTCGAGAGTGAAAACAAATTTTTTCGTAAAAATCTATAAAAGCCTCTAGAAAGAAATTGGCTGAATGAATTTCTCTGAAAATTTGGCTATACACCTAACTTTTTGTGCTCTATCTTTTATCTATTGACATGAAGATAGGTTTCCTTAGCCAAAAGTGTCTAAACTGCATTATCGAGCTGTCGCCCTTTTTGACTACCCGACCTCATGCTTCCAAAAAAATCCATAAGACATTGAAACCCGTTTTAATGTTATTTTGCAGAAAAATAATTGACTTTTCTAATGAAATAAACCGTAGTTCAATTGGTGCATTTGTTGGTTTTAAACGGAAATACGAAAAGGAACGAAAAGACTTATTTACCAACCAAATAAAACTGGACTCTATTGCAATTTATGCCTAAAAATCTGAAATTCTTAACTCTAGAAGTACTGTATTCCATCGGATCAAATCAAAGCCCATACCCGATCTCTCATCTGCACAACGGCGAATAGATGTGGTGAGTGTGTGGGTAGATTGAGTGAAAGAGCTCCTCCAGCTATCTCCATGCACTCCCTCTTTCCATGCCACTCGTCCGCCAACTATTGTGATCGATGCACCACCGTGAACAGTTAGACCTGAAAAAAAGTTGAGATATACATTGATTCGATTCAGCAATCCTTTGCATCAAGAGTTTTTTTTTCGTTCATTTCTCACCTTCAAACGGTGATGTATCGGCTTTCGAGTGCGAATCAGCGATGGAGAGCCGTCGTTTCACGATTGGATCCCAAAGAACAAGATCCGCATCAGCTCCCACGGCGATTCGTCCCTAAAACACAAATAGAAATCTATTAAAAAAAAACAAAACAAACCTTTTGTGGATACAAGTTGAATACTTTTGCGGCATTTGTTGACGAAAGAGCGACGAATCTCATCGGATCGATTCTTCCCGACCGGACTCCTTTCTCCCAAAGAATGGCCAATCTTTCAGCGACACCCGAAACACCTGAAACATAAATAGTACATAATATATAGTACATAATATATAGTAATATAATACAGTAATAACTAATAAATATAGTACAAAAAAAGGTTATTCTATTGCTTTCATACCTTTAGGCATTGTTGTGAAATCTTTGTTGCATCGACTCGACGACGAGTGAGCTTTATGACCGGAGGCGAACATGCAAAGAGCGGCTCTGAAAGGTGAAATTTCAGTCTCTTACACAGCAGATCTATTTGTGGATTGATTGATTTTATTTGAAAATGTTTACTTAACAATTTCGAATTAAAAACCAACGATGACAGGGTTCCGAAGAGTTTCTGTTGATTTTGGATATCGGTGCGGAGTGGGGACTCGGTGAGATGTGCAGCGGCATGACGATGACATTTGTTGAAATAGTTTGATCCATCCGAGCACACAGCAATAGCAGCTACCTAAAAACTTTATCATTGCAATGATTTTCAAATGTTTAACGTAGTTTATTTGTAATCAAACCAGCAAATTATTTTAATTATTTTGGCGCAGTGAGTAGCACGCTTGCCCACGAAAGACACTAGACATGGGAAAATTCCACCCCAAACCTAATTCCACCTTCGTTTCTTTCCGATTCTTGGGCGATTGCTTTGAAATTTTGAAATCTACAGTTAGAAATCGACATTTTCAGCTTGTAGACAAAATTTCAAAGCAATCCCCCAAGAAACGGCCAAGAAAACGAAGGTGGAATTAGGTTCGAGTTGGAATCCATGTCATGACCTGGAATCCATGTCTAATAGACACTTCTCCGTTTATATATAGTAGATTCAAACCTCGGGATGAGCGAGTGCTCCTCGATCTCGTCCCTCCCTCAACGCAGTGGCGCTCTCCGCAGAAGATAACTGAAATTTTTCGCTGAATACTTGTAATTTCACTTTTGACGCGCCTATCTCGTCTATCTTTCGTACTTTATGCCCAAAAATGGGTAAACAGACCCTTTCTGGTGCAATGAGTTCTTTCTTTTACACGAGATACTAAATTTCTATACGAAAATGGCAAATTTGGTGTACCAGAAAAGGTGTGTTTTGAGCACAAAGTAAGCCACCCATTAAAAAACAAATCCACTCAACCCTTGACTCATTCAAAATCCCCATAGAACATTTCGTATAGGTTTTAAGGTCACATCCCCCTTTCTCTTCACAAAAGTCAAGATGGCATGCATTGATAATTGAGAAAGAGAGAAGCTTTTTACTGAGGTCATCACAAATTCTCTCTCTCTCTCGCTTTCTTTCACTTTTCACACGCTCTATTTTTGATCTATACAAAGCAATAACTTTAAATCGAATGGGATTGTAAAAATCGTATAGCTGTTGATAAAGCTAGTACAACTGGTTAGGAAGATTTATGCTCTAATGTTTTTTTTAGCTAGTATTCATATCTTTTCCCCAATTTTCCCAATTTAAAATCAAATTGAAATACACACAAAAAAAAATCGTGGCTTACCGATAGAATCGAGACGGGACAATTGGTGATCTGGCTGAGCAAGCAAATCGTCGATACTCTCTCCTTTTCGAGCTGAAAAAATTGCAGATTTTAGAGAAAATTGTAGATGTTGTTATTTAGAAAATATCTAGATATCGTCTAGGTCTAATGGCTAAAAACAAATTAGTTCTCTAGTATTCTTTAGTACAAGAATACAAGAATACAATAATACAAGAATACAAGAATAATTTTAATCTAAAATTGAGTCTTTTAGGATTTTCAAAGTCTTTCAGATTTCTTTCAGATTTCTTTTTCATGATATTTTTGAACTTTTCTAGATCCTCATTAACTTTTCCTGCAGGTGTAAAGAGATGAAAAAAGTGGGCAAGTTTTTACAAGAGAAAAAGTCTCCAAAGGTATGAGGGGAAAGGGGATTCGTTTGAGTCATAAATTTCGCAACAAGAGAAAGAAAGGGGTAACAAAAAAAGATGATTTAGCTGAAAATAAATCAAGGAGTGGATTTTTGTACCCTTCGATAAAATGCGAGAAAGAAACATATTTTTAGCATTGACCAGCGCTTAGAAAAAAATGATTGAAAAATGTGAAAAATGATAAAACACTGGCTTTTTTACCACCTTTCAATCATTTTTTTTTCTAAGCGCTGGTTAACGCTAAAACTATGTGTTATATCTCAAAAAAATCACCCATCCTCTCTACTTTAATTTGATACCTAAGCGCGGAGAAACTAATGTACTGGTGTTGAGATCTGAGCATTTGTTTAAGAATAAACTTAGACTACACGACGCTTGCATAGGGGGTTTCTATTAGTCTTTACGGTAGTCGCTACACTGCTATCTAAAAGACAGCAATCAGATTTCAAGATTTCAAGACTGTTGATCAGATTTAGGTTTCTCTTGAGTTTTTGAATCTTCATATATCTTTCGAAAATCCCCTTTTACAACTAAACCCAAGTTTTTTTCTATTTACGGAAGTCCCGGTATTGAAGGGTCATGTTATTTGATGTTGTCGGCGGGTTGGTGGGTCATTCATTTTATTAGACGGTATGTACTTGAGAGGTGAGATGAGATGGGCAAGACAAGAGAAGAGAGAAGGCCATTTATTGTAAGGTGGGAGGGTGAAGGAGCAGATGGTGGGGGTGATCTATTCATCGCCTCTATATCCCTGTCTATGCCCTGTCCATTTATATATCCTGTCCCTTGTTTGGTCCCTCATTTCTTCCCTCTTTCCGCATCAATTAGTACCCGGTGTTTGGCGGGGGAGTGGAATGAAATGGGAATAGGAAATGGAAGGAAAGCGAGAGGGAATCGATTCGGATTTGTGCAAGGATTTGGCAAATTAATGACCTTGGACCTCTGGGAGTGGGCAAGGGGAAAAGGGGATGATGGTTTGAATTGGAAGCTATGAAAATTCAAGATAAGATTAGATTCTAGTGCTTTAAAAGGCTCAGAGTGAATTATCAATTGGGATCAGCTCAAGAAACTGAGCTAGGATGTGTTAGGACTTATTTTGAAGTAGATGCTAAATTGCTCCCTAATAAGTTGAAGTTGCTCCCTAATTTTCAAGATTTTTACTTTCAGCTGAATCTAGCGTTTTCAAGATTAGATGATGTTTATCGAATTCTAAGCATAAAGTCCATTTCCTTTTTTTCATCTAGTCCCCCGTTTTTGACTTCTTGATGTGTAAAATCGAAAGTGCCGCCATTTGGTCGCGAAAAAGCGAAAAAGGCAAAGGCAAAGGCCAAGTTTGGGGCCAAACACTCAGAAAGAAAAGAAGGGAAAAAGAAAAGAGGAAAATTGAGCTCTCTTTTCTCTTTTTTTTTCTCCCAACTCCGAGATGGCTTCCAATTTGAAATTCAAACCAACACAGACGGAATTGGGAAAAGAAAAGAGTTGCCGAGAAAAAAGAAATCGAACGAGTACTCTGTTTGGCAAGGAATTAGAATATTTAGGGATTTATTGATATATGGACAAAGGAGAAATTTGAACTAACTTGTTAAACACTAACCTCTTCAGGCCTAGATTGAACAAATCCCTCCGGTCCAGTGATGCCAAGACTGAGCATTTTGTGCTCCAATTGAGCGACGATTGATCGATTCTCGGGTAGGAGACGGGCATGAGCGCCGAGAGTCTTGCAGAACTCGAGAGCCTGGAGAAATCGAAAAGTTACTTGATAGATATTTGAAGTTTTGCGAAGATAAAAGAATCAGTAAGACTTTAAACAAGATCTCAAAACTAAACTTGTCTTGATCCGGTCAATAAGCAAGTCTAGCCTCAATAAGCAAGTCCTATGACTACAGTTGACAAACGAATTTAGCTTACAATTGGCAAGATATAATGTACCTGATACAACTTCTCATCTCCCTCGAAATCGAGAGCAAAACTGTTGACACCGCTTTTCGTGAGCACCTCCATTTCCCTTTTGATCGTCTCATCCCATTTCTTTACCCGAACAGAGATTCCAACGTGACAGATCGAGTTCTCGGAGGACTTAAAAGAGAGTTTAGCTTGTAAGGAAGATTATTAAGAATTTTATTCTAATTCTAATTCAAATCACCCATGAAGACTTACTTTTCTGATTCTGGCAACAGCCGTTGATAGGGATTCTCCCTCTCGTGGGGTCACCAATTCGATTACCTAAAATTTTTTGAGTGAATCAAGAAAAGAAGTGATTTTTGTATCAAAAGTCTCTACAGAGTGTCCAATAAAAAAAGAATTTTCAACTTAAATTCTCAAACAATTTCAAAAATTTGACTGCCCGAAAAAACACTTTTAATACCAAGACTTCGAGCCACTTAAACTTAAAAATTTGATTTGAAAAGTCTTTTTTTTTATTGGACATTCTGTAGATCTTGTAACCGCCAAGAAACTTGTCAGGTATATTATAATATCTTTTAACTAACCGTAGCAGTTCCACCAGCCACAGCTGCTAATCCACCCGTCTTGAAATCATCGACCGAGTCGACGGCCGAGAAACACGTGTGCACATCGATTCCAGCTGGCAACAACAAACGACCTAGAATTTTGAGGAAATTACCGAGTTTTTAAAACATATCCTTTTAGCATTTGTATAAGTCATACGGTTAAAGCTATGTAAGTTTTATATAAAAAAAAAATAAGTTTTAGTTTTTTAAAGTCTTACCAGTGGCCTCGACAACAACGGCTCCTTGCGGTGGCTCGATCGATGTGCTTACTTGGCTAAAAATTTGTGCATTTGAAAGAGATGTTTTTTTAAATAAAAAGCTACAGTAATCCGTTTTCTAACATAAATTTGAATATAATCTTTACATAATTTTCCCATCTTCAATCAAGACGTCGGCGCTGAAGACACTGTCATCGTTGACAACCTGAAAAAATTGGATAAGTTGTAAGCTTTACATAAATAAATCTTTTCAATTTTCTCAACTGAGAATCTCAAATTAGCTACTGTAATCAATTTTCAGAAAAGAGTTAGAGTAATTGTTGAATTTGGCTAAAAATAGTTCAATTCTTTACCTGTGCGCCCCGGATGAGGAGTGCCATCGTGGCGGCGTCGTTACTTTGTTGTGAGGGGATGTCCGAATCGGGAGTATTGGATGCTCGTGTGTCTGTCATTGGTTGAGATGAATCCTCTGCTCCCTCTGCACTCTCGTCCAAGTGCTGCGTGTCGCGTAGCGTCTCTTCTCCGTCTTTCTGCGAGATCACCCGCCCCTAGAGGCAAAAAGGACTATTGCAAATGTTAGGGTTGTGAAATCGGCTTGAAGTGAAGGGAGTACTAGGGGTAGAAGTCGAGAGTGGTTGAAAGAGGGTCTCGAATTTCGACACCCCGTTCCACTCCTCTCTTCACTTCCACTTGCTCTTTCACCCATGGAAAACCAAACATTTCAAGTAATTCAAGTTGTTCTCAGCTATATAACTAATCGTATAGTACAGAAATAAGAAAACAGCACAGTGAAGTTGAGCTTGACCCTACTGTACCTACAGTAGTGCTAAAATGATTCGTACACCCCGGATTTAGCCATGAAGAACTCAACCAATCATCTTAAAACGATGAAATTCTGCAGAACGCGGGGTGTACGAATCATTTTGAGCGCTACTGTTTGTAGGCGGATGAAAGGCTAGGTATGATACGTGTAATGTACTTATGAATGAACACATAAACCCAAGGCAGAGTACGGTATCCTTGTCGTAAAGCTAGGTTCTTATTGCAGGTGAAAAGATTCTACAGCAGCCTTTATGAAACATAAAGGTCCTGTAAACTAGCATTAGGCTGTCTAGCAAGTCTTTTCGTTCCTTTTCGTATTTTCGTTTGAAACCAACAAATGCACCAATTGAACTACGGTTTATTTCATTAGAAAAGTCAATTATTTTTCAGCAAAATAACATTAAAACGGGTTTCAATGTCTTATGTCTGGATTTTTTTTGGAAGCATAAAGTCGGGTAGTCAAAAAGGGCGACAGCTCGATAATGCGATTTAGACACTTTTGGCTAAGGAAACCTATCTTCGTGTCAATAGATAAAAGATAGAACACAAAAAGTTAGGTGTATAGCCAAATTTTCAGAGAAATTCATTCAGCCAATTTCTTTCTAGAGGTTTTTAACGATTTTTATGAAAAACACGTGTTTTCACTCTCGAATTTACTTGTAATTGAGCCGAAATTGATGAAATTGTGAGATAGACTTAAAAAGATCGAAAATTGATCAATGAACACTTTTTATTTAGAGAAAACTATAGGTTAATTGATGAATGATTGTTATTTTTCAACGGAATTATAAAAAGGAACGAAAAGACTTTCTGGACAGCATAATAGTAACCCCATAGCACTGATACGAAAAAAGTACTTCGGTTTCAGCTTATGAAATTCTATCTTATCGTACAGCTTGGATACTAGATGAAAATCTCTTTCAAAACCTCACCTCATCATCGAGGAGTATCACTTCCTCATCTCCACCCATATCCGGCCCGGGTTCTCCCATTCTCCATCGCTCTTCACTCTCCAAACCATTCTCTTCACTTTTCCAATCATTGCTCGAAGACGGAGTATCGACTTCTTCGATTGGAGATAGATCTAAAAAGAAACTGTGAGTTTAATCCAATCAATAGAAAGCCTTAGGTTTTATCTACCTGATATTGGATTCTGATAAATATCATCAGTGAGACCAAGTTCTGCTAATATCCGTGCAGCTGGACACTCGTTCATCTCTCGGCGAACACGAGTCTCTTCACCCTGAATATCGATTAAAATTTCTGGCTACGGTATTCTATGAACTAACAGTACAGAAAAGCCTTGCTTAATGATTAATAAAGCAATGGATTCAGACTTGGAATTACCTAGATACCTAATTACCTAATTACCTAGTCTTGCCAATTTCTAATCATTAGATCAAGTCTTACTAGATCATCATTTTCATCTCCCCAATCGACTCCTTCTTCTTCCAATCTCCGTCGAAGATCTTCATCAAAATCTTCCATCAATTTTTCTCTTTCGAAATCTCTCGTCAACACTTCAATCTCAGGCTCGGGTTCGGGAATCTGAAAATAAAGTAGTTTTTGATTGTAAAGATATTGCCAAGATTAGAGTTTACTGCTGCATAACAACGAGATTTCCTTTTCTGATTCCTAACTGCAAATTCGAACTGTTTCTAAAGCTACTACTCAAAATACTTTCGCCAACCTCTACACTTTGTTTCACTTCTTCAACCCATTGATTTTCTTTGACTTCTTCAACCCGTTGATCAATGAATCTCTTCCTCGACCGATTCAGCGCTCTCTCATAAGCGGCATTGTGATCTTCGATCACATTAAAGATACCGGATGTTGATGGAAGGGGATGGTGCTGAATTTTGAGAACTATTAATAAGAAAATTTTAGACTTACCACCTCATTTTTTGTTGTATCGTAGATTTCCTTTTCAAGGACATTCTTTCGACCAAACGATTGCTGGGTTCTCTCTTCGTTTCGATTGGGAAGCTTCTCAAAGCAAGACCCTGCACCAAAAGCTGATGTGCCTGGAGAGCCACCGAAGAGTTCCTAGAAGTAAACGGATTTAGCTTTAGTTTAAGAGATCAAATTTTACATCAACTTTTGTCCGAATTTGTCCGAATGTTCCTCGCGAGTAAGTAAATATTTGAGTAAAATTTGCATGAGTAATTTTTACTCGATTAATCGACGTTTTTTGGTCGATTAACTACGAGTAATCCTCTTTACACGTCAAGTAATTTGAATATCTTTACATTTGAAGGGAATTTCCCACAAAATCATTTCAATGGTTGAATATCTTTAAAAGGAGTCGTATTTAATGCTCGTGATTTTTCCGCGCCATTCTTTTGCGATAATTTTGGGGGGTGGGACAAATGCTACCTTTTTTTGCGCACCTTTTTTTTGCTGGAAAAGGCCTTAGGAAAGGTCGTAGAGCTTCAAAAATGTTTTCATAGGAGGGAATCGTATGCGTAGATTCAGAATTTTGACAAATTTGACGTGTCATCGAGGTCTGATTTGTCGAAATTCGGAATCTACGCATACGATTCCCTTATATGGAAATATTTTCGAAGCTCTACGGCCTTGCCTAAAGCCTTTTCCAGCAAAAAAAAGGTGCGCAAATGTCCAGGTGCGCAAAAAAAGGCACATTTGTCCCACCCCCGATAATTTTGATAAAATTAAGGGAATTTTTCCCAACTTTGCGTTTTAAAAAAGGCATTACTCGCGGAGAAAACACTCTAGTCCGAATGCCTTCAGTCTGCTGCTTATTAGACAATTTAAGACTTGAAACAACTCTAGAAGAATCAACTCAACAAACCATCATCCCAGAAGACATCTCTAATCCTTTATTTCGTTGTCGGGTGACGGGTGGGGGCGGGACAGGCGAGGATTTTGGAGATCGTGATGAAGTTGAGGATGAGGAGGCTACAGGGACACCTCGAGGTGAGGAACGAGCCGGCGAGGTGGATTGGGCTCGGCTTGGGGAACCCTGGAATAGGCAGCGATGAAATTTATGGATCTCGGGTTGCTTAGGTTGGGCTTTAGAGCTTTAAGATTGTCGGTTCTTGGCCAAAAACAAGCTTACAGACATAGATCAAAGCTTTGACAACCTACCGTGAGGAATCTGACATTCTCTTGTGCATTAATTGCACTCACTCCTCGATCCTCACTATGTGTCCTTGTTGTAAGGGGTGATGAGGCAAGGAAAAACGATCTCGACGCTCCTTTCCGGGTTGACACTAATGCGAATCCTTGATTCAGGATGTCGCAATGGTGCGAGAAAGGGAAACATCGCTCAAAATGAGTATGAGACTGGGGCTCCTCGTACGATCGGCCCCGCCCGATGTTGATGAGAAAGTATTCTGAGAATTGTTGATTCGTAAACGTAGCTTTACACATAGAATAAGTATAGTTATTCAAAAATGATGCAAAATAGGAGTCAGACTTGTTCATAGATACAGTAATCTTGTTTGTAATCATCAAAATTGGTTAGAAAATACAAGTTGGTTAAATTTGGTACCATAGGCTGCAAAAAATTACAATTGTACCGGAAAGATTTTCTATTTGAGCTAGTTTTCAACAGTAAGCTATGCTAAGTATGCTATGTTAACATTTTAATAACTTAACAGCTTTCAAAGTCTTAAGAAACCTCAATGTTTTATGACATTCTCACACATACACCAAGATTTACAGTAGCAACAAGCGACAAAAAAGTGTCAACAAAAGGTGGGTTCATAAAAGTGTGTGAATCTGTTTGCACAGGTGTTAGTGGGGGGAGACAAGGTTGACCACCGAAGGAAGACTCAGAGAAAGCAATGTATCGACAAAGGGGGCGGGTCAGCTACACAAGACTCCTCAATGCACCCTGTCCGGGGGTTGGGTCAATTTTTGTGCGCGGGTGACGCATTGGACATAAGAAAGGAACGGTTCAATGATAAATTGTGTTGATTTTCACCCCGACGATTTCTCTTACAAAACAATCGTAATTTCTCAACTTTTTGGATTCTATGACAAAAAGTTTTTAAGGTTTGCTTGTGAAAGCTCTAGCTTTGCAAAGATTCAATCATTCATTTCTAACAAAACGGCTAATAACATTGATTTTGATTCCGGTTTTGTTTTGTTTAGCGCACTTTCATTAAAAACTCAAATGACTCATCATTTTGTATCGGCCTGAAGCTTTTCAAAAACAGAATATATATTTGTATTTGTATAAACAGAATATACAAAATATTTGTCCTATTCTTATAGTTTAATTTTATCGAAGGTAACGAGTTTTCTTGACTTATTATCGTTTTTTTTTGTTTTTCTTTGTTTTTCTTTGTTTTGCGACGTTTTTCAAGGCATATCTAATTTTTTGATTCAGATAAATCGATGTCGGCACACCAGGTGGAACAAATACTAAAAAATACCGGCGCCAAGTAAAGATTTTGCAAAGTTTATAATATTATTCATTGGATACATGTCAATGAAGTGACTTTTGATAATATTCTAAATAGAACTTTAAAAAGCTGAAATACTATTGCCTCAAAACATCTTAACATATTCAATTTTCTTAATTTAGGTACATCGACTCGGCAAAGAAGGATATAATGGGTGCCTTGGGAGAATTTCGGGATTTGGCGCCCGAAATGGAGAATTTCATGTTTCCCGATGGAAAACGACGACAAGCATTGAAACTAAAAGGAACCATTCCTGTACATTATAAAGTGAGTTATTTTAAGGAGACATTTTTGGGAACATTATTAACACTTTCTATTTATGTCTGGTTTAGGGTAGCGTCTATAACATCCCGGTGTCAGTGTATTTGTGGGAGACTCATCCCTACTACGCGCCTGTTTGTTTTGTGAATCCAACGAATAGCATGGTAATAGATTTAAAGTAGCTTTAATTCAATTTATGTTTAGGTTATTCGCGAGAGTGAGAACGTCAATAAACAAGGACGTGTATTTCTCCCTTATCTGAAAGAGTGGCGCTTTCCGGGATACGATTTGAATGGATTGATACAAGTGAGTTTTAATTCATTTTACTAGGAATGTTCTGGTTTAGGTGATGGCCATGGTATTCCAAGAGAAGTGTCCTGTTTTTGCAAAGCCAGCTGGTCCTACATCACAGCCAAGTTCTGCTCCACAAACGCCACAGCCGACCTCTACACCGTATCCAAATGCAACAACAATACCATATCCAACGGTAAGGAAGTTGAGAAGGATTTTTTATTCTGGTTTACTGTTTATATTTTTGCATTTTAGACAGCGTCTGGTGGAATGCCTCCTTACCCAATGACGTCAACTTCAACACCATATCCACAAGGTGGAATTCAATATCCAGCTTATCCTGGGTACCCCGGTTATCCCAATTATCAGAATTACAACAACGCTCCGAGTAAGATCAAAATTTTGAATTTAACAACATTGAAGTTTAGCTAATAATCGAACTCCACCGCCCGTGCCTCCCCCACCTTCTTCAATCCCGAGCTCAATAGGAAACGATCACATCAAAAATTCGTTGATTACCGCTCTACAGGACAAATTTAGAAACAAGCTACGGGATCGTCTAGGTTGGGAAAGATTTTGGAGATTATTCTAATTGTTCATTTTAGGTACTTCACAAGCTGAGTTGGCCTCGATTCGTGAAACACAAAGTGATCTACAAAAGGGTCAAGCGAAACTGAAGGCAATTGGCGAAGAACTCGAGAAGCAACAAACACAATTGGATCAGTTCATCTTTGCTTACCATGTTTGTAATACGTTTAACTAATTTGTACTCAAGATGTGTATAGGAAAAGAAGACCGAGTTGGAAAAAGCGCTACATGAGATGGGAGCTTCGAATGAAGGACCTCCCGTCGATGAAGCTATTGGTAAGATTTACTTTAAAGCTTTTAAAATTTTATAGATATTTATCAATATATCAAATATTTCATTTCGTAGATAACTGTTTTCTTTTAGAAGCTGCCACTCCTTTGCACCGTCAATTGTTGGAACATTATGCTGCGGATCTTGCTTGTGATGACGCCGTCTATTCTCTAGGTTTATTTTGCATTGTATTTTTTTTACTTTTACATTTTAGGAAAAGCTTTGCAACATCAGAAACTCTCTACTTCAGATTACATTAAACAGGTATCGAAAAATTTCAACGCTCGAGTTCATTTTGTTTTAGGTTCGCAATGTTTATCGGCGTCAGTTCATTCATCGGGCTACCATGCAGAAATGTAGAAAGACAGCTGGCCTCTCAATTTAACGAAGTAAGTTTATCACAGATTTTTCAAAATGTTAATTTATCAACTCTAATCTTTTTTCTCATTTAAAATCGATAGTTTTTGGTGCTAAAATTTGCTTTTTGTCAATGTGCATTTGTCTCTAGAAACGCCTCTTGTTGGTTGATTGACTCATTGATTTGAAATGATCACACTTTGCATCAAAAAGAACATGAACATGTTTTTACTTCATTGTTCATCAGAAAAACGCCAATTTTTACTTTTCAAATTTTGAGTAGCAACTAGTTCCATCAATTTTCCAATTGCCAAATTTTGCCAAAAGTACATTTTTAGGTTTGCTCAAATCGATTACCAGGACATACAACCAGCCAACTAGTGGATCAATATTTCTTCTCGGTGCACGATTTTTCCCATTTCTTTTGTTAGTTTTTCTTGCCTTATTGAATTGTTGTGAATACTTTTGCGCACTTATTCCAATTTTTATTTTGTATTTGGAATGAATCCCAGCTGCGCTGAAAAGTTATTTTCTGTGATTTTTAGAGCGACGAACTTTACTTTCCAAACCTTTTAATTAAGTTATGCTTTTCCAGATGTTCATAGTCAATAAATAATTTATTTATTGGGTTTAAATGTCTTATGCAGTTTTTATCTGCTTTACTTGTATCTTGAAATATAGATTTGCATTGGTGATTATTGTTATTGTGCTGATTGTTTGATTTAGGTATCTACACTTCTCCCTGTTGCTTGTGAAGGTAGCAAGGGTAGAGAACAATGCAAGCGATAAAAGCCGTTGTTGTCGGAGACGGAGCTGTAGGCAAGTTCATTCAAATAGTTTTTTACCTGTAATAAATAAAACGATGAACTAATCTTAATCTTTTAGGTAAAACTTGCCTACTGATTTCCTACACAACAAATGCTTTCCCCGGAGAATACATTCCTACAGTAAGCGACTCATACCATATCCAAATAATACCTGATTTTAGGTTTTCGACAATTATTCGGCTAATGTGATGGTCGACGGACGTCCAATCAACTTGGGTCTATGGGATACGGCTGGACAGGTAATTTATAGAAACATTTGAAACTTTAAGAAAACATTTGGTTGTGACACGTAACGAAAGAATATTTACAGGAAGATTACGATCGATTGAGACCGTTATCTTATCCGCAAACCGATGTATTTCTCGTATGCTTTTCACTCGTGAATCCGGCCTCGTTCGAGAATGTTCGAGCAAAATGGTAAACCAAACTTATTCGATTATGGTAATTTTATTTAGGTACCCTGAAGTATCACATCATTGTCCGAATACTCCAATCATTTTGGTGGGAACAAAGGCCGATTTGAGGTGTGCACTCCACTCTGTCTTCTTTATTAATTACATTTAGGGATGATCGTGATACCGTGGAAAAATTGCGAGAACGCAGATTACAACCCATTTCACAAGTTCAAGGACAGGTATGAATTTTGGAAATATTTTGATTAGTGTTAAAGTGTTGTGGCTTGTAGTTGGCCCTCATAAGTGCATGATCAAGATATTCGTTATTTTAGATTATGGCCAAGGAAATCAAGGCAGTGAGATACCTCGAGTGTTCGGCTCTGACGCAGAGAGGACTCAAACAAGTACGTTTTTTATTTACTTTGATCAGTAAGAATCAAAAGCTATACAATAAACCCACTAATTTGGCTAGTATGCAGTTCTGACTCCTAAAGAGGTTAAGCTAATTATTTTTTACTTGTAGGTTTTTGACGAGGCTATTCGTGCCGTGCTTTGTCCACCCAAACCCGCAAAGAAGAAGAGATGTGTGATCCTCTAGACGCTGCCCCTGCCATCTCATTGAAATTAGAGTAACTTATAATTTCTAACTTATCAACGCATTTCTAGAATTTATTTTCAAATTTCCAATGGATCCTTGTCTTTTTCACGTTTTAGACTTTTGCACGGCTTTTTCTTTTCTGTGGTAAAAGCACATTTTGCTTACGAAAATCCTCTGCTGCTCAGTTCTTTGCTGAATTGATGATTTTTTTTCATTTGGTCCTACCACATACACACATATTATTCAGCCTCGTTTGTGATTTCTTTAAAAACTTAATGCTTTTAGTTGTCCCGGCTAAAAATTTATTTATTCGTCCCCAAGTTTTGAGCCTGTGCATTATTTGTAAGCCAAATTTTGAATGGAACAGCTTTTCATAGCTTGAGAATGGTTGTCATCGATTTGAAACATAGCAATTGACAACAATTTTTGAGTTATTCTGTGATTGTTATTTCTAAGATTGACGTCGTATTTACCTTTATCGCTCAAGTTGTTTTGTTCTGAAATTTCTAGTAACTTTTCTTAAGTTCTGATTTTGCCCTATGAAAAAATGCCTTGAACTTTTTGGAGATGTGAATAAAGATTTCCTACTTTGAAATTTTGTGAATTTTTGTGAAAAGACAAACACGCATTACATGGATTGGCTAGGAGAAACAAGGCAATGATTTTAGGGGTCACAGTTTATGCAGTCGATAAAGTGCTCGATTATTGGCGATTCAGGAATTGGTAAGGTTTTTTGAAGGTTAAAATTTAACAATTTTATTTTGTTAGTTAGTGCATCGCAAATTATCAGTACTTCAAAGTTATTTTTCATGGTTTCAACAAAACAAGTCTAATTGTAAGACGTGCACAGCCAAGGTGCTGCATTTTTTTTTGGATATCCGCTCTGTCCGAATCTTTCACAGAGAGAAGGTCGCAAAAGAAAAAATCTAAACAAGGATTGCATCAGCCACTGTTCCCCCTTTTCCTTCAAGACCCCCATTTCTTCTCGAGCAAACAGCGGGGGTATAGCTCAGTGGCAGAGCATTCGGCTGCAGTCCGAGAGGTCCATGGTTCAACTCCGTGTGCCCCCTAGTCTTTTTGCTTTTTTGAACATCTTTCTTAGATTTTAAGGCTTTAATTTGAGGAAACAGCAATATATCGTAATAAATTTAACAAAAAACATTCGTTCGTTAGGTAAAACTTCTCTTCTCATAGCGTACACGGCAAAAGCCATTCCTGGAGAGCGTTACACACCAACGGTAACTTTTAAATAGCTGACTATTTTGGATTTGCGTCATACTTTATTAAAAAACTTTAGATTTTCGATCACTACTCTGCAAATGTAATGTTCAATGAACGTTCTGTGAGCCTTGGAATTTGGGAGACAATTGGACGAACTAAAACCACCAATCCGGTAAGATATAAATTGAGTTTGGCTCAAAGTTTTAAAATTTTAGTTCGAGGAGGAGGAGGAATTCGAGCCATTTTGTTCCCTAAATAATGACGTGGTTCTCATCTGCTTTTCGGTGGTCGACCCATCTTCATTTGAAAATGTCCGAACCAAATGGTATTGTTTTTCTTTAATTTTATTCAAGCGTTGCTTTATTATATTAATATTTCATTATCTTTATGCCACAATTTTCTTTAGGTCGCCAGAAGTCTCTCAACATTGCCCAGATGCACCGGTTATCCTTGTCGGTCTCAAGTCTGATCTCAGGTATTTTGTCTTTTATAACCTGAAAAAATTTATCTAGAAACGATGATAAAACGCTAAAAGATTTGATGGATCGTCGCTTGTCACCCATTTCGGAACGACAAGGAGAGGCTAGCAATTTCAATTTTCTTTGCAACAGTTTTTCTTTTAGTTAATGGCTAAAGAAATCAACGCTGTAAAATATATAGAATGCTCTTCACAGGCTCGAAACGGAATAAAACAGGTAAAGGGTTATTTTTATGCTGTTAAACTGTTTTATTTTGTTAATTTAGGTTTTCGATGAAGTCATTCGGTCAGCTAATCGCTCCAATAGCTTACCAAAGAAACCGGGAAAAGTCTTAACGCATCATTGTTGTCCGATGTGATTCTTACATTTTTCGGATTGATTGACTTGTTTTATTTTGAATTTTGTCTCATGTAGTTGTTTGTCACTTTTCAGTAAAATCAATTCACGGTCGTAATTTTGATTTTCGTTCCATTTTTGTATAAGTCTATTTGCAAAAGAAAGCTAAACCGGTTTTCAACAAGTTTATGTTTTTGTGTTTTGTTAAAGCCATAAAAAGGTTATTTTTCTTGTGAGGGAGAGATTTATCTTTTGTCTTGCGGGATTTTTTTTGGATCCCGTGGGAATCTCGCCGTCGAGAGCAAGAGGTCGTGAGATCGATTCCAGCCATTTTGACCCACCTCTTCAAAGAATAGCGCTTTTTTTATCTTCACCTAATGTAAGGGAAGTTTTACGTTTGGTTGGGTTGACTATCGTAACACCTGTAACCCTTTCCTACAGTAATCCTGATTTAGCTACAATTATTACGGTATTATACGTCTAAAGGGTTAGTGTGCAAATACATATAAATACATTCAGTAAAGCTGAGGCAAATGTGAATTGAAGCCATCTACACCTATATGTTTACTGGGTAAACCTTTTTGGTTTCAAAGATTCATCAGCTGATATCTTATTCACCTTGAATCTTCTCCTATTCCATACACTCTCAATCTTCTCATCAAATACTGGATTTTTCTATGAGCTTCCCCCAAATCTTCAACCTTTCATAGATTTTCGTTTCTCATTGAGTTCGTTCATTTTTTTTTGTCAATCAATACCTTCCCACGCCTATTTCGAAAGAGATGATTAAAGAGGGAGAAGAGTCGGATTTATTTTTGAAAACCGAAACTTTTCCTTTTAGAAAAAAGAAAAGTGGTATTTGAGGAGGGGTTCAATTAGGATTGACACGAGATAGGTTTGGGGTGAAAAAGGGGGAAATTTGATGCATTGGGAAATTCTTCGCGAGTTCGCCTTTATTCAACCGATTCTGGTTTAACGCAAATTTCCATCTGGACTTTAATTTGCATAGTTGCTTATTACTGTTGTCGCCTTTGGATTCACTTTCATTTGTTACTCGATTGCTTGTGCTGTAAGCCTCGAGTCAAATTACATATCTAATAATTGTAGCTTCTTATGAGTATTGATTTGTTTGTCTGTTGGTTACCGCACTCCTCGTCTGTCTGTCTGTCTGTCTTTTCTCGGGTTACGGTGTGTGTAGTTGTGCAGCAAGCAACTTAAATTCATTTAAATTTTTTAAAATTTTCAATTCTTACTTCTTTCATTGCTTGTTCCATTCAAAAACAATTTATCATTTGTTTAACTTATTTGTGCAAGAAATGGTCCCATCCCCATTTCCCCATTCTCCAATTCGATTCCTTGTCGTCGTTTCTTCCCTATTCCACTTTTTCACTTTTCGTGGGTCTTCCCCCTTTTTTGTCGGCATGAGCAATGACATCCATTGTCCTTTTTTCGAAGAAAGAAAAGATCTCCAAGTTTTCTTCCCAACACAAAATCTTTTTTTTCGACCGTCCACGAATACTCTCAACATTGATGCCTTTCTTCAGCTTTGGCTTTGAGTTCAACACTTTTTTCTGCACTTCGCACTAACTACATTTTTGAGGGATTCCTTTGAACCAAAACTTTTCGAGGTTGACCAACTAGGAGCCAGATCAGACCCAGGACTAAATCTAGTTTGATCTGGCTTACAGTTCTCGGGTCCAGTTCTGAGGTACACTTCATTCAAGACTTGCATATGTTTTTGAAAGGTTTAAGCCATTGAAATATTGTTTTATATTAATTTTATGTGTGCAATTCTCAAAGTTATCGTATTCTTTAAAATCGAGAACGATTGACCTTTACAGTTTGAAATGGGAAATGCAAAGGTTGGCAAGGAAGATTCAGCTTTGCTGCGGGGTATGAAGTATCTAAGCCAATGATTTCAAGAAACTCTTTCCCAACTCACCTCAATTTCCTCATGAAGAAGTTCCAAAATCACGGGAGGGGAATCGTGAGATTTTTTGAGCGAACAAAAGAAAAAAAAGGGGAAGACGCGCGTCTCGAGGGGGAAATCCATTTATCGGACTCCTCTCTTTCGACTTTTCAAATCGGGGAGAAGATTTTGGCTTTTGCGGCCCTCAAAAAAAAAAAGAATTTCACCTTACCACCTTCGTTTGAGAATTGGACGGGAAAGAAGGATTTTCATTCAGTGAAGCTAGATTTAAAGGGTTGGCTGGGATTTGGGTACATTTGATGCACAGCAAGGCTTCTCCTCAAGCGCAAGGCACAGTCATGGCATGATCTAAAAATTTGGTCCTAAATCAGCCTTGGTGTACAAATTTATTGGCTAAATTTCTTAAATCAAACTTAAAAACCCGGAAACTGTTTTTTGGGCCATTGCAAGTCTGCTTGAACTTTTCATATTTTGGATATTGTAATATAAAAATACTTTTAATATCATTCTTGGATCAGTTTGTGGTCAACAAGTAAAACCAGAGTACAGGTTGGCAACTTTCCAACGCTAAATTCTAAAATACACCTAAGCTACCGTACTCGAGACAGCGTCTCCCTTTCCCCCTTTAAAATTCATTCTTTTAAAGAATCGTTGGCCGCTCCGGCGCTTCGCCGTGTATTTTGCTCGCGTATTTTCCCCTTTCTCTATTCCCTCATAAAATTCTGTTTATTGTTAAAATTTCCCTCATCCTTTTGTTGCTTCAACCTCTCTTTTTCTGTTCTCTTTAATCCCTTGCTGTTAAATTTTTAGAGTTTCTGTACTTTTCTGTACATTTCTGTACATTTTGTTGGTCTTCGAATCCGTGTCTTTCATACCACCAATGAAGTTATTAAAAATCGAACCTTTTTTTCCTATAAACATCAGTCAATCCAACCCAACCGCGAATCGTTTTTTATTATTTCTCTCGTTTTCGCAAATCATTTAGAATTAATGTTTCTGGATTAAAAGATTTACCAGTTTGGCTAAGGTTTCGATCCAGAATTTGGATGTTTGAAACCGTAACACGTTACTAACATTTGCTCTTTGTTTTAAAACTGAGTTTTTCACAACATTCTTACAATTTTCCAGAATTTGAGCAGCTGATTGAGGCCAATTTATACAATTTTCTGTTGCTTCTTGGTTTTTTTTTACCTTTTTGCTAAATTTCAAGCATATTTTAGTGTCGACAATGAATGCATCCATCGCACGCTTGTGACTCGATCTGTTGGACAAAAAGTGGGTTCAGTTTAACGAAAAATATTGGTCTGTTGGGCTTAATGTTCACTTGAATTGAACGCATTTTTAAGTATTTTCCGTAAACCCTTTCCTTGTTTTACTCTATTCCACTCGGCTCACATTTTTCTCGTTTCGAATCACCGATTTCCATCATTTTCGGTCATTTTTTGAAAGAGCGTATAACTTGAATGGAGCTGGGTGGAAAAGGGGGAGGGGGTGACTGGGATTGGTCCAATTAAAGAAGTCAGCAAGGGAGGGGCAGACTTCTCTCAGTCCATTCTCAAAGTGAGATAAATCCTCGGAGCAATTCCATTTCAAACCAACCACACCACTTCCTAGTCTTTTTTTGAATGAAATCGAAAATGAAATGTTTTTTACCCAAAGTTCTCACAATTAAGTCCGAATAGAGCTTTCTATGTCTATAGGAGGTTTTATTTCATTGAAATGTGATTAACTAATTAAATCTAAAACAGATTCGAACTCAGCGGTGTAAGCTCTATTGGATCCATTTTATCTCATGCAATATCCTTGTATGAACCATTTTTTAATGAGTATATCTGGAAGAGACAGTTGTTTTCTAAAACGTGTTAACTTTCAAAAGCTATCATAATCTTGTGTGTGTCTGTCTGCAAACCCTCGACCTACGTCTAGTCTTACTCTGTACCGAAAGGATACCGAAAGATACAAAAGTTGCAAGATTAGATAAAAAGCTATAGACAAGAGTACGATGGCTTCCGAAAAGTAGCACATTTTAGGAAACATAGCAAAAGTTTTGCAGTTAACTCAATTTTACTTAGGCTGTCCAGAAAGTCTTTTCGTTCCTTTTCATAATTCCATTGAAAAATAACAATCATTCACCAATTAACCTGAAGTTTTCTCTAAATAAAAAGTGTTTATTCTTCAATTTCCCATCTTTTGAAGTTAATTTCGGTTCACTTACAAGCAAATTCAAGAGTGAAAACCGTGTTTTTCGTGTGAAACTATAGAGACCTCTACGAAGAAATTGGCTGAATGAATTTTTCTGAAAATTTTCTCTATACCTAACTTTTTGTGTTCTATCTTTTATCTATTGACACGAAGATAGGTTTCCTTAGCTAAAGTGTCTAAACCGCATCATCGAGCCATCTTCCGAATTCGCGCTCCCAAAAAGAATCCAGGCATAAGACGTTTTCATATTATTTTACAGAAAAATAATTGGCCTTTATAATGAAATAAACCATAGTTCAATTGGTGCATTTGTTGGTTTTAAACGGAAGTACGAAAAAGAACGAAAAGTCTTTCTGGACGGGCAAATATATATTCCTCTTATTTCTCAATTCATTCATTCTCACTTTTAACTTCAAGATCCATTAGATGATAGAGATTTCAGGTTTTCCTCATTTTGTTACTCTTTTTCATGGCGAGGGTTATTTCTGATCTTGTCAAGTGAATTGAATAATGGGAAAAAATAGGGGGAAATGGTTGAATGTTCGACTTGTCTCTTCGTTTTCCATAATTGCCACCTTCTTTCCCCTTCAAATCTTTTTCCTTTCCGACATCTTGACGACTTCTTTTCCCCTTTAAATAACCCGATATTCCCTTTCTTCTCAAATCACATACGGAAAATTTTCGTTCGTAAATTGATTTGCTTGAAAAATGTCTCGAAACAAACAAATTTCCAAATTTTTAATTACATAATGCTTTAGAAGATTTATCAAAAGCTAATTGTAAGCCAAGTCAAGATTGATGGTCATCAACTCTCACTTGGCTTGACTTGTCTTTTTCAGCCAATCCTGGATCTGGGCTAAGTTCAAAAATCGGCAAACCCTCGACGCAACGTTTCTCTCAAATTTTCAGGAAAATTCGTTTTAACCGCTCAATCATTTTTCCCTTTTCTGTTCTTGAGAAATTCACTGACTCGAAATCCACTTTGTGTGCAATTTGCATATTTTGACTTTGCCTTCGCATCCTGGCTTCATTTGTGCCAACGATTTTTGGAGATTTTGATTTTTCGAACTTTTTTTTGAGGATGAACACGCAAGAAATGGAATCACGAATTGCATTTCAAAGGGAAAAAAGAGATACGTGGCGGATTTCAATCATCAAATATTCATTATTTAGTCGTTCACTCAAGGAAAAAAACATGCATTTGATGAATCTTTGCGAAAAAATACAGTTTTTTATTCAAATTCAAATTCCAATTGCTTTTAAAATCAATAAGATGCTTTTTTTCCTTCAGATTCCGTATTTACAATCGAAAGTGCATAAATATTGAAAAATAATCCATTTTAGACACAAAGAATTTTGTGAAAAGGATTGATTGCCAAAGAAATGACTTGAGAATTTCTCTAAAAAAGCTAAAATGCTTGCAAAATCAATCCCTTTCTCTCTGCATTTCGCCTCATGAATGACGTTCTCTAAATTTCTCCAAAAATCCTCTTTTCTATGACATCTCCTCTATGGTTGATCGTGAATTCTTTTGTTTTCCTTTTCTTCTTCATAGACAACTTCTTTTTCTTCCATTTCATTCCACCAATCCATTTCTTTCTCTTTTCCACCCACCCACTTTTGAATGCCTTCAGGAATTTTTCGGAATCACTTCCAAATTTGCCCTTTTCCCCCTAAGAGAAAGGAATCAGATGCTAAAAGGGAATTACAAAATTTAGAGATTTTAGCTTTTTGCTAACATTCAGAAGTTCCAGAGTATGGGTAGAGTCCAAAACGAAATCATCCAACTTCTAAAGAGCTTGTAGATCGTTTAGTTTTGCAACTAACTCTCTAATTTCGCTACTGAAGCTGAACTCAGGCTTTACAGTGTCCCATAGCCGATGAACTCATTCTTGATACTTCTAAACGCTTACCTTTTACTCCTCAGCTCCGCAAATCACTTTATTCCTTTAATTCCTCAATTTTCAGGTGATCATTCAAGCCTTGTCGAGATCTCGAAACAAAGAATGGACATTCTCGGCATCATCGCCATCATTTTCTTCTATGCTCTCATTTTAATCGTCGGCGTTTGGGCGGGCAGAAAAACGAAAGATGCGAAAGTGAGTCGGGAAAGGGATCGAGGAGATTTCGGAAAAAAAGGCTTTTAAAAGATAGTGCAAAAGACAAAAAAGGGTTGTGAAAAAGAAACATTGGTATTTCTGAAGTAAATTTTAGACACTGGAAGAGGGTGAGCACACGGAAGAGGTGATGTTGGCCGGGAGGAATATTGGTACTCTTGTCGGCATATTCACAATGACCGGTAATTGTTTTTTGAGAATATTTGCAATAGCAATCAAAACTTTTAGCGACCTGGGTGGGCGGAGCGTACATCAACGGGACAGCCGAGGCTCTGTATAATGGAGGATTGCTTGGGTGTCAGGTAAATATATAGTGAAAATAGATCTAGATTTCTTTACCGTAAAAACTCGAATAGAACGCTATCCCCATAATGACAGGCGTACAGTCGCGTAGTCTAACTTCTTAGGAAATCATTTTTTTCTCAGCTCCTAGACTTTTCTCAACTAAACTTTTAGTACCAAAAAATACTAGATTTCAAGAGCTATCATTTGACATCAAAGCGCACACTGTAGCTTAAAGCAGTGCGGAGAATGGGACGTCCAAAGGTAGACTACGCGGCTGTACGCTCGTCATTATGGCGTTCTATTAGAGTATTTACGGTAATATTCTAGGCTCCATTCGGCTACGCGATTTCTCTGCTCGTTGGTGGAGTTTTGTTTGCGAAACGAATGCGAGAAGAGGGATACATCACAATGCTCGACCCATTTCAGGTGCAAATTTACTTCGTGCTTGAAAGTGGAAACGCACACCATCTGGCATCCTCAATTAGCAAAATTTTCCTGGGTATCAAGTCATTTTTTTTTCTAGATCAAGTACGGTCAACGAGTCGGCGGTTTGATGTTCTTGCCGGCATTGTTGGGAGAAGTCTTTTGGAGTGCCGCCATTTTGTCAGCTCTTGGTGAGTGAAAATCGACAGGATCTATGATTTTTTTGAAAAGCTAAGATTAAGAAATATCTGATCAAGGATTCTAGAGTAGTAAAAATAATAAAATGATAGTTTGGCTCAAGAATTTGTGACCTAAACTAAAATAAACGTGTTTTTTTCTTTCTCTTTCTTTCACTCCCCCTTGTATTTCCTCTTTTTTCTCTGGCAAGCAGATCCCGGATAGCTCAGTGGGTTAGAGCATCTCCCCGAAAAGAAAGGCAAGCAGATCCATCCTCGGGTCGAGGGTTCAATCCCTTCTCCGGAAATCTTTCTTTGCCATTCCTTACTTTATTAACCGCTTACTGCTAAAGCACGTTTGATCTTATTTAGACCAATAAACTAGTTATTTATTAAGTACTGTATAAGTATAATCTTATCTTTACTTTAATCTATTCCACTTTCCCTACTTCAGGAGCCACTCTGTCAGTGATTCTCGCTATCGATATAGGTATCTCAGTGATCATCTCAGCCATCATCGCCGTTTTCTACACGTTCACTGGAGGTTTGGCAATTCGGAAAAACAGTCAAACTACGATCCGTTACTAATTCCGCCATTATAAATCTTGCATACTCCAATAGAAATTGTTAGGTCTCTACGCGGTGGCCTACACAGATGTTGTTCAACTCTTTTGCATTCTCGTTGGATTGGTCGGTTTTGCGTTAAGACTTTATTTTGCATCTGATTCCTAATATAGGTATTGTACGGTTTTAAAAATGCATCTCAGTAACTCAATCACAAAATTTGCAGTGGGTTTGCATACCGGCAGCACTTCTGCAAGGGAAAACTAGTGACATCACGAGGAATTACGAAGAGTGGATAGGTAAGCAAATAAAAGACTTTTAAATAAAGCTTTAAAAGTGTCAAAAATACCGTAATCTTAAAGTTTCCCCGATTCCAGGCACAGTTGGCGGTTTCCGAGAGTGGGCTTTGTGGTGGGACTGTATGCTCTTGTTGATATTTGGTGGGATCCCGTGGCAGGTTTGAATCGATTTTTGAAAGCTTAAAGCTTTTCGTGCACTAGATAAGATGTGTTTACAGAGTAGAGTGTGTTCCGCGCGAGCAATTAATTAATCGATTAAAGTTGGACGATTCAAATTGGACTATTCAAATTGGATTCAAATAAAAACAACGCCGCCGGGGTATGGCGTCGAAATACTTGGCTTTGGGCAGTGACCAAATGGTCTAGCGGGTAGTGCGCTCGTCCTTCGCGCGTTCTGTCCCTGGTTCGAACCCTCTCACAGTCGAAACTTTTTGTTAAAGCACTAAAAACAAATTTTTAGGTCTTTTAAAGTGTCTATAAATAGTAAGAAGCTAAATAGGGCTTTTAGAAATGGATAAAAACAGCTTTCATTGACCAGAAAAGAATGGCTTTCACAATCAAAAAGGAATCCGCAGCCGGACTTTTCTCAAGGGCCCCTTTTAGAAAACATATTAATTGCGAGGAGCACACTCTATTACAGATATTGTACAAATGTTTCCATCAATTTTAGGTGTACTTCCAACGCGTTCTCTCATCGAAAACCTCGCAGGGTGCTCGAATGTTATCCTTTGTAGCGGGTATTGGATGTATTTCTATGGCGATACCCCCAGCACTCATTGGGGCAATTGCAAGGAATACCGGTTTGTTCGAAGATTAGAGGATTACAAAGTATTTAAAGATGATAGCACTAAGAACTTTGAGGTGAAGGTTTAGGTCAAAAAAAAGTAGAAGCTAGGTGAAAGTCTAGCTTTGGCGTGGTCAAGAGAACAAAGCCGAGTCAAACTGCTTTAGACTGAAAAGTATCGATTCTAGACTGGACACTCACTGACTATGAACCGTGGAATAATGGCACAAAAACAGTGATGATCCCGGAAGATAAACGGAATATGGTTGTGCCGATCGTCTTCCAATATCTCACACCGAGATGGGTGGCTTTCATCGGTGGGTTCAAATGAAACGCATTTCCAACAAACGTCGGTCTTGACGACATGGCCGACTGGCTAAGAGCCCTGTCTAAGAGCCTTGTTTCCTAGTCAAGAGGTCAAGGGTTCAATCTCGCTGGCTAGAATATTGGTCCTTTTTTTCCCTACATTTAGGGCTTAAGGGTTGTGCTTGTATAAGGTTTTTACCAAATTATTCGTGTGAATATGTGAATATCCATATCTAGGCCTTGGCGCAGTCTCGGCGGCAGTGATGTCATCAGCTGATTCGTCGGTTCTTTCAGCTGCCTCAATGTTCGCGCATAATATCTGGAAGTTGACAATTCGACCACATGTGGGTTGGATCTTGAAAAGATCTCGATTTTGAGATTCAGCACTGAAAATTTATGACTATTTTAGGCTTCCGAAAAAGAAGTGATAATTGTAATGCGATTTTCGATAATCGTTGTTGGAATTATGGCCACAGTTATGGCGCTCACCATTCAATCGATTTATGGATTATGGTGAGTTTTTTGGGTACAGATTTATAATAGAAATTGTAAACGGCAGTGTGCCAAATGCCGTTTTTTCGGTGATCAAGGGTACACACAGACCTTGGGTAATTAAACCAGCGAGAAGGCCTTTCCAGCCATGTTTATGAGGGGCCGTGTGCCAGATGTCGTTTTTTTCCTTTGAGCGACATCAAGGGTACGCACAGCGAATAATGAATCTTACTGATGCTGACGAATATTGCTGAATTGAAGAAGAAAATTATATAGAATTAGAAAATAATTCTTTACTATTGCTGAATTGAAACAGAAAATAATATAGAATTTAGTTTGTCTCTAATCTTTGTCTTAGTTTGTCTCTAATCTCTCTGATCACTGTCAATTGCAGGTATTTGTGTGCGGATCTGGTCTACGTGATTCTTTTCCCACAACTTCTTTGTGTCGTCTACATGGAAACATCCAATACCTATGGTTCAATGTCCGGATATTTTGGTGAGGATAATTGAATCAGATCAAGAGATGAGCAAAGAGATGAGCAAAGATCCAATGAATTCAGTTGGGCTGATCCTTCGATTATCTGGCGGAGAGCCGTTAGTCGGTTTGCCTGCTTTCATTCACTATCCAATGTATGATGTCGATGAAAAGAAGCAATATTTCCCTTTTCGAACGATGGCCATGTTATCAACACTGTTTACATTGTGTTTTGTGAGTTTTCAAGATACTTGAGAATCGGGTTCATATTTGAGAATTGCCAGGAAGATTGAGGGGGGTTTTTTTACTTAGCTAAAGGTTAATGAGAAATATCGACAGAAGGTTAATGATAAGTGCTTATTTATAAGTAATACTCCCTTTTTCTCTACCTTTTTCATTTGCACGATCACTGGTGGGTCGTTTTGTTGCTTTGATGTCGAAGGTTTCCCTCCGAACGATTTGCGAATTGGATTGGATGGATTGGATGGATTGAAATGAATGGATTGGATAAAAATAGAGAAAAGAGTTGAAATTTGTCAACAATGGATCAACAATGAGACGTTAATGGGCACTATTTGAGAGAAAACACTGAAGCATTTCTTTTAAAGCCACTTATTACCGTATGGCTTCAAGAGAAAGCTAAAATTCTCAGAAAACATCTGCAATTGTTGAACATGTTTTCTTGTTATTGAAATTAAATTTCGGCAAAGAAAATCTCTGGAATGAGAATTTCTTTTATGAGTTAGTTTCTAAGCAACAAAACGACCCACCAGCGATCAATAGTTCAAGCTGGAAGTGGCTAAGGTAATTCTAGATAAATCTAGCTTTCTATATCGAATTTAAAACTTTTCACTCTTGAATTTGCTTGTAAGTGAAAGGAAATTGATTTAAAAAGATGAAAAATTGAAGAATAAGAATCTCTTATTAAGAGAAAACAAATCAAATTTATTTAAAATTTGTTATTTTTTTCAACAAAAGTATTAAAAGAAATGAAAAGCCGAATACCGTATTTCTTCGAATAGAAGGTCGGGTAAAGAGTATCATCGCGTACTCCTGCGGGTAAAGAGTATCATCGCGTACTCCTGAGGGTAAAGAGTATCATCGCGTACTCCTGAGGGTAAAGAGTATCATCGCGTACTCCTGCGGGTAAAGAGTATCATCGCGTACTCCTGCGGGTAAAGAGTATCATCGCGTACTCCTGCGGGTAAAGTGTATCATCGCGTACTCCTGCGTAGCAGCCCTTTTTAGAATTTCTTTTCTGCATAAAAGCTTTCAATCAAGTGCTATAGGGCTGGAAAATGGCTCAAAAATCTGTTAGCTCATGTCGTATTTTTGAGTCATTTTCCAGCCCTATAGCACTTCATTGAAAGCTTTTATGCAGAAAAGAAATTTTAAAAAGGACTGCTACGCAGGAGTACGCGATCATACTCTTTACCCGGCCTTCTTTTCGAAGAAATACGGTAGTTTCGTTTATCTTTAAAATCTTCACCAAATTATCAGTGAAACAGTTAACGACTACGCGACTGTACGTCAAAAATGTCAAATGGTGAATGTGTTAATCAATAGCATCATTTTCAGTCATCTTTAGAAAATATCTGGTATTTTTGAGATTTTGAGCTTTCTCTTGAAGCCATTCTGCAATAAGTGGCTTCAAAAGAAATGCTTCAGTCTTTTCTCTTAAATAGTGTCCATAAACGTGTCATATTGTTGACAAATGTTAACTCTTTTCTCTATTTTTATCCATTCCAATCAATTCCAATCCATTCCAATCCATTCCAATCCATTCCAATCCATTCCAATCCATTCCCATCAATTCCAATCAATTCCAATCCATTCCAATCCATTCCAATCCATTCCAATCCATTCCAATCCATTCCAATCCATTCCAATCAATTCCATTTTGTGACTCCAACAGTGATCAAATCTCAAAGCCAAAGATAGATAAATTGGATAAAACTCGGCAAGGCAATAGTTCGAAAGTTGACTTAAAAGAAAGCTTTATCAATACGTCTATTTTAGGTGTCTCGCTTCTCGATTTGGCTCTTTCGTACGGGTCGTTTACAACCAGAAATGGACATCATGGGTTGTGTTGTCAATGTGCCACAGGTATCAAAAGATCTCATTAAGAACAATTTCGGTGAGTTAACTCCCTCTGGAGTAAGGGGCGACAGCTGCGTTGTGGTGTAATGGTTAGCACGGTTAGCCGTTAGGCCGAGGGTGGCGGGTTCGAGTCCCGGCGGTGTGGCCAAAAGTTTTTTGAGCTGTCCTTTTGAACTGTTGAACTGAAAGGGTTTAACGGGTACAATACTGTACTATTGATTATCAAATTTTCCATTCTTTAGGCAGAAATTTCTTGTCATTGTTTTCCGAAAGTTTTTTTGATTTTAGCCTGCTCTGAATCTCACAAATGATTTGGTGAAAAATTTTTGAGTAAAAGAAAAATCTTTTTGTAAATTCGTTGTTGGCATGGGATAAGTCAAGTATTTTTTTTAGAAAGAAAAATTCATTTTTCAAAGCATGTACTGTACATTTTAAAGTGTACAATGTGTACATTTTGAAGTGTACAAAGGGTACATTTTGAAGTGTACAAAGTGTACATTTTAAAGTGTACAATATGTACATTTAAAAAATAATAGACTTTGTGTACTTTGTGCAAGAAAAAAGGCGAAAAAAACAAGCTTTCTGGTGGATTTTTCCTAATTCATTGCACTAGAAAGGGTCGTTTAAAGGTTTAAAGGCCATAGTCTCATGTTTATTTTTGGGTATTTTATGTGAAACTTTTTTCAAAGTGTATTTTATGTTTTCTTTTTGATTTCAGGAACGAATCGCTCTCCGTTCGGATGTTTCATTCAATGTCAGCAGTGAAACTCTTCTATTGGCAAATGTGTGCTAAAAAAAGGATATTTACAAGATTTTTGATATTGTTGCATGTTTTGATGTTGTACATGTCAAGGTTTAGATAGATTACGGTAGTTTATGTCTAAGATAGACTACGGTAGCTTGTGTCTAAGATAGATTACGGTAGCTTTCATTTACGATAGATTACGGTAGTTTATGTCTACGATAGATTACGATAGCTTATGTCTACAATAGATTACGGTAGCTTTCATTTACGATAGATTACGATAGCTTATGTCTAAGATAGATTACGGTAACTTATGTCTACGATAGATTACGATAGCTTTCAATTACAGTAGATTACGATAACTTTCGTTTACGATAGATTACGGTACCTTTTTCGAATCTTTTAAAAGCTTGTGAGAAAAGAATACAGTAAAGAAAGCTATGAAAACTGCAATTATTAGGTTGGCAAGTTATAAACGATCGTTTTTTTGGGTGATGTGTTTACTGAAAAAAACGGCTTATCCAATCAAAAAAACGGTTTGCTTCATTCAAAAGCCTTAATCTACAAAATGGCTTTTTTGAATTTTTGCAAAAATGTTTTATTTTAGAACTTTTTTTTCAGGCATTTTAATGTAAGAGTTGAAAATCGTGGTTTCTAGCATTTCTAGCATTCATAAGCTAATATATTTTTGAGTCATTGCATACTTTTTAAAATAAAACGCTTCATTGATTACATAGTTTCCCAAAATTTCAGAACAACGAAGGCGTAGACAGGCGTAGACAGGCGTAGACAGGCGTAGACAGGCGTAGACAGGCGTAGACAGGCGTAGACAGGCGTAGACAGGCGTAGACAGGCGTAGACAGGCGTAGACAGGCGTAGACAGGCGTAGACACCAACGGTTTCCGCTGCCGCGACAGTAGCGGTCGGGCGTTCTAGCTGCTTATAGCTGTGTCGTAGCACACACTGTGACGCGAGGCGTTTACAGTATTGATCCACCGGCAGGTTCACCTACCGGTACCTTTGTTACGACTTTTACCCGGTTCAAACCGTCGCGATCAAGCCAGTTCACCACTCGCAAGGAACAAGTCCCGCGAACGATTCCCTGGATTTCTCGAAACGGTTCAGTCCCGGGTAGCGACGGGCGGTGTGTACAAATCGCTACAAATACAAATTATCTCTCTAAATCAGTTATCTCTCTAAATTCGGTTCCTTCTTATGCAATCCAATCTTCGGAAGGTTGATTTTCAAATTTCAAATGCACTTTTGTACTAATTTAATCCATTTTCGTTTGAATTTAAGCAAGATTAAAAAAAAAAGATTAAAAAAAAGAGAACGGTTCGATCGATTGGATTGCTCTGAAATTTTTTTTCAATTTATATGCAAATTGAGTTTTGGTTTGTTTTGGTGTTTTGCTGTTTTGGTTTTGGTCTGTTTTGGTCTGTTTTGGTTTGTTTTGGTCTGTTTTGGTTTTGGTTTTGTTTGCCGAACTCTACTAGAAACCAGAATTTTCAACTCTTACATTAAAATGCCTGAAAAAAGTTCTAAAGTAAAACATTTTTGCAAAAATTCAAAAAAGCCATTTTGTAGATTAAGGCTTTTGAATGAAGCAAACCGTTTTTTTGATTGGATAAGCCGTTTTTTTCAGTAAACCAAAAACCACCCAAAAAACGATCGTTTATAACTTGCCAACCTAATAAAACTCAATTTCTTAAGCGGTAATCCTTTTCTAGTTCTAGATGAGGCTTAAGATGTGTTTTTCGGTTATTGAGGCTTTTTATTGACTTTGAAATGCTATAGATGGCTTAGCTGAGCTTAATTTCTTTGCTTACGGCTTAATTTAAACAAAAAGCTCCAAGAATATCGGGAAAGAATCTCAAATTTTCAGGCGAACGGCTCCACTGCCTCGATGACAACAACAGTGGAGAACGGTGGTGGAAAGACGAATCCGTCCTTCACAGAGAGCACTCACCTCCATCCATCGCATGCAATCAATACTTCTTATGCTTCAATTGACCATTGAGTTTCTTGTCGAGCTTTTAAATAGCCTTTTTTTATCTTAATCTTTTTTAAAAGCTTAATCCCTTATCGTTTGGTGCAATCTTTGACTTCCAACTGCTCTTCCAACGACCAGATTTGTGGGTACATTCTTGTGGCAATACTTTTTTCGATTTAGAGCTATTTTCATTAAAAAATTTTATGAATTCCAATGTTATCAACTCGATTTTGAATCTTTAAACTTTAAAATTTCTTTTTTAGCTTTAAAATTTCTATGTTCTTTATTTATTTAAATGAATTAGAACCGATTCTCACTAAAATCAAATTTTCGGTAGGAAGATCGTTTTTTTTTTCAACTAAACCAAGTTCTAATTGGTAGATTAAATAAAATGAATAGCGCCAATCAATTCCTCGATCTCGAAAGCCCGAAGGTACAAATTTACAGCTGAATTTCTTTTTATACCATCAACAAAGCAAATATAAATAACTGGCGAGGTGTTCTTTGGGTGGCCGGGTAATCGCTCGCTTTCTGGCGCACGCGCCCGATAGATAGGTGCTTGTTTTTGGTTTCCCTAATCGAAAAGGCCTTTACCGATTCCCCGTTTTTAACTATGTCAAATTTGCCTCGGTTTCTCGATAAACAAAGCTGCTTTTAGTGAGAATCAATCCCAATTTCTGGGCCAGAAACTCCCGGTTCTCTGATAGAATCCCTCTCTTGGAATGATCTCTGATAGAATCCCTCTCTTGGATCTCACTTTTTGTAGATAACCATTTATTTTTTATGATTTCCCCACTTTGAACGTCTAAAAAACGGCTCGGGTGTTTCTTTTGTGTTTTTGAAGATTTTCTTTCTTGAAACTTAGCATTAGGATTCAATCTTTTTGTCTTTTCTAGCATTTTTCGCTCGTCTGATGTCGTCTGAATCGCTTAGTCTAATGAGAAAATAAATTTATTATACTTTTTCTTAATGGAAAAGATTTTATTGATGATTTTTTCAGAAGTAGAATCGCCCGGTTGCTTTGTACACCCGACGGAGAGCTTGCTTTTCGTAGAAATTCGGGATTCCTGGGGCAAAGGTGACATGAACTCCCTGAAAATTGAGAGAAATAAGGTAATTTTATATGAATCTTGAAAGTGGATAGGAGTTGATCAAGTAGACTAAGGTTAAATAATGAATGTTAATTTTTTTTGATGACTTCAATAACAGTCACCGTTCGTTCCTTTTTCCCATTGACAATCTAACTTTAACCTTGAATTTCTTGGTGTGCAATTGTCTGATTGAGACAATTTAGGTATCAATCAATAGAGGAAAACGTGACGAATTTAATGATACCTAAATTGTTTCAATCAGACAATTGTACGCTAAGAAATTCATGGTTAAAGTTAGATTAATAATGGGGGGAAAAGGAACGGACGGGGACTTTTAGAAAAGGCATTAAAAGGCATTAAAATGCATTAAAAGCTTTCTTATTTCAAATGAAATCTCTTTCAGTAAGACAAATTTGACAGAAACTAACAAAAAACTAACAAAAAACAAAAATGACAAAAACTAACATGATTATACATGAAGTGACGATTGAAAGCATGATCTTGCGGCTTTCTCCACTCGTAGGCACTAAAAAGTAAATAAGTATGTTTAATGAAAGAATTTTTAAGCTATTTTGCTTATCATACCAGAATTATAATGAAAATATATAAAAAATTGAAACCTGTAAGCAAAACGATTCGCAAAATCATCAGCTTTCAAGCGAGATGAGACATATCGATCGAGATAAGCCTGTGAGCCATGGAGATACGATTTATTCCACGCTTCACGCTGAAATAAAGCTCGAGAATTCACTTTCAATCATTTTCTGTCTTTCAATTTAACAATAGTAAAGCATCAAAGCTCAAAATTACAATATTAGAAGTTATTTGGCTTTCCAGAAACTAGCTAAGAAAGAAAAGAAACGAAAAGTCTTTTCTGGACAGCTTAGCACCTTTTTTTTAAAACAATTTACCTGATCATGGAAAATCCGTTTTGCTTGGAAAGTGAAAAATGGGACATGCGTCTGTGATCGAGGGATATCAGCGGTCACATTTCGGTATGGTCGCTCGACTTCTCGGTGAACGTCCTGGAAAGGGAAGTTCAGAGCATTAGTTCGATTATTCACCTATCTCATCAAATTCTACCAAAAAAATAGATTAATTAAATGAAAACTGAAAGGAAAATGTTGGGAATATTGTTGTTTTAAATCATTTCCCACAAATTATTTATTTACTGTGTTTTCTAAAGTGTGGACCTTTACCGTACCCCTATTTGTCCGCCATTTCACAGCGCCTCTTTTTGGTCAAATGCATTTCGCCTTTTTTTTGTTTGTTTATTTGTTTTGTTTATTTGTTTTGTTTATTTGTTTTGTTTATTTATTTTGTTTATTTGTTTTGTTTATTTGTTTTGTTTATTTGTTTTGTTTATTTGTTTTGTTTATTTGTTTTGTTTATTTGTTTTGTTTATTAGTTCTCTTTATTAGTTCTCTTTATTAGTTCTCTTTATTAGTTCTGTCTATCTTATTCTGTATCTTCTTAGTTCTCTTAACCTTGTTTATTTATTTACTCAATTTTGGTGCACTTGTTTGATGTTGTTTCAAAAGTAACTATATTCAACAAGTTAAACTCTAGAAGATACATCGATCTGAGATCATTTCTTGGGGTAGGCTAATTTCCGCAAATTTTTTTTTTGCAACAGGGTCATTTGCGCAACTCTCCATAACTTTCTTTTAAGTGGGCCAATCTTTATGATTTCGGTTTCATTTTGTTGTACTTATTGAACCAAAATCATAAAGATTACAAAATAAAACCAAAATCATAAAGATTACAAAATAAAACCAAAATCATAAAGATTGGCCCACTTAGGAGAAAGTTATGGTGAGTTGCGCAAAAAAATTGCGGAAATTAGCCTACCCCGTTTATTTGTTTTATTTATTTGTTTGTTTTTTGCTTTTTATTTGTTTTTGCATTGCGCAATATTTCTGTTTAAATAAATGAAATCAACTTCAACTAATCAAATTGTACGATCAAAAACAAGAAAACAACATCGACAACGATGGTTTTCTAGAATGAAACAAACTCTAGCTGATCAAAATAGCGCCACGGCAAAAATAGCCCGTCTTTAGTTAAGTTTCCGTTTTCTTATTCTTATTGAATGAGAAACACATACATTTTTCAGAAAACAGAAAATTATCTACATTTTGCATAGTTTGCGATCACTTAAAAAAGAATTTGTGTAGAGAAAAGCTCAGTCAAACCTTTTTAAGCCCTTTTTCATTTTTTCGCATTCTCTTATATCAGATTTGTTCTAAACGCCAAAAAATTCAGCAGATAGCTATTTTTTTTTTCTATATCCAATGAAACAGAAATAAACTTAATTGCAAGCGCATGGTTTTGGCCGCATTATTATTTTCTGATAGTAGAAAATGATGATTTTATAAAAAAATGTACCCCATAACGAGCAGGCGCGTAGGCATTCGCGTACCATTGACTGTAGTGTGGCTTGTAAACTTTCTCGGTGTGCACGATTCGTTGAGCTTCCCGGTCATACTGAAAATTTCAAGCTCACCATTTGATATACATTTAATAAGCATAAAATTTCCCTTAAATGAGGTAATCTTTGCGATCTTTGCAATCTCTATGTGCTGATTATCAAACTACTCTACCTGTGGAAGGGAAAGTGATGGAGCAAGCGATGAATATGAAGAAGTTCTCTTCAATCGAGGGAATTCGGTGGGCGTTTCGCGGACATACGTCAAATTCGTCAATGACGCTGAACGGCCCAATCGCTTTGGTTTTGAGAAAACCTGAAAATATGCAAGGTGAGTAGTTAATAAACATAAGATCTTAGTTAATTGTTTAGGTTAGTTAATAAACAAGATCAGAATCAGATCAGATCACAAGCCTTCGTGGTCTAGTGGATAGTGGATAGTGGATGCTGCCGAAAATATTGCATTTTAGGCGAGAATGGGACTCGAACTTGAGGACAAAGAATGTTGGTTCAGTAGTCTAGCAGGCTATCTACTAGACCATCGAAGTAGTTGTTAAATGAATTGTGGCGGCCTGATAAGCAGCTCGAAATTCAAGATGATTTTCTAAGTCAGATATCCCTCGTTCTGCAAAAACTAAAAACAGATTGAGATCCCATAGCCGACTCTATAAGATGGACTTGGTCTTGAGACAAAAGGCCAGCTTGACTCTTTCCCTTGTCATAAGCTTTGAAGTTTGAACTTACATCTCCGAGAAACTCGCTGTAGGCGTTTTGCGCTCGCGCTCGTTCGACATAGTTTCTGCAAGTTATTTGAAAGTTCTTTGAAGATTTTTAGTTCTGCCTTGAACAGTAAATAGCATTTAAATGAAAACCTAAAACCCCACTGACCTCCTCGGATATTCATCCCACCATTTACACTTCTCATCGGCATCTTCTCTCACGAGTCTTTCCGCTCTCCGCGCCGCCACCAAACCCACCGCCATTTCTTCAGGTGGGATTCCCTTGTTTGAGAGGAGCTGAAGACATTAGAAAGAAGTTTATAATGTCAATATCAATATCAACAAGAATATTTAAATAAAGCTAAAGAAAAGATATACATTCTGACAATAAAAATGTAAGAGTAAGGTTTAATAAAAAATTGTTGGGCTTGGAAATTGAATACAAATACTTTGACAGGAAAAAAACTATGATAACAGTTTTCTGAAACGAAGAACCAAACCTGTATAATTTGAGATTCAAAAAAAAAAGCTGAACGGGGCAAATAAAATCAAAAAGAGATATCGAAAATAGTGTAATAAGGGGGAAAGTGGAAAAAGAAGTCGAAGGAAAAGGCGGAAAAGGATGAGAAGAGATCGACAAGGGATCACCTAAGGGAAAGCTGAGGGAAAGATCGATGATTTGAGAAGAAATGAGGGGAAACATTGGGGGAAAAGATCTCTTTTTGAGAGGTTTGAGAATGAGGTTTTGATCTACACTGGCTGGCTGGGACAGCCGCGGCCCCCGCACCTCTTTTGTCTTTGTCTTTGTCTTTGGGTTTGGGTTTGGAGAAATGGATTCACACAAAGAAAGATTCGTGTTGAAAACCGGGAACTGAACTGATGAAATTAGTATTTGTGTTGAAAATTTGTGATTTTGCTTTGAAGCTTCTAGAGTTTTAGTCCAATAGACTAGCGGCTTTCAATTCGGAAACTTCTAATAACGAGCTTGAGCTATGTCGTAATGTCAATACAGTAATTCTATTGAATAATTTCACCTATTTAGCTTACAGTTATTTAGGGATTACGGTAGTTCATCTATTAGTTACTTACAATCACTTACATGGGGCCCAGAAAGGGAAGGGTCTGTGGTCGACCCCGTCCGATCTGCCAAGTTGAGCAACGTCGGCGCGGGTTAGTCGTGGGTTCGCCCCCCCCCCCCGGCGCCCCGCCCGGCCATCGGGGTATCACGGCTACGCACTACACTTCTGCCTCAAAATGGAAGGGGGTGTGACTGCGCGTGCGAGACAGACAAACATTATTATTATTATATTTAACTGCATATTCAATCTATTAAAATAAATCTTTTGATCAGAAGAGAATGTCGAGGTTTTTGAGAAGCAGTCAAAAAACAAGGAGGAATTGAAAAACTGTGAAAAATGACTGTGAAAAAAGAACGGTTCAGGGACAAACGGAAATAATGGAATTGTTGCTCCAAGAAGTTTCAAGAGAAAAACCAAAAAAAAAGCTTGATCAGCGATCTAACCCTGATCCCGTGAGCGGAAACCTAATGGATTAGGTTTCCGCTCACGGGATCACGATCACGGCCTAGTGAATAACGCATTATAATGCGTTACTCACTAGGCCACCAGGAAGGAGCGTTTACTCTGATCGCTTGCGAGATCGGACTACTATCGGGAGCATGTGCCAGACAGTGAGCGATTACGCGGCCGCACAAAAAACACCCGCGCTTTACATTGCGATTTCTCTTTTGTTCTGTAAATGATTCCCAAATGAGATTTAATGTTAATAATTTGTGCCCTAGGGTTTTCAGAATTGTAGAATTTATTGGCAGAGTTTATTTTAACCCTTTATCCCAAGAAAAGATCCAAGAGAATCGAATTGGCTCTGGGTTTTACATGCTTTGCTAGCTTAGTAGCTTTGCACAATGAAAAAGACCAATTTCTATGTAAATCTTTAGAAAACAAGCAATTTTTCATCGATTTTCTTTGATTCCAGTCGAATTTCGATGCAACGTATCGCTCGGGATCGAAAACTTCGATATAACGAACCTAAAATGTGGCTCAAATTTTCTGCGCTTCTGCCCTGAACGGTCACTGATTGCATTTTGCTGGGGCATCAAATTTTGGGCACGTTTTCGAATTTCCAGTTGTTTTATCGAAGTTCGACTTTATTTTCATTTATTTCTTGTCTTCATTTATCCAATTATCATTTAATTTTATTTAAAATTCGATAAATTGGCTTTTCAATTAATTTTATGAAATACTTTTGCACGGATTCGTTTATATTGGGGTTGGTGGAAAAGTCTTTTCAGATTTTTTGGAAGAGTACCTTAAATATTACAATATTATTCTAAATTTGTCCAATTTTGATGTTTTATAGCTCATCCTAAAGCTGAATTCAAGACGGATCGATTGGTAAAAACCGTTTTGAGATATCTCTTTTCTAAAAGTTTCTAATATTTCAATGTGAATTTCGATGTCTATTTCAATGTCCATTCAATGTTTCCTTGTTTTCTTTTCCTCAATTCTCATTTATTTCATCATTTTGTGCCATTTTCCGGGTTTATTAGAGGCTAAAGATCAAATTTTTGAAGGTTTTTTTAAACGATCAAGATATTCAGTGATCTGTGATTTTCTGCGCTTCTGCCCTGGACATTCACTGATTGCATTTTGCTGGGACATCAAATGCCAATTAATTCCGATTAATGTAGTCAAAAGATTTTGCATAAACGATATTTACAGTTACAGGAATGCTTTTAGTTTCAGAGATTCGCGAAATCGAGTCAAAATTCTTTCCAAAATCTTTCCAAAACAATATTATTATATTGTAACAATATTATACTTTCTTGATTATTACCCCATAAAAAAACCATTCAAAAACCTAGATTCCCCAAATCACTTCATTTTTTTACGCTGAAAACAGTTTTTCACTCTGCTCCTATCGATCTCTAATTGCCTAAAACGTCAAGAATGACGCCGAATGAATGCCTAAAACTTCAAGAATGACGCCGAACGCTTATTATCAGCTTATTTCATTAATTTACAAGTAAAAAGAGTACAACTTGTTTAAAAACTGAGTTTTCGAATAAAGAAAAGTTTTGGGCTGATTTTGTTCGGGTTTTTTCTAAAAAAATAGAGAAATGAGGCAGCGATTTTTTAGAAAAAAAAAACCCGAATAAAATCGGTTTAGAGGTTCGCGAGAAATAATGATTTAGATAAAAAAACAACGACTATGCGACGCTTCTCTGGGCATTTTATACTATTAGAAAAAAGGAAAAATACGATATTGAAAATTTGTAGCCGTGGGCTTTCGATTTCGATCAATTGACGGGATCTCTTTTGCTGTAACTTTGGAGAAATGGATTCTATCACTAAGAAGACTATCGCTGAATTTTTGAGGTTTATTTTGCTCAAAAAGCATCAAAGAGTCAACAAAATGAATGAAAACAAAATCAGAATAGAGAAAAGCTCACAAAACTCACGTCACTTTTTGAGAACTTTTTCGTCTTTGGCAATGGGTTGACAATTGACAAAAAAGAAAAAAAAAACCGAAAAATAGTTGTTTGTTGATGGGGACAAAGAACGAATCATCCCAGAATGGATACATTTTGAAAACGGGGAAAGAGGGGGCAAAAAAAGGGAGTGGCTGTGTAAATATATAAATATCTTCAAATAATACTATCTATATAATGGTGATTTTAGGGTTGAAACCATTCAATTGTCCCTATTGACTACTGATCACCAAAATGAGCCCATTTTTACGAATTTTAGCGCTAACCTTTGTCTGGTAAGAAATAGTTGATAAATTTTGCTTATGAGTTTCAAATTTTATAGCTAGAGTCGTTCTAAGAAGTCTAATTTCCCAAGTAGCCCTGTTTTTCCAAAGCTTTCGGTTCTCATTTTCAATGTACTACTATAGTTTTATAGTAAACTTATAAACTATAGTATATAACTATAGTTTATAGTTAGTTTTATAGTAGATCCAATCCTGTTATACCCCGGCATACAATCCAGGCATATTTGTGCCCATGCTCATTTTCTAAAAGGTACCTAAAATTTGAGAAAACTATCCTCGTCAAACCGTTAGTTTACGTCTAAACAGTCCGATTTTTGTATCATTCACTGAGCTTTTTAATTTCTCATCGAATATACAAAAATTGGGCTGATCAAAAGAAAAATGAACAATGATCAAAAGAAAAAAATGCGTTAGTTTCAAAGATTTAATAGTAATGTTTAGTTTTGTAGGAAATGAGCTTTCGTTGTTTCCATTCAACTCCCTAAACCATCTTACAATTAGTTTTGGCCTTCATTGTGGTTCGGCTAGGAAAAGTTCCGGATTCTCCACTCAGCTCCCAAATGGAAATTGATTCATTCATTTTTTTCTCATTCCAAAGAGAAACAGAAAATTTACCGCGTAAAAAAATAATTTCACTTAATCTGACAAAAACAAATGATTTGAAAAAAATGAAAAAGAAACGACGACGCGACGCTCCCATCGACTACCTCCAAATGGCGGCGACGTCAATTGGAATGCGACGTCGCGCGAAATTTTCATTTCATAACATTTCAAATTTGAGCCAGAAATTCGAATTTATCATGAAAACGTCTATTTATTAAATAATAGTAAATACTCGAAATCATTCTCTAAGATTCTCTACTGTTTCAAAATTGTTGAAATATAGGTTGAACGATTCAAAAACGGTTCAAAAACTGTTCAAAAACCGTTCAAAAACAAGAACGATTCAAAAACCGATTCAGAACTGCACGTTCGTTATTGAATAGATTCAATAATAGCAGAACCTAAATAATATAATCTAGAAATATATAAAGCAAAATCTAAATATGATAGGTAGAACAATAGTTAGAGATGTAAATGGGTTCAGTTTTTAATTCTTACCGATATTTTACGATATTTCTCAGTACCGATATTTTACTCTTGTTCTCTTCATCCAGAGCTTTCAGTGATACCCTCTTGTTTGCTCAAGACAATGAAAAAGGATTGCTTCGATCAAAGAGACAAACATTTTATTATCTTTGTGGAAATCCACCGAATCAGTACTATTCAACAACACGTAAGTTACATGAATAAATTGATATGAAAGGCTATGACAGGCGATTATAGTCCAAGCAGCAGTCCAATAGTCCAATAAGCAGTCCAATAGTTCAATAAGCAGTCCAATAGTCCAATAAGCCTTCTCACAATCTAACACCAAGTAAACCAAGCAACAAATCAACGATTTCCACTTCAGCCTGTACCCCGAATCCCCCTCGTTGTCAGAATGGCGGTCGATTGATCGGTGTCGGGTGCAAGTCATCAATCGATTGTACACCATTTCACTCAGGCACATCGCAATGCATCACCGTAATCTAATATTTTTTTAAAACATTATAAATTCAATTTTTTCAGGGTTGTTGCTGTACTATTCCTCCACCCACTCGACCGCCAGTCAATCAGAATTTCGGTGAGTTTAAAGATACTTTCAAAAGCTTTATTTTCACATCTAAAACTATCCCATACTTACAAAATAACTTCTTCTCTTATATATTAAACTTTTAATATAAAATTCGAGGTATTTGCTATCACGGCCAACTGTCTGAAGTCGTCTGCAGCCGTAACAATCAATGCGCTTCCGGGCAACTCTGTATGAATGGATTGTGTTGTACAGCTACGGGAAACGCCTTTGAACGTAGATTTTGGATTTAAATATGATAAATATAATATGATAAGCATAGTAATATTTAGATGCATGCGGAGGAGAAGCAGCTTTAGGGTCATGCAATCGATTTGGAACATGTTCGATAGGTGAGTGGAAAGGATAGGAAATACTAAATTACAAAATAAGATAAATCTTAAAGAGTTAACTCCCTTTGGAGACAGGAAGAGAAAATGCGTTTTGGTGTAATGGTTAGCACTGTTGGCGGGTAGGCGAAAGGTGGCGGGTTCGAGTCGCGCCTCGACCTTTTGATCTGCTAGTTAAAGATCATCTTAAGGTTTAGTTCTCAAGATTTTAGGTGAAACGTGCGTCTCTTCAAACTATTGTTGTGAGTGTGCTGTCGGTATTTCGCCAGGTCGATGCACGAATTCGGTGAGAATAACTAGTTTGGGTAAGACTGGAAACGCGTACTGGATTCTTTTGTGCAATCTGGTGTTAGAAAGAATTGTTTATTGGTATCTATTGGTTTTTAATCGATAATTGATCAGATACTTCATTAAGGTTTTCCTAACTGTAATACCGTATTTTCTCTAATAGTAGTGCACCCCACCGAGCCGAGTTGATGACTATTTACGGCTTCCAAAGTTTTCGCAGAAGCTCAACACTCAAATCCCCGACAAGATCTCATCGTCAACTACATTTTCCGACCCCACATCGATAGGTTCTGATAAGCGGTTCTCGAGATTTCGAGGAATTTAGACGACGCTCAGGGTGCACTAATATTAGAGAAAATACGGTAATTTTAATAAAACAATCGTTTTCTACTGTTTTCTTTTCAATATGTTAATCTTTGAGGGTGTTTGTCCTCTCGGCTATCAATGTAACTCAAATGGTTTCTGTTGTGGTTCTTGTCCGGGAAATGTGATGCCATTTGGGGCGTGTCTGAATGGAAAATGTGGCGGTGGAAGGACATGTCGACCAGGAAATATTTGTTGCTCTTCATGAACATTTTGAATATTCAACATTCAACATCTGTATATATCTGTAAAATCTAAAAAAAAAAAATGTAACCGAATCTAGAACCTCTGAAACACTATGCTTTCTTTAATAAGTCTTTCTTAAATTTTAATATCTCATGGAATATCTCATTGGAAAAATGGCATTTCAATAAAATTTGAAATTATTTTAACAATTTTGAAAAATTCTCACTTACATCGACACCAAAATCGAGTTTTAAGTGAGAAAATTTTGTAAATGAGTGAAAATGAGTGAAATTGTGGTCGTGTGAGTGTGGGTGAGCGATTTTTGAGGCTAAAAACGCGAGCCAAAAACAGGGTTTTTCAAAAATTAGCAAACACTTGAGGAAACGCATTATTAGATTATTTTGACATTTGACTTTGGCTTGATTGACTTTGGAAAATGTTTACATGAAAAAGAATCTAGGTGACAAGGTGTCAAAAATTGCCGTAACCTTTGTTTACTGATCGTTTACCTATCGTTTACCTATCTGATCGTTTACCTATCGTTCTTTTGCGTTTACCTAACGTTATCGTTCGTTTACCTATCGTTTACCTATCGATCGTTCTTTTAAATCATTTTGCCTTTTGTTGAAATGTCAAGTATCACATTGAAATGTAAAATCAAAGAAACAAATGTTGAAAGATTGTTTCAATCGTAAATAAACGAATCAAATAATTGGAGCAGCTCAAAAAAAACTTCCCTCCCCCGGGACTCGAACCCGTGACCTTCCGCTCCGGAGACAACTCCCCTAACCACTACACCACGACACCCTTGATCCCCTCTGCTCCAGAGGGAGTTAAGTAAATCTTTTCTCCGAAATCAATTAGCAATTTGGCCTTCATCTCAAGGGAGAAGGAGAAAAAGTTTTCAAAAACAAAAAAATCTACAACTCTTCGAGATTCTCATAGTTATTTCTTACTATTATTTCAGTTTTAATTTCTTTCTTATTTCTTTTCATGGTAACATTGGTTCAAAGACTGAAATCAAAGACAAAAACATTCTTAGATCACTCTTAGAAACCTATCAGACAGATATTTTTAAGTAATTTTTTTCTAGAAATTCTGTATTCATTTTTAAAAGTCTCATGTTCAAGTTCAACTTCTGTTTCCTTCGTTTTCAATCATTTTACAGTTTAATGCTTTAGTTTTTCCTTTGCTGAGGAGGAATATATCGCTGAGAAGAAAACTGCGAAGAAAGCTAGGAAGAAAGCTGCGAAGAAAGCTGAGAAGAAAGCTGAGAAGAAAGCTAGAAAGCTAGGAAGAAAGCTAGGAAGAAAGCTACTGATGAACTCGACACCGTCTCCCCAAACTACCTCATCAAATATCTCTGATTTATCCAATCCATCTTATTCCTTTTATCCAGATATTGAATACGATGAGGAATATCTAGCTGAGAAGAAAGATCTCCATGTGGTTTTCGGAGTAGTTCAACTTCTCGTCGTTGCAATTTTCCTCATTTTACATCTACTTATGCTCAGGGTTGGGTTTTTTCAATTACAATTTAAAACTTTTAAAAAAAGTTCATTGATCTCATAGCTGACTAATTGTTTTGTTAGCTGTCTGTAGTTTTTTTTTTTGAAATATCAAAAGCTCATCATTAATCTCTTAAGATCTCTGGGGACGAAGAGAACAAAAAGCTATTTAAAAGAAAAAGCTATTTAAAAGAAAAAGGCATTTAAAACAAAAACCTATTTAAAATAAAAAGGTATTTAAGACAAAAAGCTATTTAAAAGAAAAAGCTATTCAAAACAAAAAGTTATTTAAAAAAAAAGCTATTTAAAACAAAAAGCTATATTATTTTGCTATATTATTTACAAAAAGCTATATTATTTTGACAACAGAATACATAAATGAGTTAAAAATTCAACCTAAAACATTATCGAATAAGCCGACATGATAAGCGTAGCGTGTCACTTTGTGTTCTCGGCTAAAACACATCTTTTCTGGTGCACGCTGATGCACATTGTTTTTCCTTACTTTCGTTTAAAAGCGATAAAGCTAAAGAATTGCGTACGCAAGAAAGAGTGCGTTTATCAGCGAGCACAAAGTACTCGTGGAAAGCTGTAACAAGCAGAAACAAGCCCTACAAATGCCTGCAATTTGGCTTCGTTGGCTTTTGGCTTGTAATTTGGCTCAGTTTAGAGAGCGCGTTTTAGAATGGGGATTAGCTGATATTTTACTTGACATTTACTCAAGTAATTACTCACTCGAGCTATCGATAAGTGTGTTTTCTCTTTAGCATTAAACTTATACAAAAATGAGCTCTAAACTAAGTAATCTACTGGTCTCCATAAATATTGAGCATCCTGTAGTATCTCTTCAAACGTGTCAACGCGTCCCCATCAACGATCGGCTATCGATTGGTGATCTTGATGGCCGTTTCGGATGAGATTCAGTTGATCATTCATTTCTATACAGCAATTCTTATGATATGTAAACAACGAATGAAACCGAAGCCTACAGAGGTTTGTTTTGGTGGAGATCCTTTGGGGAAATTAGCGATTAGTAATTGTTGTTTTTTTTTTAATATAGCTCAAAATCACAAAGATTGAGTATTCAATTGAAAGTGGAACGCGTCAAAATTGAGTTAACGGGGTATGGATGTTGTAAATCATCCATACCCCGTTAACTCAATTTTGAGGCGTGTTGTAAGCAAATCTCGGTGTTGTAGACACAAACTCTGAAATGGGGAACACTCTGATCGAGAATTGGAAATAGATTTGTTCTGAATGGTGAAATCTCAAGTATTTTGAGGGAAACCAATATGTTTACAAACCTATTCGAGCACTCTAAATAGTAACCCGATTACCGTAATCCAGCCAGTCTCATCTGAGTTACCGTAACCCAGCTAGTCATCACATTGTATTGGATTGCGGTTTGCCACAAAATTCCCCTACAATTGTTTACGCTTCTAAATTGATCGATTGATCGAATCACTCGCTTTTGCAGATAGCGGGCGCAATTCTCGCAGCCGGTTGGTACATTATGATGACCTCGATGTTCACTGTGACACTATATCGTTTCATCGTCATTCTTTTCCCAACGATCAGCCAAATTGTCACAACGAATCGGGCATTTATTGTAAATTTAGCAATGATTCATTGAAATCAATCAATCAATCAATTTGCAGATTGTATTAGCCGGAAATTTGTCTATTTTCATCATTGTTCTCTTTGTGCATCTTATTGGATGGAATGCTCAATACTTGACCGAATTCGGGTATATTTTTAAATTTCAAAATCGAAAAACTCAAACTTGTTTCTAGTTGGATTTACGCGGTCGATTTCCCATTGACCGATGTCTTCAACAATCTCGATAATTACGGAACACCCGTTTTAACAGTGATTTGCCTCTTCATGTACATTGCCATTTTCACGTTTTTGATGAGAAATGTGAGTTGTCAGTGATCTCATCAATAAATACTCCTATTTAGAAGAAAATCAATCGTCAAAATGATATTCGGTGGGCTTTACAGGTAAGGAGTCTCAACTACAGTAATTCGTACAGTAACAGTAAGCTTATACAGGGTGTCCGGAAAAAAAGTCGTTATCGGTTTAAGTCTGGAAAAAATTTCTTGTTGATTTTTCAAGGCTCATCGTGGTGTCAGAATTGGTTTTGCCTCAGGCGCCACACAACAAGATGAAGTTGATTTTTTGATACTTTTGTGAATAGGGTGCACGGGTCGGGGAGCTCAAAATCCACGTATAAGGTATACATGAAAAACACACTTTTGAATTCCTCTATTTCACCACAAATCTTTCTACTTTTTGTTTCAATAAATTTGTTTTGTTATTAGGATCTTGAAAATATGAGACCCCCAAAAAGTCGGTCCTGAGAAAGCAGCAACAAGAGGGTTTTCTCGGTCAAAAATTAACCATATTTTCAAAATTTTTGAAGCAGTCAATCCAACAATTTCGATTTCGAGCTCCCCGGTCGATGAATGGCCCCGTATTCACAAAATCATCAAAAAAAATCGACTTCATCTTGTTGTGTGGCGCCTGAGGCAAAACCAATTCTGACACCACGATGGGCCTTGAAAAATCAACAAGAAATTTTTTCAAACCGATGACCACTTTCTCCGAACACCTTGTATGCAAATTTAGACGTTTTGTTTCTGTCTCTACACAATATTCGTCTCCGTTGAGTGGACGTGGATCTACGATTTAGTGAGATACGATAGAATAAAGCTCAATATTCAGTATTGAGGTGCCTGAAACATATACTAATCTCTTTCTCGAGAATTTCCTTTGGCCTTTATGGAATGGAGCCAATGTGGTCTTCTTTTTCATCTTTCAAAAGTGAGTTTAAAATAAAGAAAAGGTGAAAACGTGTCATTAGATATCGAAGTATCAAAAACAACGTTAAAGTTCCAGAAATGTTATCTGGGGTGACAAACGAGTGATCGTTATGATACCAGTGGCCGGTCCGATCCCTTCTTCTCGAAGAAATTCGTGTCGTCCTCCAGACCCCAAAGATACCAAGGGAACAAGATTATCCCTTTGAACATATGTTATAAATATATTTGCTTTACACAACCGAAACTCACTTTTATTAAAACCCATATCGTGAATGAACACAATCCAAGAAAGATAGTCACTAGAGAAGGGCGAGAAGCTGCCCAGATGTTTATCACAGTTTTAACATATATAAACAGAAAAAGAGATAAATTATCTTAAAAACGACATGCACTAGAAAGGATAAATAATAGAAACTACCAAAAAGGCGGTCTATCCCAATAAGTTAATTGATTGATATTACAGGAATTGCGATGGCAGTATAGCTATTTTTAAAAAGTATAGAAAATCTTGTAGATTTCTGCCTATTCTTCGTCCTCGTCTTCAGAAACCACTTGTCCCATCGCTTTCAGGCGTTTCCTAGAAAGAAAAGTGCTTAGTCGAGTATTTTAAAAAATGGCCGCTTTGTTTCTGAACAACTTCTTCTAGCAATAAACCCAAAATAAAATCTACCTGTATGATGAAAGCTTATTATGCTGATCGGCTAAAAGGACGAGTAAATCCTCTTGTTCGTCTTTGATTCGCCGGAGTTCATCTTCAGTCTAAAACGAATGCATTTTAGTATAAAATCACACCAACCTTTGCATCAGTAGTGTGCCCGTTAATAGTTGGATTTTGAGGACCATTTGTAAAGTTAGTCTAAAAATTACACTTAGAATCGAATGGGGAATACATTAATACTTTCAATTGTTCCATGTCTGCACGTAATTGGTTATAAGCCTGTTCCAATTCCTAAATGAACATTGCTCAAACACTTTCGAGATTTCGCTTACCTCTGATCTCTGTTTCCAGCCTTGTGTAGCAGCAATTTGTTGTTGAATCTAAATGTTTTTGTAATAATAATAATAATGACTTTCTATTTGTTTTGAATCACCACTCATGAACAAAACATACTTGTTGACTTTGTGCCTCATAAGCCTGCCATCCATAACCGAGTTGTTGTTCCAATTCGGCAATTTGAGCCTGCAGTTGTTGTAGGCCAGCATCAATGCCACCATTTGGCATCTAAAAAGGAACCAATAAACAATACAAAACCTTTAAATGCACCTGGGAAACTTGGAAAGACTGCCATTGCTGAGCCCATTGTTTGTACTTCTCCACTTCTGCCACCCATTGTTGATTGATACTAAAAATGAAGCAATATGGCACCAATAAATTATCTAAAAGTCTACTTTCTCTGATGGGTGATTTGATGCTCAAGTTGCTCGTTATTTGTAGTTTTCTGATTGGCGTTCTCTAGCTGAGCTCTAGCATCCTCCAGTTCTTGTTTGAGAGTAGAAGCAGAAGCCTAAAATCAACTAGTGTCAAAAAACTAGTGCAATCAAGAAATCATGGCTGTTGCAATCAAGGATTACAAAAACATTGTTTATGTGTCAAAGTAACCTGTTGAGCTTTTAATCCTTCAAGCTCTTCACGAGCTCTTTTGTAATCAGTCTTCAGCACTGAAATTTCTTCATCTTGCCGTTTGATCAAATCCTAAAATAGATCCAAAGTTCATTGTTTCGATTGTTTAATAAAACCTTGAATGATTGGATAATCGTATCGTTGTTTGCCGTGACCGTAGTCGCAGTATCAAGTGAGTGGACCATTTTAACAAGAGCCGCTAAATGAATCCATGAAAATGAAATGAAATTCAGCTTTACGCTCGTGCGCTTTGAATAGCTTGACAAAGTGATGATCCAAGAATAAATCGCCAGGTGCTTTAGCTAGAGGTTGAGGTCTTTGAGCGGCTCTCACAAATGGTTCAGTTGCGGCTACACCTTCAACGGCTTCAGCACAAATTTGAACACCAACACGTCGTTTAACGAGAGCTTCTAGCGAACTTCTAAATGAAAAACATGCAATAGTGGCTTTTCAAATTTTTTGATACCGTGTTTTCTCATCATTTGCATTTTGCAAAAAGACCAAAAGAAGAGAAGCTGCCAATCCACGCACAACCATTTGTTCACCTTCATTTCCTTCGCCACATTCTTCCACTAAAGTTGACGTTAAACTAAACCATAATCTCTATGAAAAGTGATCCTTTGTTTTAGAAACATACCAATTTGCATCGTAAGATAATTCAAGAAATCGGCTTCCAAAACAAGGCGAGCGACAGCCGTCGGACACCGAAGACACCAAGTGAGCAGTAGTTGTAAAAGTCCCGCGCGTTGTTGTGGACGTCTAACGCCAAGATTAATCTAAATTAATCTTGGTCAAGATCAACCTTGCTAAGATTAATCCAAGATTAATCTTGTTTTCAAGGTTTTTTCGTATATAGAACTTATTTCTTTTAAGTTTTTTACCAGAGATTCTCTATTAACCAAGATTTAATAAAAAAACTAAAGAAACGGTTCCTGTTTTTGAAATTTTCAAAGATCTGAGACCCTCGATTTTTATCTTGCAACGTCGACATACCGTAATCCGTTGACCCTACTGTTTAGGTCTAGGCGATGTCTACTTAAAATCACTGATACATATCTAAACAATAGAGTCAAAGGATTACGGTATTTCGAGTTTGCAATATAAAAAACCCATTTTCATTTTTCATTGAAAACCCAGCGTCTCGATCTCTGGAAATTTCAAACAAGGAACCATTTCTTTAGTTTTTTTTATTAAATCTTGGTTAATAGAGAATATCTGACCACAAACTTAAAAGAAATAAGTTCTATATACGAAAAAACCTTGAAAGCAAAAATGTTAGAAGACTTTTGTGCACCAGCTTTCCTGGCTTTTCGGCACTATCTTGCGTTCTGTGACGTCCCATGAATAGCTTATCCTTTTTCGTTAATTTATCTAAAAAATAGAAAAAAAATTTGCTGTCTAAACCTCCTAACCGCTATAAAATTTAAAGATACTTTTTCAGAAAACTTGCAGCCGAAAATTTTGCAAATTCGATGTTAAAAGACTTTTGTGTATGACTCTAGTACTGACCAGCATGCGAACAATGTGGAAGAGCAGTGGCTGTGGTGCCTCATCAACCGTCAATGAAAGTTGAACTCGCAACAGTTGTTCCCCCAGATGCTCTACCTTAAACAAATACTGACCAGTTATTATTATAAGTGAACTTACATCAAGAAGGCAATGCAAAAGGCACACGGCTCCGAACCAAGATTGAACAGACTCCGAAGAGGTTAGCGCCTAAATTTGAAACTTACCAGATAGATGGGCGCAAGTACCTGAACAACTAGACTGCCAGTTGAAAGTGAGTCTGGTGCATGAGCTGCCGGAAGAAGAGTTTCAACAATCTGAAAACGGTTTTTAAAGCTATACAAATATTAGGTAGTACCTTTGTTTTTCCAAATTCGTTATCATGTAGGTAAGAAAGGAAAGCGTAGAAGACGGCACAACGCAGCTTGAATGGTTGACGCTCGGCAGTCAAAGAAAGGAGCAAAACAAGGAGCGCTGGTCTAAACACGTCCGGAGTTTTTGAAAAGTAGAGTTTCAAACCGTTGACTTCCTTCCGCTGTAAGCAAAGTGTTGCTTGCAAAATACTCTTGATTGGTATAATTTCCTCGAATCACTTCTGCCACCGCGATCACCGTTTCAGTTAAAACCTAAAATATCTTGTAAAACATTCAGCAACCAATTTTCACCTCCACTGATACTCCAATTTCTGACAACAATACTCGACAAAGTTCGCTCAAAATTTCTAAACGTATTTTTTGATTAAATTTTATTTTACTTTTTATTTTACTTACGAGTTTGATGCATGATCTTTTGGGAAGCGTGTGTATTTGCTTGAACGTTATCTGGTGAAACAAGAGCTCGGATGACCTGAAAAGTAGAAATAGAACTGCTGAAATAATGTCAAACCTGCAAAAGAAAAATCAAATTTGCGGTTCGCTGTTTAGCCCACTCGGCGCCTTCATCGACGTCTTCTGGAAAAGCCAAAGATCCGAGAAGTCCACGGAGTCGCATGATTAACCTAACAGCGACATTGAAGCTTTGTAAAAAAGGCTTACTGATTTTCCCGAAAAAGCTGCTGATTATTCGCATTTTTGCGAAGCAAGTTCAGAATCACAAAAAGACAATCTTCAATGACGATACCTAAAAGAACAAAGTGTTTCCCAAATTAAGAACTACGTACTGTCAATTGGCTCAGAGTCAACAATGTCAATGAGTATGGAGAAAGCATTGTCGTAGGCAAGTAGCTGTTGCAATTGGGAATGTGCTCGTGAAAGTTCGCAAAGTAGTAGAATGGCCTCGTTTCGAACAACCTAAAGCCGAGTTTGAATTGAGTTGCTTTATAAAATGGACCTCTCGGTTATCGTGAACAAGATCCACAAGACGCGTAACTCCCATCGGCTGTTGAATTACCGCATTTTGCACTTCGGTTCCTCGATGACGCAACAAAGACGTGAGCAATTGAACCGAAATACTAAAAACGGATTGTAAATAATTTAATAGAGGAATGATTATAAGTATTCTCATGATTTCCCTAGTACATAATTATTAACCAACCGTCTCACAGCGAATTCATATTGCTCCAAAGTGGCAAGAACGGCCGAAATAAATTGAGGTCGCTTGAGCATTACCTAAACACAAAAATATCGAAAAAAAAAACAGGCGTAACTACCTCAGCAAGTCTTTCTCCCAGTTCGTCTTCTTCAGGAACATCATCATCACCGTTTATAACAAATAAAAGAACCTAAACAATAAGTTGAGATAGAGTTTGCCTAAAAAACCTCAAGTGTAAGCGATAAAAGATCGATCGCATTTCTCTCTTTAGTTAGTATGTCCATAAAAGCGTTGAGTCCCAATGTACCAACTGCAAGGCGATGTTTCTAAAGTAAAGATTTGTTTGACTTAATAACTGTAAAAATACTTTGGCCAAATTTCGTAAACCACGGAGTGCATCTCGACGATCCTCGATGCCAGTGCAAGTTTCGACCTAAATTTGCTGATTTTAAAAGATCGCTAACGTTTTCCATAAAACAATTTAATATTTCAAACTGTTCTCCTCTACAACCCGCAAATTAAAACCAAAAACTAACCCGCTCAACAAGTCTTTCCACCACTTCGGCTCCATTATCATCGGCTGGATCCGGCCCGCCCCCACCACCAAAAAACATGCGGAGCATCAGCCAAGCTAAAACCCCTTAAGGATCATTGAAAGTAAATTTGAAAAGAAAAACATTTTCTAAAGAGAATTTTTCAGCAGTAAACATGCAACGATATAATATTCGTTAGCTATTTGGCCATCTGGCAAAACGCCAAAATCGAAAATTACGGTAAAACGAGTGATAAACCTTGCTTCAAATATGACGATCATTTTAGGAACTTTGCTCAAAGATCTGGACTGATACTCTTTGGCTTTTACAAGGAAGTTTTTTGACAAGCTCGTAAACTTTAAAAATGGGCAGCAAATTAAATTTTGATGAAAACAATTTATTCTCAGCACCAAAAGCAAATCAGAAATGACATGTTACGATAAGTTCAGGTAATGAATAGCAAACGTCTACAAAGCAAGTGAGAATATGTAAAAACCCGTAGAGCTCAATTATTTATTCACCAAATCAGCATCATAAACGCTGCAACCTTTCTGCGATCAATTCAAAACAGCGCGGTTGATTTCTTCGAGCCAAATCGAGAGATGAATCGCCGCCACCGGTAATAGCAGATAGATCAATGCCTAAATTTCGAATTTTTTTTCTTCAATTTTCTAATCATTTTGTGCTGCGTCAGTTTAAAATAGTTTTGATAATACCTGGAGCCTGGAGTAGATAACGAACGGTGTGAAATATTCTTTCAGCATCTTCTTGTGAGCACAAAGCAATATGTAGAGGCTATAATTTCTATAATTTCTGACTAGAACGAGAGAAAATAATACCGTTAGCAATCCCTTGCTCATTAAATTAACATCCACATTCCTACTTAACAATCGCCCAACAATCTCGTAGTTTGCCCAGTTGCATGCAGAATGAAGCGGTGTCCAGTTTTCGTTGGTTCTGCAAAGAGCTATTTAAATATATCTAGTATGAGATAGAAAAACAAAAAAATTACCTAGCTTCTAGATTTGCGCCTTGGTCTAAAAGAAAATCGACAATATCACCGTGATCATTGTAGGAGGCTCGATGCAAAGCCGTGTATCCATCACAATCTGTCGCCTAAAATATAAAAATTGATAAGAACGCTCAAAAGTAACATATTATATATCTAGCTAATTTTCAGAAACCAACGTTCAGTAAATGGGGGCTCTCTCCAAGCATGCGTTTTACATCGTCAAGTTTTCCTTCTTCGGCGGCTGTAAGAAAGGCCTCGATCGGAGAACTTTGATCCTTTTCGTAGATGCCTGAAAATGTGCGCTGAATAAACAAAAAATGATAAAAAAACTAACGCCAGTAAAATCAGAACTACCTACTGCAAACAAAGTGGTTTGCATTGCAAAAATAGCATTTAATCCCAACTAATGCTATAAGATTTACCTTGTTCGTCCTCTTGCCACGCCGATACAAACATGCCCTCTCTTTTTTGCTCATTTATTTGTAGCAAGAGCTCGTCCTATAAACTATCCAATCAAGTCAGAGTTGAAACCGTTTTGAAACTTACATCTATTCCAAAATCCCTCACGCCTTCACTCGACATCTCCTCGAAATTGTCTTTCTGCTCTTCAACCTCATCTATTTCCATTCTGAACAAAAAATTACTAAAATCCCCAAACCAGATGTAAGAAAAAAAACAGTTTTCGAAAATACTTTAGAACAACGAAAGCTTTAATCAGAACATTTATTCAAAATTTCTCGAAGAATATTTACAAATAAATAAGACAAAAAGTTGACTAAACTAAGATGCGATTACCCGAGCTTCACCTTCAGTAAGGCCTAAACTAGTAAAAAAAATGGCACAATTTATAGCCTCACTGAAGTAAAAATTTCAAAGTCACTAATCAAAAATCTTAAACAAAGAATAAAAACTGAACTAAATTACACTAAGATCTAAACTAACAGCTAAAACCTTTAAACCCCATTAAAATCGTTACAGAAGCTTTGAAAAATCAAATTGGCTTTCAAGCAGCGGCTCCACAAGCATTAACTAAAAGATTAAGATTTTAAATTCGATCGATAAAAACGAGTACCTCTGGATCGGAAAGTGATTGTGAGAGATGAGCAAGGAAACGTTTTGCAGAGTCTGCCGAAATTGCTCTTGAATCATAACATAGCGTGACGGCAAATCTGCAACAAAAAGTGTAATTCACAAAACCTCGTAAGTAACCTTGAAAAAGTATTGAGCTCCTCATCCAATTCACTTCTTGGGCCACCAACTGCCAGAATTGCCGATTGAGGAGGATTGATTATGGCGGTGAAATTTGTGACGCTCCCAAACATTCCAAGGTTCGAAATGCTAAAATTTATTGTAGTGCCCTTCATTATTCTAACTCACGTAAATGTGCCTCCTTGGAACTCATTTGGAGCCAATTTGTTTGCTTTCGCCTTTTTAGCTAACTCCTAAAATAAAATTTGGGTGAATAGACAAACTAGTTTATAAATACCTTTGTTTTTTCAGAGATCCCCATAATTCCAAGCCTATCAGCACCAAATACTATCGGGGTGATTAGACCAGTTTCTGTAGCTACAGCAATTGAAATATCAACCTGAAAAGTTTAGATTTGCGTATTGTAATTAACTATGTACTGTTTGCATTAGAACCGACGTTTGATTGCTCCATTGAACATTCACTTCGGGTACTGCCTATAAATTAGATAAATTAAAGGTCAAAGCTTACAAATATCTCAACAAACCCTCAGTCCGAGTGCGCAACCCTTGACCAGAAAATCGTTAATTGAAACGGCTATTTTCTGCAAAAAGCATAATTTTTGAAGTTATAGCAAATAAACCCACCTTGTTTTTTAAATCTCTTCTCAGCGCATTCAATTTATCTGAGCGAATATCGATTGACAAATATTCATGAGGGATTGTTTGCTAAACCAAAAATATGATAAGATTCAATAATTTCGACTTACTTTAGATTGAAGCAAACGTTTTGCTATAATTGATCGAATATTTGTCAATGGAATATCTTCATACTTGGCTGAAGATTTGCCGGCAATCTTTACGGGTTTTTGGACTTGTGTCCTGAAAAAACTAATTTATGGTGCTACTCACTCCGCAACTTGACCAACCATAAACCAAACAAAGTTAACCAACCTTTGCTTGTTGCACCGGCTTTGTTTCTCTTTTAATGGGTTGAAGTTTTTTAGAAGCAATGTAGGCGAGGGCATCTCTAAAGAAGAACAATTTTGAAACATTATAAATTACTTACTCCTTCAAAACATTTTGTTTGGGTCCACTTCGTTTAATATCTTCAGCCTTAAGTCCGTAATGATGAAATAGTAATCGAACCGCGGGCCCCATCAACTCAGAACTAAATAAATTGTTATGTTAAATGTTTATCATTAGATAATTTACTTATGTGCGCCGTGCTTTGTCTCTTGAGAAGCGGCGGGCTCTTTTGTCTAAATTTTTCTAATAAAAAAATTTTTAGCAAAAATACTTCGGCAGGCTTTGCTTCGGTTTTTGGTGGAGTTGTTGTTTTAGGGGTAGTTTGTTCATCTTTAAACGACGCGAACGCGGCCACATCGTCTTTATTTGAAACAATGATACAAACAAGCTAAATAAAAGCACTTTTCACAGTACAGTTAATAAAACTTGGCCCTTACCTTTCCAATTGGAATATCTCTTGTTCCAGCTTCAAAGAGAATTTTCGCCAAATATCCCTCTTCTGGTGTCTCGAATCCCATTGTGGCCTAAAATTTAGAGAGTAGAATAATTTACCGGATATTCTCTTTAAGTTCTTTTAAAATCACTTACTTTATCCGTCTCGATATCACAAAGGAGATCTCCTTCAGCAACTTGATCGCCTTCTTTCTTGTGCCAAGCAACGATTGTTCCAAGTTCCATCGTCGGCGACAGAGCGGGGAGAGGCACTTTTATGTGAGTTGGTAGAGAAGCTAAAATCATGCAGTTTAAAAAATACAAAAAACCGAAAGCCGAAATCCTTAATTTTATTCAAATCTTAGCATAAAAAATACCGGAAGAAAAGTTTCGCATTTGTTTTCCTTCTAGCTTCTGATGAAGCGTTCGAGTTCGGTGGGGTAGCGCAGCATTTCTAAATCAAACCCTGTTAGAGTTTCGGAAAAAGCTTTTGAAATAGGCTCAACATTAATAACTCTTATTCAACAACTTTTCGTAAAAACTGACCCTGATAACTCCCTGTTGATGGCGATTTGCGATAGACACGGACGAATTCGGGGCAAAATCGCATTTGAGATCAGCGATATTGACGGCCCTGGGATCCGCCGCATTCTAAAGGATAAGAAATTAAAATTCTTAACACAGGAGGGATGAATAAAAAGATCGGAAACGATTATTTTTAGAGCACAACTTTGGCGAGTTATCGATCTTTGGAAAAACAATGACATTTCGGACTGACAAAACCAATTAGTAAAACCTTCTATAAGCGATTTCTTTGACATAAGATATCCAGCCAAAAGCTGAAATGACATTGCCTGTTTTTGTTGTTTTGGTTGTTGTGCTTGTTTTTTTTATATTTAAGAGCACAACTTTTGTTAGATTTCTCCAATTGGCCCACAAAATCTTTAAAATTCGATAAAAGGCCACGATTCGGCCGTCAATAGGCGCGATATGACGCGAGTAAGGCATTTTTTTGCAAAATGTGTGATCAGTTGCTTAATTCGTTATTTATTTTCATGTCCAAGCAAATTTTTACTAACCCTTTTCTTTTTAGGTTTATGTGGTTGTTCGATGTCCTCCAGGCACATTACAATAACGAGCTATGGGATGAGGTAATCTTCTGCTACAATATTGCCCTTGATCGACGGCTTGGTGGCGATAAAAATGAGGCACTTGGACAGGTCTGGGTTATTTCCATTTGAAAACTAATTACTTGGGGCATTAGACATCCCTTAAACTAATATTTTGGCAAAATCCTGGTTTTAACCTCGTTTTAGGTGTATCTGGCCGACTCGTACTTCTATTGTGGAAATTACAGCGAGGCAAAAAGACTCTACTACAACTCGTTGAAACTTTACAAAGGATTGGCTCGACCGATAACCTTAAAGGTAACTTTTCTTAACTTTCCAGCTTAACACAAACATTTTAGGGGTTAGGTGAGGTTGAGGTACGATATCGACTCCATCAATGCCTTAACAAAGTGGGAAAGCTCGATGAAGCATTGGCTGTTCTTGCTGCCATTCCGGTGGAGAATTCCCCGCCTAAGGTTTAGTTTTTTTTCTATTAAAAAATCTTAACTTTAGGTTAAATATGCACTGTATCGACTCTCTCTTCAGTTGAACTCAGCAAATTCTGAGAACATAATCTCACGATTACAGTGCGTTATTTTTGAAAACGATTTAACTGAGACATTTTTGGCAATAGCGTTACTGATTTTGCTTTTAGAGACATTGTATCATCGTGCCCAACAGTATTCAGATGTACAGTCGAGTTGTTAAAATTGGGTAATGCGAAGGCTATCACAAAGCAAAGTGTAAGTTTGCTTTTTAGATTACATTAATTTTTTACAAAATATAGATCGAAGAAGCGGAAGATGACGGAGTTCGCGGATATCTAGAAGCTGTAGCCACAAGCTCCACTGAGCCTTTTAAAGCAGCTGAACAATTGTCGCGATTACCTAATTGTTATTCACCAACGTAAGTTGCTAAGCAACTAATTTGGATTGATTGATTCATTGATTTTAGATTGCGGATAGAGATGGGGCGTTTGTACAATTTGGTTGGGTTAAGAACACAAGCAAGGTGAGAACGGGAACGAGAGCAATTTTTTTAATGAAATTGATTTTAGAGAGCAACTGTGGAAAGCGTTTCAAATGGACAATGATACCACAGATGGAATGGGCTTACTTGCTGCTTTGCTAGCTAAAGTTGGCTCTAGTGTGAAGAAACTTACAAGTTTACTTAAAGGAAGAAGACGTAAAAAGCCTGGAGACGCTGGCCATTAATTTGATGGAACGAAATGAATCCTCTGTCGAAGCTTGGGTTGCATTCGGCTACTTGACAAAATCTCAAAATAAAATGGACAGAGCTTTGCATTTTGCTTTCAAGTAAGTGATTGTTATTTGCTTTTAAGGATTTTATTTAGAGCAACTACAATGAATAAAGGTCGTGTTAATTCTGACGCTATGCTGCTCAAAGCACAAATTCTTATTGATAAAGGTAATTTTGGTGATTCATTGTAGTTTTTGAAGTATATAAAAGCTGTTAAATTTTCTTTTAGATAATATCGAAAATGCGGCTCAACATCTAGAGGAGCTTCTCGTGGAGGATCCGCGAAATATCGATGCATATGAAGCTTTAGTATCACTCTATATATCAAATGTAGGTTAAATGTGTTTTCTTGTTGTTTCACTACTAATTTTTGAAGGCTAGAACTTCGGAGGCTGCGGGTGTGGTGACGAGATGTGGCGATGTTTTTGGACGACCAATGCCGGCCAGAATAAAGATGCTCGATGCTGCAGTTAGACTAAAAGATGATTCCAATAGCAAGGTGCATTTTTAACAAAAATATGTAAATAATTGTTATTGTTACAGGAAGCTAGACTAATACTTGAATCGATTGTGGAAGGCCACCCCTATTTGGCTGACGCGGTTTTTATGCTCATTGACCTTTACAAAGATTCAAATGCTCCTCAAAAGGGAATCGATCTCTGCAATTCGATTATTAATGTAAGTATTTAAACGTATGAGCAAACTAATTTACAATATTTAGTCATGCCTTCTTGATTCGAATTTAATAAGCAAAATACATCAATCTTTGGGCGATTTTCAAAAGATGGTTTGTTTTTCTGGATAAAATCTGGTTGGTTTTGGATAAAAACAGATTTTAGGCGTCTGCTATCGAGTTGTCGGCAAAATATGCTTGCGATGCGCATATTTCATTTAATAAGGTCGTTTCAGAAGTTGAAAATTATTCCATTCTTTTAGGCCATGACAATGGGATCGCTTGAGTCGCAGCAAAAGTTGGTTGCTCTTGATTCAGCACTGCGCTACGTTCATTCGCCTGAAAATGTCATTCCGGTAAGTTGTTTTTCATTTTTTAAACAGTGTTACTATTTGCTCCTAAATTCTGAAGTTTTTTTTTGTTTTAGACGATATCGCGCATAAGCGAGGCACCAGGTGCACCACGGGCAAGACGAAGACAGAGGTCACCCAGATCTTCTCCACCACCCACACTCGCCCCTCGTCTTCAATTCTCGTAAGCTTCTTACAGGTCTCCCAATCATTTCAATTACAGTCATTATTTGTCATTTTTTTATTATGACCGGTCTTTCTAGTTTCTTTCGGTAGGATTCTTTTTGGTGTCTTCTTTTTTACAACGGATTCTTTATTTTGCAAGTTGTACTATAATGTTTTGCTAAATATATTGATGTTTGCGTTTGTCAGTTTAAAGAGCTTAAGAATCAATTAAAATGCTTATACAAGGAAAAAAAAATAAAAAGACTAGAAGAACTGATATGAAATCAATCACAGGCAGAAAGTTTTGGGCGTTTAAGGAATTGAGCAACGAGGGTTACAAAGATTTTAGACAACAAAAAGAGTAAGTAGAAGAGCGGCAATGATTCCCATTAGAATGATGCACACAACGGTCCATAATAGTTGAGCACAACCGCCACAACAAACTTCTCGACACATCGATCTAGCTGTCGGTGGAGGTGATTGTGGCTGAAAAGTTGTTTGTGAAGAGGAGACTGTACTTTTTCACTTATAGTTTACGTTCTCTACTTACCAATGTGTGAATTTTCGGGTGCATAATCGGGGCACCAAGCGGCATGAATAGAGGAGCCGTTTGAATGGGATACCTAGACAATTTTTTGAATACAATAAGCTTACTTAGCTGGCCGTGTACTCACCAAACTTGTTGAAAATCGCCGGGATACGGGAAATTCGAGGCGGCCATCGTTGGCGGAATACCGGCAAAACCGGCGGCCTCCTGTGGTCGAACGGGTGGTCCAGCCACAACCTAGATTTCTATTTTCTTGGAAATTTTATGTATTTCTAGTTACCATGAGTGTCCCTGGGTGAAGAGCTCGAATACTGCCACCACCAGCGAAAAATTGAGATGGAGTTCTGGAGATTTTGGTTGCGAGAATCTTTTTGTTGTTACCTCTCAATTAGCGGTGCCGCGGAACGAATCGAGTGCGGGGGAGAGTCTCGGGTTGAGTTCAGAATCTGAAATGGGTACAAGGCAATTTAAAACATTACTTAAAGAGTTCTAGAAATCGTTTTTATAGAGATGTTGATGATCCATTATTGAAATGAAAATTTGTAAACGAATTGTCTACTTCCGGCATACGGTAGCAGACAGACAGACGAAAGAGCTTGCGGTAACTTACAGTAGTTTACGACAAATGCTAGGTGTCTATGGTAGCTTAACGGACCTGCGTGGATGCGGACGAGGATGGAGCGAGGTTTTGTGGGGGACACGCGGGCAGATTCTGGATTCGTGGTTGCCAGACAGCGCCCGAAGATGAGACCTGGAATTGTAAATAAAAGTTGAGTCTATGGATTATAATAGCTTTTTTTCTGCACAAAGGTCTACCTGCTTGTTCGGCGCATAGAAATTCTTTGGCCTATAGGAATGCATTCTTAAAATTGAAGAAATAAGAGAAATAACCCAATAGGGTGTTTCAAAGAGAACACTTGTCGTTTAGGAGAACTGTCAGTCAGTCAATCAAATCAGTTCAGGCTGTGGATAACAAACGGGCGATGGAAGGGTGATGAGAAAAGAGGTTGCAAGTGATTTGAAGCGAAGGGAAAAGATGGATTTGCGCCTTAGTGATAAGACATGAATGGATGTGGAGGAAGGGAAAGGGGAGATTGCCGGAGAAGAGAAGAAGAGAAGAAGAGAAGAAGAGAAGGGGAGATGACCTTCATCCACCCCTCTCCGCTCATCATCGCCCATAAAATAACGATCCATCAAAACAATGAATTTTCAGGCTGAGATTGAATTTGTTTATGAATATGAGAACCTATTGCTCTAATGTGGAGTGTTAATTTCCGTTTTGGTACTATTATTAGGTTGCCAATAATGCCGACAACTTAATAATGGTTGGCAACTTAATAATGCCGCCTTTATGTAACAAATCATTTATTTCAAAAAAACACAAAAGAAGAGCTTTCAATTCGAAAGGTATTCTTCATTCCAACTCACGAACAGTGAGTGCTGGGCAATCTTCAATTATCGTCAAGATCAGCATCGACGGTTTGGTCAGGTTTCAGCACTTCATAATGCACCAATCCAACATTCACATTCATTTAAAAGACGTTTAGAAAAAAAACTAAGACTTATGGATAACTTTAATAGTTATAAGCAAGGAGGAGCGCTTTCGTAGAAGAGCAAGATCTGTTTTTGATGAAAGGATTTGAGATGATGATATCAAAAGGAAGGGCTAGCTCGTTAACTTTTCGGTGTCTTTCAGTCTTTAAGATTCGTAGAGATTATATCTTTCGGATAGCTCTGTCATGCTTGTCAATCAGTCATTCTTGAGCAACTCACCTCCGGCATACTCATTCGATGTTTTGCAAGTCGAAGGCGATCCTCGAGATTTCGATTTCTTTGCTTCTATAAAAGAATTTATAAAATTAGAGAGAGATTTCGATAAACAATTGTTTAAAAATGTTTAAAACTGTTTAAAAATGTGTTTAAAAATCAAGAATTACTTCAGACAAATGCCTTGCGAGTGATCGAACTGTTCCCCTTGTCGGCCGTCGGATTGTGTCCTTCAGTCGCTCGCCGCACTGAAATTTAAGTTGAAATGAATCTAGAAATGCCTTCAAATGTATTATATATTAGATTTTATGGCAACTTTTCCATTCTATCACCCCAAGAAACGATATCCAGATGCCCATTCCCATTAAACCATCCCATAAGTGTAACACTTCCATTAACCCACCGCAAATGGTGGGTTAATGGAAGTGCTTCAATTTCGTTATAGAAACTATTCTAGATTAAATTTTGAGAACATAAAATGGAATTGTGATGTTTATGTTGGGTTGGGGTAATGGGAGAGTACCGATTTTATACTTTAAAGCAAATCAGCCTAACGGTGGATTTTTCTGGCAAGAAAACACCCCAAACAGGCCTCACAGCTTTGTTGCTGTGGCGCAGCTGCGCGCAGTCAAGGGCGCGCTTGTCTACTGCCCACACGAGCCGGGTTCGACCCCCATCATGCCAACTTTTCAATTTTTATTTTAAATAGCACAACTACAATATATTCTAGGGTTTTCTAAAGAAGCTTTCTTGGTCAAAACACGGTCGAGAAAAACCTCATACAAAAAGACAGCTCTTAATATAGCAAATTTTCATACCCTTGCATCAACGTGATTGTTATTTTCTTCTCTATCCTCCCACCCTTTTGAGTGATCTCTCAAACGAACCTCCGATGCTCGCTTCTTTTCCTCTTCTTCTAGCTGCAAAATCAAATTTTATTATCTAACAAATGTTTAAGTCTACCCTTTCAGCTTCAGCTTCTTCATCGTGAGCCTCTGGGAGAGTTTCGAGGTCTAAACGGCCGTCAAATGATCTAAAACGGTATGAATAGAAAATAGAATACAAAGAAAGCTAAGATGTACTTTAAATTACCTAGATCGCATGCTTCCGGTGACGTATTTGCGTGGCGGTCGGGTGCTTATCGGAGGTGCGGGAGGGTTGGATGAGGAAGAGGAAAAAGAGGAGGAAGAAGACGGAGAGGAAGAAGACGAAGGACCCAATTCACAGACAGACATCGAATGCTAAATGGAGAAATTGAAAAACATTTCATTTACCAAGAACGAAGAGATTGAGACTCAAAGGGTACAAGATCAGAGACATAGCCTAAAACGAGTCAGGTGCCATGAAGGCAAGAATTTATGCTAACAATGTTCTAATTACCATAAGTAAAGAGAATTTGTTTGAAGAGAAATGTAGAAAAAGCCGTATTTTTACAGATTTGTTCTAATTTAGATAGGCTTTACAAAAAATTTAAACGAAAACAAGAGATCATGGAATTGCCATTCACCAGCGCCTTTGCTTTGTGCTAGTCTGGTATCAAAATGTAACCCTTCAATTGGGCTACACGATGGTATAAAAAAACTTAGAAAAACTATTGCTTAGTACAAGGAAAATAGCCGCAAAGTGAGAGCACCAACACTACACACCCATACAAAAGACTGACGGTACTTCGTTGTTAGTATTGCGATGCACAATCGGTACTCTCACTTTGCGGTCATTTTTCTTGTATTAAACAATAGTTTTTTTAAGTTTTTTTTATACCATCGTGTAGTCTAATTGAAGGGCTACATTTTGATACCAGATTCGCACAAAGACAATGCGCTGGTAAATGGCAATTTTATTCGGGGCAATCTTCATCAAAATTTTCGCCCAATTTACACAGGGCTACAATTTTCATACGGACCACAGAAACAAGCGGAAAGGCAATTTTTCGGCGCAATTTCCGTTTTTCATACGGAAATTCAAGGCCCGAAAACAAAAAGCAAGTTCAAGGCCAATGGCCAGGCCAGCCTAGGCCAGGCTAGGCCAGGCCAGGCCAGGCCAGGCCAGCCTAGGCCAGGCCAGGCCAGACCAGAAAGTAGTTATTGATACATAGCCTGGCCTGGTCCTAGGGACGTTTGCAAGTCGAACACTGGTCGATAAAGTACAGTAATCGATTTAGTAACTGTTGTTAACTTTAGATAATCAGATCTATTAGGTTGGTGAATGTATTTTCGTTTTTTTTCGTACTTCTGTTGAAAAGAAAACGATTACCCTATAGTTTTCTCTCAATAAAAAGTGTTTTTTGTTCAATTTCTCATCTTTAAGTCAGTTTTTAAGTCAATTTCGGTTCACTTTACAAGCAAATTCGATAGTTAAACGTGTTTTTCACCAACCTAATACTTTATATTGAATTAGGTCAATATAGGTTTGCTAGTGAAAGTAACTAAACCCTTTCAAGCGTTTGATAGGCTTCCTCAACAGGGATCCACGGTAGATTCTTCTTGCCCATCTTGCCCATCTCGATTTTCTAGTTTCCTCTTCAAAGAATGTGTATATCAGAATATCAGAATATTAGAATATTAGAATATCAGAAGAATATCAGATATCAGATATCAGATATCAGAATATCAGTGGAATCAGTAGAGTCAATGAAATCAAATCAGTGCTCAAGTCTACAATCAACTGAAACAATGGCACTAATCTCTAGATACAGAGAGTGAAAAAAACCGATCTCGATTTCCGGCTTCTTGAAAGAGAAATGTAGTGGGCGTTTCTTCTCCATTCTCATCATTCATCACATCCTCTCAATTCCCGAGATTCTATCGAGATTCCAGGGGTGTCCATGTCTTCAACTTCAGCTTCTTCATCTTGTTCCTTTCCCTTTCCCTTTCCCTTTCCCCTTTCCATCGTATTTCATCGTCACGACATTGTTTGAGCGGTGCTTCTTTTCCGTGTTTTCCTTCTTGTTCTTCCCCAATCGAGATCGACAAATTTCGCTCGGATATCGGATACGGTAGATATTTTTGAGACTAAGTGAGCTAATCGCAAGGTGAGCTAATCGATAAACGTCATCTTGGAGAAATGAGTTACAGGAAATTTGATAGAACTTCGAGATTTATTCATTTGTTAGGCTCGGATGCATTTGAATAAGCAAATCTTTATTTGCGATAAAGATTTGCTTATTCAAATATGTCTCTATGATACTGATAAGTTCAGGATCATAGGGACAGCTTTGGATAAAGATAAAGATAAAGATTTCTAGAAGTTTATAACAAAAACTTCTTCCTAATAAAGCTACGTTTAACTTGTTCTTGTTTAGCTCTCAGTTTTGGATTCCCAGATTCCGGATCAAGGTTCCCATATTGACAAATAGCTGAAAGTGAAATGAAAAATTCTTTTTATAAGCCTATTTTGAAACCGTCGAATCATCGAAGCGGATTTCACTCGATCAAAGATTTCAAAAGCCGTTCCAAGCGATGTTGAGCATGTATTTGGTGAACTCAAAAGGCACTTCACTCTACTTTGTGATGAAATTCGACAGCAGCCATGTATTGCAAGCAATTTGATATTGACTCAGATTCCTTTCATTGAAGATTGAAGATCATAAATTAGCAAGTTCAGAATTAGTCAAAGAATTAGAAAAACATCTAAGAAAGCACCAGAAAACAGATATTTCAATGTTTTGTGTTTCCAATATTGGAACCCCTTCATAAAGGAGAGAGAAAGATACATTTGAGGAAAAAAGAAATACCGCTATTGGTACATAGAGGGCCCAAGAAGGGGAAAGTGATGAAAAGACTCGAGGGGAGCGTTTATTTCGTCTATTCAGTTGGATAGAGATCGTTTTGTGACCAAAAAGTGATGAATCGCGAATAAATGGAAATGATCTAGGTGGTGAAGACACACTAATGTTATCAAGTCACCGATAATCTGTCATCAGTACCATGTTGAGAGCTTGTATCTACGTTCTGAAACCCAGTTCTGAGCTGGTTTGCCTAGGCTGGCACATAAAAAGTACCTGGAATAGTCTGAAACCTGGTCTGGATCTGGCTTGGTTTACAAGTCCAAGGATCCGGTTGGAACATTCCTACTTTTGAAACGATCCCCTCAAAATAGTTGAGCACTTATTTCTGTCTGCTGTCTGATCCACAAAAGTCAGCCAGAACTGGTTCACAGAAGCAAGCTGTAAGTATTACTGTAACAAGATGTTTTGCTTAAATTATAAAGATCAGAAAGATCAGAAAGATTAGAAATATCAGAAAGATTAGAAAGATCAGAAACATCAGAAAGATCTGAAAGAAAGATCAGATTATCCACTAAGAGATATTCAAAAAATGGTTAGCGCAGTATAAAGTCAAATAAAATCAGATAACTGATTCATTTCTAAACCAAAAAACGGTGATTTCCGTTATAGATGGTTGTGGGTGTGTTTCGTGGTGGTTCCGCTTTGTGCATTTGGGTTCTTTGTCACGTCTTTTCTGCACTAAATGGCCCGATATTTGATCGGGCGATCAGCTGGCACTCAGTCCACTTATTTCCCCATTGCTTCTTTGGTTTGCTTCGATTTCCCTTTTCACACCAACACAAGACACCTAGACAAGACATAGATATAGGAAAGTTATTGTAAAAGAATCTAAAATCCAACAGCTACAGTGAGTATTAAAAGCTGAAAATATCCAATAAAGTAAATGAAATAAATTAAATGAAATAAAGTAAATGAAATAAAGTAAATGCAATAAAAGTAAATCTAATAAAGTAAATCTAGTAAAGTAAATCCAGTAAAGTAAGTCCAATAAAGTAAATCCAATAAAGTAAATCCAATAAACTTGATACAAATATAGCTAAATATACAAATATAGCCTCTAAAGTAGAATAAATCAATAAAATTTGAATTTTAAACAAAAAATAGATGATAGATCGAGTTTTACAATTGCTAGATAATGGCTTGAAGACAAGAATAGACAAGAATAGATAATGCTAGCTAATGGATAAGAGATGATGGATGAGAGTGGGATAAAAAGGAATAGTAGAGGACAGCTGACCCCTGGAAGCTAGAAAGATGTGAATAGCAATAGATGAACAACGAAAAGATTTAGAATTTCCAAAAACACAAGAAAATATAGATTAAATTGATAGTGGAACATGATTTGCAACACTGATATCTGACTCTTTTATTAGATATAGTAAAGTTCTAGAAGAGTCTCTAGCTCTAGAAGTCTCTAGCAAGTTTAGCTCTAAAGTATGACTTACAGCAATGCAAGTACAGCTTAATGGAGTCAGTACAGTCAGTACAGTCAGTACAGTCTTCCAGTATAAATCTTTTCTTAAAGTTGATATGAAACTCTATTTAATTAGTACTTTAAAGCCTGTAAAGCCTTTCAGCCTTTAAAGCCTTTCAGCTTTTAAAGCCTTTAAAGCCTTTCAGCTTTTAAAGCCTGTAAAGCCTTTAAAACCTTTGAAAGCCTGTGAAGCCTTTAAAGCCCTTAAAGCCTGTAAAGCCTGTAAAGCCCTTCAGCCTTTAAAAACCTATTTTTAAAGTACAATCATTTGTAAATTGAACTTGAAAAAAGTTGTTTAGGTGTTAGATCAAAAAAGGCTTTCTCTATTTGACGAGTCTAAAAGAAAACAAACTCGATCTCGTGAATGTTCGAAGAAAAAAAGAGAAAAGATAAGGTGAAAGTGTTTCTGAAAGTCTGGAAGAGATTTCTCTTTGATCTTTTGTGAACACCCCTTGGGGGTTTGGGGAAGGGAAGGGAAGAGGAAAGGGTGGCGGTAGTGTTTGGAGTCCCCCTCCAACAGTCCCTTTCTTTCACCAATCACTCGACTAACCACATGCACTCATCCTTCTCTTTCAGCGTATCTCCTAAAATCACAAATTTGAGAGATAATATAGTATTGGGTTCATGGGTATCACTTGGCTTTCTGATTCCCGATTTTCTCAAAAACTTTTTCTAAAAAACAAGACTTCTTCTGAAACTTTTGCTCAAGAGTTACCCAATTTGTGCTAAAATAGTCAATTTTCGGTTAAACAATTGCTAACAGTTCTTTTTGGATTCGGTGGGCTATAGAAAATTGTGTTTAAATTTTTTCTAAACAAAGTGTTTAAATTTAACAGAAATCTGACTTTTCCACGATTTCTCGAAAACTGTGAACGACAATGATTTGATTGAATGCTTTTGATGATTTGATGAGTGAGCTCCTTATCTGTATTTGTGATGTGCCAAATTCTGTACGATTGTGTACGGAGATAAGGAACACACAAGCCAGGCCAAGCACAAGCCAGGCCAAGCACAAGCCAGGCCAAGCACAAGCCAGGCCAAGCACAAGCCAAGCCAAGCACAAGCCAGGCCAAGCAAAAGCCATTTAAAAATAAAAATGAGATGTGCAATGAGATGGCAAAACTCAAAGCCAGCTGATTGGAAAGATTGGAACTCGCGGCGTCTTGCCCCGCATTCTAACAAACTATCACTGGGTCATCCCTGCATATCTCCCCGCCTGAAAAATCCTTTTTTAACGTCTATGTTTGATTTTTGAAACTCTTTACAAAACTTTAAACGTGTATAACTTTTGATAGAGTGCCGTTTAGCAAAAACGAAAAGCATCATTCGCGACATTCGCGTTTTCTAAAAAGCACGCATTTTATTAAAACTACCGTAACTAAGACCAAAACTACGTAAATACCGTAACTAAGAACAAAAGCCTGTGTAATCGAGTGTGAACAACTTGAATACGATATTTTTTTATACGATATAATACGAAAAGAAGTGTTTTTTCGGAAAACTGGCTGAGATGAGAGGACTTTACGGCAAAATTCCAGTCATTTCCGGGTATTGTAAAGGAGATTTAAGGTAAAATTCATCAACGAACAATTTAAACAAACATCTTGTATGTGTTCAGAGCTTTTATTCAATTCCCAATCAACTACAAGATTGTTCTTGATTCGTTTTCACAAAGTTTTCACAAAGTAGATGATGAAGTTCAAAATGGGTGAGATTTTCAGAAAAAATCGGGAGCATTAAAGGGAAATATGGAAAATTCGTGGATTGTGGAAGAAAATGAGAAAAAGCAGTTTGATTTTCTTGAGTTTTCGGAATTTTTTCCTCTTTCGGCTCGACGATCGTCTGTTTTCGACCCTTGGTGCGCCGATTTTGAAACCACACTTTCACCTTAAATTGTTTTTAATGTTTTTAATTGTTTTTAATTGTTCCAAGTTTTTAGAACTTAGAATATAAAAGCTAAAAGATAGCAGAGTGGTTAAAAGATAGCCGAGCTAAAAGATAGCAGAGCAAGAATGGGTTTAGAATTTAACAAATATATTTATTTACTTGTGTATCTGATAGTTGAAGGGTTTCTGCTAGACGGGCTCGCTTCTCACCGGCTAAATAGCCGTTTGTCTGAAAAATTTGAATATCTCAATTTGAATATCTCAATTTGAATATCTCAATTTGAATATCTCAATTTGAATATCTATTTGAATTCAATCAATTTCTAATATCAAATAAAACTACAATATTTTTATAGAATAATTGAAGTTTTTAAAGATCTAAATCTTATGCTAAAGTCCTGGAAATTTGATGCCTGTAGTGATTATTGTTGTTTTAGATATAATCTCGATCACGAGATCGTCACGACAATGCCCAACAGCTCAAAGACTCAAAGCTTTTCTAACCACGGAATTAAAGTTAAATCTTTAATCTTTAAAGTCAAATCTTTAAATAACCAGTTAATTAAATAACCAGTTAATTAAAAAAACCAGTTAATCAATAACCAGTTAATCAATAACCAGTTAATTAAATAACCAGTTAAAGTTAACAATCTCTATTGTACAATAAATTATTTCTATTTTAAAGTTTCCCACCTTAAAAGCACTCTCAAGTGCATCGAGTTGATGAGGCAAAAAGGTGGTTCTTGGTCGTTTCGGTCGATCAACGTCCAATTGAACGGGCAACTCCATCAATTTCTCTGAGCCATCACCGCCTAAAGGATTTGTAGCTGGATTTTTTGAAGAACTTTGTTCAATTCTTTGATTGGAATCGATTTGGGATACAAATCTAAACATTCCCATACTCTGGCACTGACAAATGTGCACTGGATTGCTTCTAGCGCATCGGATTGCTGATGCAAATGCAAATGCAAATGAAAACCCTGTCTCACAGTATACTAAACAAAAACTATCCAAAAATCTATCTAAATCTTTCCATTTTATCAACGAACCTTTAATCCTGAACACTTTCACATAATTTGCAGCCATTTCGAGAATTTGATGGAAATCAGTCTAAACTTTGATCAATGTGGCAATAATCTCAAAAGAAGATTGAGTTTTACGTAAGAATGTCAAGTGAGTAGAAGTATTCAATAAAATGAAAGAAGAAAATGGAGGAGAAGGTCAATCGGTTGACCCAAAATGGGGATTCTTGTGGCTTGGAAAACGAGTGGTACTGTAGCTAGCCTTTGAAATACAAGAATGGCTTGTTTGGGCTGTAACTCATAATTTTTGTCAATTTTTTAGCTTGGAGTACTGTAATTATAGCCTTTTGCCGCCCTACAGTATGCCAGAAACAGTCTTGTCCAGTTCCAGATACTGTAGCTGAACGATGTGATGTGTTTTGTGAGTAAAAGTTAGAAATTGCAATTAAATTAAAGCAAATAAGTTCTAAAGCCATATGGCTCAGTCCACTGATGAACTTGACAAAACTTGGTGAAATGGGGAGAAGAAAGGGAATGGGATGGGGGACAATTAATGTGTGACAGATTGTGTCCTCGACTCAAGTGATTCTTCTCCTTTCAAAGAGATTGACAACAACACAAATCTTGAATATGACCACAATTTGGGATAAGTTTGAGATTTGAAGAAGTGGGTGAAATGTATGAAATGGAGAAGTTTAAGAAGAGGTTTTAAGTTTGTGGGTAAATAGGAGTAGCTAAGGGTTGCGATAGTTTTAGGCGAGCTACCGTAACCCTTAGCCACTGTAACTTTCTAGCAGAACCACATCTAGTTAAGTTATCGTAATCCTTGGGGATAACACTTACAGTTCCTCGAAAAAGAAACTGTAAGTGTTATCGCTTTCACACCATCCCCAAAAATGACTGTGACCCCAATTAATCGGACATCTCTGCACAAACAATACCGTTTCTTGGCCACGATTTATGTTGATGAATTGGTGGAATCAAGTTGCGCCTAATTGTTTTCCCAAATCTTATTCAAAACCCAATAAAGCCTTATTGAGATGCACTTCTAATTTTCTTGAATTAGAGATCTTTATTCATAACTTAACCGCTAAACCTTTCCTAAAATAAAAAATATTTACACAAGATAAAAAGTGACTAATAGAAACCTTTTCACCGTAAAATTTGCGACTATTAAATTGCACAGAGAAATGAAATAATCACCAATCAGAAAACAAGTAAACTATTAAACAAAGTAAGCTCTAAGAAAATGCAAAAAAGTAAGAAGTGAGCAAATCGGTTTGAACATGACACAATTATTGTTGTTCCTTGAAGTGGACGAGCACCGTGTTTTTCGCCACATTCTTTCCGGGAGCGCACGATATCGATTCAACGATAGCATCCTTTGAAGCTCTAAAACTGCTTACTAAAATAGAATTTGATTCTTTCTCACCTGATAATGTATTCCATTTTCATTGCCACCATAACAACCAGCGCTTGTCCTTGCGTAACTTTGTCGCCGGCGTTTACCAGTACCTAGGGTTGAACGTTAAAAAATTACAATAGATGCCAGTAAAACAAACCTTTTCGATAATTCCGGGCATCGGAGCCACAGCATCACCCAACGAAGCACCAGACCCAGCCCCAGTGAGCAACGCCGACGGCTGTCTTTGATGCTGGGCCTCACCAGCTCCGTAAACCTAAAATACAGTCATTATTCGTGGATACTTTATAAAGCCGTTTCTAATTCAAAATTGTAGTCTAATCTAGAGTTAATTCATTTTAATGTACAAAACATACCAAAATACTCTGCTCAGTTTGTACAGTCTCCGCCAGCCATCTTCTTCCGTCAGCCTCCACCGTAAATGTAGTTTTATGTCCATCTTGTGTCAAATTGTAAACCTAATTGATTTCATAATTTTATTTGTAAACAAACAAACTTTTGCTTCAACAGGTTTTCCATCAATGTTAAGAATGAAGCTATCCTTGTCGACAATTTCGAGTTGAACCTAAAAACATAGAGCTCTAGTTTTTGTAGATCTATACTAACCTCTTTGTCTTCAACCTTGTAACTCCTTCGCAAATTGGCATTTAGTCGAAAATCGTTTAGCGCCTAATTATTAGTTTTTAAATTTTTTGTAAAAATTAACCTGGAAAGGCCCTGATGGCTTGCTAATTGGTCGTTCAGCTAGATGTTGCCCGATAACCGATTCAACAATCTAAAACAATCAGAGAATCAGAGTTTTCTCTAAGCGCAAACCTGTTCAAATGATGCTTCTCGTTCATGGAATAAGTCTTTTTGGAAGTCTGGGATAAAGTCAGTGTAGACATTTCCCTGAAACAAAATAAAACTGTTTAGAAATTTTAAAAAGAAACCTTGATGAATTCTGGATGTTGAAGAACCGTCCTAACAAAATCAATATTGGTTGGTAGGCCAGCAATCCTCGTGTTTTTCAGGGCACGGTCAAGCTTTGCAGAGGCTTCAACTCGATCTTTTCCCCAAACAATCACCTAATTCATTATAAGTATCCAGTTGGAAAATCTCGAAACCTTGGCAATCATTGGATCATAATGAACCGAGACTTCGTCACCAGTCACAACTCCTGTATCGACTCGGGCATCGGTGGGAAATTCAACGTAGTCAAGTTTGCCTAAATTTCCCATAATCAATCAAAAAGATATAATCTAACCAGCTGTTGGCATAAAGGCTCCTTTTCTCGTATCCTCGGCATAAACACGACATTCGAATGCGTGTCCTTTCAGAGGAATGTCCTTCTGTTTTAGCGGAATTTCCTCTCCTTGTGCTACTCGTAATTGCCACTCAACAAGATCCGTTCCTAAAGGAGGAGCTTTTTTATCAGCACTAAATTTAAATAGAACCTGTGATAGCTTCTGATACTGGATGTTCAACTTGAAGTCGGGTATTCATTTCCATGAAATAGAAATCTCCTCGTGGGTCCATGATGAATTCGACGGTGCCCGCACCAACATAGCCAACCGCGGCTGCTGCTCTTACTGCTGATTCTCCCAAGCGCACCCGCGTTTCCATAGCTAAAGTAAAACAATATTATTTACTGTGGAAATCACAAACAAATATTTGGTGCTGGGGCTTCTTCAATGATCTTTTGATGTCTTCTTTGCACTGAGCAATCTCTTTCCCAGAGGTACACGTGATTATTGTGGTGGTCTCCAAAAACCTAAACATGCAAATACATAAAATAAATAACTTCAAATTTTACTTGAACTTCAACATGTCGTGGCCTTTCAACAAATTTCTCAACCAACATGTCATCGTTCCCAAAAGATTTCTTGGCTTCGTTTCTAAAATCATACAAATAAAAAGTTTAGAATTAAAAATACCTGGCTGATGCAACCGCCTCATCAAAATCCTCTTCTTTCCATGCAATTCGCATCCCTTTTCCACCACCACCATAAACGGCCTTTAGCATTACAGGGTAACCTAGATATCATATGTGAAATGGTACAAGCATTATTGTGCGAACCTATTTTTTTAGCGTGCTTCTTGAGATTGGCGTCTGATTGATCCTTTCCATGGAAACCTTCAACAACTGGCACATTTGCATCCTAAATAACATTTTTAACGTTGAATGGAATAATTTTTAAACCTGCATAATTTGTTTCGCAAGACTCTTTGTACCCATATCTCGAATGGCCTTTGAGGGTGGTCCAATAAAAACAAGGCCTGCTTCAGCGCAGCGATCGGCGAAACCAGCATTCTCCGAAAGAAATCCATAACCGGGATGAATTCCCTAAAATGAATAGCAAATAAAGATACTCGAATATTACTTGTTCGAAAAAATGAATGTTTACCTGTGCTCCAGCTTTTAGTGCCGTTTCGATAACTTTATCCACATTAAGGTAGCTTTGCGAGGCTTGAGCTGGACCAATGTGAAAAGCCTAAAACATTATTAAAACTACTGGTCTCAATGCCTCAATAATTTTAGTAACAAGTTCTAAAAGCCAATGATAACACAACATACCTTGTCCGCTTTTCTCACAAAAAGCGCTCCTCGATCTGCATCACTAAAATGAAAGAAATGGAAAAGTCGATGAAAATCACAAGCCTGAATACGGCCACCGATTCAATTCCCATTTTTCTGGCCGTTTTCATCACGCGAATGGCAATCTCTCCTCGATTAGCGATCAGCACTCGATCGATCTTCTTTATTAGCGGATTTGTCGTCGTCGATGAGCATCTTGCGTTGTACAGCAGTGTTGAATAGCATCGCAACATCTAAACTAGAGAAAAAAAATTGTAATGTGTATGTGATTTCAACAGCAGAATAAAGCTAAAAGGGTTAAACACCGTGCAACTTTGAATTAAAACCACACAAAGTGAGAAGTTCAATTCAGATACCGTACCCAGCAAAACGCTTTTCTAAAATGTACTTAAAACTGTCGCAGATTTTCTCGCCGATTCGGAAAACTTTTCATTTCTCATTAGTGCTTTTTAAAAATTTAGAAAATCTCTGCTTTGCCGGTTTGTGCAGTTTGCCGCATCCTAAATTGTGAAAGATGTTATTTGTGCCCATTTCTTGTAGTTTGTGCATGCACCATTAGTCCCGCCGCGCTTTCTTTCTACTTTCTACTGTCGAAAAAGCAACCCCGAGAAACAAAACTTTTTGCTAATTTTTATTGAGGTGTTGGTTTATTTCGATTCTTTTCTTTTGCCATCCAATCACATGCTTCATTTTATTTAACGTTTTCTTTACAGGTAAACATGGGCAAGCCTATGGGACTGAATGCTGCTCGGAAGCTTCGGCTTCATCGTCAAAAGCAACGCTGGGCCGACAAGGACTACAAAAAAGCCAACTTCGGAACCAGATGGAAGGCCAACCCCTTCGGTGGTGCCTCTCACGCCAAGGGAATCGTGCTCGAGAAGATGTGAGCTTTGAGACTTTTATTAGTAAAACGATTGGTACTATGGGCTTTGGGGGTGCACTTATTTTTCACCAAAACCATTTTTATTGGGGTAATTTATGACGCTGGTCACGAAAAAGTTTTTTAAGGCAAGTTAGGAATAATAATGTATACCGGGGTTGCCGGTGATTTATTTTGCACACACAGAATCACAATTTACACATTGGGACCTAGGGAATATTCTATCGGTTGTGAGGATGGAACGATCTAGGAGAAAGCTACCCGCTTTATATTAGCTTGCACCTTAGGCAAGTCTACCCATTTGGATCCCTGGTTATCCCAATCCCGAGAGGAGGGGACCTAGGGGGACCAGCCTTGGGAACAAGTTCACCATATAGGTGCGGTTACCTACATCACTCGGTTCAGGGAAGATCCCTGACTCATCTGCTGGATTCGAACCAGAAACTAGCCGAGTCCAACGTTGCTTAACTTGGCAGCTCTGACGGGATACCGTGTTTCAACGTGACGAGGCGTAACGAAAAATGTCGGTTTTAAACCTCAAGGTCCACATGCTTCCGGTATGAAACTCTTCTCAGACGTAGGCAAATCAGGCGATAACCTAGGGGTCCTCAATGTCGTTAAAATTTGCGAAATATTGTGCAAAATCATCACCAATAGATTCAGCATAGTCAAAACCTCTGGGTGCAAAAAAAACCCGCTTATTTGGCCAAAAAAATTTGCCCTGGTTCCAACTACTATAGCATCTTGTTTTAAACGGATATTTTTCCATTACTAACTTGCCTTAAAAATAACTTTCATGATCAGCCTCATCAATTACCCGGGCAAAAGTGTCCCCCCAAAGCCCATGGCACTAAATGATTTAATGTTCGATGACTTGCTATTTTCTTTTATTTTGTAGCCACAAGGGATAGTTTCTGAAAACGAAATTAATAAGAAGCTTTCATAGTTTGTAGGTTTAGTCAATGCGTAGACTTTTTTGTAATGAGTCTAATCATAGTTCAATGCATTCGTACTAGCCGAGCATCTCAAACCGAAAGGGTATGAAAGATTAAATCGGTCAGCATTTACTTAAATGCTACTTATGCAGCGTCTTTATTTTTTTCCGGAGGTTGATGGTTTTTTTAGTGGTGTCGAAGCCAAACAGCCCAACTCTGCCATCCGAAAGTGTGTCCGTGTTCAACTTATCAAGAACGGAAAGAAGATCACCGCCTTCGTTCCCAATGACGGTTGCTTGAACTTTGTTGAGGTGAATTTTGCTAGCTTCGTTTTCTTCAAAGTGTTACGCGACTTCTACGAGTCATAATGCTTATCAGAACGCATGTAACGTGAAGAAGAAGCGGTGATCTATTTAGTTTTAAGGATTGAGTGACAATAGACTTGTCAATTTTTATTTTTTTCAGGAAAACGATGAGGTGCTTGTCGCTGGTTTCGGTCGTTCGGGTCACGCCGTCGGAGATATTCCCGGAGTTCGTTTCAAGATTGTTAAAGTCGCCAACACATCCCTCATTGCCTTGTTCAAAGGAAAGAAAGAAAGACCACGTTCATAAGCAAGGTGAAACAATTTTATTTTTGTTCTTGTTGATAAATCTTTGGTTTCTAAAGCTACAGTACAAAGCGTGAGGTTTTGGAGGCACCCAATATAATAATTTACACACTTCACACAAACATGATATGCAGCTTCTAACAACGCCAAAGATGTTATTGACTGAAATGCAAGATTGCAATTGATTAAATATTTTCAAAGTTGTGAACAAATTTCCTGAAAGGCGCAAATCGATTGTTCATGATAAGAAAAATCAGCTGGTTGTTTTTTTATCCTGTTGATATCCAAACTCTGGTGGGGATAAGATTTCTTTTGTGGTGAAAACAAGTTCTTTCGATCCAATGCCATGCTGATCGAGTCGAAAATTGATGCTCCTTGGAAAAACCACAGTCAGCGAGTGCGTGTCGAATAGAGCGAATAGGTTGAGGAGGATGGGAGGAGTAAAAACGAGAATGTCCTTCACTCATTCACCCAAAGACATTCTTCCAGTTTTGCGAGATTCTCGAAATTTGACGTGAATATGCAGAGCTTGCTTTTGAATGATTGTTGAGTGCCTATTGTTGTATCGTTTCAAGTGCAGTGTCGGGATTGATTTTAGCATGTTCTGGGTTCCGGTCAATCTCATTCAGACAGCTTCCTACCTACCGAAATCTTCTATTAGATTTCATTTCATTTCATTGGATTAGCTATTAGATTTTATTAGATTTTATAGATTTTATTAGATAGCTATTAGATTTTATTAATCTTTATCATAGTCTAGTTTGCCCAATAACCGATCTCTGAGTTAATCACCGGTTTTCAACTATCACATACGAAAACATTCGCAGTGCTTTTTCTCAGGCTGCTGCTCGGGGTGGCTTTTTGCATTTGTGAGCGAAAGTCGGTTCCCTCAAGCTTTCCTTATTTCTATACATCGTCACCCCCTTGTGTGAGCCTGTGTGGATATATTGGGGGTTGAGCCTTGTGTGTGCCTCGAACTGGTTTCGTGCGCGCCTCGGGCGAGCTGAGAGAGGAGGTGGAGGGGTGAATGAGGCGGGGAGAGACTCTCCTCTCCCCTCAAAAGAGAGACTGGGATGACACGATGGCTCGAGGCTTTGCCAATCCTCTATCCATCCATCCACAGCTGGTATCGTTGTCTTCCTTCTTTTCCTTTTCATATCCTATCCGTGCCTCCATTCCTCCAATAAAAAGGACTGCTTTGTCTGTGGCTTTCGTTTTGGTGATAAATTGATTTTGGCTTTTTGCTTTTCTTTACAATTTTAATGATCTTTTTACGTTTTTTAATGGTTTATAGAATGTTAGAAGAGGAGAGACCGGCGAATATGAGCTGGATAGCTCAAATTGTGGTAGGGAAATGATACAGTAGACAATTTTAGTTCAGCATGTGCTTACGTTTTGAGTTTCGCATGTAAGACTGCTTTTAAGCCATTCATTGCTCTTTGTTCGTTAGAATTTTAATGCAAATTGGCAGCTGCTCTAGTTGCTCACATTTCTTTAAAGCAAAACACTTTTTTAGTTGCTTGTGTTCTTGGCTGACCACCAAATTCGTAGTGTTGCTTTTAAAGAAAAAGCGATTTTTAGTATTTGCGGATTTTAGTGGATCATTTGCGGAATGGCCACGAAAAGGCCCTCATCCACAGCGATTTCAAAGGATTTTATAAAGAAAGAAGGGGACGATATATTGCTGAAGTGAGTGAATTAACAAAATGAGACTTTTAGAAGACTGTACTAAAGATTTTTGATAAAGTAACTAACAAATAGCTATGATAAACCTTTCATTAACCGATTTTAAAGTAAGCTTACGGATTTCCAACAAATTTTGCAAGCTTTAAGTCGATTTTATTTCCTAGAGCTTTGAAATTGCTTTCACTTTCAAAAAATTGGATAACAAGGCTTTTGTCTGAAAAGCTGAAAGAATTTTTGACGACTAACGACTAACGGCTATTGCTTTGTCATTGCAGTTATCCAAAGCTACAGTAATATTTGAAAGTTATGCAAATCTTTCTTTATTAGACATCCTTAAACGCTCGTTATTGTAGGTCGATGAAAGAGAATAAAGAAAATGAGGTCTCGGAAAAGAAATCAAAGGCTCAACTTTCTCTTTCATTTACCATTCACAAACTTTTCCTTTCAAAAATCCCACCCAATAACTCGTTTCTCTGAATTGAACGTTTCTTTTTCTCACTCTTCCTTCTTTCTCACTTCCTTCTCACTCTTCCTTCCTCTCCTTCATTCAAATCTAAAGAGAAACTAGTGATCGTTTGTAGAAGAATTTGTCTCTGATCTCTGATTGCTTGCAAGCCTGTTATTTGTGCCTTTGGAAAGAAGAGACAAAAATAATTTGTTAAAGAGCTGGTTTCGATGAAATTTCATATTGTAAACTAGTCTAGAATTTACAGATTCACTTTAAGAAAGTTTAGAATTCATTTTAATTAACTTCAAGAATTCACAATATCACAAAAGATTCACAGATATTTAACTATCATTGGGTTTGTATAGTTGAAAAAGGACAGGCAAAAGAGCCAAATCTCCAGGCTAAAGTCAAGCTAAAGCCAAGGTTTTAAGGCAAAACTGAAGTTGAAATTCCTTGTCAAGGCCGATTGAAAGCCATTGGCTTTGGTTGGCTTTGGTTGGTTTGAGCTTTTGGCTTTTTTCTAACTCTGTTTGAGAACCTAGCTATATATTGATTAAACGGATCAAGGATATTAGCTTCTAGTTGAATTAATTGATCAAAGTTTTCAGATTGAGTTGGCAACACAGTCTCACCGGTTTCCTCATTGTGCTCGGCATTTTTCAGTCTCCAGGTGAGCAAATGAGAGATTTGGGAATCGTGATCAGTCGGGATCTAGTCAAAATAGCGCCGCCGAAACAGCGCTGTTCAAAAGAGCGCCGCCGAAATAGCACCGTTCAAAATAGAGCCGCCGAAACAGCGCTGTTCAAAACAGCGCCATTCAAACAGCGCCGTTCAAAACAGCGCCAAATTGAAAAAGACTATGATTAGATTTTTTGGCTCCAATGTTTTTATACTTCTCATCACAATTTGTAACTTTTGTTATTTTTAAAGCACTTTTAAGCATCTTGTGCATGTTTTGACTGTTTTGAACGGCGCTATTTTGACTAGGGTCCGATAAGTCGGTTATTACAAGACAAGACAAGATTACGGTAGTCGATAAAGTTCGACACAATTTTCAGAAACGTATTTTGAGAGGATTATCTGTTTCTAATTGTACATTCTTGTCAAATTCAATTGTTATTATTGTTGTTTATTATTAGAAAAGCTTATTACACCTAATTATGATTATAATACAATGTAAAAGACTTGAATTTTAAAATGAAAACATGTTGTCCAGCTATAAATGCACGCCTGCTCTTGAACAACTTGAACAGCATTCCTTAGAGCTGAACTTAGAGCTGAACTTAGAGCTGAACTTAGAGCTGAACTTAGAGCTGAACTTAGAGCTGAACTTAGAGCTGAACTTAGAACACGAAAACGGAAAAGCAAAAAACTTTTAAATAATAGCAAAGAAATTATTTGTATGGAGTAAATTTAGAAAAGAAATCAAAAAAAAAGAAAAAAAATACCGTTTTTTTAGCATTCAATTTACAGCCGTTCCCATCGCTTTCTCGATCCCATTGTTGATCTTTTCAATGGTTTATATCGCGTATTTTTTTGGCGATTTCTGGTATCGATCCTATCAGACACTTCACAGAGATTTGAGGTTTTCAAAAAAAAAAAGAAATTATAATTTATTAAATTCCAAAATTTAGTGGCCTTCACCTAATCCTTCAAGTGAAATTCGATTTGTGGAAACGAATGAAGGAGAACAAGAGTATTGGTGGGGATTTCGAAGCTTTGACTTAAACTTGTAGAGCTTTGACTTAAGTAGAGAAACTATGAAAGATTCTCTACTTAAAAAGTCTAGAAACCTTTAATAGCCTTTGAATGATGTTCAGGTGAGATTTGGGGGGAAATGGTCGAGAAATTCGGTGACAAGACGGCTTTTTTCGATATTGAGACTGGAAGGAAATACTCTTTTCGACAATTTGACGCACATGCAAATCGTTATGCGAATTTTTATCAAGTGAGTTTTAAAAAAAAGATACCTACCGTAAATACTGTAATAGTACCCCACCGCCCTCGTACAGTCGCGTAGTCGCAAAAGTTTTTTAGTATTTCATTTTTTTCAAAGCACGCGTACTTTCAAAAAATGCGTCTTTAGTATCAAAAAATAGCCCTGAATTTCAGCTATTTTTTGATACCTAAGCGCACATTGTAGCATAAGCCAGTGCCGAGAAACACTCGTTCAAAGCTAGACTACGCAACACTCCGCACCGTCATTATGGGGGTGGGGTACCATTACAGTATTTACGGTAACAATATCATCAGTAAACAAATCTTGTTTATTAGCTTAATAAACAAAATTTATGCGAAAGAAAGCTAGTGATAGGCTCCAGGGAAATTCAGAACTTGTTTGCTCCAAACCGAAATGATTTAAAATCCTCTAGACACGAGGTCTTCGAGCGGGTGATGTGATCGCCATTCATATGGAGAACTCGAGTGATTTCGTTGCAGCTTGGCTTGGAGCAGCTAAAGTGGGCTTTAGAAAGAATAATGAACGAATTTCCCAGCTCTAGGTGGGTGTGGTGACAGCGTGGATCAACAGCAATTTGAGAAAAGAACCATTGGCTCACTGTGTGCACACATCGGAAGCAAAAGCAGCGATCACAAGTCAATCGCTGCAATTTGGTGAGTGAGAAATGGCCATTTATAAAATTGGGATAAGAATTCGGTGGATTTTAATAGGAAAGTTTTCAATAAACAAAAATGGACTTACAGTTAACAATTAACAGAGCCAAGAAGACTGCCTTCGGTTTATATAAGATTTAGAGAATTAGCATCTTCCTTTCTTTCTTCCTCCTTCTTCCTTCTTCTTCCTTCCTTCTTCTTCCTTCCTTCTTCTTCCTTATCTTTCCTATTTCTTCTTGGGGAAATAAGACGCCGATAGCTCAATGGTAAAGCATCTGCCCGGTAAGCAGGAGTTCATTTCAATTCCCCAATAGTTCAAATGTCTTTGCCAGTCATTTACTTCATAATTAGCTTATTAATTTGATAACTAATCAAGTATTCAGCCCTTCTCGAGTCAATCTCCTCGGGTCATCTATCGATGAGCGAGGATTCCCTCTGGGTTCTCGGCTCACCAATCCACAAAGATTCCCTCAATCTGTCCCGTCAATTGGATGTCCAATCAACGAGGAAACCCGCAAAGATCGACGATGTCACATTTAAAAGTTGAAATCTAATAAAAAAATGATATAAAACAGATTTCAGGTGTTCTTTGCTTCATTTACACATCGGGGACGACTGGGCTCCCGAAGGCTGCAGTGATGAAGCATTTCAGGTGGGAGAAATACAATTCATTGCTCTACTTTAAGATTATGATAGAATTAGTATTTAAATATGATTAGAATTTAAATATGATTACAGATTTCTTAATCCCTTTTTCAGATATTATTCAATGGTGATGGGTGCCGCGCTGGCGTTTGGTCTTCGGCCATCGGATCGTCTCTATGTCTCGCTGCCAATCTATCACACAGCGGCCGGTTCGTTCTGTTACTGTAATTAGATAGTTAGAATGTAGTTAGAATGTAGTTAGAATGTAGTCAGAATCAGAAGGGATACTCTCATTTGTTTTGGTACTTCTTTAGTATCCACGGGAGGATAACGATTTTCGCAAGCTTGTTTCACTGATTTAGTTATCTTAAACTCGTCCAATTTTGACTTTAAAGCATTATTAGATAGTTTAGGCTTTGTAGAGTCTAATACCTTTTTAGTTTTTCAAAATCAATCACAAAAAAAGTGTTTAAATTGTGGGTTGAAGTTTGGCACCAGAATACTAAAGAAGTACCAAGACAAATCACAGTATTCCTTCTGATTCTAACTATTCTAACTGTCTTACCACAATATTTCTATCAAACTTGCCACCCTAGGAATCCTCGGAATCGGGCAGTGCCTTGTGCGCGGCTCTTCCTGCGTGATTCGCCGCAAATTCTCGGCAAGCAATTTCTGGAAAGACTGCAAAGTTCACGAGTGCACCGTGAGTTATATTTTATAATAAGTAAATCGAAATATTCAGCTAATGAGTGAAATATTCAGGCATCTCAATATATCGGTGAGATTTGTCGATATCTTTTGGCGCAGCCGGGATGTGTTGAGGAGAGCACTCACAAGATGAGGATCATGTACGGGAATGGGCTCAGAGCCGAGATTTGGCAGAGTTTCGTGGATCGGTGAGTGCAAATCACTATTCACAATGAGATTTAACTATAATATTAATATTGTGCAAGCTTTGTACAAGGTTTTGCACAAGCACATGCCTCAAGAACGCTTCATATAGAATAGTCCATTGGATTGAGGCCCGGAGAGTTGGCCACTCGTTGAATTCAATAAAATCGGGAAAGCTGTTCAAGCATCAACTCTGAACAATCCTCGTTTTGTGGCTCCGTCCTGCTGATAAGCTCAAGTACGTCTTCTGTAGTGGCTCTGTGCCCAGGGAAGCAGCTTATTCTTGAATAGGTCGAGATAATTTTGGCTATTGATTTTAACACTTTGTGGAACAAACCAAAGAGGTGTTTTTCCATCCGCTGTTACCCTGCGAAAACCATTACTGAATCAGGGTGTGCACAAACAGAAAATGTGGATGGGAGGCAGCATATACTCGATCATCTTGCTTATTAAGAACTTGTTGAACTGTGAATTTCTTCATCCTCAGTAAAGAGGATGATGAGCTTGTCCTGGAAAACGATTCAAAAGGTCTTGGCTTTGGTCTTTACGATTTTTTGAGCTGCCGACAATCCTTGTCATTTATTTTTCTTGTAGGCTTTTAGTTTAAGATGTTTTCGAAGAATTCGACGCACTAACAGTTCAATGATTCTCATTTCACGAGCCATTTGACGAACAGAACGATCGGGGCTGCGCCTGATCTTTTAACCCTCTTGATATTAGCTTTGATGGTAACGGTTCTCTTATTTCCTCGTCCAGGGCGGTCATTTAAAGTTCCAAGCTCCTTGTATCGTTTGTGGAAATCACAACACTTCTATTGACTCCTAGACCTCCAGCAACCTCATGTGTCCCATAGCCTTTGACGTGCAAGTCGATGATCGAATCTCTGTGAAGATTACGCTTTCCCATCACTAAATTAAACGTTTTTTTTCGGTGAAAACAGCAAATGTTAGAACAAAGAAAACAAAAAAATTAAGAAAAAACAAAAATTTAGAAGAGTTTTCCTTGAAAAACAGCTAAATTCTATTGTAAGAGAGGTGAGGCGCTAATTGTCGATAATTTGTGACCCACCTGTAATAGTAATAGTAAGATATTCAACAACCATCAATATTGTAAGCACCAATTCGTTTTCAGCTTTGGTGTCAAAATCGGTGAGGTCTATGGGAGCACGGAAGGCACCTCGAATTTGGGTGAGTGAGAGCAGCAATTTGAAATGGGATTGATTTCGAGAACTTTAAATTAATCTAATCTTTTACAGTGTTAAATTTAAACTGGTAAAGATATTGAAGCTGTTATCGATATTGAAGATATAGAAGATATTGAAGCTTTCCTTTTCCAGTGAATATCGACGGCCATGTGGGTGCGTGTGGTTTCCTCCCGATCTCTCCACTCACAAAAAAGATGCATCCGGTAAAGAAAACAAATGAAAAGAAACCATATTGGAACCATATTCTTGGAAAGAATATATTGGAACCATATTGGAACCATATTGGAACCATAATCTTGGAAGGAACATATTGGAACCATATTGGAACCATATTGGAACCATGTAGGTGCCTGTGGTTTCCTCCCGATCTCTCCACTCACAAAAAAGATGCATCCGGTAAAGAAAACAAATGAAAAAGAAACAAAAAAGAAACAAAAAAGACTTTTTGGAAAGCCTTTTGAAAAGCCTTTGTGGAAAGCCTTTTCACAAAGTTAATATTCATTAATTTGAATCGATCGAATTTAATTTATTCGATTTGTTTCAGGTTCGTTTGGTTAAAGTGAACACAGAAACTGGAGAGATTCTGAGACGGCCAAATGGATTGTGCGTGGCATGTAGGCCGGGTTGGTTTCTTTGACTTTGAAATTCTTGACGGCAATTTTGACACCCACAATTTCCGATCAAGCTTTATGATCATTTCCAGGAGAAACCGGTGCCATGGTGTCAACGATTCGAGCTGATAATCCGTTGTTACAATTTGAGGTGGGGGAAATGAAAAAGAAAGGACGGATAAAGTTTGAACCAATTAGAGTTCTATCTGGTTAGCAATGTCCGCTTTTCCTCAAATTATTTACCCAATTACATTTTGGAGTTTTCTTTTTGTTGCGCTTCTGGAAGTTTTGTGATCAGGGAGTGGTTGACAAGACAAATTTTAAAGGGTGACAACTGGATTTTCTAGGCAGTAGTTGACAAAGATACCTGACTTTTCAAGATGCTTTGGTAACTCAAGCTTATTGATCTATATTTAGGGTTATTTGAACCGAAAAGAGACTGATTCGAAGATTATTCGGGATGTGTTTGCAAAGGGAGATTCGTGCTTTGTTTCCGGTAAATGTTAGCTGAATTGTTGTTAGCTGAATCTTTCAATTTTTTGAATTTTAAGTCAGATTGCAAAGGGAAATCTTTTCAAATCAATTTCAATCTCATTTTTAGGAGATCTTTTGCATTGGGATCGACTCGGCTACGTGTATTTCAAGGATCGAACTGGGGACACGTTCAGGTAATACTGATTTCAGTAATAAGCTTTCAGTAATATGCTAGAATGACAAAGGAATACTGTAGTTACAGTACTCTTTAAGTGATAATGACTGCAAATGGGAATATATTCAGATGGAAGGGGGAAAACGTGTCGACGACGGAAGTGGAGGCGATTCTCCATCCAACGTATGGCGTTGCCGATGCCACCGTTTACGGGGTCACTGTGCCAGGTTTGGGTTTCGAAATTTAAAATATTATGCAAATATTTTGTTTATCTAATATTTAGAAGCCCAATGTGCATTGAAAATTTCCAGGAAATGAGGGTCGTGCCGGAATGGCGGCCGTTGTTCGAACGGAGGGCGATGAGAGATCGGAGATGTCTTTCCTCGATACATTAGCCGGTAAAATCTATGCGAATTTCTGTAATCGACAGCTTACTGTAGCTATGGAATGCTACGTAGCTATGGAATGCTACAGTAGCTTACAGTAGCTCACTGTAGCTAATTTCCCAATTTCAGATCGTCTCCTCACCTCTTTACCCTCTTACGCTGTGCCGCGTTTCATTCGGCTTTGTCCACACGTCGATAAGACTGGTAAGTGTTAACTGTGTACTTTGTGCGCTGAGATGTAGACGCACCTTTTCTGGCTCGCTCAGTTCTTCACTTGTTTCGGCATATCAAGTTAAAAAAAGGTGAAGCACTAGCATGCACAAGAGAGGGTGTGTTTACACCAAAACAAAGGTGGTGAACACGTAAAAGTAGCAATTTGCAGGCACCTACAAATTGGTGAAGACAAATCTTCAACGATTGAGTTACGGAGGGAAGATGGACGGTCATCGGCTCTTCATTCTGAACTCGAAATTGCGAGCCTATGAACTATTGGATGATGAGACAATCAAAGCAATCAATGAGGCTCAATATGCAAATATTTGAAGAAGAAGAAGAAAAAAAGGAAGAGAGATAATTTGACAATCTCCCAAAAATCGTGGAATCTCAGTTTTTTTTTGTGTAGTTTTACTCCAAAGAATCGTACTGAGCAGTAGTTTGTGATTAGCGTTGACAATAAGGTTTTCGTATACTTTGTGCTGTAACGTATTGGGTATATTTATGAGCGGTACATTTCCCAATTCCCCAATTTCCCATTTTCTCTTTCACGACCCATCGGTGCCTTCTGCTAAACAAAGACGTGTAATTTGCATTTGAATTTTGAATTTTGAATTTTGAATTTGCTTTTTGCTTTATTTATAGTTGATGAGATAGATAATGGCAATCTACGATAGTTCAATGGATTATGGAACTTGCTTGAATTGAATCAAGCGCAAAAGCCTATTGATCTTTTATCCCTTGAAGCAGCGGTAAACCACTTTTCGTCGCCGTAGCGCAGTCGGAAACACGCTTGGCTACGGCCCGCACGACCAAGGTTCGACTCCGGCTGTGTCTGACTTTAGCGTTTTTTTTGCCCCAAAGAGGGCTGAGGAAAAGTCCGTACAGGACACTCTTTTAAATATAGTAGATTCGTAGATTGCTGACAAAATTGCCATAACTCTTTCAAACCATTTTCCCTCCTTCTATCGCTTTTCTTGGAGTTATTTTATAATATCAAAGCTAGTCGTTTTTCTGGAGAAAATAAAGATTTTATTACCACAAAAAGAACAGTAAGCTTACACATGAATGAAAAAAGATTACGGTAGTTTTAAACAGTGACACGTTTTAGAAGACGCTTGGGATTTTTCAAACAGGTCTTAAGATATGTAAGCCGACTAGGCAAGGCCAGGGTCCGATCAGAAGTCAGGTCAGGGTTTGGCTTCAGGTTTTGTAGGCCTGTGATGACTGTCACAAAAAGCTATTCAATCTAAGCTAAATTGTGGATTAGCTACCGTGGTTTGACGTCATTTTTCGGCAATATAAGCCGCTTTTTTGTACTTTTTTTTGTCCCTTTTCTTCTTCAGATTTTTGTGAGAAAATTTTCTCTAGATTTTTTCTATAAATCTGTTTGTTTTGCCAGTTAGCTCGTGTCATAAATTGTATTCTGCAAAAAGCTTGGTTTTGTTCTGTTCTGAAAGCTCAGAAAGTACACTCTAGTCTAGCCAGAGTCTACTCTGACTCGGCCCCAGTTGATTTCGATGTGTGCTATATTTTTATATACGACAACTTCTCCTGGAGACCGCGTAGCGGACGCCCAGCGCAGCTTTTTTTCATTCTGATTTAGATATTGACAAAGTTTCCGACTTGTTATTCGTCCTTTGCCTTTCTGTGTCCCCTACAAAATTACCTAAAAGTTTAAAATGGATCAAGAAACTTTTAGTTACTCAACCTACGTGCAGTTATCGGGAAGAGCTTTGATGGATTCAATGTGCGGTTTAATTTCAGATTTGTTTCCAAGAAAGCGAAAGAAAGCATCTTCCGGATTTGGCCTAAAAGTTCAAGTAAACCAGAAATTTTAAATATGTACTTTTGAGCTGAAGTAACAAATTCCGTGCTTGGAGTCTTAAGAACAAGTGCAACGATTCCATCTGAGTCAGCATATTCCGAAGCTGCATTGTAAGCCACAGACTAAAATTTATTTATAAACAAGACTTGCTTCCAATAAACTTACGACAAAATGATACAGATGACCGTCTTGTGTGTATTTTATTGGCTGTTGATCACCGGTGTGATAACCATCACCCGTTCTAAATTGCCCCAATGTTACTATTAAAATAAGACAATCAAGCCCCAATGCAGCCGCTACTTGAATGAGAAGTGCAACAATCGATGTGGTGATGTGGTGATGTGATTGATCGAACAAGAATATCGGAATTCTAAACAGTGGCATTTTAAACAAAGTGAAATGGTCCAACCTGTAGCATCGTTTGAAGGGGGTCCCGCATCACAGTGGGTTACGACGGTTTATGACTTTTATAAACTCAAACTATTATTTAAAAACTGAAATAAAAAGTGCGGCTTAAACGAAAGCAAAAAGAACAATCAAACCATGAAGGATTTATTCAGAGTGTGGGAAGAGTTTCAAATCGTGGCATTAGTAGTACTGCATTTTTCAAGAAATTGCAATTGCAATGGACAAAATTAACAACATGGAAACTTGGGCTTTAAAATACATTACAAATTCATAGAGACAAAATACAGTTTTTAATTCAAAATAGGAAATAAATATTGTGCATTATCCTACGTCATCATACTCCCTATACAAGCCAGCTTTCGGGCCGGGCACTAGTCGAATGATGTAGATACTAAAACAATTTTGTAATAGATAGTTTCATTGAACGCGTTTCATACGTCAGAAAAAACTATGCTAAAACATACTCAAGATATTGAGGTGTTCGGTTTGCAGCGAGGATGCGAAAACAATGAACACAAACGACATCCCCATTTGCTCTTTTCAAAGCGCGGATAGAATCGATATGACCATCACAAAGCAGTTCAACCTCTTGCAATCCAGGTAAGTTGTGCCAGAGCTAAAAATTGAACTATTTTATCAAAAAAATTACCAATTGCTTTGAATTGCTTTTAATGATTATTTAGGCTATCTAGACTAGAATAGTTAAGTCGATCTTTCGGATTTTTTAAAAAATGTGTCCAAATTATTTTCAGCAAAATAAGAAAGTTAAAAGAGCTTACATCTTTTGTTTCCCCGAAAATTTGAAGGCCAATTCGATCAATTTGACGCTCTGAAGTGTACCAGTGTCGAATCATCGCTCGAATCCCATTAAGAGTGCATCCGAAACTCCTTTCAAAGTGACTGTAAAAATTCGAAGCCGTTGTATCCAACAAGATCTAAACAATAAATATTATGCGGAGTAAGCGCCGCAACAAAAATTGTTCATTGACAGCTAAATCAAAACAAACCGTGTCATTTAATGGATCAACTATGGCTTTCCCGGAACCCTTCAACCGAACTTGCAATCCAATCGCATAATTATTGGTGAAAAAGTCACTCGAAACAGGAAAAATTTTGTTGTCTCCAGTCGCCTTAATCAGCCTAATTTTGATTCGTTCAATACAAACTTACATAAATATCTAGCTTGCTTGTTGGTCTTATACTGCGAAAAATATCCATGAAAATCTTTCCGGCAAAAGAGTAGTTTCAATGACACGACAATACAATTCTTCGCATTCGAACTTGCAATTCGCAAACATGTCCCAATTAACATCCTACTAAAAAACAAATATATAAAATATTACGTACTATTAAATATTACGGAAAACTAACCAAAACAATGGTCTTGAAGGTTACACGTTCTTTCAAATACTCAAAGCGTTGAATTAAGTTAGCTGGATCGATCCTTTCCGTATAGTCATAGTCGTCAACGTCCCTTGCTCTATTGCTAGGCCTTCTATAGCGAAACTAAAACCTGTTTTTATAACTAGCACCACAATACCTTACCGTGTCCCCATCAACATAAAGCACATCGAAATAAACACGAGTAAGTTTTGCTCTGTGCAGCTCAACCCTTCTGTAAAATTCCCTTGAGAGTTGGCGAACAGTGCTAAAGCAAAGATTAAAGTTAGAATAGGAAGGCTGCTAACTTTTCGATGATCCGCCCAGGAAGTTTCTCCATCACCGCATAGAATACATCGGGACAATTTTCAAGGAAGTTGACAGAAGAGGTTGGCATGTGCTAAAGGAAAACTTGCACGAAACATCTACTGGGAAGTAATCACAAATTACAACATTTAAAACCAAGTATAGCAAAAAGTCTTACATTCAGTTGTTGCTGCTTAAAGCTTTCGATGATTTCCGCTCGGTTCCTAATCGTTGTAAGCCACCCTTCTAAAAAAGCTTTTATAGAAAGGATGAGCAAAAGTTTAGATAACATAAAGAAACGAGATCGTGAAAACATGTTAGAAGAAGGATGTGCAGAATAAGAAAAAAAACAATAGTAACCCATGGTTATAAAGACTTTTTTGAGTTTAGAGTATTCAATTTAACAATAAAAATTTAATGATTATGGAAAAGGGCATATGCACGAATTGCAAATGTTTGTCATTGTCAGTTGGGGAGTGGGACAAATGCGACCTTTTTTGCGCACCCGGACATTTGCGCACCTTTTTTTCCGCACTTAGCGCACCTTTTTTTGCGTTTTAAAAAAGCTCTAAAAGCTAATATTAACCAATTTCTATCCCAAAAGTTGTTTTTCTAGGTAATTTTAGGGCATAGAATCGAAATTTTGGCATATCAGAGCTTGTGGAAGCGAACGGACGAAGTTATACAAAGAGAAAAATCAACAATTTTCTGTAATTTGACCTAGCCGTTTTGTCTTTCAAATTGGTTCCACAGGCTCTGTTATGTCAAAATTTGAATTCGACACCCTAAAATTACCTAGAAAAACAACTTTTGGAATAGAAATTGGTTAATATTAGCTTTTCGAGCTAATATTAAACGCGAAAACGAGAAAAAAGGCGGGCTAAGTGCGGGCGCGCAAAAAAAAGGTCGCATTTGTCCCACTCCCAGGATGTGCAGAATAAGAAATAAACAATAGTAACCTATGGTTATAAAGACTTTTTTTTGAGTTTAGAGTATTCAATTTAACAATAAAAATTTAATGATTATGGAAAAGGGCATATGCACGAATTGCAAATGTTTGTCATTGTCAATTCCAATTGGGGTTGGGGTCACCACATGTGCCACCACCATGAGATTTTTTGCCATAAAATTAAAACTTTCTACTGACATCGTGGTGTCATATTAAAGTTAATATAAAAACTAAGATTTTTAGCCAAACACTATTCATCTACATTCTATGATAATCTGTCGTAAAATAAATTATTTTTATTTTCAATCCGCCTTTTTTAAAGAAGTGTCCCGTTTTTTCAAGGAAACGCTGATCAATAAAGTGTATGGTTTAAATTGTAGACATCCTAATAGTTTTTATTATGCACCACGATGCCAGTACAAAGTTTTAATTTTATGGCAAAAGTCTCATGGTGGTGGTGATCATGGTGGCTCAGAAAATTCATGTATTGGGGAGTCATGAAAATCGCGAAAAAGTGACAAAATATAAAAAATTTACCCGCCCAAAATATTCACTTTTGCACCACAACAACCACCAGAAGCCACTAGAAATTTTAAGAAGAATCGCGCTGAACTGCTTTTTTTTGGGACACCCTGTATAGCTTTTTCTTTTAGCCGATCCTTTTTAATAACTTACCTAGTTTTTTTTCAGGTACATAAATGTGGAATTCGCCTGGACTGGGCCGAGAATTCGTTGTACTCCACTTTCACAAAGTCCAAGGATTTCTAATTGCAAACACAGGTGGTCAGTCTTTGCCTAATCGTGGAGACATTTGACGACAAGCTCCTCAGAGTAGCCCCACTCTACGGAGAAAATCTTGAAATGGCGATGATTGGATTGATTAAAGCAATAGGTGAGATTGAAAATATCATGCTTTTAACGTTTTAAGTGGAAAATCTTCAGTACACTTTCAGAATCACTCAACGATTCCACGAATTTCAAACGTTTCCACATGCATTTCACCAAAATGACTACCCGTTTCTATACCCTTCTCCCGTCAATCGAAACAAAAGCCAATCGTTCAAGAGATCTCTATGGTGTCACTCTGTATGATAGACCCTATCAGAACCTCATCAATACCGATCTCTTCTATGTCATTGATGATAATTTTCTACATTTTAATATTTAGTAGATGAATAAAATAAAGATTTTGTCGAGGAACAAGATGGGACTTGAGCTTTGCTTTGAACGTTCTTCCAAAAACAAAAGGGAACTAGGGGGCACACGGAGTTGAACCCTGGATCTCTCGGACTGCAGCCGAATGCTCTGCCATTGGGCTATACCTGTGGTAGCTGTGATCGAAAAGCTATTCAGTCTAAGCTAAATTGTTGATAAACTACCGTAGTCTGACCTGATTTTTCGGCAATATAAGATTACGCCTTGTTTACTCGAGTAGTAACTACATGCTAATTTTTTTCTTGTATGCAAATTTCTAAAATTATTCTTGATGGGTGTACTTAAATTTTGGTGATACGCGCACGCGTTAAGAACACCGTTCTTATTTTTTTGCTTGGAATGGCGTTCTTATTTTTTGTTAGGAACACCGTTCTTATTTAAGAACACCAAGATGTTTTTAAATTTTGGTGATAACGGGCCCAGGGCCAGGGCCTCGATCTGACTGAGCTGATCTAATCTGGCTGCGCTTTAGTCGAAAAGGTACACTCTACATTCATAAGACATTCATGATCGATTGAAATCAAATCCCAATCCCTTTTCCCATATTTGTAAGACTCGAATTGGTGGCTGTATTTGGAGGGGTGAGGTTTTGCGGGTAAACATTCGCCCCAATTGAAAAGTTTGTGTGTGATTGGCGGGGGTGTTAGCTCTTTTTCTGCCCATTCACAAATGTTGTTTGTCGATTTCTATGAAAGGACCACACTTTGCCGATTACACATTACTATAAGATATTCGAAATTTAGTAATGGACACAATTACTCGTCAACAAATTATCATATTGGATATAGAAGGAGTTTTGTTCAAGACGCGGATTTCGACACTCATTTCGGTTCCTGGAGGGTATTTTGCGAGGATTCTGGGCAAAGATTGGAGTCGCTTGCTGGATAAAGTAAGTATTACGATAGATTATTTATTATAAAGGCTGGATATCTTATTATTTTTATGCTTACGATAAAAAACAAATTTTAAAGGCCATAATCCATCTTCCTATACTTTGTTCTCACAAAATTGACAATCATACCCGGTCTGGCGCACACAATTACTCATTTTTACATAGAAATTCTTCGTTTTTGCAAGAATATTCTGGAATTCCGTTTTCCAGGCTTTCCAGGCAGGATTTGTTTACATTTAATCGCAAAGTACATCCATTATTCCAGGATGGTCGTCTTTTCTTGGATCGAGATGCCACCGTTTTCCCCGTCATTCTCAACTTTCTTCGTGATGGGAATAGTGAGCCAAAAACTCTGCCTTTAACTCTTTCAAATTCAGAAATCCCATTGCCATCCGAAGAATATTTTCTTCAGCGAATTCGCCACGAGGCAAACTATTATGGACTACTTGAGCTAGTCGAGAGAATTGATCGGTTTGTGTAGGGGAAAAGCTTATGAAAGGTTAAATTTCAGTATTTTACCGGGGAAACCAATGTTGATCAAAGAGTTGACTCAAAAGCCGACTTCTTCAAAAACGGAGATCAAAAATGGAGGTTCAAAGAAGAAAATCCCTGAAGAGGGAAGTCTACCAAGATCAACTAAAGGGATAAAAGAAGAAAAGACTGTCCGATTTGGATCAAGTCCGATACTTGTACCATTGGGTAGAAGAAAAATTTTCCAAAGGTTACTTGAGATTTCAACTTTTAGCTGGTCGTCGTCGATCCTCCGAGGATCCCATACTACCAACAAAAAGCGACTCGAAAGTCCTCAAAAAGACGGATAGCATCACACAAATTAGTCTACCAAAGAACTTTGCGTAATTGATTCTCGATAATTGATTTCAGTAAAAGATATTCAGTCATGTGGCTCACGTTGGATGGAATGGCGATGGGATGATCTTTGAAAAGCACTTGTTGGGTGATGAAGAAGCTGTGAGGAAGATTATTCAAGCCGCTGCACAAAACGCCGATGATACAGTAAGACGGGCGACCCAGCAAAGAAAGAAATTAACATTTAGCCAATTTACAATGTGATCAATGGAGCCTCTGAAGAATATGGAAGTCACTCAATTGAAGTTTGAAAGCCATATAATCAATTTAGGTAACTCTATTCAGGTTGTCTTGGCTGGTCCTCACATTCAGTCACCGCAAAGGAGCCGAGAGGTTAAGTCAACTTTAAAAACTAAATTCTCAGACATAAGCTTTGATTACGAAACCAAACAGTCAGTCTAATCGATTATTTAGCCTCAAAACCCCTCACCCCCAGCCGATCCATCTCAATCAAACATCTCCACCCCAAATCGTCCACCCAAACCAGCTCCAAAACCAAATCGCTCTCCGCTGCAAAGCAATTTATAATCCGTAATAATCGTATCAGCATAACATATTTTGTGCAAGAGATCGAAACACAATAGAACGCATCAAACAAAAATAAATAAAATATAAAAAATGAAGACACAAACAAATCATTTGCCCTTTTTTGATTTCTTCTTTGTGGGTGGGTCAGCGTATTTGGCGGCCAATTGATCGAAGAACGAGTCCATTCCGTCTTTGCGTTTCTTTTGATTTGCCAAAATCATCGCTTCCAATCCACCACTCGGTTCGGCTACCTAGAAAAGCAAAAGTTACATCAATGAATCTAATAATGATAACAAATCATGAAATCACTCTTCGGTAACATATTCCGGTTTTTAAATCCATTTTGCTTGCTAATAAAGATAAGTACCTGAACCTGTAGTTCCTTCAGAGCTTCTTCAGCCTCTTTCGCTTCCTTTTTAGCCTGTTTCTCTCGTTTTGCTGTAGCGGCTTTGGTCGTTGTTTGCTTGTATTTCTTTGTTTCCTTCAATTCACCACTAGCGAACATTTCTAAAACAATCATAAAAAGTTGATTAAAAAATCTCTACCTTCGATAATTTCCTTAAAACGAGGCTCATCTTCTGACCATGTTTCTCCAATTGTTGATTCGAGAATCATGTCAAAATCGCCTTTGTGACGTTTGTAGTTAATCTTCAGATCGCATCGTTCAATGTCACTTCCTAAACTTTGAGGTTATTTGATTAAACAAGTCAATGACATTTTAAACCACTAAAATACCTACCTTGATAGTCTTTCATGTAATTGTCGATATCTTCAGGCGAAACTTTCTTGAACATTCGTCGCCAAAGCTTCTCAAATGTAGCAAAATCGGAGCCATCATCGTCGTCAACGGCTCCTAAACAATTACATTACTTTTAACTTTATTCATAACGAATTACCTGTTTCATCATAAATCGCACGTTTATCCTTGTGCGAAAGTAACGTGTAGACGCCAGATACCGTCTAAAACTGATAAACTTACAACGATTTAAAAAATTCTAAGCACCAAGACGTTTTGAATCAACCTAATAAACTACCTGAAACTTGCGTTTAGCCTTTTCTTGGTGTTCTTTATCAGCGTGGGATAAGCGATCAGGATGCCATTTCATCGACTGCTTGTAGTAGCCTTTCTTTACTAAACAAAACAATGATTATTCTATTTAATTTAAGCTTTACAGCCTTGAACATAAAATAAACAGGGGAAAAAGCTTACGTTCAGCTTCCGAGCAGTCCTTCTTCACGTTCAACACTTCATACAAGTCTTTCGTCTCGAATTCGACCTCACAATCCTTCAATAGCATGATCTAAATAAAATGAAATTAGTCTATATTAGATCAAAAGTTAACAAGAAAACTATACGAAAAGGTTTCAGAAAGTTATGACAACATGAAAAGTGGCGCTTAAAACGAGTGGGGGAAAGGGGGCGTTGTTTGGAAAGCGACGGAGGGGTTATTGAGGGAGAAGTTATAGTTTTTAAAGACCAAAGAAAACGGGTGACTACGAGAGATGAGAATAAAGTAAACTAGCGACGCGAATTAATTTTTTTTTTCAAATGACAGTTAAAGCAAAAGGTAGTCATGGGACTCTACCGCAATCTACAAATCAAAAGTAATTACCATGAAGAAATTAATATTATAGGGTTACTATGCTTTTGTAGTACACTCAAATTTTCAAGAGCTTCAAAATAGGTATTTTGCATATTTTTATCCTTTTTTCGACGTCATTAAGCTTTTTGTAGTCTATAACAATTACTTTTATCGAAACATTCTTCCATTTCAAAAAATCTTGCGCAAATCAAGGCAATTACCTTGTTTTCCTTTGATTATAAAGGCAGATTGGCAAAATTTCAGCACAAGATCAAATTTTTAGTCGAAAGGCAAATCGATTCCTCAAAAATTCAGTATTTTGGATTGTTTTCGAAAACTGAAAGTCTTTTTTGTTGGCTTTTACCAGCAGAACAGCCCGGCGGGCGGCTTCAGACATTGTGATTGTGAAGAAAAAATGATTGCCAGAAACGAATTCCCTGTGTTGGAAAACCCCGCCCTGCAAATTTCAGCGTAAAATGAAAATTGCACCCATGGCGTAGTGGATAGGCGCACTCGTCTCACGCCTCACAAGACCCGGGTTCGACCCCGGTCAGTGACCACCTACTTTGACTTTTTACAAAAATTTTTTAAAAGGCACAACTAAATAAAATTTCATTAGACACGTGTTTCAGCGTTTTTTAAAATACTCAAAGGGCGCGCACAGACAGACATAGATTTTTTATAAATAGTAGAGAAGTAGAGATCTTCATCTTTGAATTTTTCTTTTTTAATACATAAGTATCTTTCTTGATTTTTGTAAATTTGTAATAAAAGGAACTTTTTGCCTTACTCGAAAGAATTCAAAGCACAGTCTGATATGCCCCCTTTCTTCCTCCACAAAGCACAAAAATTGATTGATAACGAGAGGAAATCGGCTGCCAAGCCAATCATTTTCAAATTCCATGAAATTCTTGTTATTGAAAGTATTTTTTGGCTTTGTTACTGCTTCAACGCTAAATTTTTGCACAGAGAACTCGAGAAAACTTTTCAATTATCGAGTGATCGGCGGATGGAGTGCGAATGCGAGGTGAAGAAAGAAGAGATGACTACATTAAATTCAATGTTGCAAATTAATAGCTCAAGTTTACTGTACTTTTAGCGCCCTTCCATTCTACGCACTTCTCTTCTCCTCAAATCTGAATGGTTACACGGAAATGTGCGGTGGAACAATCCTTAATGAGCGATGGATTATGACGGCAGCTCACTGTTTACCGTAAGCCCTGAAGAGTAATGTAAATGAGTCAACTTTTAGAGAAGACTTATCTAAATCATCAGCTCGAGTGGGATTGAAATCGATCAACGATTTTCGACAGAGTGTCTCAATAATGAGAACTGTTATTCATAGAGGGTTCACGCTGGATTCCGCTACAAATGACATTGCATTGCTAAAGGTTTCATTTGGATAATATAGGGTTAAAGTGGGCTAAATATACTATAGTTTCTAGTTACAGTATACTGGAGTAAAAGTATTCAACTAGAGACTGAGTGCTCTTCGCTAAAGAAAAGGTTTGAGACTATTCTACAGGGCTATAGAAGGCTCTACTGTAACTTGACTCAAGCATACTTTAGTGAGACATCTAATCATCTAATCATCTAATCATCTATTAGCCTAATACTTAAATATAGACACGAACTCCGATCATCTTTGAAAAAGGAGTTAGTACTGTGTGTTTGACTCGAGACGATTCAGCCATCAGCCGATCTGGTAAAACAGGAGTTGTTGCCGGTTTCGGGAAATCGTTGGGTGAGTGCAGAATAAGATCTAGAGTAGATAAGGGCAGTATAAATCTAGAGTACCGTATTTTCTGTAATAGTAGTGCAGTCTGGAATAGTAGTGCAGGCAGGAGGGGGGTTGAAAAAAATAGTAGTGCACCCTGCTAAAATTTGCTCTGTTGTTGTTCACTTTGACTTCCTTTGCTTTAAAAGCATACTGGTAGCTAAATGAGATGCTATTATGAGATTGTGACTATTTATTTAGTACTGACTAACATATTGTGCTTTTAATTAACTTTTTGACATATTGCTACTACTTCTTTTGGTACTTATGGGTTTTAGCCACCGCACATTTAAGCGCTTGACTAAACAAAGGCTAAAACTATGCCTTTCTTAGTTTAGCTTAGTCTTTATCTACTATAATTTTATTTAGAAGTATAATTTAAACATAGTTTACCCATAAAATAAATCTACTTGCACTAAAATTGGCATATTTTTATGATGGTAAAATATGCGGTGGCTATAACCCATAAGTACTCTTCTTTTATTGATTTACAAGCATTTACAGGTAGATATATCTCCAAAAGCTATTCTAATATCTACGGTACTTAATTATAACTTCTAATGTTCTAAAGTTAAGCTTAGTACTTATCGTTAGAGCAGATTAGACACTATAAACTACAAAAATGACAAACTATCACACTACAAACGCTTCTAACTTGCTTGAAATCTACCGGATTGACATGATCTATAGCTCTAAAATAGAGGAGCTCAAGAGCTTTCGAATGAACTAAAGCACACCCAAAAATATCAATGCTAAAGAAAGTTACAATAGTTTGTAGTTTGTAGGTTTGTAGCCTGGCTCGAAACGGACCGTACTCGAGCGTAGTCGAAACAATTGAGTCAGGCTATAAACCACTGCAACTTTCTTTAGCATTGATATTTCTGGGTGTACTTTGGCCCATTCGAAAGCTCTTGAGATTCTCTATTTTTAGAGCTATAGATCATATCAATCCGGTAGATTTCAAGCAAGTTAGAAGCATTTGTAGTTTACGTTTGTAGTTTATAGTGCCCATTTCTAATCTAGAACAAACAAGTTATTCAGAAAAAATCCCCCTCGGCTTCCAGTACACAAATGGGCCATCGAATGTGCTGAAAACGACCACTCTGCCCATTCAGGACACGAAAACTTGCTCGTATTTATGGAAAGTAATTTAAGGGACAAATTTGATTTGTAGACTTGAATGGTGGAAAGCTTCGGGCGGGAAAACACGGATCTCAAATGGAAATATTTGTGCTGGATCTTTGGGACACGGGTCAGCGCCTGTAAGTTCTTTTGGGAAGATGTTAGGGTACAGTACGTTTTGTACTGTACCCCTGTAATAAAGGTTTAAAACTAGTACAAGAATCCGAATCAAGGGTAATTATATCATAGAAATTACCATAATATTCCGTGCTGTAACTCCGTATAAACGGATGGACCGAAGCTTTCCAAGCTGAGAGCTATAGAAGCTAAGAAATCGGTATAAGATAGTCCGGATGGTGAAACCATTTGGGTGAAACCAAATTTTCTACTAAAGCAGGTGAAGCCAAATTTTCTAGTAAAGCTAAAAACAGAAAGATCGTACTTGCAGGGTGATTCAGGTGGTCCTCTGCTGGTCAAGGATGAATTTGGCAATATAGTGCAAGTAATTTCTATTAATATTTTATCATTCAATGACACTCAGATTGGGATCACTTCCTTTGGCGCCAATGGTTTCGAAGGAATCTTAGATCAAGGACATTATCCAGGTTTCAAAAAGTGATTTTCCCAAATTCATTTGAATGTTTAGGGGTCTACACCCGAGTTTCCTCGTACATTCCATGGATTCTCAAAGTAATCGATGAAGATTCAAATCAATCTACCTCAATTACAGTGATTCCTGTTTTGTTGTTATGTTTGTGGAGACTTTTTGAGTAGATGAACAGATGTTAATTGTACAGATTGACTATTGAGCTTCTATTGAGCTTCAATAAATGCAAGCAAGACTTTGTGCTCAACAATCAGTTTTTCTGCCTCCTTTCTGCCTCCTTTTCGCCTCCTTTCTACCTCCTTTCTACCTCCTTTCTACCTCCTTTCTACCTCCTTTCTGAATTCCTTAGAAGAATGCACTAGAATCAGTGTATTTCTAAATTTTGCGCACAAGTTTATTTCAAGCTGCAATCCATGAGCCAAATATTTGCTCTAAATCCACTTTCACAGAGCTGATTCGAAAACTCTGATAAAAAGATCATAGTTCAACCATTTGATCATTGTGAAATCTCGAAAAGTTGAAGTTTGTTGAAGTTTGTTCACGTCTTTCACGAGTTTTTTCACTTCACTTTTTCACTCTTAGCCAAAAGCATAAATCAACAAAGAAATGTGAAGTGTTGAGCTCTTTTGTTTGCAATTGAGGCACTTGGGATGACTGTGAGAGACCGAAAAAGGTTTGAAATGTTGGGTAAATTTTGAATCGGATTAAAAAACCCAGGCTTGTGATTCCCAGAATTGCCAAAGAACTTCTAACAAAAGTTATGATATTCAAGCTTTTATCAGTTTTCATTTCTTTGTTTTCCTTTGTTTGTGGAGATTGCTCGGTGGTTAAGACGTGTGTTGATTGTTTGGGAACAAATGGATGCAGGTATTTGATGTACTTTCAATCCAGGATTACGGTAGACAGTAGCTATCGTAGTACAGGACAAGATTATGGTAGCCACAGTCATTACTGTAGTTACAGTAGCTATCGTAGTACAGGACAAGATTATGGTAGCCACAGTCATTACTGTAGTTACAGTAGCTATCATAGTACAGGACAGGATTACGGTAGTTTTCAAAAGTTGACACGTTTTGAAGGAAGAGAATTCTTTAAATGCAAATTTAGCTTCTGTTATGGATCCGGCTGTCTGCCTGTGGGCTCTACATGCAATTCAATCTTTCTGAAAACTTCCTACAATTGCCCAAAGAACTCAAGTGTCGCTTATGATGATGGATATGTGCGAAACTCGGTTTTTCCGCTTATTGGAGCCACAAACGCGAATACAGAGATTGAGGTAATTTTGATTTTGATTTGCATAACCAATACTCATGGACACCAATACTCCATTCTCATTCCAGATTCTTGCTTGTGCTTCAAAAATGGCTCCAGATGCTCAACATGTTCAGCGAATCAATATTACTTGTGCGTTGAACGTTACGGTGAGTTGTGAGCCATTCGAAGCCATTTCAATTAAAAGTATAGATTGAAATTGAATCATTTCAATTGAAAGTATAGATTACTGTATTCCATAGATCTTTTAGAGTAAACAGATCAAACAAAAACGTACCCCTTTCTGGCGCACTGATTCGTTTTTTTGTAACTGGGAATTGGGCACAGTTCCTAGACTGTTTCTAGGCTAACAATAAGCCAAAGTTAACTAAAGGGATACTAAAGTTTCATGGTCTTGTGGCTTGGCTTGACCTGGCTGGCTGGCTGGCTTTTGAACCTTTTTCCAGAACTGGTTGTTCACCATATCTTCTAAAACATTTAGGAATCGTGTACCGTTGATCTCTATTCATTTCCATCAAAGAAATTAATCGCCGTGGTATTTCATGGGTCAAAAACCACACAACAATATCTACACCAAGCACAGCAGCTCTTGGGAAAAGTGCCAATGAAAGATATCCAGCTGGGTGGAAAGGTAAACAGCTCATGATAAACAGTTCATGTCTCAATGTTCTAAAGAACAATGATCAAAATGATTCATAGAACAATGGGGGAAATGGGATGAGAGTTTTCGCAAATAAACAACCGGATACATCCATCATTTGGTCAAACAAATGAGTGAACGAAAAGATAAATCATTTGTCTTTTCTCTTTTCTCAAAAAGATTTCTTTAGAGAAGATGGGGAAGGTTTCGAGTGGTTCTTTCCAATTTTGGATGCAGAGGAATTAAAAATAGAGAACTTAACTGTAATAGTACTGTAACTTTTATAGAAAAGTTATATTAAATTCTAAGAAAGATGTTTTCTACAAGGTTTTCTACAAAAGCATAGAATAAAGTTACCGTTGTCCCGTTTTTTAATGTAAAAAGTAAACCAGCTGTTAGCTCGAAGCGGGTACGGTAACTCGAACTTTGACTGGGATACTGTAACGTTGACTCTGAGTGGGGTACTGTGACGCTGGTAGTGGGTTATGGTAACTCTTTCCAAAGTGATTATCTATTTGAGATCATCGAGTACTACTCATCTGGCTTCGATTCTTTATATAATCGTGGTGGTTTGAAGACAACACTGATGACATTATTGAGCAAAAACCCAGGGTTTACGGTAAGTTTATGATAGGTTTAATAGAAATATGAATAGAAAACAATTACTAGCTTGGATCTAGGTTCTCGTTGCTGGGCATTCTCTTGGAGGAGCACTGGCAACAATCATGGCGCCGAGTATTGTGGCTGAAGTGAGATCGGGGAAAAGTGGGGGGAAAAACGTTAAAGTTTAGGGAATTGTTCCGTCGAACTTGATTCAATTGATCACGTCCGGCTCGCCGAGAGTCGGCGATATGAGTTTTGGGCAAGCGGTTGAGCGTTTGGTGAGTGATGAGCAACTTTTGTACTCTTATTTTCAAAATAGCACTTTAGCTACCGTACCATTTCCGAGTGGTCAATCAAAATGATCAGATCCCTGAACTGCCCCCATTGAACCTCAATGATCCGACGGCTCCACAGCATATCACTTTTGAAGTATGTCAAAACAAAACAGCTTCCAATGAGCTCTACAGTAGACTTTGTAAATCAAAAATAGACAGAAAATAGAAAAAGACTACGGTAAGCCATTCAAAGAAAAGGTAGACTTTTGTTAAAAAGTATTTTTTGTTTAAAATTGAGACAAGAACAAGATCAGACTCAAATCTAAAGCTAAAGAATGATGATTCTAAAGAAAAAGGATGCTTTTCAGGTATTCTACAAGAATGGGATGTCCAAAGGTTCCCCTTTCACCGTTTGCCAAATGAACGAAGACCCAACCTGTCGGAACTCGATTTCTAGCGCGAATCTCTCCGCGCATGCCTCGTATTTTGCTGTCCCGATTGAGTCTTGGTATCGAAATGGATGCACTTTTTGATTTTAAATAACCAATAAACATTTGACAGTTTAAAAAACAAACAGAAAAAGCTTGTTATAAACAAAGGAGTCGATGATCAACATTTGGTCTATTTGTGGCTTAAAATAAAGAAAAATGGGGAAGTCCCCAACAAACCACTTGAGAGTTTGTTTCCCAAATCGGAAGCAAATGAAGAGAGAGGCCAAGATTGGAGATTAGAGAAGAGCTGGTTTGGTTTTTTTAGTGTTTAGGAAGATTTGCAAAAGGGTAGTGATAGAGAGAAAATGGGAAAAGAGTATAGTAGATTTTGGGTGTAAAATAGAAAAGAATTAGTCGATTTTAAAAGAAAAATGATTTAGTGATGTTTTGTATTAACTTCTCAAAAAGCAATTTTACAATTGGCTTTGGCTTTGGCTTTGGATTTTACTTCAAAGTTTGGTATATGACTGAAACTGGTCTATTAGGATTTGAAATCTATTAGATCATTTACCCAATAGCTAGGAATTAATGTATCAATTGTTCCAAGTCTTGTAGAAAAGCAAAATTGGATAAAAGTTTACTTGATCTTACTCAAATGTGTTCTTTCGTTGTAACTTGATTTGTTTGAGTAGCTCTAGTGAACTGGATCACTTACCCAATAGCTCTGCTAGCGATTACTTTCAATAAAGTGTCAAATGTTTTCCAAGGCGTGTAGATTTTCGGTTTTTTTGCGCAATGTTGACACGGGCAGGATAGCGGAAAAGAGACGCGGATGGGGGATGAGAAGGCTGCGAAGGATAGTCTTTCCCCACCCAATCCTTTCTCTTTCCATGAGATCTTCTTCTGAATTCCGTTTCCGCCACTCGTCTTTCCTTTCCCTTTCTTCCCTTTCTTGTCTTATCCAATCCACTCTTAACTTTCCTATATAAACCCTGTATGGCCATCATTTGACAGAACCTCGTTTTCTGAACACTTCTTCACTTCATAGTAAGCTTTTCGATATATTTTCAATTTTCTTACTATAGCTATAGCCTTTAATCAGTTCTAAATGTCGGCAAGTCTGAATACTTTTACTTATCTATACAAATTTGGCAGTATTCAATTGCTTACTGTTAGAAGTACTAGACAATGTTTTAAAGTATTCATCTATTTTTAATATTTTCAATATTTAGCTTCAAAATGACTCAAGCAGCTAATGTCTGGCAATGGCCTCTTCAAGGAAAAGAGGGAGCTGTCAAGGTGGGCGAAATGAATTCAAATCCAAACATCAACAATTCCAGGTTATTGAGGATAGAAGACACTTCGAGGTTGGACTTGATGCCACCTACTTCAAGGATGAGGATATCACTGTATGTTGTTAAAGATATCATTCACTATTGTAGTACACAGGAATTTGTGATCTAGTAACAATGGATTTCCAGGTGAAAGTGATCGACAACCAGGTGGAGATCATGCTCGAGCATGAGCAGAAGACCAGCCGCTTTGGAATCGTCAAGAGAACCATCAACAGGTGAATGAACTCGAAAACTAAACAGATCAGCTTTACAGATCTCGGACCTGTAGCTAGAAACAGTTTAACAAAAAGCTAAGCAATCAGCTCCAACTGTATCCTTTGACTTGACTATCGTAGTCTCTCTAAATACGGCTACAGTACCCCAGATACAAATGCTTCTGTGGCTTTATTGATACAAAACTTCCTGCCTACCTCTCAAGAATTCCCAAACTACTTAATATCTCGAATTTTAGATGCTACCGTCTTCCAGAGGGAGTTGATCCACGAACCGTTCGCCATCATCTCTACAATAATGTCCTTTACATCCGTGGAGACAAACGGTGGTATTAAACCGAGAATTCCCTATGCTTCTCGACCTTATTTATACATTTGAATAAATGATTCAACAATTTGGATGTTTAACTGCAAATGCAGAACACATTATACAAAGATTCCGGGGTCTCAACCAGCAACACTAGATACAGTAAGGTTCTGAGCATGAGTCTTCAAACACACTACTGTAATATCTTTTCTTGATGTCACAATGATGTGTTCACCTTCAGAAATGATTGGTGAAAAAATGGAAAGGTTTAGGCGGCCACTTCTCAAGCACAACAAACACGGGGTTTTTGGCAGATAATTGGGCAAGTTCTTGAGCACCCACAATAGCTGCAGTAGTTCTAAGATAGCGTACAAATACACAGACAGGTCTATTATAGGGGCACTTCAAGCTTCGGTAGATTTGAGGAAGGTAAAAAAGAGAAAATAACGGGGGTGGGACAAATGCGACCTTTTTTTTGCGCACCTGGACATTTGCGCACCTTTTTTTTGCTGGAAAAGGCATTAGGAAAGGTCGTAGAGCTTCGAAAATATTTCCATATGAGGGAATCGTATGCGTAGATTCCGAATTTCGACAAATCAGACCTCGCTGACACGTCAAATTTGGGCTAAAAGGCAAAAACTGCGGAAAAGCGTTAAGTTGCGTAGTTTTTGCCTTTTAGCCCAAATTTTACGTGTCAGCGAGGTCTGATTTGTCAAAATTCGGAATCTACGCATACGATTCCCTTCCATGAAAACATTTTTGAAGCTCTACGACCTTTCCTAGCAAAAAAAAAGGTGCGCAAATGTCCAGGTGCTCAAAAAAACGGTCGCATTTGTCCCACCTCCAAAATAACGCAAGTCAGTGTTTTCTAAAGTGCGCGCTTTAAAATTTTGTCGAAGTGGAAACAATTAATTGAATATCCGTTTATAACGGTATTTAACGAACATGAAGTAAGCAGAATTCGTTCCAGCTTTCTCTCTTGTACGAGCGCCGTGTGCTTACCGCTTTCTGGCTTTGACAGCGAGAGGATTCGAACTAGAGACAAAAAGTGCAAGCACACTACCGACTAGGCTACCGAGGCACACCGATGGATCGGCGCCAAGGCTTTCAGTAGGCTAGCTTGCTGTTTGGCGAAATTGGTCGAAACTTTGAAAGCTTATATCTCGAAAACGGCTTATGATGAGTAGGATTTGAAAGCAGCTTCGGGATGCCTTTAACCAGGGGGTGTTTGACCTCGGGATCAGATCGATCCTGAAATGTAACTTCAAAGGGGAACCCTGGTGGTTAGTATTTTTAAAAGTTGAATTTCCTTGTTATCTCTTTGCTGAACACCAACCCGCGAGCTCCGAATTTGCTGATTTCCAATTGCACTTAAAATCCCTGTAGGCAAGACAATTATTGTTTTTTTTACTTTCTACTAACAATTAGCCATGCTATTTTATCTCCCTTCACCTGCTCTTCTCAATACTTTGTTTCTGCACTTGAATTAACCTTTTTGTGAAGATTTGTTTATATTTAGCAATCCGTTATCTATGGAGGAATCAACATTGGAAGTGGGAATCGAGGATCTTGGGGAGACGACGAACAGCCTGGAAACGATCGCTCAATTGGAGGAACTCTTGAGACAACTTAAACACGTGAGAGTTTTTTAAACTTCAATGTTTTTAAATCTTGAAATTTTGGGGATGCATCAAAGACTTGTGTAGAATAACTAAATTAAGCGTTAGTTCTCCGTATCTCGAAAAGAAATCAAAACGATTTTGTTTAGGAAAACAAAACTCTTAAAGAGCGAAACAAGCATCTGAACGAATGTCTAGAAGAAAGCGAGTCCAAGTTAGACAAGGCCACGAAGGCTTCCGAAGCCGAACAAGAACTGCGAAGGGAGAGCGACCGCTTCCGACTTGATGTAACTTGACAATTCGTTTCTTTTCGATTAACTTAATTTAGAATCGCAAAAAAGAAGAAGATCTTCAGCGTCTCTCCGAGGACTTGCAAAAGCTACAACGCTCGTACGACGAACTCGAAAAGAAAAACCGGGTAAGTTTCCAGAATTAATACTTTTAACAAATTTCTAAATTTTAGGCAAATGAAAGAATGCGTGAAATGGAGACAGCCAGTTCGCGTTCGGAGTACGGATCTGTAGGAGGACATGAGGTCAGTAAATAGCTTTTAATTCAAGACTTTACTTTCATTTTAGCCTTGTTGTCTACGAGTAGGAGAACTGGAGGAACAACTTGACAGCGCAAACGAGCAAGGCACTAAATACCGAACAGAAGCCGAAGAATATAAAGTGCAATTTGAAGAAACATCGAAGCTCCTCAATGAATCAAGACAGAGGGTTAAAGTAAGTTTAAACTGATTTCGTTTAGTTATATTTTTTAGGTTTTGGAGCAAGAAAAAGAAGAACTAGAAACTCGATCGCATACAATTGATGAAAAAAAGTCGTTGTTCAATGAAGTAAGCTTTGGATTTTATATTCTCAACACAAAATTTTTAGATGGCCGACGTAGGCAGTAATCACGCCTCGCCGACGCGCTCTCAGATACAAACTCCACCAACATCACCGAGTGGCATGCAATCACTCGAATTCGATGAATCTGTGCAACAAATATCACTTTCGGTGAGTGTTTGGGATAAATTTGTGAATTTATGGTTTTAGGCAGAGCCTGAAGATGCCGGGGAGCCAGATGTGTCAGAGGAGATCGTGCAAGTGCCTTTTGTTTCGTCGTCGGAATCTCGTCTGCTGAGTCGGGCAACATTCAATCATCGCTCGAAGTACCTATGTTGTTTTATACTCTAGTTTTTAATGTCAGTTTAGCACTCTAAAAATTAAACAAGTCTTTTTAGAAGCCGAGTTCAATTCGTGCTCGTTGTGGTGTTGCTTTTTTTCGTCCTCTACTGCTTTTATCTTCATCCGTTGCAAATGATCATAGACGCTACAAATATGAATGAGCTTTATGATCGTACTCAATATATTTAATGTACTTTAAAAGTCTTTTCTGGTATTTGCGAACGATTTGATCCGTTGTTCTTTAAAACTCACGTTTATTGTTTTTGTTTATGGAGCTTTTGGTCTTATGATCTCCCTGTTATCGCTAGATGTATAAATATTTGTATTGGAAAATTCAGCGGAAGGTTACCAGTAAACGCACGACTTTGTAATCATTTGCGCAATTGTGCTAAATTCCACTTACCATGTCAACCGGGTGTGGTCGCCAAATGACATGTCATGTGCCAGGTTATCCGACGCAAAATTTTGCGCTGGTTCCTAATCTGCTAAGGCACTATCAAAAGTTATGGGTGTGCAAAGTTTTGTTAGGAATTTCAAATTCCTTTCAAATTCCTTGCTTCCTCGAGTTTAGAAGCGGATTTCCTAGAGGCTTAAAAGAGCAGCGGTGGCCGAGTGACAATCGGCTAGAATACAAGGCAAGAATTCTCGGGTCAAGTCCCCTATTCAACTTTTTTAGTTTTGAACAGTTGAGTATTCTCCGTTTCTTTGTTTATTTGGCAAATACTGACAAGTCTATTCGATACTTCAAATGATGCTTGTTTCAAATTTAATGGTTTTCCTACGAGGAAACAAATTGCACGTTTTGGCTTCTATGTCTTGTCCCTGTCGTAGCTATAGTCAAATATTTCTGCGTCAAATAAACCTATGGCACATGTCTTTTGGCAACCACACCCGGTTGACATTCCCTTGTTAGCAACTAGTCACGATTGCTTTCAAAAAGCGCGCTCCCTGAGTTTCATACCGTAGTTTTATATTCTGCTCATTTCGAGTAATACATTTTTTTAAAACTAACGTAACTCGAAAACAGTTTTTGTGTTGTTAGATATCTAGTTTTTATTATCTGGAGAAATTATTTTATTATATTTTTAGAGAAATGGACGGCCTTGAGGATTTGATGAACGAGATGAAAAGGAAACGTAAAGCGATCGAAAGCTTCGAAATCAAGGTAATTTTTGCGATGAGATATTTAAAACTCGAGGCTTATTTTTGTGTTCTCTACTACGTTGGCGTTGCTTTATTTAGGACGGCGGTACGAAATATATTCGACGAGGCGATATTGTCGCGCAGAAAGAGCAAGAATATTTGGAACATCAAAAGAAAAAGTATGCGGAGCAAAAACCTGAGACGGTAAATATTTTGCAACTGTTTTGAGTCGATAACTTTAACTCGTAAAAATTAAATCGTTTAGAGCGCTTCGCTAAATTCGTCTAGCCACCACTCGGAACACGAAAAAATTGCTGTGGGCGATGATATTACCGAAAAACTTCCATTTACAGAGGTGATTTTATTTTAAAATTCAACTACTTTGTATTTTAAGGTGATTTCTCGTCTACGAAGGAGAAATCAACCAATCTTGTTGTTCGGAGAAAGCGTCAAGGAAGTTCGAGCGCGACTTCTTCAATTGGAGGTAAATAAAATGTTTCGGATGAAATTTTACTCGATTGTTTAGATTGAACAGCCAGATTTAAATGAAGGATGGAGCAATGATTTAGTAGCAGCTAGAAAAGCAGTGGATAACGATTTCGTGAAGGTGAGGAAAAGGAAATATTCAAAACAACTAAGCTCTAAATCTACTTTAGGAAGTCATCGAAGGGACAAATCCCGAGAAAAAGAACTTAAATAGTGACGTTTTGCTACCGACATTTAAAGAAGACTGGGAAAAAATTCATCGCGACGCAGAGGATTTGGGGAAAGGCAAGCCTTTAATAGTTTAACAATTGATTTATTTGTATTTAAGGGGATGATATGCCACGGGATTCTCGTGTGATCTCATCCTTCTTCAAGTATATTCTTTCACGCTGGGGAACTGCTTTGAACAATCGAGATGATGTGAGGAAGCTTTCTTTTCCAAATTCTAATCAAAATTTTTAGGAACTAAAGAAAAGTAATCAAGGGCGACATGATGCTGCATATCACCGACAAACGGTACACGCATTTACTTTTCTTAATAATCTTTTTTACTTTAGTTGGATTACATGAGACCATTAATCAAGCTTCTTGATAAAGAACAAATCAACAACGATATTCGGCACCACTTAGCAACTATTTGCAGGTTTGTAAATATTTAAAAAATATATACAGGGTGTCTCAAAAAAGGCCCCTTTTCAAATCGAATTTTAGAAAAACTTTAAGTGGCTGGCTATTGGTGGCATTCCTGGTGCCAAAACTGTTTTTTCTTACACCAAAGGGGGGGGGGGCATTAATCGAGGCCGGAGTTTGAAGAGAACGTTTTCTTGGTAACACTATGTTTTTATATTTTTATATTGACAGCTATTATGTAAAATGGGCGAAAAAAAACCCGGCTGGGGTGATTTGCCCGTATCTTGGTATTTTAAAGCCATTCGATTACCCGATTCGTCATAAGTTGGTGTAGGTTGGTACTCGCTTCACAGTGAACATCAGGAGGCTAAAAATTTATTATTTTGTACAAAATTTAACACATTTGAAGCAATAAAGGAAACAGAATCGGCTAACATTTATAAAATAAACAGTTAATGAAACCAAATCTTCCTCTCCGTCTTCTTCATTTTCTCTCAAATTTAAAAGCTCTTCAAGTTGACCTCCAATTTGATCGATATCATCATCTTCCATTTCGGATGCAAAGGGATCTCCGACACCAAAAGACAATGATGAAAAATGACACGAATATTTCCTTGAGAGTTTTGAAACTTATATTTTGTTTTGAGACTTACCTTGACTGTTAAGCGCAGACATTGAGTGGCTCTAACATACCAAGTTACGGGCAAATCACCCCAGCCGGGTTTTTCCCCCCAGTTTACATAAAAAATAGAAAAAGTGAAAAATTTTCATGTATAGGGGTCAAGAGAACAAAAAAAAAAGTGAAAAAAATTGCCTTAAAGAAGAAACAGTTTTGGCACCAGGAATGCCACCAATAGCCAACCACTTAAAGTTTTCTAAAATTCGGTTTGAAACGGGGCCTTTTTTGAGACACCCTGTATATATACCTTAAATTTTAGATTGCTTATAATCGATCGAGACTATATTCGAGCGAGTAATGCGTACATGGAGATGGCAATAGGAAACGCGCCATGGCCTGTTGGAGTTACACGATCAGGTAACTATAAAAAGGGTTAGAAGCTATATTTATGTTTGTATTTAGGTATCCATCAACGTCCCGGCTCTGCAAAGGCTTACGTGTCGAATATTGCGCACGTGTTAAACGATGAGACACAGAGAAAATATATCCAGGTATTTTGTTTTCTTTTTTGCTAGTTTTTTAATGTTTTTAGTCGGTGAAGCGTATTATTACTCGATGTCAAGAATATTTTCCAACAGATCCCAGCAAGTGTGTCGAGTATGTTCGACCAAATGAATGATCGTTTATTTTTATGTTTTATTTCTCCAAATAAACATTTTATCGAGATTTCGCTTTTTTTTATATGTTTCTGGGCATAATATTGTTTCTTACCACTTAAATTGTTTAAAATATTGAGTTTCCTGAAATTTGCCATGTTTTTCTAGATAGAATGAGTTCCGATGAAGTCGATTCGGATTCTGATGTTGAGATGAAGAAAGAAGAACAAGAAGAAGAGGAACAAGATGATGATAGTGGCACGATGGACATAGAGGATTTGGACGAACAAATTGAGGCCGCTAGAAAACAAGTAAAGAAACGGCAAACGTGGAGCACTTTTAACTGACTACTCGTTTTAGAGTTATGAAAATCTTTGTACCAAAAAATCAATTTATAAATGTAAGTTCTAGTTGGCAGCTGACCCGTATGATATTTCAAGTCACGTAAAATTGTGTGCCCTTTTGCGGAAGAATGGGGATTTGGATGAATTGACCGAGGCGCGGAATGCGTGGAACGATGTCTCTCCATTGCCAGCAGCTGAGTGGATTCGATGGATTAAGTAACATAAATGTTTTGGAACGTATTTTATCTTCCTATTTAGGGATCAACAATCAATCGACGATACCCTTGAAGCGATGACAGCGATTTTCGAAAAATCTTTCCAAGATTTTCAATACGCGGACGTTTGGCTTGAATATGTTCAATGGGCGTGCGGTCATGGGCCTGATTTTGCAAAGAAAGTAGGGGAATATTTTTTCAAGATGCTTAAAGATGCGATTTTTAGGTATTCGAGCAAGCTGTTGAAGCTATTGGTCTTCGATTTGACAAGGGCGCGTTTATGTGGGAGGCGTATTTGGATTTTTTGACCATCGTCTTTGAAGCGGCTTCTGGTTTGAGTTTAATTAAAAACAAAAAGGCAAATATTGCTTTAGATGAGAATCGGGATAAAGAGTTTAAAATTCTCTGCACTTTGTATAAGCGAGCCCTTTCGGTGCCAAATTGGAACGTTTCTCAGCTGCATGAGCGCTGGATCGAATTTGGTATATGTTAAACGATAAATTATCTATTTTTAATTTTAGCTGACAAGTACGATGTTGATGAAGCAACCAAAAAAGAGGTTGACCAAGAGCACAAAAAAGCGGTTAAAAAGGTATAATCTTGCATTGATTAATTAATAAAAAAACAATTTAATTTAGTTGGGAGAATTTAAAGCCTGGGAGAAAAAGCTAGAGGAATCAGAGTTTTCCATTGACGTATTTTCACAGTATCTCGAATTTGAGAAAGGTAATACCACGAATGATGTTCACATTTATTTTTGCGTTTAGATAAGGGCGACATTTCTCGCATCAAGTCATTCTTTGAACGAATTGTGGAGAAACATCCTGATTGCGAGAATCTTTGGTACAATTATGGACAGTGGGTCGAGGAAACGCTAAAAAGAGCGGCTGTAAGTGCGGGGCTCTTGATCAGATTGGATCAGCTTTTAGGATATACGATGGGTCTACGAGAGGGCTGTGCGTAATTGCTACTATTCATGTGGTCTTTGGCAAAAGACTCTTTTGGCGATTGAGAACGCAAATGGAGCAACTGAAGAAATTGACAGATTATGGTTGAAGGCCAAAGAGTGCATATCTTCGCGTAAGTTTTAAAAAGATTTTTTCTTACAATCAACTTATTTTTAAGCTGATGATGGTCGAGCCCTTTACACGACTTATGTGTATCTACTTCGGCGACGAAGTGATTGCAATCAAGACTATGCACTGGCTGGGGAAATCTATGCCGAGGGACAAAAAGTAATACCAACTTTTATTTTAATTTAAAATTTTTATTTTTAGGTATTACAAGAAGCTTGGGGTCATAATTGGGATCCTCAGTTCACCTTCAGGAAGAATTATGCTTGGTTTGCTTTCACTCGACTGAAGGATTATAAATTGGTACTGTTATAAGTGATTTACTGAATTTTAGCGGTCTTTTTAGGGCCATCGTGTTTGGGAAGACATTCTCGCTTCTGGGGGTGGTCGTTTTGCGGATAAATGGTTGGCGGCGATTCGGGATGAGAGGCAATTTGGTAACGATTTGACCACAGCCAGAAAGATGTTCTATCGAGTAAGTGTTCTTATTTGATGCTGACGGTAAGTTATGTTTTTTAGGCTCTGAACTCGGTCTCGGATCACCCACATCAAATCTTCGAAGCGATAATCCAATTTGAACGAGAAGAGGGAACTTTGGAACAGTTGCAGGCGGCGCTGGACAAGGTTGGACAATTCGATACATTATTGGTTCAGCAATCGTGTTTTTAGGTTAATACTCAAGTTCTGCAAAGAGCAAGTCGACCACAAAAGAAGGAGCGAGAGGAGAACAAAACGCAAAAGCATAATTCAAATCGACCAAATACGTAAGGAATTAAAATATTTACCAATCTATTAGGTTGAACAGAACAGAAAGTTTTTCGAACAGTAATTTCTCAAAAACTAGTTCATGAATTTTAGCCAAATTTTTTTAATGAACTTTGCTATATTTCAAAAAAGTTATTGCCAAAAATCAACACGTACTTCAAGTAAGACACCAGATATTTATCTGAAGTGATTCAGTCACTTTTTAAGTGTCTGACTTCAAGCAACCTTTTAGTAGCTTAAATGCCATGGAATTTATCTCATTTGAAAAAGAGTATGAACTACTTATACCTATTCAAATTTTCAATGGAGCAGAATTCTAGACAAGGCTTTAAATTTCTATAATGGTCGCTTTTTGTGAGCACTAAGTGTTTGAGTGAAACTCCAAAAAAAAAAATTTTTGATGCACATCAGCTTTAGCAAAAACTTTCAGGTAAAAATAAAGATTATAGACTGCAATTATTAACAAAGTTGGTTTTGTCAGCTTTGTGAAAAAGAACATTTGAAGTTAAGCTGAAAAACATCCTTTTTGCCAAAATCTCAGCTAATTTACCGCAAAATTCCACTCATTTTTCACTATTAATTTTCTAGAACATATTTTTAAATAATAAAACAAAGTGTATTCGGTGTTTTCGTTTTTAAGCAATCGCACTTCAAAAACTTCCAGAAACTTTTTGTTCAAACTAATATTTTAGTGATCAACGAAATAATCGAAGCGCTGGTCATAGCGAGAAAAGGAAAAGCTCATCAGATTCAAGCCACGAACACTCACCGGTTTGTTTAATCAAAATAAAACTAGCAAGGTTTTAATTTTATTAGGCTGACCAAAAAACTTTATCTAAGCGTTTGAACGGCAACCCCATAAAAACAAAGTCAATTTATGTAAGCTCTTTTAATTGTTTGCTATGGATTTAATTCTTGAGAGGATGGTATTTCAGCTTAACAATGTTTTTATTTAGAGTACCAAGAGACTTCGTGCAGAGCCTCCAATCGAAACAAAAGCTGTCTTGTCAGTATCTCCAGTTGTGAAGGACAATGATGGTTTTGTGGTTCCCGGCCTACCGATTAGAACAGTAGGTTATTTTAATTGTTATATGTATTTCCTTTAATTTAGTCTCCTTCTCCATCTCCCACTCCACCGGTCCATTCGGGTGCCGGACCATCGAGTGATGGCAAGAAATGGGTGATCTTTGTTAGCAATCTTGATTTCAAATGTCCGGAGAGTGCTATTGAAGAGGTGATGGTTTTTATCGTATTTTAAAATAGTGAATCTTTTAGGCTCTTAACCCAGGTGTGGTAAAGATTGATCTACGATATCGAGGAATGAGCAAATTAAATATGGGATATGGATCTGTTGAGATGGACACAAGAGAACATTATGAAGCAGCTCTTAAAAAAGGTTTGTCTTTCAAATTAGCGCTATATGAACTTTTTAATTTAGACCGAGTTTTGATCAATGGCCGTCCACTCTACGTGAACGAACATCATAAGAAAGATGATGACGAAAAATTGACGTCTTCGTCCTTCAAATACTCGACGAGTCTCGAAAGAAAGAAACTTTTTGTGAAAAATGTACATTTCGATGCCACGGATGCTCGTTTGAAGGTACATTTTTGGTTTCATTTCAGCTTAAAACATAGTTCAGGAGGTGTTTTCTCAATTCGGTAAGGTCGTTGATGCTCGAATCGTCGTGCAGAAAAGTGGGAAAGCAAAGGGGATTGCTTACGTCGATATGGCATGTTTTTTTAATTTTTTCGTATCATCTATCAAACTTTTAGGAAACCGAAGAAGCTGCGTCAAAAGCAATTCAAGCAAAGGAGTTGGTTCTCTTAGGTAAATAATATATAACAAGAGTTTGCCATTCAAACTCCGTGATTTTAGATCGTCAATTGGAGGTTTTCTTGTCCAATCCACCAAAGAAGTCATCGATGTGCAGCGATATGACTTCCTTGACAAGAAAAGGGCATTCATCGATGATTCAACTTGTACCTCGTGCTACACGCGTTGGAAATGCAAAGGATGCTAAAAAGGTATTACCGGAATTTTTGCGATTTCTTTAGTTTGATTTGGTTTTAGCCTGCGCCAACAAACGGAGCCTCAAAACCCATGAACAACGATCAATTCCGTCAACTTTTCAACAAGTGATATTTTAAACTCCGGTGTGTTTGTTAAATTATTGTTTTTTCATTGCGTGTGCTTTTTAATTTTGGTGAATTTGTGTTAAATTTAGAAATAAAACTGTTCGTTGTTTGATGTTTTTTCGAAAAGGCGTGAAAGATCGGTTTTGATATTTATTCACAATGAGTTGTTTTTATTTACAAGCTTCGGCCAATTTCATCAATCTTGAATGCTTTTTTCAATGAAATGGATTCTAAAAAGTGAAAAATAGAAAGGGTTTGAAATTTTTGTGATAAGTCAGCGGTTTTGTGAATGGAAAAAGCGAGTCGGAGTGAGCCAATAAAAAAGCAAAGTGCGTGTAAAATAGCACAAACTCTAAAACACCCCATTTTCATTTCTTTCCGTGATATTCATTTAAGCTTTTTATTTATTGTTCTCTTGGTGATCATTTTGATTTCTAGATGACCCTGAACCTGCTTATTGGGTTTTTATCGGGCCTAAGGCTCGTACGCAGGTGTCCGATACGCTTATCGGATCTCAAGTCCGATAGGCGCTTATCGCGTTTTGTTGGGCTTGTAAGTTTTAAATCGTTTTACTCACTTGGGACCCTCAAAATAAAATAGACACCTGAGAAACGTAGCGGAAAGCCTATACAACTCTCAAAATAAGTAAAGCCCGATATGCTCCTTGATATTGAAGCCCGATAAAAGCTCAATAACTCTTTATCGGGGTTCAATTAACTGATCTAGATGACACCGCCCCTGCCGGATGCAATGATTCCGACAAAAACAACGCCAACAGCTGCCTCCACCACGGAAGCTATCAAGAAACCTGGGAATGATTCTGTGGACAAAGACGAATCACATTTATTGGCTCCATTCGAGTATATTAGGAGAATGCCGGGCAAACAGGTATACCAATATCTTTCTGGCGTTGATATCCTTGAATGTTTAGGTGCGAAGCCGGTTGGCAATGGCTTTTAACGATTGGCTACATATTCCTCAAGATAAACTAAAGATTATCATGGGTAATCGTTTATTATTTTCAAGCCATTATTCAATTTTTAGAAGTTGTTGAGATGCTGCACAATTCCTCGCTTCTTATTGATGATATCGAGGACTCCTCTGTGCTAAGAAGAGGTCTTCCAGTGACACATAGGTAAGGTAAACTTAATGAGCTCATGATTCTGTTTGTTTAGCATTTATGGAGTGCCTCGAACAATCAACTCTGCTAATTATATTTATTTTGTGGCGTTGCAGAAGTGTATGACTCTAGGCTTTGACGCAACAGCCGTATTTACAGGTACTGTTTTATTTTGGTTTGCACTTTGCATTTGAAAAAGGGCATAAAATTAATTTTTAGAACAACTATTGGAGCTTCATCGGGGTCAAGGCAAAGAAATCTTTTGGAGAGATACGATTTGCTGTCCAACAATCGAACAGTATGAAGAGATGGTTTTGCAAAGTTTGAAATTTTTGCTCCATAAACAAATTTTAATACTTTCAGAAACTGGTGGTCTTTTCTTCTTGGCGGTTCGCTTGATGTTGTTGTTCACGGGAAATGAACATAATGCAAAGGATTTCACTTCACTTTTCACGAATATGGCTTTGTTCTTTCAAATACGGTATGTGCCTTGATTGATATGTAAATAGGAGCGTAGACAGAACATGAAAAATAATAAACATCATAAAGTTACTTCTTTTAGGGACGATTACATGAATCTTTGTTCTCCAGCTATGCATGCAGCGAAAACATTTGCTGAGGATTTGACTGAGGGAAAGTTCTCATATCCAATAATTCAAGCCATTCATTTCAAGAAGGGTTTGAACGATGATGACGATGAAGTGATTAGTAAGGGTTTTGAAAGGCTATTAGGTAAGTAAGTAAGCAAGTCAACAGAAAAATATGTAGTAACCATCCGTGAGGACCCATTTATAGAACGGATTTTATTTGATTTGATATTTAAATTCTTTTAGACATTCTTCGTCAGCGTACAAATGACCCCGAGTTAAAGGCCTATTGTATTAAAATTCTTCAGGAACGAGGTGCTTTAGAGTAAGTTTTGATGACTAGTTGATTCGATGTCAATATGTGTTTTAGGGCCACTTCAGCAAGGCTATGCGAGCTGGTAAGATGGATCAATGCGGATTTAAAAAAGCTAGGAGGCAACGAAAAGATCGGACAAGTGATGGCCCAACTCGAAAAGGAAATCTCTCAGTAGGATTTTTGTCGTTAGGTTTTGAGCTTCTTTTGCGCGTGATACATTTCTTAGACATAATATCTAATGTTCCATATTTCATGGTTGTTCGGTCATTTTTATGATGTTTTGCGTTACCCTGTGCTTCTTGTCATTTTGTCGTTGTTTTTTAAAAATAAAGTTTTTTTGCTTTGAATGAAAGGTTAAAAATGCTGGTTCATTCTACGGAATTGATGTTTCTTTAGAGCTCGAGATTGGAAATTTCAATTACTGAAGCGGGCGCTTGTACCTCTACGCTTTGCATTCAAAACTCAATTGCCGTATACCCGAATTATTGGTTCTAACCAGCATTGTTCCTATGCGAAGTTGTAGACTTACTTTGCACAGGGCAAGTCCTAAATCATCTAGTTTTCGAATTTTATTGTCCACCGAAGCGTCCGAACTTGTAAGTGTTCATAAATGCTTGAGTTGAGCCTTTTCTGAACACTCACGGAAATGTTCTGTTAACATTCCGAAGAATTGTGGAGTGAGATAATGAAACGGTTCTCCTAGTGGTCTCGAAACGATTCCCCTCCTCAATCAATCATTCACCTTTCCTAATATCTTTTTCATCGCGTCATTGCTGGTATCAATGTTAAATATTTATCAGCAAAATGGAAAAGAAATCTTTCCAAATGGAACTGGTGCTTGGATAGATAATGATTTCCAATCGTTTTAAATCATTTGACACATGAATATCTCCTCCAAATTTGGAAATCCCGTTTAGAAGATGCATGCATTGGCCTGGTGGATTGTGGGCGGAGTGCTTGTTGCGGCTCTATTTCTATTCTTCGTTTTCGCTCTCTATTTCTCGATTCCATCAAAGAGAAAATTTGAGTTGAAAGGGAAACACGCGTTGGTTACAGGCAAGAATGCGAATGAAATGTGACGGCAAATTTGATTTCAGGTGGTTCAAAGGGAATTGGGAAACAACTGGCGTTGAGTCTCCTTTCTCGTGGGGCGAATGTGACAATTGTTGCGCGAAATGAACGCGATTTGAAGAGTGCCACCACGGAGTTACAGTACGCTTATTGGTTTCTAGAACTAAAACTACACTTTTAAAATATCTAGCTTATCTGCGAGTTTTATTTTGTTCGAACTTAACCGATAAGCGGTCTAATATGAAGCTCAAGTCCGTTCTTACGCTTCCAATTGTTTCCAGAACCTACGCCGATCAACGAGGTCAAGGGCAAAAAGTTCAATGGGAAAGCGCGGATCTTTGCGGAGCCTACGATCAGGTAAATACAGTTATTCTGACCTTAAAACAGGTATCTGAAACAACATCCTTTCAATCATAACGCAAAATACCAGATAGAACCAATTGTACGAAAAGCCGAAGAAACCTTTGGACCAGTTGATGTCCTCATCAACAATGCCGGTCACTCTGTGCAGGATAGCTTTGAGAAATTGCCCGTTGAATCATTTGAGGATCAAATGAGAGTCAACTATTTGAGTGCGGTAAGTGATGATGGAAATTTTCGAATATCCATTATAGGTTCACATGACGCGAGCCGTTGTTGGATCAATGCAAGAACGAAGAGCCGGGCATATTTCTTTTGTTTCGAGTGCCGCCGGGCAGTGTGCGATTTATGGATACACCGCGTGAGTTTAGTTTAGAATAGTTTCGAATAGTTTCGAATTTTCGTTTAGAAAAGAATAGAAAGGTTAAACTAGTACCGAATAGAAATCACATTTTCTACAATAATCCATTTCTATTCTTCAATAGCTTTCACTAAAAAAAAAGACTGATTTTGGCTTTGCATTTTCCATATATTAGATATGTAAATAGTGATGAGCCCATAAGATTTTTTACTTTAAGATATTCCCCAACGAAATTCGCCCTTCGTGGTTTGGCTGACTCGTTGCACATGGAGTTTTTACCGTATAAGATCTCGGTGGCTGTCCTCTATCCACCGAACACCGACACAGAAGGCTTTCAGGTATAACAGGAAATTGTGAATGCATGAGAAGACAAATAGCAATTCAATTCAATTTTACAATCCCTTTCCAGCTAGAAATTGACACGATGCCACTCGAGACAAAACTCATCAGCGAGGCTGCCGGTCTTTTCTCGCCAAAAGTCGGTTCACCGTATTTCAAATGACCCCTAGAATGCACTTGATTAAATATGAAGATCGATCACTTAGATAACAATTAACGTAGAGAATACGGTAGAACTCATTTCCCATCAATTCCAGGATGTTGCCGAAGCCCATATCAACGACATCATAAACGGTGAAACGGCGACGGCTATGGGCTTGGGTTTGTCAAGAGGCTTATCTTTAGAATCAAACTTTTATAGACGGTTGGATGTTGGGTGTTTTAACGGCTGGAGCCTCTCCGGAACACAATTTGTTCAGAGCTGTTGTACAGGTTTGCAATTGGGGAAATGGGATTAGGAATTGGAAAAGAAATTTCACAGAAAAGTCAGTGTTGACTCAAATCTCATGTCCTAATCTTAGTCTGATCTGACTCCAGTTCAGTTTAGAATTGAAATGATTCAACTCGATCTAAAGCTATCCAATGATAACAAATTTCAGACATTGTTGAGTGGGATTTTCCGGGCCGTCATGCTCTTGTATTTGGGATATTTCAACGGGATCGTCAAGAAATGCTACAAAGGACGGCTCGCTTCAGCTGCTAATCGATAAATATTTGTTTTTTTAATTAAAATAGTTTATTAGAATAGATTACATTCCTCCGTTGACTGATTGCTTTAAAATAACGTTATTTAAAAGTTTGTTCTTCTCATTGCCAAATACTTGCATTCACTTTATAGATTGTCCAATGCTCAGGATTTGTGATAACTTTGTGATTTGCATTTAAAAGTACTGGAAAATTCTAGACTATGCTCTCTACAGTATCTCAGGATAAATATCTTTATTTCTTATTTCTAAAGAATTTCAAAGATCTCCAAGCTAGGTAGTTTGGTATACTGTAGCGAGACAATCACAATGTCAGATCCCTTTCAACTAAAGTCTTTTCTAAAACATGCCAACTTTGGAAAGCTACCGTAATCTTGCCACTAATTAAAGAGGCCTTGTACGCCATCTCTAACGCACCGACAACCCAACCAACCCCCAACGTTGAGGGGAGCCGTGAAATGACCGACCTGGTTGCACTGCAGTGCATAGACCCGGAAGATACGTACTTTATTTACAGTAAACAATAAGATGAATAGAAGAAATGAGTGAAGGGGAAGGAGGGCCCTAATGAGGTCTCATTTCCCCCTAGGCAATCCTAAGGACCGCCCCTCTCGGCAATAAAGGGGCACAGAGGAGCACATTTGCAAAGATGACAAAGCACAATAATGTATAGGACTAAAAGATCAGTTTGGCTCGGAGCTGACAGATCCTCAACTAAACTCTTTTCTAAAACATGCCAACTTTGGAAAGCTACCCTAATCATGCCACTAATCTTATTCAAACCATAACTTTTAGATCTTCCTTTTACATAAACCGTCTAAAAGTGGATAGATTGAATAAACCAGCCAAGAGATTACGGTAGTTTTCGAGAAAAAGTTGCTTGGGACTACTGCAATGGCTGGGAATTACAGTATTCTTGTTAATCAATAAAATTTTTGGAAAATACCCATTAAAAACACCTCGATCACAGCGAAAAATCCCCAAACGAGAGTTGGATCAAAAGATCCCCAAACAGATCAAAACCTTGCGCGCAACCGGGACTCGAACCCCCGACCTTTCGTCTCCCAGGCAATTGTGCTAACCATTACACCACAAAGCGCTCGATCTAAAAGACTCCAGAGGCATTTAACTCAAGCATTAAATCATTTTTTTTTTTGTGTTGCAGGGTTAGAGATTTGGAAAGAAGATCAATGGAATGAATGATTAGAGGGAAAGGATTGGGAAAGGGAGGGAAAGGGAGGGGAAGGGAGGGGAAAAGGGAAGGGAAACAAATCGTGATGCCACTAGAGCCAAAAGTAATATGGGTGAAGATGCACGAGTCGCGAGATCGATTGATATTAGATCGATTGGTCGAGGAGACGCTTCCAAAATGGATTAGACCGAAAAGCAAGCAGCAACATGATGTCTTTCTTGATTCGGTAAGTTTTTAAATAATATATATTGTTTAATATTGCTATAAAAGACAGGAAAACGGCAGGAACAGAAATAGCATTAAGTTTGAGGAAATTTTCTTGATTTTCGATAACATCTACTCGATAACATATAAAGGGAGCTCGACTCAAGCAGGAGGAGATCAGTGAGAACTGTAAAGAAATATTCTTTGCGTGCTTGGTACTCCTCACTCAAGACACGTTATTTCTTGTTTCGAGATATCTGATCTCACTTGAACTTGAACTTGAACGAGAACTAAGACACTTTATTCAATAGCCGATTGACACGGAATTTTTGGGCTCTCACTTGAGCAATTTTCACACAAAATCGACAATTGAATTAAAAGTGACGACAAAAACAGAAACAATTTCGTTCTAATTAGGACAAAACTTTCACACGATGAAAGGGAAGGAGGAAAAGAAAAAAAAAAAAAAAGGGAAGGGGAAAAAAAAAAAAAAAAAAAAAAAAAAAAAAAATAAAAAAAAAAATAAAAAAAAAAAAAAAAAAAAAAAAAAAAAAAAAAAAAAAAAAAAAAATAAAAAAAAAAAAAAAAAAAAAAAAATTAATTTTTAATGTTTTTTTTAAAATTTTAAAAAAATTTTTTTATTTTTTTATTTTTTTTTTTTTTTTTTTTTTATTTTATAAAAAAAAAAAAAAAAAAAAAAAAAAGAAAAATAAAAAAAAAAAAATATATAAAAAAAAAAAAAAAAAAAAAAAAAAAAAATATATATTATATTTTTTATTTTTTTTTTTTTTTATTATTTTTATTATATAAAAAAAAAAAAAATATATATATAAAATATATATATAAAAAAAATAAAAAAAATTTTTTTAAAAAAAAAAAAAAAAAAAGGAGGGAAAAGAAAAAAATAATTTTTTAAAAAAAAAAAAAAAATTTTTTTTTTTTTTTTATAATAAAATAAAAAAAAAAATTTTTTTAAAAAAAAAATAAAAAAAAAAAAAAAAAAAAAAAAAAAAAAAAAAATTGACTTATATAAACGAAAATTTGACCTATTTAGTTATGTTTTAAAACAAAGTAACCTTTTTGATAAAAATCTTGCTTAAAGTATGTTTAATGAAGTTTAATGAAGATTTATTAAGATAATAATAACAGTAAAATTTGATTCATTTCACTGGGGGCCTATTTTTGGGGGTTAGATTGAAATGAGCTGTTCAAACAAAGAGCTTTGACCCTAGAAGCTTTTGTAGAATAGGTTCTTTGTTGAAAAAAAACCTTTGTTCTTTTATGTATAAAACCCAAGCTCATCCCCTTTGTTTTAGCTCTTTTAAATCTTTCCATTAATATTAAATATTTCTATTAATTTCTAAAACAAATGATCCAGGTTTGTGTTGTGTAAAAGAATATGTAAAGATATGTAAAGATATGTAAAGATTTCTAAAGATTTCTTTTCAGCTATCTTCCACCTATCTTTATTTCCTTGTTTTTTATGGAACAGTTTTTACCTCTCCAATATTCAATGATAGAAAGTTTCTAAAGATTTTTCGAAACGATCTAAAGCATTTCGATAATCTCAAGTATCGAAACTCTTCTCTTTATGAGAGTTTAAAGTCGTCAGTGCCGCTCATTGGAAACGAGTTCTTTATTTGGAAAGCATACCCAGGAAAAGCTCAAATCAAGTAAGTAATCAAGTACAGCTAATAGCTAATTACGGCTAGCTAATTACGGTCATAGTTTAAAAGTAGAATACTTTAGTCGATCACATCAAATTCTGGTGGATGGTTTGCGAAAAATCAACAAAACCATCCCTGATCTTGTCACAGAGCAAACTGGTGTCTATGTTGGAAAAGAGAAAATAGCATCAAGATATGGTAGGCTTATTGAATATTGAAGATAGATATGTAGACATCAAGTTATCGAGTCCATAAATCTATGTCAAGCTTTAGAAATGAAAACCACTAGCTTCTGGCATCAGTGCCAACTCGCCGCGTTCCAATTGGAAGTTAGAACAAAGCAGAAGCTGAGCGAAACAAATGTGGGGACAACTTTATTGCGTTTCTATTTCTATTTATTTATTTATTGAGTTAAAAAAGCTTTAGATTGGTCTGATTGATGAGAATTCGTCGGCTGACATTTTTATTTCACCACCCATCGATACAAATCTTTATGAAAGAGTTGTTCGGGTCACTGATCCGTTATTCTGGTAAAGTTGCTTGAAAAGACAGTTGTACGATCCTTGTATAGTTGTACAAGCAACAATGCTTTAGGTTCAACGATTTCCTAGAGATTGCCACGTTTCTCGAAATGCAACCAATGAGATCCAACCAGACGCTCACCATCTTTCCAATTATTTCCGCATCGGAAAACGTGATGAAAGTGCTCGAGTATTATGAGAAAAGGGTAATCGTTACAAATTGAAATTCTAAACTCGAAATGTTTCAGGGAAAAGTGATCATCGAGTCGAATCCATTGCTTCCTTTTACAGATGAGGTAAGTTAGCTTAGTTAGCTTAGTTAACTTAGTTAAGTTAAGTAAAGTTAAGTAAAGTTAAGTTAGTTAAGTTAGTTAGTAAGTTAGTAAGTTAGTAAGTTAAGTTATTTTACTTAACTTAGTTAAGTTAAGTTACTTAACTTAACTTAGTTAAGTTAAGTAAAGTTCGCTGAACTCTTTTAAATCAAAGATCTTTCTCCCTTTTGATTATCCAGTTCAAGTGTTAACACAAAACAAATATGTATTGATCTTGAGATCGACCCAAACAAGAACTCCTCTCTCTACAAATCACTTCCATCCACCTACTGGATAGACACACATAATGCAACGAAAAATCCGTTGTTCCTCATCGGAATCGATGGATTTTTTAGGTTTACACCTTTTAGATTTAAAAAAACAACAAATTTAGATCGAAAAATTATCAGCGGGTGAGCAGATGGGTCAAACATTTCTACACCAATCAAATAGCAGGTTTAAAAAAGTCATCGAAAAGAATAGAAGAGAAAATGCCCATTTTAGACTTTTCTATTCTTTCCTACACCGATTTTGATGAGGATCGGGTAGGGTTTTGAGTTCAAATCAGAATCTCTTTATTGAAATGTCATCTATAGCAATCCGATATAAAGCTGACTATCAAAAACGTGCTGATAACAATGATGGATGTGTTTGGCGTCAAGTTGCCGGAGATCTCAACACCGATTGATCTGTCTTGCCATAAAAAGTTAACGATTATACTGGTAGATCAGCGAATTGTATCAAATTTCAGTATTTGCTCGAATCCGATCGAGGATTGCTATGAAGAGCTGATCACAAAAGATGATTGGCTTTTCGCTCAGCCGAGTCGAGATTTTCATTGGACTGTTTTTGGGTAATAAACGTAGAAATTTGATATTATTTTCATACTGAATACAAAATCTCATATGAAATTATGTCACTGAGTGTCGAAAAATCACCTTTGTGAGGTTGAGTTGGGTTTAAAGCTGACAGAAGCTTTTGGAAAGGGAAATGAGGATCTGGGAAAGTTTGGAAAGATTGCTGCCTGAGTTTGACTTAGCCTAAACAATACCAATAACACTAGAATTCCCTTGTAGAGTGTGTTCCTCGCGAGTAATGCATTTTTTAAAACGCACACTTGGGAAAAAATTGCCGTACTTTTAGCAAAAATTATTGCAAAAAAAATAACGCAAAAATCACGAGCCCCGCATTATATATGAGACTTTTTAAAGATACTCAGCCGTTTAACTGATTTGGTGGGAAATTCCCTTCCAATGCAAAAAAATAATTTTTTTTGAAAAACCTGCCCAAAAAATTGCTTTTATATTTTTTTCGCGCAGGCGCACTTTTTAGAAAACGCATTACTCGACAATTACTCGAGCTATTACTCGAGTAAAAAACTACTCATGCAAATTTACTCGAGTAATTACTTACTCGCGAGGAACACACTCTAGAAATAGGGATCTGGGAAAGTTTTGTGGGAATTACCTGTTGAGTTTTATCATATAGAGAATGGTGAAAACTAGGATTTGTATCGAAAGGGTTAGAAAATTGCAAAGATTTTATAGATCCGGATTACGATAGTTTTCAAACCGTCATGCGTATTCAGATAAGAAAAATGAAATTTCCAAACTTACTAGATTTTTGGCGGATCGGCTAGCCGCAGGCCAGCTCCATTGCATGCGTTGAAGTTTTGAAGTTCTAACGGGATAGTGGTAAAGTAATAGAAGTACAATAGCTTTATAGAAATCGCACAAAATCGATAACTATAAAGTCTAGAAAGTTTGCCGATTGTTCCTGAAAAGCGAGTGAGAGCAGGATCCATACAAAATCCCTCGAATCGTTTTTTGCCCTGATCATCCACTCACAAAGCTAGCATCAAAACTAATTTGCTCTGTCTTACGAATTACTAGTGTGCTTTCGCTTGAATGAATAACAAAATTAAGTCTATTCAATACAAGTGGGGCAAAGCGTGTGAAAATGTTTCAACAAAGCTTCAAGAAACAATGCTTTCACCAAGAGAGAAAAAGGAATCACTTTGATGAAAATTGTGGAAGTATCTCGGAAAAAAGAAAACAACTTTCACAAGACAAAAATGGGAGAAAATAGGGAAGAAGGCGTCCTTTTATACGCGTTTGAGCGCAACATTGTTTAGGGTGCGGTATTTCTAGTGTCATTAGACTGCTCGGCCGTTCGAAGATCGCCAAAATCGCCGTGATTGACATTGGACTTTTGGACGTTACTTTGAAAAATTACTTGAAATCAGAGCTAGAAAGGTTTTTTTGGGATTAAATACGATCTGTTTTAGGTAATTTTGAGTTGTTATATTAACTTCTTTTCCTTTTCTTGGCTTTTGTTTGGTTAAACCTCAAGAAACAGGTTTTTTTTTCTTTTTCGGTTTGTAATTTGATCAAGTAAAGTTTTTGCAATCTCGGAATCCATCCCGGAACACCTAAATTGCTTTTGGTCGTCCCTTTGTTTCTCTCTCGAGGAAAAAAAGGATCTCTCCAAAAGAGGTGTGAATTGTAGCCGCATGGAGTCGACCAAAAAAGGGCCCAATTCTCGATTTCACTCAGAATTTGTTTAAATTAACCAAATGATGGCAAACTCTCATTTCTCGTTGAAGAAAACCTTTCGAAAGCTATTCAACTTTAAGAAGCGATCCTCGAAATTCCCATTCCTATCTCTTCCCAACAAACTCAAAGGCTCAATACTATCCCGATTCAGTTTCTACGATGATGTCAAACATCTATGGAAAACGAATAGATTTATTCACAATTACTATTTAGTAAATGGACTCTTCCCAAAAAAGATCCAAAAGGTAACAGTCTATCTTCAAAGAGTTACAGCAAAAGGCTTACCAAAAAATGCTATCGGTTACGAGGAGAGAATTTCTATATTGTGTCACGGGGAAATCAACTCCACCGTTATCACTGAAAAAAGTTTGGTTGATGGCTTGAGTCTACAAATCGATGTCCCATTAGAGGAGATTTTGCCAGTCTACATGCGAAATCGAGTTTTCTATTCGGATCGCATCAAACGCGGCAATCGACCTCACCTCTTCGTGGCCTCATTGCAAACGTGTAGAATTATGAAAATTTCCTGCGAAAATGATGAGAATTCACTTCCCTATCTACATCATTACTTCGACACGCAAAAATTCCTACCCAAAATCAAAAACGTCGAGCATTTCGCGATTCGACCGGCTTCTTTGATGGCCACTAAAGAATTTTTGGGGATAAGATTTCCTGTTGTGAATGCGGGTTTTTCCTTTCCATCATTAGATTCTGAATCGACAATGGAAGAAAAAAGTATCGTTAGGGAATTTGTTGAAAGAGAAGAGTTTAAGGGAAGCAAGGAATTCTACCTTGAGAGACTTGCCGAGAATTTCGAACTTCTCACCGAGACCAATGGAAAGTTCTATGCCTTCAAACAGAAAAATCTCGAGGATTTTCAAGATTCTCTAAACTTTCTTTTGCGAAACGGATTGCCAGGGCAAAATTCGGCTTCTTCGACTACTTTGCTTTTGTACGCAAATTTCCGCACAATCGATTTGGGTCTGGGAATGGCTGAGGATCGAAACTACGATCTTTTGCAAACATTTATCCGATTTTTCGATTATGACTTAACGCAAATTAAGCACATCGATGTGAATAGTGGAGCTTGTCGGCCGATTAAGGAAATCGAAAGTCGGAAAATCTCCCTAAGAAAAGCACCAAAGCATGTCCACCAACTAGCAGCATTCGAGAATCTCGAAGAGGAAATCGGCGAGAGAAATTATGAATTGGTGAAGATTTTGACTCGAAAATTTCATGGAATTGATCCATGGAGAGCTTATTTCAAACAGAACATCTCGACTCAAAGGGCCCTTTTGATGCTACTTCGAGTGAGCTCTTATCCGGAGATGCTCTCGAAACAGTCACAAATTCAGCTCATCACCAGATATCATGATCATTGAAAGGTTAGTCAACCGTCAACCATTTGAAGTAAACTAGAAAATTATAGTTTTTTAAAAGACTCTTATAATTTCCTTGCCAACTCAATGTTTTCAGACTTCCGGCTTCCCTTCCTTTCTCTTCGCTTTTCGACAAGCCATCAAATGGAATGCGAAACGAAAATCATATTTTCTCACGGTTACAAAGTTCATGTATAAAGCTGTAATTGGAATCCTGAAGGAATCGGTCCATCCGGCTTGAAACAATTAATCAAATGATCCTCATCTCCATCTCATCCCAAAAGCCTTGAATGATTTTCAAATCATCCCTTCGGTAATGTGTCTCTAGGCTTCCAAGATCCAATCCAAGTAGGTATCCATTGATGACTTGGGTTCCCACTGCCAGTGCTGTCTTTTCGTGATCGCGTCAACTCGGAAGCTGATATCAAGATCCATCTGGATTTCGTTTTCACATCAATGGTCTTTTTTTGTGGGCGGTCATCCGATTCGCTTGAAGATCCTTCAGCTTCAGCTTTGACCGAGTTTTTGGCATCTTGTTCGGCTCGTTCATCATCCGATTGTCTGAAGAATTCCATGTGTTCTTCGTATTCGCGACGAGCCCAATATTCCTCAAATCCAGTCGCGTTTTCCCATCGAGATCCATATCTGAAAAAATAAAATTAATGAAGAAACGAGAAAAATTAAAAACAAATCAACAAATTTATGGGATAAAATGGGGTAGGCTAATTTCCGCAATTTTATTTGCGCAACTCTCCATAACATTTTGTAAAGACCAATCATAAAGATTGGCTCACTTAGAACAAAGTAACAAAGTAACGGAGAGTTGCGCGAAAGATCCAGTTGCGCAAAAAAAATTTGCGGAAATTAGTACTCCGACAAAATTAAATAACAAATGATTTCCGAAAATACATGAAAATTTTTCGCTTTAAGGGCGTTGTTTGTAATTACGCGTTAGGTGGGGATCATTTTTTCGTAAACAATCAAAAACATTGCATCAACTATAATTCTTGCTCAAGGAATCAAAAATTGCTCTTTTTTATCTCTTCCCGCTTTTTCTCTTGCACATCCAAAGACAAAGGAATTTTCATTGCCACACAAAAATTTCACAAGAAAAGAGCGGCCGGATAAAAACACCAGCCCATTCCCCTTCATTTCTGCTTATTTTCCTTATTTCCATCAAATATGCGCTATTTTTGCTACTCGATTTTACCTCCAGAGCTCCAATATTTGATTCTCGATCAAGTTTATTATTGGGACGCCAAATACCTATTCCAAACCAACAAAACATTGCGTAATTTCTACCTACGGAGAGGATCACTTCTTTTAAAACGAATCAACGAGATCTCTTTAGAATCCAATGATGAGTGCTTGATTTCCGAAGAGCGTGGAGAACAGTTGACCGTTGTTATGAAGCCAGGAGGATGTCGTTATTTTCGTCTCTATCACATTCCAAACAACAATCGACTTCTCTCTTCGATTCGATCGTGTCGGAATTTGAAAATCTCCAAAGCATCTAACCAAGCTAATTTTTATCAAAAGAATTTGAGAATTTGTGAGAATTTGTTTCTCGACGAATTTCCTCATTCACTTAAACTGTTTGCTGATGCTTTTTATCAAAACTATTTTATTTCCATACCATTCGACCGCTTGAGAGAGTTCCAGGAGAAAGTTAACGATGTGCTGAAGGACGGAATCCCTGGAAGAAATCCTAAAGCAAGCCTGCTCGTTAAGATGAGCATTTCTCAGAGGAATCAAACCGCCAAAAAGCTTTTCGATGAAATCGCCTCAAATCTCAAAAAGCACTCAAATATTCAATGGATGAACGCAGCTCTGGGAGAGATGAGAACGATCAATGAGATCGAATTTCAACTAGCCGACATCCTATTTGAAGGGAGCCTTCTCGAGTTCAGGGAGCTGCAACCGTTTCTTATTTTTGAGAAAAGCTTCGATAAGATTAAGAATCGATTTCTGAAGTTTGAGAAAGAGCCTATATGGAAAGTGTTTTTGAGTCGGCGAATCGACGAGAATAAAGAGCTCGCGATTGTGCTTCGATTCACCGAAAACGAGGCTCAACTTTTCGCTAAAGTTCTTGAGAGACGCGAATGATCACCCAATCTACTCGTGTCAGGTCAAAACTACCATTGTAAACTTCGAGTTTTAAGCGTTTTTCAGCTGTTCTTCTTGGTGTTTGCTTGTTTTCCCCTTTTGTTTTCCTTCTAGGCTTTACAATAAATGTAAATATAATACAAGTTGACACAAAAGAAAATTTAGCGTTGGATAGTTTTTTTTGTTGCCTTAAAATCTGAATTTGACGGCCGAACTTTTGTTTATCATTTGTTAAAAGTAATACTTGTTTTTTTAAATTATATTAGGTTAGTGAATTGAAAACTGCGGGACTTTGAACTTTGAACTAAAATTTATTCAACATAAAACCATGAATTCATTCGAAATAGTTTCCATTATTATTTCTGAATTCTGCCCATTTTACAGGCAATTTGCGGATTCCTCTTTCGGATTTTGGATTCTAGTAGGATTTTGCTTTGTGTGTGAGACAAGTGTGAGACTCAAAAATGGAGGACTGGAGATGTCCCAGCTTGAGCATTTGAGCACTTTCTTCAAAAGAAACCCATTTTGGTGTCAATAGAAAAGTTGTAGAGAATCAAAAATTAGGCTTATAGCCACATTTTCAAAAAGATACACTTAGTAGTTTTGCTTAAAATGCAAGTTTTGTTGCAAGTTTTGTGAAAATTCGTAAATTTGGCATTTCTTGAAAACCAGTTTTTGAATCGTTCTGAAAATTTGGATATAAGCTTGATTTTTGATTCTCTACAACTTTTCCATTGACACCAAAATGGGTTTCTTTTGAAGAAAGTGTGAGAACTGGGACATATGACAATAGACCGCAGTTTTCAATTCACCAACCCAATATATTGACTATTTTAACGATCATTTGATGCAGAATGAAATTACGCATCGAATGACACCAAAAACAACTTAAAATATAATATTCATGCAAAATGAAATATTGGTCAAAATAGGGCTGAAAAAAATGCCCGTACAGTAAGGCAGACAGAAAGGCAGACAGAAAGACAGACAGAAAGACAGACAGATACCGTAACCCCCCTCCCCTCCCCCTCCTTTTCCGCCATTTCATTTGTGAAAATTCGTAAATTTGACATTTCTTGAAAACCGGTTTTTGAATCGTTCTGGAAATTTGGCTATAAGCCTGATTTTTGATTCTCTACAGCTTTTCCATTCACACCAAAATGGGTTTCTTTTGAAGAAAGTCCTCAAATTGTCACATATGACAATAGCCCGCAGTTTTCAATTCACCAACCCAATAATACATTGTTTTGTTTTTAAAATTTTTGTGAACAAAAGAAAATGAACGTTTTCAGCTTTTTCACCGAATGATTTTTCACCTTCCCACCTTGGCTAGATTTAAAGCCGCAATTTTGGCAATTGATTTGACTGCTCTGTGATTCTTTCTTGAGGTATCTATTTATCTTTTGGGTGTGTTTTGAGCGGTGTCCCGGGTAATTATTGTGATTTTGTTTTGTCGCTATTCAACTGAATAAAGTATATATATATAATGTTTTCCCTTCGATCAGCTCAACAAGAAATGTTTATATTGTATTCTTTTTATTTACATTTCTAATAAGATAAAATCATTTGAATAAACTAAAAAAGCATTTAAAAATGAAAAACAAAAAAAAACAAAACTTGTCATTTTTGTAACAAAAACATCTACTTTTTGTACTTTTTTTTCAATGCGACTTATCGCCGATTTACCCCTTTCTCTTCTCCCCTCACTCCCAAAAACACTATTGCTATCGATTTATTACTTCAATTCAATATTTCTTGCTTCTTTCAAACTTCGGAATCTCAATCAAATCAGATCCTCCATATCTCCCCAACAGTTTGTCGCTTGACTCCACTGATTGTTGTCAACCAAAAACAAATTTCAAACTTCAAACAAATCTCCAAACAGAAAGAATGGCAGATTCTTTCCGTTTTCCCATTTTACCCAACGATCTTCAAGTGTTCACTCTCAATTGGATTCGTTTTCAGCAAGCTGAAAAGCTATTCAAAATCAATAGAACACTACGCAATCTCTACTTACGAAGAGGGAAACTCTTCTCAAATCGAATCGACAAACTCACAATCGATTTCGAGAAAGGGCACTCGATTCAAGAAAACGGTGAAGCGTTAAGAAAACCAAAAAGTTTCCCTCTAAATCTTCCACCATGTTACCCACTAGGATACCCACAAGGTTTTCCAAGTAAAATGCCGCTTACGATTCGCTACCTCTTGGCACCAAACGATATCTACATTCCACTTGAGCACACCTCATTGATTCGTTCAGCAAAAGCACTCGAAATCACTCAGCAGCCAGCGAATGATTACCACTCACCAAAACTTTGTTCGAATCTCCGCGTTGTCCAGCATTTAATCATCAACTTTCCACCAATTTTATTCAAATCGATTCCTATTGATTTTCCATTTGTTGAGCAAACTCTAATTGTAAAGAAAACGATTTCTAACGAGCTCTACCTTTCATCTCAAATACAAACAACTCGATTTGACGCTACTCGCGAGTTTTATGACAGAAAAGAGCTCTGTAGGTGTCAAAACTTTATCTTCAAAGAAACGCCATGTTTTGAAGGTCTTGCTGAAAGTGTGGCTGAGTTGTATTTTGTAACTTTGGCAGCTAATCGTTTTGAGTGTTTTCACAAAACATTTGAATACCTTTTGCAGTACGGTTTACCAGGAAAGAATCCCAAATCGAATGTGTTTGTGGTGATCGATTTATTCCCTGTTAATCAAACTTTTTCAAATATTATTTCAAATTACAAGAGTTCTGATATTAAATGGATAGACGCTAGTTCTGGGGAATTTCGATATTTTGAAGATATTCAATTGCAAAAAGGGGATATTGGTTTTGAAGGGATTTTGGATGAATCTGCATACTTGAATCTGCAATCGTTCATCGCTTTTGAGAAGTTTTTTCAAGAGATTAATCTCGAACATTTAACAATTAATAAAACTTCAAAATGGAAAGTTTATTTAAAGAAGAGAATCGATGCAAATCGAGAGCTGATTCTCGTTCTTCGTTTCGCTCAAACTCCCAAAGACTCCAGTTATCAAGTGCAACTTTTAGCTAAGTATTCTGAGGATTGAAAGTAATCGATAATCTCTCGTTGTAGTTGATAAGGTAAGACAAAAAATAAGACAAGATGGTTAAAAGTGTAATTTCAGATCCTTCAAACATTTTATCACCATCTCTTTCCCCTTCTCAAACATCTCCTGTCAGCCTTGATTGAAAAAAACCTTGATTGGAACTATTGTAATGACTGGAACTCCTTGATAATCAATAAAATTTGTAAAAATACCCATCAACATCACAGCGATAAATCCCCAAACAAGTATTAAATCATTTTTTTTTGTCTTGCAAGGTTAGAGATTTAGAAAGAAGATCAATAGAGGGAAAGGGACAGAAAAGGAGGGAAAGGATCGTTGTCACAATGTGGGCCAACATCGATCAACCCAGCCTCGACACTGACAGGACACCAGCCGTCCCCCTCAGATATCCCTCCTCTAATCCAATCCGAAGATACCGGCTGATCCATTTGGTGCATATCCATCTTGTTCCCCGATCTTCTCTTTTACATTCCACTTTTCATTACATTCTTAATATCGATTTCTGGCCTTGTTTTGGGTACTTACTTTGAATTTAGTTCTCTTTGAATTCTAGTTTTTGGTCTAGAACGCTAAAGCCAAGCCAAAGCCAAAGCCAAAGCCAAGCCAAAGCCAAGCCAAAGCCAAGCCAAAGCCAAGCCAAAGCCAAGCCAAAGCCAAGCCAAAGCCAAGCCAAAGCCAAGCCAAAGCCAAAGCCAAGCCAAGCCAAGCCAAAGCCAAGCCAAAGCCAAGCCAAAGCCAAGCCAAAGCCAAGCCAAAGCCAAAGCCAAGCCAAAGCCAATGGCTTTCAATTGAATTCAGCCCTAGTATTTGTTCCTTCTAGGCATTTTACTTTTTCTAATTTATACAAATAAATCTACCCTTAGCTTGCCTGTTTTACGACTCTATGGTTCAACTTTTTCGCTTTGAGCTTTTGCATTTCGTGACAATCACTTATCTTCATTCTCCAAACTCCCTTCTGCTCTTTGGAATGATTTTTGGAAACAAGTTTATGTCATGCGATTCGAAATATGATGAGCGCTTTGTCAAATAATTTGGCTCATTTCCCATTAGAGAAATGAAATGTCCCAACCAATTAGGCTTTCTCATTTTTGATGATGACAAAGATCGATGTGATTGAAATGATTTGAGGGTGGAGAAAGGGAAGGAAGGGGAAGGAAGGAAGAAAGAAAGGAAGAAAGGAAGAGAAAGGGAATAAGAAAGAGAAAAGGAAGAAACGATACCGGAAATACTCGCAAATAAGTGATATCGTTGAGTATTTTTGGCTCAAAACACCAAGAAGATTGGATTGGCTCTATTCCCTTCTGTTTCTTTATCCTTTATTTTCTGCTTTCAACTATGAATGCCCTTTCTCCCATTTCTTGAATTTCATGCCTTTCATCTTTTGCATATCGCTTTCCTTTCTGTCACTCATTTCATTCACTTTTCATTTCTTTTATCCCTCAGGATATCGTTCCCATGTTTTGCCTATCATCTTTTTTTTGATGTAAATTGATTAAACTCTTCTTTCATAGCTTGATTTTATTACTTGTTCTGAATTTTCTTTTCGTATTTCTTTCCGACTTTCTTTCTGGCTTTCTTTCTGGCTTTTGCTTTCCAGTTTTCCGATAAGTAAGCATCTTTTACATCATTTAATAGAATGATTTGCTTTATAAAGCTTTTGCTTTTGCTTTTTAGCTTAGAATTGATTCTAGCTCGAATTGAGGCCATTCATTCAAGATATTTTGCAATTTTAGGTGTTTATGTGCGGATTTCTCTTCTCGTTTTCTCATTTTTTATGCAAATTGCTCTTTCTAGAGAAAGAAAGACGGAAAATTGGAAAATTATCTCGGGAAAAGTAAAGCTTCGAAATTCGAATTCTTTTTTGACCGTTGTTTTTTTTCTTTTCAAAGCTTTGTTTAAAAGCTCAAAAAAGATATTCAGTTGTAAATTTGTATCCAGGGGTTTTCGGGATCGGTGAATCGATTGAGAATATTCATTTTATTGAGTTTACCAGCTGAAACTTGAGATTCAATCACTTATAAAGGCCAAAAACTATCACAAATGGTGTGTCTGTGCTGTCGATCTATGCTGGCCGTATCTCGCTAACGGTAGCTCAAATCGAGCTCAAAATTTCGCATCAAATAGTCTACTTTTTATTATTTTTAAGATCTTTTTTTGATTTTCATCCATATTTGTTTTTATCTGTTCAAGCGTTTTTCTTAAAAACACAATTTTGACCTTTTATGCGATAGTTTTTCTTTAAACCTTTATATCTCAGTCCAGAGATGAGAAAAAGAAGTGTTTTTGGGTTCAAAAGAAAGCCCAAAATCTCTAGATTAAAAATATCATATTAGTTTTTGAAAATAATTAAGTTTTTGAATTTTAAAAATCAAAAAACTGAGCGTGACTCGGAGAGAAACCCTTTGTTGGGGTGGCCGAGTGGTCTAAGGCGCCGACTGCTAGTCCAGTGTGGGGGCGGGGGGCGGGGGCTGGGTTCGATTCCTCTTGGCTTAGGTTGGTTTTCTTATTTCTAGTTTTAAGATTAAAAACTTGACACTTGGGTTGTAAAATTTTACTATTTAGATTTTAAAATTGTTCTTGCAAGTTTTTCAGCTATTTTGTCATTTTTTGTCATTTGAATAATGTAAATATCGATTTTTGTGTTTTTCTGCTTTTGTGCTTATCATTTCTATGCGACCAAGCCTTATCAAAATGGTTGAGTGACACCAATCCGTCTCTCCACCAATTTTTACTTCAATCAATACTGGAAACATTTTTCAATAGGTTGTTTTTGTTCAGTTTTACAAAGCGCTTACCATTTTTCAATTATTAGTAATTATTAGTAACTTTTCAGAACGAACCAGTAATCTCCCTACTTTCTACAGTACTCCGTATATCAAATTAGCAATAAAAACGATTTCTCTCATTTTTCTTTACAATGCGACGAGCTTTCGGTCTTTTTCTTCTCATTGGCTACAGTAATCTACTCGTCGACGCGATTATCGATGTCGCTTGGTGGTCAGTTCGTTTTTTTTCTGGCTCTATTTGCATCTGTTATACAGTAGAATAAAAATATTTACCTTGTGAACTTGAATAATCCTTGAAACTTGAATAAAACAACTACCGTAATTCCTTTATTAGATGCCGCTCTCTTGTTCGCTCCGCATTTTTCGGATCTCCAAAAAAATCACCCTTCAACAAAATTTGAACTCAGCACATATTTTCGCATCGAATAGCACTTACCGTGAGCAAATTTAATGGCGATCGCATTTTCGCGCAGGTGTGGGTTGAAAAAAAATGATTTTTGCTTAAACCACTCTCTCTCTCGATCCCTTTTAGTCTAAAACATACGAAAAAGACATTTGAAACAAAAAATTATGTCACAAAAAGTTATGTCCATGGTCTGACCCCATTTCTGACCCTCCAAAATCCCTGTGATCCCCCTTTATAATTTTTTTTTCTCAAAAAATGTTCAGTCATGTTCCAGGATCGATTTGAATTTTATTGCCATGACTTTTAAATTATAATTAAGACCCATATGCATCATTTTAAGCACTTTCGGAGGAAATTTCTTTTTAAAAAAAAGTTCGATGTCAAAATTAGCATTAGGAGGCGCTGCTCTAATAAAGGATTTACGGTATTTTGTTAAATTATAAATGCAAATGATTTCCCTAGCATTTTCAGGTCCTCAGTCGCTCAACTCTCCACGAGTCCTTTATTAGCTTCTTCTGCCGCGAGATCACAATGCACACATCTCAAAGTTTGTGCAAGATTTACTGCTTACTGTAGACTTATAACTTATAATTGATCCTTACAAGTAATCCTTACAGTAATCCTTACAGTAATCCTTACAGTAATCCTTACAGTAATCTTTACAGTAATCTTGTAGTTGAGCTTGTTAGTTAATTGTTTATTAGATGTTTCTAGGGTCTGTCACCGGGTCAGAGTCAAATTTGTGAGCTTTTCTCGGATCATATGCCTGCTGTTGGCACTGGAGCACACAATGCGATACAAGTGAGAAAATTTGATAACAAAATTCTATTCTTTATTCAATTAGAAACGGGTACAGCTAGAAAAGAATAAAAAAAAAAGTGATCTTAACTAAATCTGTTTAACATTACCAGAATATTCCCCATTAAATTCCCAGGAATGCCAACACCAATTCCGTTCGCATCGCTGGAATTGTTCGACTCCATTTGGCAGTGGATACATAGGACCGATTCATCAATTGGGCACAAGAGAAGCCGCTTTCACTTACGCGATTCTATCAGCCGGTGTGGCGCATGAAATCGGGAAACGATGCAAGAAAGGTTTCGATTATTTGATGATATTTCTATTGTATTTGATAGTAACCAGCTATATCTTGAACTTGAGATAAAATTGAGGTAATTGTAGGAAAGTGTTGAAAAAAATTCTTGTACAATTCTCGTGCTTGGTTTAGGCGAACTCTCGTCATGTACCTGTTCGCAAGAGCCAAAGCCAAAAGAAGTGGAAGACGATTATTCATGGGGTGGATGCGGGGATAATGTTGACTATGGATCAAGATTCTCGAGGTGAAAGAGAAGGCAATATAGCCATGGTATTCTGGCTTTATTTCCGGGCAGAGATTTCAGGGAATAGCTTTTGATTTTGATTGATTAACTTTATAATAAAAATTTTCAGAGATTTCATCGACATTCGCGAGAAAGAGGAAAGTGTGAAAAGATCGAATGACAATGGAAGAAGTTTGATGAATCGACGAAATAACGAGGCTGGCAGAAAGGTTTGTCGTTCAGAGATTGATATAGATTTAGAGATTGCTATAGATTGCTATCGATTTCTGGGTGTAAAGGTAGTCTGTAAACTCGTCTTGACATGTTGAAATTTTATATTTTATGATATTTTAACACTATGCTTCCTTGTTGTCTTGATTTTACAAGAATACAACAATAAAATGATGGCAGAAAAACATTTAAAAAGGATATTTTTTGGCAATTTCATCCCAGATGAGGTATAGCAAGGTTTAAAATTGAAAAAAAGCATCAAAAAGCATCAAAAAATAGAAAACTATCAAAGTATCATCAAAAACATCAAAGATCAAACAAAAACATGTGTAATAACATCAAAATAACAAGAAATCATAGTTTGAAAATATCACCAATCGATTCAGCATCATCAAAACCCTAGTATAAAATTTCAAATTTGACAATTTGACAATTCAACATGTCAAGACGAGTTTACAAATTGCCCCCAACTACATTTGCATCGATTTCTGATAACAAGTGTTGTAGTAGTAGATTCCCGACTGTTTTAACGACTTGCTTGCGGAATAACAGTTAGCGTTTATCCAGAATAGTGAAGACGAATAAAATAATCACAATCGATTTGTACCCAAAAATGTAGAACCAAATAAAAGGGAGCGAAAAGAAAATATGATGGTACAAACTACGGGGCGTTCCTAGTGACAACCTAGACAGACGTGGAAGGTGCACTTGAGAAAACGACAATTTTGAGAGAAGTATAAAAGGCTAGACTTGCTTATCGATATCGTTACGAACGGTATGCTCATGTTTGACCGTTCAGATCTCAGTCTCTAGAACAGCTATCAATCTGAAAATTGTTTCATTGGAAAGCCAAGAATGTCAGCTTTTGATTGCTATTTTATAAATAGCGACTTTTAATGAGTAAGCACCTCATAAACCCTATCGATTATCGATTAGCGTATCGATAAGTATTGAGAAGCTTTTTAAGGCATTCATTTATGAAAATTTGCTATGTGTGAGATAGAAATCAAAAGATGACATTATTGTTTTTCCAATGAAACAATTTACAGCTTATAGCTGTTCTAGAAACCGAGATCTGAACGGTCAAACGTGAGCTTGCCGCTCGTATCGTTAATATCGATAAGCAAGTCGATAAAGTCGATAATATCGATAAGCAAGTCGATATCTTCTCAACAACAAGTCAAAGAATTTAATCAAAAAATTAGAAATCAATCTCCAGATCCTCAAACGGCACACGAAACCAAAATGCAAGTGTCACGGGGTGTCGGGAGCGTGCAATTTGAAGACGTGCTGGATGCAATTGCCGGCGATTCGAGATGTTTGTTTTGACAACAAGTTATTGATACTGTAGCCATAAATTAGCCATAGAAAGTATTCATTCAAGTGAGTGATTGTGAGTTTTACTGTGATCAATGGATTTTTATGAATCGATTGTCCTAACAGTAAGCTCATTTCATAAATTGCAGATCGGTCAACACCTTTTGGACAAATATCGAACAGCAAAAAGGGTTCAGGTAAAGAGAAAACTTGAGAAATCTAATGAGATTCCTGATCTAGATCAACAATCGCGGGAATCTTCAGCTATTGGCAAATGGAAATGAATACGTGAGTTGATGCTGTAAATTACAAGAAGAATTTAAGATTCTTGGATTTCTAAGAATCTCAGAAGCTAGCCCTTCTAGGAATCTCAGAAGCTAGCCCTTCTAGGAATCTCGGAGGTGGGCCTTTTTGGGGGGTCCCGGGCGGCTCCCCTGGTTTGGGGGGGGGGGGCCGCCCGGTGTTTGGGGGGGGGGGCCCCTCCGGGGTGGGGGGGGGGCGCCTGGGGGGGGGGGGGGGGGGGGGGGGGGGAGAAGAATCTAACAATTGGATTGGATTGTAAAATTTAGCCAGTGAATCGAATCGCGGGAAAGAACGGCTCAGAGCGGAAAGCTCGCGGTGTTCCGCCGACCGATCTCGTCTTTATGGATGACAGTCCCGACTATTGCAGGTTTATTTTAAGTCTATGCATTGTCTTACTGTACTTTTATCCACTTTTAAGATGATTAACACAAGCAAATTCCAGATACGATCGATCACTGGGCACAGTGGGCACCGAGGGACGGCACTGCAAGTAAGGAGAATTGTCTGAGTTTGAAATTTACATGAAATATCCAGCTAAATAGTTAAATATCCTTTTCCAGACGTGGTTCTTCGGGAGCCGAGGGTTGTGATGCGTTGTGTTGTGGAAGAGGATACAATACGCTCACATTGGAGACTACAGCTAAATGCAAATGTAAATTTGAGGTTCGTTTTCTGAAAATGGGAAAATATGCTAGATTCCTTGAAGAATATCATTTTTTTTAACTTACGGTAGGTTTAGAAAATTAGCCACGCAAGCAAAACACGCTTTAGCAAACGCATCATTCAATAGGGATAGGAAATTGGGTGCTAAAGTATACCAAAAATATAGCAGTGTCTGTCCGTCTGTATGGGCTTTTTCTCAGCCGTCTTTGGGCCAAAATAACTCAAATTTTTTAAGTCTTTAAAATAATATAGTTGTGAAATTAAAATGAAACAAATAAATCAAAAAATTAAAAAAATCAAAATTGAGTGGGACTACGGGGGGTCGAACCCGGGTCATGTGGGCTGTAGACCAGCGTGCTCTCGCTGCGCCACGACAACAAAGCTTCTGGCCAGAAAAACCCGCGTAATGGCACCTAACAGCGGGTTTTTCTGGCTTGATTATTTGTCGTCGTGGCTCAGTCCGGAGCCCGCTTGTCACCCGGGTGGGCCGTCGACAGTCGGGTTCGACTCCCCTTGGTGCCGGGTTCGACTCCCCTCAGCCATTTTAATTAAATGGATTCCGTTAGGCGGGTTTTTCAGCTGTGCGAAAATAAATTGAATATTTTCAGCAAAGTAGGATTATTCAGTTAAAGCCTGAATACTTGCTGTAACGGTGTGTGATATCAGGGATACTGTAGAGAGAGCAAATTCTAAGGTTTTACAGTACTTTCAAATGGAAATCACAAAGTTATCACAAATCCTGAGAATTACCGTAAATACTGTAATAGTGCCCCACCCCATAATGACGGTGCGGAGTGTTGTGTAGTCTAGCTTTGAACGAGTTTTTCTCGACACTGGTTTATGATATAATGCGCGCCTAGGTATCAAAAAATAGCTGAAATTCAGGGCTATTTTTTGATACCAAAGACGCATTTTTTGAAAGTACGGGCGCTTTGAAAAGAATGAAATACTAAAAAGCTTTTGCGACTACACGACTGTACGAGGGGGATGGGGTACTATTACAGTATTTACGGTAGGTAATCTATAAACCGAATGTAAGCATTTGACAATGAGAAAAACAAACTTTAAAAAAGAAAACATTGAAAAAATTCAAATTACAGTGGTGCTGCAAAGTGGTGTGTCAAACGTGCGTCAACAGTACTCGAGTCGACATTTGCAAGTGAAAAAAAGTTTTAAATACAAACTTGAACTCAAATCTCTTTTATTTCTTCTCCCAGGGTATCTTTTATGTACATAACCGATTAAAAAAGCTTCTACTAAGAAAAAAAATCAAGTCCGAATCAAAACCCAATCAAATCCCAATCAAATCCGAATCAAACCCCAATCAAATCCCAATCAAATCCCAATCAAATCCCAATCAAATCCCAATCAAATCCCAATCAAATCCCAATCAAATCCAAATAAAATCCCAATCAAATCCGAATCAAAACCCTTTTTATTTCTCTTCAAGATCTCACTTCTTTCATGACTTCAACAATTGCTTTACTTTTAAAAAGCTTTATTTTAAAAGTTTCATTTTCATTTCATTTCATTTTCATTTCATTTCAAATTTTTGTAAAAACAATTTCACATTCCCAAATTTAAACCCTCAATCTACTTTTTTAGATATTTATTTCTTAATTTTTTGGAAATTTTTCAAATTTTTCAAAATTTGTATGAGTTGAGCCATTTTTAGATTGAAAGAAAGATTTAGTGTCTGTTATTTGTTTGATTCTTCGCTTTGTCTTTGAAAAATTAATAAAACTTTGATTGTCAAATACTACAAAACACTAGAAACTACAGAATGTAGAGGTGAAAATGGGTGAAAAAGAAAATAGTGGAAAAGTTCGATCCAGTTGTATCAGCCTTTGTGCGTTCTTTCCCTGTCGTTTACAAGAAAAAACGGCGTCTGGCATATTGCCCCTGGGTAAAGGCGGCCGGAAAGCCTCCAAGCTGGTTTAATTACCCAAGGTTTGTGTGTACCCTGAAGATTGCTCGTATGAAAAAGCGGGATCTGACGCGGGATGTGAGGTTGATCGACTTGGAGAATTAAGCCAGCCAGCCAGTGAGGCCGAGCCAAAGAATCATTTCACAGCAAACCATATTGAGTTTTTTGATTGAGAAAATTGTAGAGGCTAATTGGAAATGAAGAAATGAGCAAAAAACTCTAATAAACAAGTCAAAGATTGTGAAAAATCCGTTTTTTGAACTCTGAAAGTTCAGTATTCAGCCTAATTAGTTTTTCTCATCGAGAAACCAAGGAGAAATTGAAAAATTGTACACTTTTAGAAATGATTTCATTTAATTAACAAAAGTCTTTATTGGCGAAGTTGCGAGAAAATCTTGAAAGGATTACAAAACGAGAAATGGATTACTGTAAACTCCGAACAAATCGACATCACAGACAAAAATTGGGTAAAATTTAATGTTTCTCAATTTTTTCGCGTTTTCACATATGTGGGAAAAGAGTATTTTGGATTTTTCGGGTAAAGCGGAGGCGAGGAAACGGCTTGTGAAGCACACATTGTCGCCTCGTCCATCAACAACTGGAAAAGGGATTTGATTTGAAGATTTGAATCGAAATTTTCTTTTATCTAGTGAAATGGATTAAAAGCTACAAGATAAGATTAATAAATCTATGACTTAATCGAAAAGCTAATCACTTTTCCACTTGTTTTCCTAGTGCTGGATCTTTTACTCGATAAGAGTCGTTTTCTAAAGAGATCTTGTACCAAGTTCAAAGCTATTTATTAACCTGTCAGTATTACTCATTCTTTTCCATCACTAAATTCATTCAATCAGAAAATCAGTCCATCAAAACATCTCCATTCAGCCAAGAAATCAAATTTGCAAGGTGAATGAATTTGTGTACGAAAAAAGAAATTCTGCTCACTAATCCGTAAAACTTTGAACTTTTAACTCAATTCAAGGCTCTGATTCATTCCATAGAAAATTTTGTGGCTTTTTTCTCAGCAAATCTACTCATTGAATCGGAAATTGGGGGAAAATCATTAGAGAAGAGGGAAAGATAGATTGACGGACAGACAGGGAAAGATTTAGCGTGCAAAATTAGATTAACAATTGCTTTGAAATCTCACCAAAATTTGGCGTTGAAGTCGCTGAAGCTCGCGAAGTCGATCGAGACTTGTTACCGGTTCGCATGGGCTCTCTCTGGAAATGTTCTGGGATTTAAATTTACCTTACAGAATCTTTCAGCCATGTTCAGTTTCAGTTCAGTAACGTTTCACCCAATCCGATTCACTCACACTGGTGCCCATTCCCCGTTGTGTCCAAATGAGGCTCTCTTTTGCCAGTTATCGGTGAAAGTCATCTGTGAGAAGACTTGCGGCAAAATCACCAACAATGAGACGACCACCTCAAGACGTCCACACGCCCACATTTGGTTAGCTGAAAGAAAAAAACGGGATAAAGCAATTATTCGGCCAGAAGTATGAAGATATCAAAAATAGCTTTCAAGTGCTACAAAGCTTTCTGCATTTGTAAAAACGATCAGAATAAACTGCAAAAACATAAATGATCAGGTAAATGATATGAAGGATTGGAGAAAATAAATTTTCCAAATCCGTTGCCTCCAAAAACCGGCAAAAGGGATTACCCATATCAAATGAGCACAATGAGGATTATCCATACCACAGAAACTCTTCGCCTAATATACCGTGAATAAATCCTCCATATTGAAATTGTACAAACTTCAAAAGAATGAAATCTCCCCGATTGGGCGACTCTAATCTCCTCCCATTTAAAAGGGAATTGACGTGAATCCCTATCAATCAGCCAATCCTATGAAACAAAAGAAAGCGGACTTATCCACAAAGATCCTTTTCGCAAAATTCTATTTCCATTTCTGCTCATTCGCTTCAAAACACCGACTTTCGCGTCAGTGTCGTGATTAGTAATCGAGAGAATTTGCGTAGTCTTTGGCCCTAAACAAAAGAATTTTATCAAGAACAACAAGAACAACAAGTACATGGCGAGTAAAGTGACAACCGCATAAACTAAACCAAACAACCATTAAAGCCGAAACACTAGATACATCTACTAAAAAATCATCACATAAAAAGAAACGCTGCCTATGAACCAAAATCCTATTGAAAGATTTCCTTTTAAGTTGTGGCGACATGCTGACCATTGAATTACCATCCAGCTTTTCAAGATCGCGATGAATTCCCAGAATTGTCGACATCGCCGATGGGAAGTGAGACATTGCAAAGCATCTCGATGACTTCTAAAAATAAACCATTCTAGACTATTCAAGAACTCGGCTAGGTTTCATTTCACCCAGCTGTTGCATTTTAAAAACTCACTAGCTGTAGAGTGGTTCCTTGTGAGCGTTCGCAGTAATCTAAAAATTAATAAATAGATCATTATTTGATCACTATTCTTATACATTTTATGAACTTTGGAGGAGCTAGCGTTATTAATAATTGCTTTTATCTATATTTTATGTCCGCTATTTATATTAATAATATTTATGCTTTATGTCTGCATATTTTTAAGTATAAAGTACGAACAAAAGATTTACCTCGTTTATATGAAAAGCAATCTTTCGTCCAGCGGTTGTTTTTCCGTAAATCGACAACGCTGCCCAAACGGTATTCAGGTCCTTTCGTTCAACAATTACTTTCCCCTTTTGCGTGTGATCGTTAAAATCGATGATCTAAAAAGATTATGGTGGTATGGAAAATAAAGGCAAAGCTCTACAAAGAGTTAACTAACTTGGTAGCCTGTCGGCACTAAACTATGCTGAATCGGTTAAAAATCATTAACCCAAGCCTACTTTAAATTTATTCAACACCTCAAACGATGGCCCACAATTGCCGAGAACTGTCCGCAAAGCTTCGCCAATAATCAAGCTAAATTCCTTCTCACTGCCGAGTGTTTCCGTTAGAAGCTCTCTAAACATGAAAAATATGTAAATTAAATACTTGAAACTCACACTTTCAAAACGAGCACGGAGAACGGCAAATCTTCAACTTTAACCATCCGATACTCTGAAATGAAACAATAGTACATTTGGAAAAAACTAATTAAAACTTTTTAAAAAAAAGGCAATAACGAATACTTAACAGGCTACAATCCTATCGCCGCTTGTTTTTCTTTTCCCTCTCCTCAAAAATCTTTATCTTTACGTTTGCTTCTTTGTCTTTTTTCGCAACCGCAACCAATGTGCAACTTGTGCGTATTTTTGAAAACATTCAAATAATTAACCATAAGGCCGATTATTGTCAAAAGCATTATCTAAAAGAACTTTAAAGCATATACTATAAAAGCATGTACTAACTCTTCTTGCTAGCACCTCGATCAATTTGCAATCTCGCGGAGTTTTATCCCTGTCTCTTGTATCAAAAGGTATTCAGCTAACCGCCTGAAATTCCTGATATTACGGTGTCAAAAAGGTAAACTATAAGAAGGTGTCAATTTTCAATGCTTCCCTGGCTTCCCAGGCTGGGCCGCTCTTTTGCTTTATCTTTGCAACAACTTGGAAATAAAATTTTTATGCAAACATTTCAAAAACGTTTCATAGATAAAGGTTTTAGACCCGGTTTGACATGCGGTTTCCAAAAATTACACTATTTTTAACTTTTTCTTTATCTTCTTATTTATTTTTTTGCATAGAAATAGATCTTTTTTAGGTTTAATGCCGTCTATCGATGATCTCGAGGATTACCCTTCTACCTCGATTGTGTTTGCAGACACGGATTTGATCGATGTAAGTAATTTTGTGTTTATTTTTTTTTAATTAGGCATGAACGTTTAAATTAAGACCTTTACGTTACGTTTACCTTTATAAAATCAAGCATGTTTCAAAACTTTTACAATTTACTATTTTTAGATTGGTTTTCTCAGCGGTGGCACAAGATTCGCCACGCTTGCCCCATCGAGAGTTGGTGGTTTAACAGTTTGGACTTCAGCCGAGCATGTCCCGTTTTTGCCCGAAGGAAAACTCACATTACTCGATGCAGATCCGACGTCTTTATTGTTGGTTTTATAGATATTAGCTTTTCTATTGTAAATTGTTTAGAATACTCCCAGTCGATCATGTGGCCATTGGACTTTCCGATGGTTCAATTGTGTTTGCTGAAGCTTCATCGTCGGAAGTAAGTTTTTTTGGATTTTTTAAAGCTTTTTTCTTCAAAGTTACAATGATTTGTTAGGTAGAATCATTGCATCGGACCGAAAGGATTCACAAAATGGAAGTATTATCAATGTGCTCGTTGATGTCTGATAAAAGGTAGCTTGTCATAACAAGTCTAGACTTATTTAGCGGTTTTTTTTTAGAAAGTTAGCATCTGGAAGTGCGGATGGGTCAATAATTGTTGGTGATCTCGAAACGCAGACATTTGATGAAATAGTACGGGTAAGGTTTTCGACTACGATTTACAAAAATACTTATTTCGTTTTTAGGGAGAATGCGGTGCAATGGCGATGTGTGCTATCTCCGGAGGAACAACGGTTTGCGTGGGTCATATGGCCGGACGTTTAACCCTATGGGATGTTCGAGAAAAAATTAAAAGTTTGGAAAAAGTTGTGCAAAGTTTATTTAGTTTTTAGATCCTGTCCGAAACAAAGCAACAGCTACAGTTTTATTGGAATCAAATAGCGACTCAGTTACTGCGTTGGCGGCTCACCCATCACAAGCCAATGTTGTAAGTAATTAAGCTATTTATCTTTAAAAATTTTTCTTTGAGTTTGCATTTGGTACCGAATCAGGTTCGATTGGTTTTGTGGATGTTAGAGCCGGTGGAAGGGCTGAGGTGATGAATGGATTGAGCGCGGCAACACAAGCTATAACCAAAGTAAGTTCATACAGAAAGATATGGATAACCTAGGTAGTACTAAATTGTGTTTGTTAGCTTATTGTCAAGTTGTGTTTAGATCTGCTTCCATCCGTCGCTGGCCGAGAATTTGTTTGCCGCCTCAGCTGATGGATCTCTTCAACATTTGGACGCTAGTCGATCGCACGCTTACACTTTGTGAGTAGCTTAAAATATAGATTTTGTTCAATTCAGTTGTTTAGTGGCGCAATCACCGAATCACCGCTAAGACAAGTCTCTTGGTGTCTACCCTCACTACAAGAATCTCTGACCTCAACCAGTCTCTATCCACGATCATCAAAATATGTAAGTTTTGATTGTTTTACCGGAAAACAAACTTGTTTTAGCCGCAATCTTTCGACATTTGTAGCAATTCATTGGTGGTCGCTTTCGCCAATCAAATGATTCACTGCCTCGATGGAATCAAGCTCTCATAATTTGCTATGCTTTTCGTTTTTACATTTCTCAGTTTGTGTACCGGTAATTTGTTATTTTGAGTACGATTGCATTCAATAAAACATTTCAAATTAATTTGTTGTTTTTAATTTTGTAATACCAATTTTTTACTTGCTTAGCAGTGAAAAGCCCATTTTAAAATCTTATCCCTTCTAGAATGTCGTCGATTTCGAATTTTCCCAGAGGTCGACCATCTGGAAATTGGCTAACGAGGATATTCCCCCCAATAACGTCTAGGTTTGAAAGAAAATGGAAAAAAAATCACAAAATCGAGTTTAGAACGATCGTAGGGCATTACATTCCTGTTTCTGGAGCGATTTCGCATACACTTTTCTCTATTCACATCTTTAACCCAGCAATTGTTACGAAGTGAGTGTAGAAAAGAAAACCCCAACTACAGAAAGTTTCAGGTATTTCCCAGTTGGCGAGCTTGCCGTTTCGAATACGATTCTTTTCAACGCAAATATTGGAATTGGTTTCTATATTTTCTTTCGACAACACATGTCCAAGTGAGTCTAGTAGAGAACTCTCAAAATTTAAAGTCTTTATGTTCTACCGTAAGCTTTACCTACCTAATTTCTAGGCTAAGCTCATGGCAACGGGTCGAGTTTTCGGTGTTTGCCTCTACAATGTTCAACTTTGGTTCATTACTGACAGCCGTTCTCGTCAAAGCACTACTACCAACAAAGTTTGTTCAAATACAATATAGAGACAGATTTATTACATGTTTAGTACCATTCATGAAGATGGTTTGGTATTTTATATCGATAGGTTGGCAAAGAGCTGATCTCATTGAGTTTTTTATGAGTTTGCTTCCACATTCATCAGACACATTGGCCATAGAGCTGTTAATGCTTGAAAAAGCTTTGAGACAATGAGGAAAAGTAGATTTTCAGAACAGCAGCCTGGATCAAAACTGTGTTGGCCACCTCGTTGAGCTTTCTTCTATTGAGGACGGGCAAAAAATATTTGAAGGTTGGAAATTCGAAGCCGATACTTGGCTTTTTCTTGGGAAATTACGCCCAATCCCCTTTTTCAGTACATTGACCTTCGATCGGCAAGCTCGCGACGAACGTCTCCGATCAGGAATAATCTTACAGTTCAGGTGGGTAAGGATATAACTGAAAATTTCAGCAACGAAACATTGAATAAGCTTAAATTTACTGTAATCCAAGTCGACTCAATCTCCGATCCTTTCCAGCAACCGACCTATCCACACCTCCTCCAAACCGGTGACAACGGTTTTATTCAGATTCCCCCGAAAAGTGTCACCGAAATATCCACTTAATCTTTTTCGTACCACTCAAATTGTGATCAAAAATAGCCTAGGGAGATGATTATTGTTAATTTACAGGTTTTCGGTGCAGATTTCAAGATATTGATGACGTTTTTTTTGACATTTTAGTTACGTGTACTACATAGTGCTTTGATGTTCAGGTATTAGCCAGCCGTTCTTTTTTATTTAGAAAAAACTTAATAAGTGAATAAACATTTATGTACATACAAATGTAAATATGAAATAAAACGAATTAGAACAATTTTTTCTTGAAAGCGACAAAAATTAGCGACGATTCATGTAAGAGGTGCCGAGGCGCTGCTGTTGGCGCTCGATTTGAGCAAAAGGACCCTGAAAATTGAACTGATTGAAACGATTTCGCATTTATCTTACGAATATTCAGTTATAGATAAATTTATTTAAATCTACAATACTACTGAGGATTCTGGGATACAGAAACTTCTGTATTGACCCCCGTTGACTTTGCCTAGCTTTGCCTAGCTTTGCCTAGCTTTGCCTAGCTTTGCCTAGCTTTGCCTAGCTTTGCCTAGCTTTGCCTAGCTTTGAAATTTCTTGTCTTTAAATATAAACTTAGATTACGCGTAAACTAAACGTAAACTCTAAGTAAACTTAGACTACACGACTCCTCCTATAGGGGGGTCTTCTATAAGAGCTTTTACGGTAAAAATGATTTCGATAAATAATTTCAACTAGCTCTAGTGGATTCTTGACGTTATCTGTGCTATCCATATGTCGTAGCCGATTATGAATGAAATTTTTTGGTAAATCTTTCTAGTAGAGCAATCCTTTAATGTATGAGGACAATATTATATCATCCTGTAGCGAATTAAATAAATTCTGTGTCGATTGGTACCAAATTTGTGAGTTTAGGTTAAAAATTTTACAACGCTACAACGTTTCATTCAAAATCGGCGGGACCCCTGTAGCCGATTATGAATTTCAGCCGATTATGCATGAGTGGGTCTAGGAGCGTCCAGCCATCAAGTATTTGGTATCATTCAACGCAGAATCATTAATAATTATGTTAAATTTTTAAAATTAGAAAGATTTGATAACAAGAAAAAAAATTAGAGCAAAAAAAACTGTTTGTTCAAGAGGAAACTTTGAGGCCCCTTTAATTTTTTTCTTTTTATCCAATCTTTCTAATTTTAAAAATTTAACATAATTATTAATGATTCTGCGTTGAATGATACCAAATACTTGATGGTTGGACGGTCCTAAACTCACTCATTCATAATCGGCTACGACATATATACTTAATTAACTTCTAATTCAGCTTACTAGAAACTTAGATATGTTAAAAATTAGATATTTTCGAATTTTCGATAAGTTTTACCTTCGCGACTTGCGGCGGACCGCCCCGTCGCGGCGTTTGAATGGTGGTCGGTGTCAATCTGAAATTTCTCAAGTTTTAGATCTGTTACTAGCTAGTTACAGTGCTTGTTCCTCGTTTACGACACTTCGCTACCCGTTCGCACAATTTGCATGCAAACTATTGGGCCTATAGTATTGGCTAACTTGTCGGAAATGGTGGAAAGCTAATGAGTGAACAAAATACCGTAGCCTTTGAAAGGCTCCAGCAATTCTTTTGCACATTTTGTTTTTACCAATCTTGTAGGTAGTCCCAAATCTCTCTCCGTTTGTTGGTTGTATTGTTTCTATTGTTTTTATTCGTTTTTATTCGTTTTTATTCTTTTTTATTCGTTTTTATTCGTTTTTATTCGTTTTTATTCTTTTTTATCAGTTTTTATTAGTTTTTATTCGTTTTTATTCGTTTTTATTCTTTTTTATTCGTTTTTATTCTTTTTTATTCCTTTTGATTCGTTTTTTATCGGTTTAATTACCCAATTTAGAGAGAGATAAACGATTGTTGTCGATTGCCAATCTTAGAGCTTACTCAAACAAGGGCAAAGTATGAGCTAGCTGGATATCAGTATTTCAAGCGATACAAACAAACTTTTCGTTGCGACAACAACTTTTTTTGACCGTAAACCTTTTCAGACAAGTTTAAAAGTGTTTTAAAAGTAAGTAAACGATGCTGATTTCAAGGGTCCTCAAAGCTTTCTCAAGCTAAACCGTTTTCTGATAGCTCTTGAAGAAATTGTTTGTTTTGAAAGTTCTTATAAGAAAAAAACGTGTGTTCCTATAATTAGGAGTATCGATATCTTGAGAACGGTAAAAGCTATCAGAAAACAGTTTGTAGCTTTTGAAATCAGCATCGTTTACTTAATGAAATATGAAAAATATTGGGCTCAGCATATACTATATAAAAAAGTGCCTATCCGTCTGTCCACCTGTCTGTCTGTCTGTCTGTACGAGCATTTTCTCGACCGTGTTTTGACCAATAAAGCCCCTCTTATGAAAAAAAAGTTTACGGTAGGGGGTCGTATCTCACTATTTCTTCCTTTTTTTTGGTTCTAAAAGTCTCGAGAATCTTTTAAACATCACGAAAATGTCTAGAATATGATTTTTCAGGTCCTAAATCTGGAGCTTGCAACCATTTTAGAGCTTGCTAGTTTTGCTAGGATCTTTTTTGGGTGTTGTATACGAGTGACGCGCACTGTATCAGTTCGTAAATCTATTAGTCGATAATAAAATCTAATATCTAAGCTGATAATTCGACACAAACAAACAAACCGATTATTCGACGTGCTCTCCCTGGCGACTGTCGGAGCCGGCTCATTTCTGCCCGAGAAATCCCCGGAGATCGTTATCGTATTCGTTGCCTAGATAGCTTTTTAGAACAGAAAACATTCAATATAGTAATCTGAAGCGGTTGCAGTAAGAAAAAGAGAACCAAAGCTTGTATTTTGTGCCAAAATGCAAACACACGTTTTCTCCTGTAAACAAACACCTTGTAAACACATCGAATTCTCTAATTCCCTATAAAACCGAGAAAGTCTCATCTTCGAGAAACCGATAATGACTAGAACAAAAGATGAAATGAGTGCGCCAGAAAGGTGTGTTTACATTAGGTCAAAAGTGAAAGTACGGGCGCTTTGAAAAAACTCAAAATACTAAAAAGCTTTTGCGACTACGCGACTGTACGAGGGTGGGATGCTATTACAGTATTTACGGTATGTACATCTTTGTAATTTTTTAGAAAAAGTGAAAGGTAACTGAGCATGAATTTTCTCGGCATGGAAAAACAGGATGATTTTTCTCCGGCTAAATGCATGAATTCGACTAGTTACCGTCCAAAGTACAGAGAAAGTCTAGTTTATTAAAGCTTTTCAGCAGTACCTTGTGTCCCTTTTGCCTCAAAGCTTTCCGAAGATCATATCTGAAAGATCCATGCCAAAGCCAGATGCCGATTATGCAAAAAGTGGGACGAAGGAGACGCAGGAATGCCCAGAGAGTCCCGTGTGGATAGGGAATCCAGACGGCTGGGGGACGGACTGGAAAATAAGGATTAGATGCATCTATATAGATAGATTTAGAGTCTACAAGTTTTAAATGTCTAATCAATGTCTATTACTTTAACAAATCGATTTTTAGCTCGATGGATCGAAAATCTTCTAAGCCGTGTCAACTTTCCGAAACTACCTTAATCTCGTCCATCTACCGGAATCTGATCTATTTATTTAAAAAGTTAGAATATTTTAGAGGCAAACGATCACTCAAACGGCAAACGATCACTTTTTAGCTCACTAGATCACTAGCATTGCCTTTTAACCAATCACTTTTAACCAAACCAATTTCTCCCACCTTCCACGAATTCCGTGTCCGCGTAGTTTGGATCAAAGACATAATATTCTAAATAAAACAGTTAAAAATGAAAGAAAAACAAGTAATATTTGAATTTCTGAATCTATTAAGCTTTTTAGGAACCTTTTAACTCACCAAAAGTCGCAAAATACACAATAAGTTCCCATTCGGTGAAGACGACAATATTCCTAAAGACGATTTTTGCCTCGGGACCGCGACGAGGATCGACGAAATCGGCTCGCTTCTTGTACAGCTGCAAATTTATCGCTTTAAAGGTGCTGTAGCTGAATAAATACGTCTTGCTTTCATAAAGCTCAGTTTCAATATCAATTTCAGTATCAATTTTTTATATTATTTTCATTTCAAAGCAATTCTCTTTCTCTAAGATTTTTGTTTTGCTTTGGGCAAATTCAAATTACCGTAAATACTGTAATAGTACCCCACCCCTCTCGTACAGTCGCGAAGTCGCAAAAGTTTTTTAGTATTTCATTTTTTTCAAAACGCCTGTACTTTCAAAAAATGCGTCTTTGGTATCAAAAAATTGCTGAAATTCAGGGCTATTTTTTGATATTTAAACGCGCATTGTAGCCTAAACCAGTGTCGAGAAAAACTCGTTCAAAGCTAGACTACGCACCGTCATTTTAGAGGAGGGATACTATTACAGTATTTACGGTACATGCAAATTTTTTCTAGAAGTTTCGCTGCACTTTTTTTGTTGTTTACTTGCTGATTTGTACGCGTGCTATGTTTAAGCGTTAGATACCGTAAATCCTGTAATAGTACCCCACCCCCCCTCGTACAGTCGCGTAGTCGCAAAAGTTTTTTAGTATTTCATTTTTTTCAAAACGCCCGTACTTTCAAAAAATGCGTCTTTGGTATCAAAAAATAGCCCTGAATTTCAGCTATTTTTTGATACCTAAGCGTCCACTGTAGCATAAACCAGTGTCAATAAAAACTCGTTCAAAGCTAGACTACACAACACTCCGCCCGTCATTATGAAGGTGGGGTACTATTACAGTATTTACGGTAGCTAATAAATTCGTCGAGGTACAACTCCCAAAAGTGATTTGTTTAAATGAAAACTATCTGATGTTCAAAATGATTTTTTTTCATGACTCTTTCAAATTTGGGAAATGAAACCTTTCAAAAATCTTAATTTGTAGGTATCCAAATTGCTGGGTATTCGAAGAAAACAACTTTACATTTGATGGTTATTCAAAAACACTTTTTCCCTTAAAAATCCAACATCAAGTGAAAGTGTAGTTGGAAAAGATCAAAAATGGTGCACAAGCCGGACTTGAACCCGCCACCCGAACCCGGTCTTCCGCTTACCGGCCAACTGTGCTAACCATTACGCCACAACGCACTTCGTTTCTCCTACTCCAGAGGGGGTTAACTTACTAGAGTTTACTTTAAAGCCGTTTTTAGCCGACTGGGAAAGTTTGTGTCAATTCGAAAGCACTAATGCCAATATTGAACCCTGTAAAACAGTTCATTTCCAAATTCATTCAAGTTCATTTCAATAAGAATGCTATACTTACTAAATACAAGCCTTAGATTAGTCAAGCCTACTTAGTCTAGACTTAGATTTTACAAGCCGAATTCCTTACTTTAACGAGAAGATAGAGGATCCAAATGGAAAAGCCCGAATTCTCCACAAAAATCAGCCACGCGGCGACGCTGAAGAAGCGGATATCGACTTTATCGGTGAAATAGTAGCAAAGGATTTGCAGGGAAACGTTCAGCCACAAGACACACGTCGAGAGGAACCTGCAACGAGTTTTAAGCTGGCTGTGACTGGTAAATTTGTAAAGTCTTTGTGATCTTTGAAGACAAAGCTTCAAGTCTGGCTTTAGCTGACTGCCTTTAGCTGACTGCCTTTAGCTGACTGCCTTTAGCTGACTGCCTTTAGCTGACTGCCTTTAGCTGACTGCCTTTAGCTGACTGCCTTTAGCTGACTGCCTTTAGCTGACTGCCTTTAGCTGACTGCCTTTAGCTGATTACCCGATTAGAAGATCTCTTTCCCGTACTTACTTGAACGCTGTTGCTCCATCAAAATCGAGATCAGGCAGCCCATAATACAAACAAATCACTTGCACAAGGATGGAAAGAATTAAACAAAGTGAGGAAAGGTAACGGATTTGTGTGAGAACGGCCATTGTCCATGGGCTGAAAGGGATTGAATAACTTTACTGAATCTTCAGAACATGTGTATTGTCCAAATCTTTCCATAGGTTACTGTATAATCTTTCCATAGGTTTATGCAAATTTGTATCCCTTTTACTGATCGAATGGTGTTGTTTTGTTAATTATTTTTGATCAAATTTTTCAAACAATTCAATTCCCTATAGATTACTGAGAAAAGCTTCTCAAAACTTTTAAATTAAATATTTTTTACTTTTCCTTTCAATCCTTTCACCCCTCAATTATTGTATTCCCAAAATTTCCTTCATTTCCTTCAAATTTCCAAAACCTTTTCTAAATTTTTTTTTTTTTAAAACTTTTGATCCGATTAAACTTCCGTCTTTTCAGAGTCTTTTCACTGAAAAGCTGAATATCATTTCTTTTTTTTTCGTTAAGTGACTTTTTAATGAGAAAAATTTGGAGATTTTTTCGCCTGAGATGAAAGAAAACAGGTGAAATTTGTGAAAGGGAAATCATTTTGCTCGAATGGTTTTTTTTTTCGTCACGAGATGAGAAATAGGGGAAATATTAAGTAAATGAAAGGATTTTACGGAAAAGAATACGAAGAATGATGCATGAATTGGTAAAGAGAGTTTTGTATGGGAACACGAGAGAACTTGAACTTGAACTTTAGTTATCCGTGAAAGGAATGATTCATGAAAAACGCAAAAGGATCTAAATACGTATGGATCGTCTTTCCGAAGCCCAAAACCCCATGACAAGGCCTGAAAATCTCAGAAAAATAAAAAGAGCACACGGAGTTGAACCATGGACCTCTCGGACTGCAGCCGAATGCTCTGCCACTGAGCTATACCGCCGGGTATTTGTTTGGTGAAAGAAGGGGTTTTTGAAGTTGAGAGAGTGGCTGATGCAATTCTCGTTCAGCTTTTTTGGGACTTCTTGTGCAAAGGAACCGTTCGGGGATTACATCAGCCAGTTTCAAGACCCCATTGCTTATCCAAACAAACAACCGGGGGTATAGCTCAGTGGCAGAGCATTCGGCTGCAGTCCGAGAGGTCCATGGTTCAACTCCGTGTGCCCCCTAGTTTCCTTTTGTTTTTTGAAAGCTAATCGACAACTCTTCAATGAACCAAATATTATTCTTTCTATTATTTTCTACTCTATCATTTAAGTCAAAACCCCTCATCAAAAGAATGTTTCTTTGAAGAAGCTAAAAGAAAGGCGAGGACTGGTCATACTTTTCAAGAAATCAACTTCTAATGATAGCTTTTTTTTTTGAAAGCTAACCGACAACTTTTAAACGACCGGGCATCTTTTCTTTTGTTCCATGCATATTTCTACATGTAAATTCTAATATTTTTCATTCTCCAGAACTTCAAAAATCTCAATTTTGTAGTGAAATGATTGAAAGAAACTTTTTTTCATCAAACTACAAATGTTAAAAGATTTGAATAAGGGGAAAGGGTTGATTATCGCTGAAAAAAAGTTTCGGCTCTTGTCAATTTTCCTGGAGCTCTAACCCAATAATATATTATAGGGTTAGGGCTCCGGGAATTAATCTCTAAACTCTACCAGGCCCGTAGCCAGGATTTCGGAGTTGGGAGAATAGCTTTTGGGAGAATCGCTTGAGCTTCATCCAGAAGCGCCCAATCAATTTACATTCAAAAAAGAAAATTTGGCAAAACCTTCAGGCTACATCATGGCTACAATGAAATTTTTCTAAAACGAAATTCACTCAGAAAAATTTGCACTTTTACATTTGAAATTTAGGGGAAGGACAGAGGTTTTAGACCCTTAAATTTCCTTCATTAGGTGTAAATTGATTGGGCGCTTCTGGGTGAAGCTCTAGCGATTTGTGCAGCTTTCGTTTCTCGTGAAATATTGGGCCAAAGAGCTGGGACTTTGCGATGCACAAGGGGGAATGTTGCATAGGTGAGAGTTTTGATTGAGTAATGATGAAGGTACCTGGCCTCTAAAAAGTGTCAACTTTTGGAACTACCGTAATCTTGTCTTTAGTTTTGTCCTATCTATCTGTTTATTTTTGTAGTTTTTCCGAAAGATCTCTTTCCAACTGCCAGATTTGGATTTGAGTCAACTGCCAGTTTTTTTGAGTAGAATTTTTTGAATCAAGACCAAATGATTGGTGGCAAGAGCAAAAAATAAAAACACCGAAATCCTGGCTACGGGGAGGACAGAGGTTTTAGGCCCTTAAATTTCCTTCATTGGGTGTAAATTGATTGAGCGCTTCTGGGTGAAGCTCTAGCGATTCTCCCAAAAACACCGAAATCCTGGCTACGGGCCTGATCTCTACCATAACTTTAGATCCCATGTAACTTGTGCTCTTTCAAAAATCATAGCCCATATTGCCACGTTATCGATTTTCGGTGAAATTCTTCTTCTTGGAGTAATTCATTTTTCCGGAAGGAGTAATTCATTTTTCTACCAGAAATTCGATTAGTTTTGCTTTCTGCAACTTGTTTTTGGAAAGCATTTTCAGATGATTTTTATTGTAAATTCTTTAAATTGACCATGGAATACTCGGAAAATTTTTTAAGTTCATTGAAAAGTGAAATGTGACTTTGAAAAGGGGGAAATGACCCTGGGGAAATGAAATATGGCTGCAATTTGAATTGAAATTTCAAATCGGGTACAATTTGCCTATTTTGTGACTTTCGTATGCAAAGAAACAGGCAAATTAAACTAGCCTTTTGAAATTGCTCTAAAGGTAAGAAGACTTATTGCAATAATATATTGATCAATATATTGATGATAGTGTAAAGTCATTGGAAGTTACAGTACTCTGACTTGCACAGGCACAATGCCTAGTCTCAAGTTACCGCAAGCTACCGTACCCAAATCTCACCTACAGTAAGCCTACGGTGGAAACTACTGGGCTTACGGTAGGTCAACTTTCGTTACAATAGCTCAAGGAAATTTTAAAAGCATTCGAAATCATTTTCGAATGCTTTTCATTCATTTTCATTTTTCTTCGCCATGCCTCAATTTCCAAAGTTTACTCTTTTTTTTTCTGAAATAATGAGCGAAAAGAAAGAAAAAAAAAAGTTGATACAATACCCAAAAGTATTTGAGACGTTGAAGCCGACTCGGGCAAGCAGCTGCAAAAATTCAGGCACCAACATCAGTCCTAAGGCGAAACGAGAGAAATTATCTGAAAAAGAAAAGAAAAAAAATGATAGAAAGGTGAAAAAAAAACGCATTTACAGTGTTTTTTTTTTTCTGGCTACTATACATCATACGTAATAACTGATCGATTAGACTCTGAACTTTAATGGGGAAAAGGTTAGTGCATAGATTTGGAATTAGATCAACTATTTTTTGATTGTCAATTTTGAAAATAACGATAATCTAGACTCTAAAATCTATAGAATCTATAAAAAAACGTATTCGCTCATCACCATTTAATTTGGAATAGATTTCCCCCGCCAACCTGAGTAAAACGGGAACCGGTAAACGCAAAGCATTGTGGGCAGAATGAGGCAAGCCTCGATCACACTCACGATCAACTCCACCTCGAGACCTGAAATGAGAAATGATTGAATAATGTTAGAGGAGGGTGTATTGTGGATTTTAGAGATTGGGTACCATAATGAGACAGTTAGAAGCCTGAACAATCTTACTGTTAAAGCTAGAGGTTCGCTAGAGGTTAAAGCTAGAGGTTCGCTGGAGGGTCAAACCAGAAGTCGAGCCAGGCCAGGCCAGGCCATAAGGTTCTTGCTTGGCTTAAGCTCACATAGAAAGTCAGAGATCTAGTTTTCGAAGCCAAGAGATTGAGATAGAAATTTGCGTTTGAAACACAGAAAATACTTCTAATGGTTTAGCCTGGTTTAGGTTAAGATTGGCCTTGTATTTGAGTGGATAAAATCTAGCCTGGCCGGAAAAAAAATCGATTTTGAATCAATTCTGGCTCTATAAGAAGTGAGATTGATCATCATGCTTTGATCAAAAATAAGATTGTTTTGATCTTGGAGCTAGACTTGTCCCTGGGGATAAACTTTCATGATTCGGGTATAGAAAAGCGATTAGACACTTGAAAAACGGTCAATTAAGAAGTTTCAGACACTTGTATATACGAAAAACAAGCATCAAATGAAAATGTTCAAAAAAATGATAGCTCACTCAAGAAGGTTTTGTTGCAGAATTGCAACATAAGGTGTTCAAGTAGAAAAATGATTCAATTACAGTACTTGTGACTCTTGTATTAATGCTAACAACAGTATAAACCATTTCATTTATATTTAAATGCAAATTTGCATTAATTTGCATGTGGAAAAGAGCCACGAGGACTCAACAAAAGGAAACTTACAGTAATCATGAAGGTAAAGTTCAAAATTTCAATTCAAAATCAAACCTGCAACCGCCATGATTGTAGATCGGTAAGTCACAAGATAATCAGCTCATACAAGATCCCTTTCAAGATACAAGTTTATGCTGAAAAGAAATGGCGAAACTTTTGTGTTTTTTGAGATAAAGCCGAAGAGGAGCCTGAAAAAGAAGACAGGTGCAAAAATTCTCTGATGAGGAGCACAGATGAAAAGAAAAGGACACGCCCCTCTTCTTCACCCGCCAAAGCTATTATTAGACCTTGATTTCTTGAAAAGTATGACCAGTTCTCGGGTTTCTTTCAGCTTCTTTAAAGCAACATTCTTTTGATGAGGGGTTTTGAGTTAAATGATAGAGTAGAAAAGAATAGAAAGAATAATATTTGGTTCATTGAAGAGTTGTCGATTAGCTTTCAAAAAACAAAAATAAAGATTTTGTCGAGGAACAAGATGGGACTTGAGCTTTGCTTTGAACGTTCTTCCAAAAACAAAAGGAAACTAGGGGGCACACGGAGTTGAACCATGGACCTCTCGGACTGCAGCCGAATGCTCTGCCACTGAGCTATACCCCCGGTTGTTTGTTTGGATAAGCAATGGGGTCTTGAAACTGGCTGATGTAATCCCCGAACGGTTCCTTTGCACAAGAAGTCCCAAAAAAGCTGAACTAGAATTGCATCAGCCACTCTCTCAAACGAATGACACCTTCAAAATTCCCTTCTTTCATCAAACGAACACCCGGGGGTATAGCTCAGTGGCAGAGCATTCGGCTGCAGTCCGAGAGGTCCATGGTTCAACTCCGTGTGCCCCCTAATCTTTTTATTTTTCTGAGATTTTTAGGACTTTTGGCTTTGGAAAGACGACCCATACGTATCTAGAGTGATCTTAAGCTAAAATCTTTTGCAAAAAGTATTTTAGAAACCGAAGACAAGAAATTAGACTCAAGCTTTAAAAAAATCTATCAAGCATCCTTAAAACTTTCTTACTACACTTTGTTTGTGTAAAAATATAATGAATATTGGTCGTTGTTTGATCAAGAAGAAATACAGTGTTGATTTTCAGCTATTCACAAGCTAAGCTACATGGATACAAAATGTTCGTAATGGATAAAAGTTTGATCAATTTCGAGCCGCTTTTTGCTTTTGCTTTTGCTTTTGCTTTTCTGGGTCTTGTAACACGAAATGTAAAAGCGCAAGTGTTAATTTTTCGAAAATCTTGGTTTTTAAAAAAAAACTGTCGATGGAATTTAAAAATTTTCTTCAGCTTTATGATCAGAGCATTTTTTTGAGTCGAATGACGGATCACACCTCAAAATTCACCAGAAAACGGTGTTTCGGATGTGCATTCACCCCAAAAATTACCTTTTAGCAGCTGAAAAAAGACGTTTCGCTTTCTCAGAAGCATTCGGATCGATTTCCCAATAAAAGCCATCAAATTCATGGACACCCTAAAGAAAATAATGACACTTTGTTATCGCTCTAAGATTTAAAACCTAGATTGCCAAAATTATTGCGAAATCATACCGGAAATATTGTTTATATCCAAAAGCTTTTAACATTATGCCGTTCCATATCCAGAAGCTGTAGCAAAGTCGAATACTGAAAACAATACTATGCACCCAATCAAACATTCTGCACCTCAATTTTCCCTCCATTTGCAACCAACAGCGTACACAATAATTTTGATAGCTCTACACGATCTCGAAGAATGCTTCCTGAACAAGATATCTGTGCGCTTGATTTACTAACTAAACTTGGTAATGGTACGTCGATATCCACAAGGGGTAGATCCAAAACCTTTGTTCATGAACGTGTCGGGTTTAGCTCCAATGCTTCTTTGGCTTCAAGCTTCTCGATTTCCAACGCCTAAATCATAATTGCAATTTTTTATTAAATCTAGCTAGAAATCCCAGATTAAACCTGGAAACTGTAAAAACAGAGTACTTTATAAGTCAAAGTCGCCACACTATGGCTTAGATTATTTTGAGAACAAACTGTCGTATTTTAGCTTGCGCCCGCTGAACTTCCACGGGTGTTCCGTGTAATTGTAAAGCTTTATCGAACGCGTCTTCCAATCTAGATGCAGATGCCATCGAAAAAGAAATTGACGTACGAAAACTGAGGATTGCATTCATCTGATCGTTGCCTTCCAGTGACAAAGTCATCGTTCTCGCGAAGCAATGAACATAGCGAATACTTGTCCTTAAAAGAATTTTTGATCAAAAACACGTAAAAAAACTAGCTACCTCTAACTCCATTGATTAAATTTGTCAGAAGTTTCTCGTTCAGAATATTTGTCCCATTTAAACTGCTTCACAATAGAAATCCCGGGTCAGTTCACTCACAAAGGGAGGTTTGTTGGACTTTGTGATGGTGGAGTACATCTTGTCCATCCTGGGCTCAGTCCTGGCGAATTCCATATTTATGTACCTAAAAAGAAACTAGATAAGTTATTTAAAATGATCGCTTATAAGAAAAAGCCATATCAATCAATGAGTCAGAGAAAAAACGAAAAAACAATTGCACTTCCTTTATATACGGCTCCCCATAAACATTAAATTTTTTTCCTTTTGATTGAATATTCTCAAACAAAAGTCTTTATAAGCATGGGTTACTACCGTTTTATCATGTTTTATCTATCATGTTTTCACGATCTTTTTTCTTTATGTTACCTAGCTTTTTGCTCTTCCCTTCTATACGAGCTTTTTTTTAGAAGGGCTGTTTATAACGATTACGAACCAAGGGGAAATCATGGAAAGCTCAAAGAAGGAGCAACTAAAATTGGTAATTTTAGAATGTTTTAAATGTTGTAGTTTGTGATTACTTTCCAGTGGATGTTTTGTACAAGTTTTATTTTAGCACAATCTCAACCCCTTCTTTCAACTTTTTTGAAGAACTTCCCGATGTCGTCTTCTATGCGGTGATGCGGAAACTTCCTGCACGCGTCATCGAAAAGTTAGCAGTCTTCATCTTCTAACTTTATTCTTTGCTTTAGCGCTGTTCGCCAACTCTCAAGAGATTGTTATAGAAAGGTCGAGCTGCGCAGAGCAAGACTTCCTCGTGTTTATATCGATATACTTCAGGTTGATCGGAACAAGGTAAGATATTGATGTGTTAGTCATAAAAACATAGGTTTTAGTTTGGCTATAGAAGGTCTAGCGATGGAGCAATGAACCACGATGATTATGAAGAAACCATCGATCCAGCGAACTTATTCCAACATTTGGAGCATTTGAAAGAGCGTGCAACCTTCAAGGCCCTCCGTTGGTTAGTTTTCCCTAATCTTTATGGTGTAAAATCTGTCTTTTAGAAGGATGTCAATTGGGACATTTTTGCAAATTGCAAGTTCGAATGCGAAGAATTGTCTTGTTCTGCGCAGGATACGACTCTTTCGCCGGAAAGATTCATGGATATTTTTCGCAGTATAAGACCAACACGCAAGCTAGGAATTTATGTAAGTTTGTATTGAACGAATCAAAATTAGGCTGATATAGGCGATTGGTGACAACAAAATTTTTCCTCTTACGAGTGACTTTTTCACCAATAATTATGCGATTGGATTGCAAGAAGTTCGGTTGTATGGTGACGGAAATGCCATGGTTTATCCATTAAATGACACGGTTTGTTTTGATTTAACTGTCAATGAACAATTTTTGTTGCCACGCTTGCTTCGCATAATACTAATTGTTTAGATCTTGTTGGATTCAACTCCTTCGCTTTTGTGCGGTCCTTTTCAATCAAGTGGCGGGTGCACTCTTAATGGGATTCAAACGATGCTCCGAGACTGACACACTTCACAGCGTCAAATTAATCGAATTATACTTCGAGTAGATGGTGGAGAAACGCAACTTCAAAATGTGAGCTTTTTTAACTTTCTTATTTTGCTGAAAATAATTCGGATGCAGTTTTTAAAAACCCGAAAGATTGACTTAACTATTTTGGTCTAAATAACCTAGATAATCATTGAAAAGCAACTCAAATCAACGGTAGTTTTCCCGATAAAATTGCTCAGTTTTTAGTTCTGGCACAACTTAGATGGATTGCTGGTTAATAAAAGGCTCCTCTACAGGGGTTCCATCGTTGCTCAGCCCGCTTTGGAAAGAGCAAATGGAGACGTCATTAGGCTGGGTTTTTGGAGTAAGGGAATAGGCCATAATGGGTATGTTTTAGCAAGGTTTTTTCTGACGTATGAAACGCGTTCAATGAAACTATCTATTACAAAATTGCTTTAGTATCTCCATCGTTCGACTAGTGCCCGGCCCGGAAGCTGGCTTATATAGGGACTATGATGACGTAGGATAATGCACAATATTTATTTCCTATTTTGAATTGAAAGCTGTATTTTGTTCTCTATGAATTTGTATATGAAAAATGTATTTTAAAGCTGAAGTTTAGATGTTGTAAATTTCGTCGATTGTGATTGCTATTTCTTGGGGAGTACAATTGAAAACTCGTCTCACACTCTAAATAAATTGTTCATGATTTGGTTGTTCTTGATGCTTTGGTTTAATCCGCACTTTTTATTTCAATTTTTTAATAAAAACTAATGAGTTTATAAAAGTCGTATCAGGTTATGCCACCCGTTAATATTTAAACCGACTTTGGACTAACTAAAATCTAATCTAACTAGTATCTAATCTACCTCCCCTGCCACGCGGGCGACCCGGGTTCGTTTCCTGGCCTGCGTGTTGCGAGTGTACTTTCTGTGTAATTTCTAAGCTTTCAGAACAAAACCAAGTTTTTAGCAGAATACAATGACACAAGCTAACTGGCAAAAATCTAGCGGAAACTTTCTCGCAAAAATCTGAAGAAAGACGAAAAATGCAAAAATATTGCCGGAAAACCGGGTGCGACTACGGGAGCTAATCCACAGTTTTGAAAGCTATATTGCATAGCTTTTCGATGGCAGTCATCACAGGTCCACAAAACCTGAAGCCAAGTGGAGTCGACCCCGGGTCGCGTGGGCCGTAGCCAAGCGCACTCCCAACTGCGCTACCTGTGATGACTGCCATCGAAAAGCCATTCACTATAAGCTAAACTGTGGAT